AAGCTTATTCATAGGTTGACTTGATCTAAGATATCTAAGCAGCAACAAAAGCAACTAAGGACAAGGCAGATGATGAGTACACGAGATAAAAATTAGGATTGATTATTGCTCCCAACAGTAACCATACGATAATTAATCCAAAATAAAAGAATACACTGAATGCCAATATTAAGAATTGTATCCATTAAAACCAATTGAAATATTTCATTAATTTGTTCTAGTACAACTTAAACTCCCACATATAACCAACTTCATCTGGGAAATATGATAATAAGTATTTAACACTCTAGAATAAGAATGTAATGATCGCATAATAAGCCAATAACACACCTAAGGCTAAGACCCAATAATCCAAAATGCCGAAGTAGTTAGTTATAGTCCATGGTCTACTTAAAGCATCATCCATGAATAGTAAATTCTTTGGATCATAAATGGAGAAGGGTGAGTAGGATGTGTTGATGATGATGATGAAATAAAGCAATGGGACAATTGTAATTGCAGTAACCAAAAAGTTGCCTAACACCACAGTTATGTCTGATAATATCCAACCATTCATGTAAAGGGCATCAAAATAATCCATCAAGACATTTTCATCTACTTCTTCTCTATATGAATACTCTCTATTGAAGATTCTGGTTTTGTAGTTAAAAATCAAGCTTTGAATAAACATGAAGGGATAGTTGTAATAAAATACGTTATTATTTAATTTTCTAGAACCCATAGTTTTAATTGGGTTTTATTAGAATCTATTTATTTCTGTGCTTCTTCTCAATAGAAATACTGGTTATTCAAGATAATAATCTTCAATAAATGGAATGTAATGAGTGCATCTACCCAAAAACCTAATGTACCATGATTATCTTTATTGGATTCCAGTTTTGACTTTCCTTAATTCAAATGCCTTGAGATCTGAAATCAAGAGACCATAATCATTTGAGATATCTTTAATATTGAATTGTTCAACCCTTAAAGTCTTTCCGCAGAATTTAATATATGCCTTTTCAAGTTTATCAGATGGAACAATATCTGCAGGAATTCCTGTTAATAAACATTAGGTAGCCATAAAGAGTTCTAATGAATTTCCAGATGTTTTTTCTTCATCACTAAGTTCTTAATAAGATTTAGCATTAGGATTCAATTTGATTTTCGACAATATAAGCACATCCTCTTTCTCTGCAAATTCGAAGCCATATTATTCCAACAACTGTTCTTATTAAGATAATGGTTCAATTGTAAGTTTGTTAAGGAAACAGAATTGTTCATATTGTTCTTTAACTTCTTCCTCATCTATATATAAATAGGATTTGTCCAAAGTTTGTTTATAATATTATTCTGTTTATAATTAATTACTCTTTTTGAATAAAGTCTTGCAAAACATTTTTGGAGCACTTTTGAAGGATGATTATCCAAAGACATAAAATACGTATGATAATACACCTAATAAAATAGGTGGATCCTTTTTAGAAGCGAGTTAATCTAATTTTTAGATCATTCTTTTTGCAATAGCTGCTAAATTATCTTTTGTACTTTGAGTGGTTGTTGCGCTATAATTTTAAAACTATGAAGAGGTTTCCAAAACATAAGTTTCTAGTCCTTGTAATGAAACAATCAATACAAATATACAAACAATACCAAATATTAATGAGGACAACAATGATAAGGCGATTGCTGCTATGAAAAATGGATCATAGCTTAATGGTTAATAAACAATGTTATTAGCAATATTTTGAATAGTTGACCAATTCTCATACTTTCCTCTTTGCTTTTCTTCCAATGGATCAAAACCAGGATAAGTAAGATTTTCATTTAGTGTTTCATTTTACTTGACAAAATTATCTTTTTAAATGAATATAGCCTCTCCATAAGTAGTATTAAAAGTTCTCTTGATTAATTCTTAAATTTTTAATGTTTATCTTGCATTCAAAGCTGGATTCCAGGGACACATTCCTGGATCTGTGCTTACTTAGAAATGAGTAAATGTAGGATTCAAGAAAGTAGCTGAAAATGCAGATAACCACCATGGTTAAGAGGCTGCATATGATGGGTTACTGAAAAAGGACCAAAATGTACTATAAGTGTGTTGTAGTAAGTAGTGACCACCAACATCAAGTCTTACGGCAACATCTGCAGATCCACTATTATTCATAAATTGTTGTATTTTAAGGTGGGATTCTTAATCAAAATTTAAATTTCCAGACTTAAAAGGATAAGTCTCAAACCATTCAAACTCATCAACTCCATCGATTAAGGGTTTACCTATACCAAAGAGGATGTTGGCATATATTGAACTTGAATTACCAATTACATTAATCTTTTGTTATGTATTGCAGGAGTCTTTTTCGCATAAATCCATTTAGCCAACACATGTCTTGGTAAGCATTTCCTGTTAATTTGCTTCTAAATAACAATTTTCTTAGGCCGTGTTTAAAATTTAATATGCGGTTGTACAAATAGCTTGTGATTATGATGAATAATTCAAAAAGTATGATTTAGTTGATTAAATGATGATATCTCCACTTAGCATTCTGATGTTAGCCTCTGTGACTATGAAATGATTCAAAAACAAATTTCCTGTTGATTCTGAATGAAATATAAAATTTTGTGTTTTTATATTTCTCATATTGATCTGCATTTTTGCCTTGGGCTCTGATGTCGCGTTGAACAATGTATTAACTGCTAATTCATCTTATCCAAATGCCATTACACATTCCGTTTCATATTTGCACAGTATTTTTAAATTATCAATTTATTTTGGCAGTTACAAATCAATTATACAAGTCCTTTGCTAAACGTATTTAAATATAGATACATCAGGATTTGGATCATAAAATGTGAGATTAGCAACACCTGTGTCTAATATTTCACCCATAATTCGGAAATCATCTGAGCCATTCACTTACTGGCTCATACTTCCTTTTGCTTTAAATGAAAACTAACATATGTTTTTGTTAATATACCTTTAAATAGTCATCAGACTGGCTCACATTCAAAAAACAATTTCCAACATAGATATCAATATTGCTAGTATCCTTCAATGCACTCCAAGATGAGTTTTTCACTGTTACAAAATATCCCCATGCAAAAAATCCTACAACAAGACCTATAAATAAAATTTATAGTATCAGTCTTGTCAATCTTCGAAGTAAAATCATTCCAGAATATATACTAGAATAGTGATCAATTTATACCTTTCTAAGCGACTCTCATTCTCTGCTTTGTTTGTTTTATTGCCTTCGCCTTATTTTTGTTGCTTGAATTGAATCATCCATTAATTCAATTAATTCTTGCTGCCTACAAGTTAGGCTTTTATTTTTTAATCGTCTTTCTATAAGTATATATTAAATCTCTTACTCCTATTTCCCCATAATTTATAAGTTCAAGGTCTTCTCTAGGGGTTGGCTTTTCTTTGTAACTTAATAATTCGTATTCAGCATATCCGCTTGGATATACCTTTACGGAAGTACCAGGAGTCTAGTTTTGTTCTGTGTTATTCATATCTTGTCTAATATTTATTAAAATAATTGAAAAAGAAGGGTTAATGATGGTTGGTTATATAATATAAATAATTTTTAGCGTTACAAACTTCTTATTTTATATTAATTAAATTATGTATAATTAAAGCTGTTGAATTATAATTATATAAATGGTCATAATTTTGATATTTTTGATCAACACTTACTTAAGTATTATAAGGGTAACAAATCTTATGACCTCATACCACAAATAATAATATATTACACTAATTAATGAAATTCCATTTTAATTCCACTTCTTAGGTCAATCATACATACCTTTGATCAAACCGATCATTATTAGAATTAAAATATATAGCTCAATATCATAAAGGATTTCATGATTTTTTTTAATTTGAATAATGGCCTCTCCATTATTGATAAATGTTGATTGCTATTAAGTCAAAAGTTTTTTGAACTAATCCTTAATATCTTCGGAAAACAATAAAATATTCTATTATTACTATATTATTTATCATTGATTGGCGAATTAGAATAAAATTTTGACTCAATACTTAGTATAATTTTCATAAAATGGATTTTGTTATTATTTCTCAAAATAGCTTTCAGATTATATCTGTATATCATTTCTAATTAATTTAGATCAGTTGCTTGTTAACTATGTAATAAAATTATAAAAAATAATTATTAGTTAAAAAATATTATTAGGATCGTTAAGCATAAGTTATACTGTCTATGCTCATTTCTATTTCATACATTGATTAGATCGATTATTCAGCATAAACAATCACTTAGTGGTAAATTTAAGAGCATTCATTTATTTTTATTGAAATCAAAAAATTTTTGCTACACTTTATTACCTAAATATATTTAAATATCATTCAATTACTTACAACAATACTCAAACTAATGTATTCAATAATAGACCACTTTGATGTACATTTCTAATTTATTATAATTATAATGGAAAAGTACGAATATTATATAATACGGTTTCATAATAATTTATATACTTTATTCTTAAAATTTATCCTTTTTTCCATAGCCAAAAATTAGAATTCGAAACTCGTATAATTAGTTCTGAAAAAAAAACTACTTAAATGTGAGTTTACATTCTTTTATATTGTTATATGTCATCAAAAATTAATAATAAATTATATACTTTCCGTTATTTAAAAAATAATGTATTTATAAAAGTTGTCTTATCTACTTTTAAATAGCTTGAAATCAATGTTTTTGCATTCATTTTATGTAAAATTAGAGAATGTATACATATAATATTGGTATATATATATTTTATTTCATTTAAATAATTTTTATGGATGCTATATATATTATAATTCAAATATATTAGTAACACCCACCTGATGATGATTAGGTATCTGTATATCATATATATATAATTAAATGAATATTAATTGTTTCTTTAATATTAATTATTAACGATGTTTACCTTTAATATATAGATATAAATTTTAAATAAATTACATTATATGTCATTTATTATTAGTTTAAATAAAATTAAAAATGCTACAATTTGATTAAGAAAAACCAATAGGGAATTTATATAAAATTACTAATAAGCTTGGAAGTGGATCATTTGGTGAAGTGTTCAAAGGAGTCAACATGGAGACTAATGAGCTGGTGGCTATTAAATTGGTAAAATTTGAATTTGATTAACCTTAAATAGGAAAGTTAAGAAGCTCAGATGCCTCAAATTAAACATGAATTTTAAATATTATCTGCAATTTAAGGAAATGGTATATTATATTTTCTTTTCTTAGGTATTCCTAAAGTACATTGGTTTGGGCAATGGGAAGATAAAACTGTGATGGTTATGGAATTACTAGGCTACAACTTAGAGTAACTCTTCAATTTAGTGAACAGAAGATTCGAATTAAAGACGATGTTAATGCTTATAGATTAAATGGTATACTAATGAAAAAGATCAATTAGTTTTTAGATAGATATCATATCTCTCCTCCATTCAAGAGGATATTTATATCGTGATATAAAGCCAGAAAATTTCCTGATGGGAATCAACAAAAAATATAGCATAATCTACATAATTGATTTTGGTTTATCAAAGAAATACAAGGATAAAAAAACTGGTGAACACATTCCTTACAAAGAAAACAAAGGGTTGATTGGAACTGCCAGATATGTTAGTCTCAACACTCATCTTGGAATAGGTATGCTAATTCATTTAAACGAAGAATAAAGCAGAAGAGATGATATGGAATCTCTGGGGTATTTGTGGTTATACTGCCTAAAGGGATCACTGCCTTGGCAAGGACTGGATGTAAATAATAGAGAAGAGAAATATGAATTAATTAAGACAATCAAACAAACTATTTCAATTGAAGATCTATGTCATGGATTACCGAATGAATTTGTTAAATACTTTCAACATTGTAGACAGCTCAAATTCGATGAAGAACCTGATTACAAGAGGTTTAAAATGTTATTTAGGGACTTATTTTTTAAATTAGATTTCATTTGGGATTATTAATTCGACTGGATAGAATCACTCTAGCAAGAATAAATCTAATCTATCATGCACACAAAATATAGTAAGAACTCGTTATCCAGTCTTAAAGGAGGAAGTAATTAATTATCAACTATTCAGGTTAAATTCTGAAGACTGATGAGGAAGATGAGGTCTAAGAAAAAATTGAATTCAAAATTGGAGGGGATTCTTAAATAAATTAAAAGAATGTTAAACCGATGTTAAATTTAGATAAACTAATAAGCAAGCCGAATTTATTTGAAAGTATCTTCAAATGATTATAATATTAAATTGATAAGTTATATGTTAAAGACAAAGGATAAGTAATATAAATCTATTTTTAAATTTCTATATTTCATTATTTTAATTCAATAAACAAAAGTGTTCCTTGAATTATGAAACATAAAACATTCAATAAAATGTATTTCTTAAAATTCCTCATTAATGTAATCAGTATCATAATGATATAAAAGCTAAATGATATTTTGATAATAAGTTAATTGACTATAATAACTTTTTTATTTTTACTATATTTTTACAACTTTCAGCTTAAAGAAGCGAAATAATTTGATATTATTCCAATTTTATAACAATATCAAGTACACCTTTAATTTCTTTAGATAATTGTTATTAATTAAGTTAATTTGTATTCATACACAAGACTTAAAGTTATCTTATTAAACAATAAACCTTACAATTTTAATAACTACAATCAAAATATTTATTGAACAATCTATATAAAAAAAGGATCATTTTAGAAATAATATCTGTTGTTCAACAAAATAATAAGTTTAGTTTTTATTTATAGAATACAAGGGTTTATTAATTTGCATTTTATATATTAATATACTAATAAACTTCATTATTATTTTTTTGGACTCTATTAAATATTATTTTTATTATTTAATTATTTCTTTTGTTAAAATTTATTGTTTTGATGATTTTAAGTCTGGGGCCTATTGTAATTAGAAGTTTGATAAAAACCAGGATTGTTTAAAGATTATTATTATTATTATTATTATTATTATTATTGTTATTATTATTATTATTATTATTATTGTTATTATTGTTATTATTGTTATTATTGTTATTATTATTATTATTACTAGTATTGTTATTATATGGGCTATTATTAGAGTTGCTGTTATTAATTCCAAAATGAAGGTTAGGCTATAATTATAGTAAAATATACCAACTCCAAACCAAGGGCTTTAGTAATAATATTAATATTATTAATAACATTGATTTTGTATCTATTGCTATTTTCTTCTTTAATAAGAAGCTACGGAAAAAGTAAATGGCATAGATTCAAAGACACTTATATATTCTTAAAACTAGATTGCGAAATTTGGATTGGAATCTCTTTCATTTCTCTTTCTTTTCTAAGATAATATAAATTAATAATTACCTCTGAATTGTCCAATTCCTTAAAGGTCTTCAACATGCAGCTTTTCTATGGTTAATTTTAGAAGGCAGAATAGATCAAATCGCCATTTTCAATTTAAGTGCAATCAATTAATTCATGAATGCATTTTCCTCCAGATTATTAAATTGAACTTAATTCGCTATATGGTAAATCTCTTACAAAGACCTTTTGTTTATAGGATTATTACCCATTCAATCTGGAAAGACCCAAACCATTTATTCTCCTCTGCCCAATACATAAAATGCATGTTTTCTCTGAAATTACTGACAATTTTAGCCAATCCAATAAAGTGGGATGTCTGGGTAACATTAAATAATAGGTAAACTGGACGTGTGGCATCATTTAATTTCTAATTATTACGACTCGAACTAAAGATTTTATAGTATAGCTACCTAGTCCAGATGCCGTATTTAATAGCCCGATGAACATTATCTTTAGTTGGAGCACGTATCAAAAAATAAGTTGCTTCTTGTTCAAGAGGTTAATGAATTTTTTGGAGACAATTAAATGTTGTGGTTACTTCTTCGAAATTTTCATAATTATCTAAATATTTTGCCTCAGGTTATTGGCATGGAGGACTTGTTTGCATATTAATATATTTTTTATTTAAATATTAATTCATGGATGTATATATATCATTTTATTTCGTTTAGACTGTTTCAGATATCAATCCAAGACCATTTCTTGAGGAAATCACAAGAAAACAGATCATAGTCAGATTAAAATGGGGATGGGAATTACGAGGTAATAATAATAATAATCTAATTGTAGGGGTTTTAAAAAGTTCTGACTAATACATGAACTTGCATGTAAGTTTATTAATATGAATCTATAGATGTTGAATACAGAAGAGTATGTCGATGGAAAGAGCAGAGGAATATTAGGAGAAGTGTTGGTTAGATGTAATAATGTTTTGTACATCAGACAATGTCCTGACGAAAAATGATCCTAAATTTATATAAAAATGCATTAAATTTTAGATATCACAGGCATTTTGATGTAGGTTTTTTCATTTAAAATATTTGATTTTTTCGAAGTTCTGTGAGGTTTATAGAAGCAAAATTAAATAATAATCACCAAATAATCTATCCTGAGGATAACCTAGAGATCAACTCAGTATTTATACCTATTGTTTGATACAATATAATATTTTATAAATATTATAATTCTGACTTGCGATGAGCAAACCAATTTTGATCATCTCTAAAATTGATTCTCATTCTGGAGAATTTTATCTAATGGAAGAAAAATAATATGAGACCACTGAATAGTATTTTGCTCTTTTTTTATCAAACAACTATAAAAAGGAATATTTGCTGGATGAGAGAGAATAAAAAGATAATATCTAAAAGGTTAGGTAGATTCGGCATTTTTTAAAGATGATTGAAATCAACTAATAGTATTATTATCTTTTTAGATACGTTAAAGGAGAGAGAATATAGGATTTTATAGTTAAAATGAGGTGTCAACTAAAAACAATAAACTAAGATATTATTGATTCATTTGTTATTTAAATATTAGAAGCATTATTTTAACTACATAAACTAAACATACTAGGTAGAATATTTTCAGCTGAAAATATAATAAATAATTATGGGACTTTAGTTTTAATGGATTTTGGTTTTGGACCTGACATAAAATAGGATCACCTAGATATTTTAGCATCACCAGAATAAATAAGAGAATTACTTGACTAAAATTCTCAAATATAAAAAATTAATTATAGTGCCCTTAAAATTGATTCATGGTTATTAGGTGCATTTTTATATCATCTTGTGAAATTGAGACCTATCAATTCTGTCTAAAATAAAAATGTTCCTAATAAAATGCAAATCTTTAAATACACAGATCTCGTCTACTATAACAGCTACATTTAAGAGCAATGTAAAAGCAGTGATTACATAAATGCTTAGACTAATAGATATAAATAAACTCTGATAGATTTTATTCATGGTTTATTGACTTATAATACTTAGAAAAGATTGTCGTTCTTAGAGATACATCAAAGTGAATACATCAAAAGCTTAAAATTAAATAAATCGGACGAATACATAAATTTCTATACAAATTTTTAAGAAGTAGAGATAATTGAAAAACTAATTATTAGAGGAGGAATTTCTTAATCTTTCGTATTGAACTCAGGTCTTTTGCAAGGATAATATGATCTTTTAATAAGTTCACCAGTCAAAATTAATGGTAAGTAAGACACACCGAATGAAAAGGAATTAGAATCGTTACATATCACACTTCCTTATACCGCCTCCTTCATATAAGTAGATTCATTTAATAATAATAGGACTCCAAATATTATGATATCTGGAAATAAATCAACTTGGAATAGTTTCGTTATTTTATACTGAATGATACAGCTGATTAAATTAAAGCTGAATATCCGGAAGGGTGTTATAAACTTTCATTAGTAGCTTAATATGCTTTAAGAAAGCAAAGTTATATTATATTATAAGATCTCATTTAAAAAATACAATCATCTGATTATCCTTGGTAAGGAAGCTTAGTGACTAACTGGCAAAATTTCAAATAGGAAAATAAGTTTTAATTTTTAAAACATGCCTTATTAAACGCTAGTACTATTACTATTTAGAGCATGGCTTAATTATAAGAAGAATTACATAAAAATCCTAAACTAATTGAGAATTTTATTGTTACACAAAAATCTAATGAATTAAATGAGGTTTTTAATAATATTCTCAATGAGAAAATTATTATTGCTTAAGCTAAAGAGCAAACTTCATTGGATATATACTCAATTTATTAAAGTGTAAGTACTCGAGAGTGTTCTTAAAATCCCGCTGAAAATTTGAAGTAGTCAGTTCGAGATACTTAATAAGCTGAATGGTTTAAAGGTTTTAAGGAAGTTATCAATCATCTTTTCAAATATTTCAATGAAAATGTTACTGATCCAAACTTTAGATAAAAGTACAGTCAAATACTGTTAAAGATTTTGTATTGCAGGCTTATCAATATTATATTTTCTTTTGAAGGTGTAAAAAATCATTTTAAAAACATCAATCGTCTTGAAAAAGAAGCAGTTACTCCAGATGAGATTTATTGCTATATAGAATCTAAAGATAACTATGAATTAAAATATATAGAAATTTAAGACCTTCTGAATAAATATTTTAGACAGTGAGCAGTAGTATTCATTATTGATATATCTATCTACATAATTATAATTAATTTGTCTTAGTTAAACAACAATATAAAAATTAAAAGCTGTGCTCTTTTTAGATGCTCTAAATATTCAGGAAAAGGGATAATCATATTTTTAGAACGCTCATTTCGTGAAGATATTATATCTTTAAATAGTGCAATAACCACTAATCCAAAGTAGATATTTGAGTCTCTATAGCTTTGAAATTGGAAAAGTGCAAATATCAATACATTCACTTAATTCTCGTCAACTCAACGATTTCAAAGAGCAATATAATTAAAAACCTAAATATAGAGAAAAACTGAATATTTAATTAGCTAGTATTTAATATTCTTAATGAAATTTAATGCATAATAGCAATGCATTCTGATAAGAAAACACATATGGTTATTATAATTCAGACCTAATGAAATAAATGAATATGTTTATAATTATAATGTGAATTATCGTTCTTTTATTAACAAATGTTATTAGGGATAGTTTAGTAAGGAGTCTATGTTACTGAACGATGAAAAACATCATACTAGATATTTTGAACTTGCTTTGAGGAATACAATTTCTTTATAAATATGTTTTCATTTTATAGAATCTTAATAATAAAGAATAAAAGCATTGAAAATATAAATAGAAATTTTGTGATTGAGGAGAAATAATATAAGAATCAAAGTAAATGTATGAGGAGAGCAGAGGAATATAATATATTTTTATTACTCTAAGAAGAGTTTAAGATTTATATATTATATAATCAGATGAGATTTCAGTAAATCTCATTGGGGGGATGTTCAATCTAAAGAGTTCAAGAACTCTTCAAGGTCTTGTTGATATTCAACTGGAGAATCAACTTAATCGAAATTCTTTATCATAGGGTTTTAAGCTTCTGCCCTTATGGATTCAATAAAGCAAACATCCTCTTCAACCGAACTCTCTGATTTAGCGAATTCATTTTTTTAGCATATTGGGTATATCATTTTAACCAGTGTGGGTCTTAAGAGGGATGACATAAATAATTAATTATTTTAATATTTTATTACAACTTATTCATTAGATAAGAGTGCAAGAATAATGAATTCGTTTCATCTCTACAAATAATATAATAATGATTTTATTTATTGATCATTTTTTGACTCTCTTTTGTATTTCTTAGACGATTTGTTCATGCGTTGCTCCATTTTATAAAAAAGAGTTCTGAATTAATTAGACAATACCAATTCTTTTGTCAGGATCAGGCTCTAACATCTACATAATCATGTCTTTGAATTCCTGAGGATACTTTTGTTATCTATATTATTCACATTTCTTCCAAAACACATCTAATTATTTAGTAAGTATCATATTCCACCATTGATCTCTCATGGTAGGATCATTACTTTAAAATGGAGGGAACCCCATGACTATAATAAATATGACAACTCCTAAAGCAAAAATATCACATTTAAATAAATCTAAGTTGTTCCCTTTATAGATTTCAGGTGCTGTATACCCAGGTGTTCCTCCAGGAGGTCTAGATAATTATTAAGTTATGCGAGCGAATCCAAAATCGCATAATTTCACTTGGTAATTTGCGGCTATCAGTATATTCTCAGGCTTAATGTCACAATGAGCCACCTAATGATTGTGAAGAATTGCTAGTATGTTGATTAGATGACAAGCAAGCGATTTAGCAAGAGAAATGTGAAATGGACCTTTTTTCAAAATTCGAAGAAAAGTGTCATGAGGCATGTACTCTAATAATGCACAAGTAAAATCTTATGCATGGCCTTTCAATTAAACAATGCCTGGATGATCTATTAATTTAAGTATTTTAATTTCGTTCACTAAATAAATACAAAAAAAACCTGGAGATTATTGAGATGGTCTGGTGTTATTGAAGTAAGGACTTTGAGGGCAAACATTTCTCCAGTTCGCTTATGCATAGCCAAATAGACCTTAGCATCATGTCCTGAACCTAATGGAGGATTTGGGTTCACTAAGAAATTAGCTTAAAAGTCTTGTTGAGTGAAGACTATAATATTTTTTTCTTGTTTCATCTAATATATATTATTTATTATTTAAATCAAGTTAATAGCATAAATATTACATGATAATACAATTCAAATATTACATTAACAGAGATTAAAAGATATCTATGGATTTGTTTGTAATACTATCATTTATTGATTTTGAGCATTCTAAATATATTTTTGGTTATGCAATTATTCAATACTTATTTTTTTATTCAATTGAGGAACGGTTTATATTTTCTCATCCGTTTCCAGAATCATTTTTTTACTTGAATTAATTGTGAATAATTCATCATTGTGGATCATTTACAAACATTTTTTGAATTCTTCAAACTAAATTTCACCATCATCATTTTCATCAAACACACTTATTATAGTTTCAATGTCTTCTAATTATAATTGATTATTTAGGTCTATTTTCTTTAATAATGCAAATAACTCTTGCTTATCTAATGCATTGTTGTTTGAAGTATCATATTTTCGAAATAATTACCTTGGACTCATATTGTACTATTATATTAAATTTGATAACTCTTATAATATTATCATATGTTTTTTTTGCAAAGACCTTTAAAGCTTTGCTTTTTTTGGTGGTGAAGGATATAAATATTGTTTGAATTCTTCGAAATCAACATATCCATTTCCATCTTTATCAAATTCATCAAAAATGTATTTCACATCATCATCATTGAAGCTATTGTCAAGATATTAGATGAAGCACTTGAATTCATCCAAATTTAACTATTGATCTCCAGATGTATCTACCTTCTAAAATATTTGAGTCAAAGTATCAACATTTGGAATTTTCTATTTCAGATAATTTTAAATGTAAAATAATTTCTTTTAACAATTGGTTCGTTGCATCTAGAATTTTATAAAATATTCGCTTATATATGGATGACGATATAACGTATCCCAAGAAAACCTGTTTTCTTCCTTTATTTATAGACAATTCAAAATAAAGTCCTTACATAACTCATTCACAATAGGCTAATCCGGGAACTTCAAGTTTTAATGAACTATATTGTAAAGGAGTTCACTTTCAGACCTACCTAACCATGGAGCTTAAACATACTAGATAGTACTTACTTTTTTGATATATTATTTGATATAACATTAATCCTATACTCCAAATATCACTTTTGCTCGTGTATTATTGACCATTCAATATTTGAGGACTCATATAATATGGAGTTCCAACTTTACTCTCCATTATTTGGTTTTTATAATTACTGATCTGTCTAGCAAAACCAAAATCGCCTAATTTAAATATTTTCCTATTGTTCTCTATATGAACCAATATATTCGCTGGTTTAAGATCTCGATGCATGATTCCTTACTTTATTAGTGTAGTGAACGCAGTCAAAATGTCGATTAAAAATTGAAAATGGTCCTCATGTGTTATCTAATGAGTTTTATAAATTAATGATTCCAAATCACCATGATTGCAATATTCTAAAATTATATAATAATTATTCTCTGTTTGTAGAACGTCAATGATCTCAATTATATTCGGATTCTTTAGACTCTTTAAAATTTAAATTTCATTTAAAAGTTATTTTTCATCATCTACATTTGATTACATACATTACCCACATCCTTCATATCACTTTTTCTAACGAGCTTTATGGCTACATTTTATCGAGTGTGAATGTTCATTCCTTTATAGACAGTTCCATAAGCGCCTTTGCCTAATTTTCCTTTTTTAAAATTGTATCTATATGATTCAATTTATTTTTCATCAGTCTTGAGTTTACCCAAAGGAGGCTAATTCATTATTTGCATGCTTATTAATTATAAAATAATGTAATTAATAATAGGTAACAAAAATCAAAAATATATATTATAATTTATGATATTATTGTTCATCATAATCCCTGTTAATTCATAATAATAGATTGCAATAATAAGACTTATATAATATATTCTCGTCATCATTACAACAACTATACAAAACTACTCGACTTTAAGAGTTCTGGTAAACACTTCCTTACAATTACATAATTTTAGTTTAACTATCTACTTCTCAAGAGATTTAACTAATGTATTCACATAATTCTTTCTTTCTAAAATCATTTTTTTAATGATAAAAATATATTAATACAATTTTTATTTCTTCTACATAATTTATGAAGAGACAAAGATCACAGTCATGGGAACCTTAAAGTTTTGAAAATAGCGAATTAATGCGTTAGCAATCAGAAAGGCCAATTAATGATCAAAATGTATGAAAAAATCAGATATAGAGCATATTTTCTATGATTGTGAATCATAATTTAATAAAGGATATTTCAATTATTGATACGTACAAGGAGGTTGATAACATATCGATGCACAAAAAGCATTTTGTTAATTACGTAATAAAAATTAAGACCGATTACTTTGATTATACAGTAGCGAAAAGATATTCAGAATTTGAAAAACTTTATGATTAGGTAAATTTAATGAATGTTATTTTAGATTTCGAATATTTTACACAAACTGCCTAAATTTCCAGAAAAGAAGTTAATTAAATCGAATTCAAAAAAAAATATTGCCGAAAGAAGAGAAATGTTAGAATGTAATTCTATAATCAAATCTTATACTAGAGCTACTGAAATACATTTTAAGAAATCTAAACAATCAAATGCACTACTTTTTAAACTTTTTAAATATATAATGTGAGCTATATTTATTTATGTAGAACAATTTTTAAAAGGAGGATTTGGTTAAAATGTGAGACTTCATGAAATGAGCAAAGATGAATTTGGATTAAGTGACCTAAAAGAAGAAACTAAACTAGTAGCTTCTAATGAATAAGAAAAAATGGTTTTTCATTATATAGCAAAATTAAATGAAAGAAATGATGAAAGAAGCAAAACCTTTTAGTATTTTTATATTCATTAAACAGAAAAATGGAAAAATACTTTTTTGGAAAAACACAACACTTGGGATCATAAGTCTTAAAATTTATGTTGATTGGTGATGACCAAAGACAAAAAGGAGTTATTGAATTATTAAAAAACACTTCAAAAGATTTTCAATCACATATATCTTGTGTTAGTGGAATGCAATTCTTAAGAAAAATGTTAGAATATGACTATAATCCCTGTAATAAATAGAGTTATGTATTTAGATGCTGATTTCTTTTTAAAAGTATTTGCTGAAGTAAGTATTAAACAACTTAAAAAAATGGGTGTTTCATTCCATGTCTGTGGAACCAACAAATAACTTTGCAAATAGGATACTCTACTCCTTATTTATAAATATGTTAAAGTGAATGATTTAAAACCAGAATTCATATCCTTTTTAGTATTATTAGCATGAGTAATTTAGTTAGAAGATTAGGAAACATTAACTGAATTCCAGCAATTTAAAGAGGCTTACCAACAAAAAAAGGAAGAAGGCTTTTAAATCATAATGGACAGCGCAGAAAACCTGCAGAAGGAAACTAACCCTATAAAATCAAATTCAAAGGAAAAACTCAGTATTCTAGATTAAGAACCATCGATAGAGTAATTGAAGGAAATTGAAAGTAACCAAAGTATAATTTGGAAATAAGTGCAAGGTTTTTATTGGGTCAATATTAGAATTTGATAATCATCGAATTTAACATGTTTAAGGTCAGATTGTTAAGACTGTACATCCCCTTAAATGTAGTTTAAATAGGGCAATTGAATTATTAACTACATAAAAACATAAGTGGGTCGAAACAATGATTGTGAGATAGATTATAAAACAAATAGAGAATAATAAATAAATAGTTGCAGAGACCTACTTATGGTAAGATAAACAACTCTTTAAAAAAGTAGTCTTCTTTTCTGAAGAAACCTTGATCCTTAATGTATTCTATTATTATTACTTAAGGATGATAATTTCGAAATTTAAATGAGGCCTGTTTTTGATTATCAATCTTATGAACAATATCAAAAGTGCGACGAAAAAAGTATAAAACATCAAATAATAAAGGTTAAAAATTATAAGTGACTTATGGAGTCTACAAGAATAATATCACAACCGTAACAATAATCTAAAATTTGTTTGATAAAGTATAACAACTTCAATATACTCCTGTGCTTTTAAAAGAAGTAGATTACTTTGAAAAAACAGTTCAATAGCTAAAACTTTTATAAACTGAGTGAATATTTATTATAATAAATAACATCATAATAATCTTCTCATCTAAAGTTTCTTAGCATATTAAATTTGCTCTTGCACTTCATCACTTGGTTTAAAGCTAAACAAAAATATTCGAAGTTCCTTTATAAATAATTAAAATAAAATAAAATGATTATCAATACTAAAGAGCCATTCGTAATTGTTAAAAATTATAGACAACGTTAATAAGAAGCGAAAAAGGAATAAGCAAAATCAAAGTCAATACCTAAACCAAAGGAACTATCAAAAAAGATTGTGAAACCTAAAAAGGTTAATTAAACACAATAACCCACCCCACCAGTGTAACCAATTGGCTAAAAGTTAGATCCAACTCTCTTTTCTCAACTTTTTTAATAACATTAACAACAATAACTATTGTTTTAATAATTTATCCAAAATACTTAAATCAATTAAATCACTTTGTAAGATGATGATTTAGATTAATATTCTCCTGTATATTTGTATGGTATTCCAAAAACTCCTTAAAATATAGCCATATCAAGAGGTTCAACTAGAGATGATGATGACTTCAAAATTTGATTATTTTACATTCATTTAGTTTAAATTAACTATTTGTTATAATTTTAAGTTAAATCCAAATGATTTTTTATTAGATGAAAGATATTTTAACAAATAAGAATTCCTTAAATAAAACTTAATCTCTCTAAGAGATTTAGTAATTTAAAATCTAATTATTTTATAGTTTAATTGAATGCATTATTAAAAAATAATGATAAACTTTGCTAATATTTTAGTTTGTTTATGTAAATTAGTATATATTTCAAGTTATTCAGAAATAACTTTGATTTCAATTTTATATTCCTTCAAAATAATGATTGAATATTAAAAAGATAAGGAGACCTTAATAAATTATCTAAGAATTGAATTGAAATTATTGAGTTATAGTCATTAGATATATATTCTTTTTTATTTAAATTTACATTTCAGTAATTTAATATAGATTTATAATAAAGTATAAAATTCTAAATTATAGCATCATAATATTAAGATTTAAATACTTAGATTCTTTTTATAAAGGTTTCATTCTTCATAACTTATTGTATTTCATATCCATAAAATGAAATGCAAAAAGGATGAGATGTATATTAGATTTCAAATTAAATCATATTTTTAATATATATTAACAAGAAATAAATGCAAAATAATAATTTTAGAAGACCTTATTTTTCTGTTCATAACACCCCATAAACATCTGGAATAACAAAAAGGTCTAGAATTGTAATTAAAAAAAATAACATAAAATTGAAGAATATTAATGTGCCTAAATTAGAAAGAAGACTTAGTGTTCCTCATAATATGAAATTTTTTTAGAGGATATATGTTCCTATACAAATGTTGAGAACTCAATAACACTAACCTAGTATTAAAGATTCCATATCTCCTTCAAGACTATCAAAAATAAGAACTGGGAGAAATACATTAAAATTTTCTGAACACATTTCTAATGAACAAAGCCCATCCGTTGTTGTTAAAAACCAAAAAGTTGAAGATTAAGTGAAAGAAGTTTAGAAAAGAAAAAGTTGTGATTGTTCTGAATGTGGTAAGCAATCATTATTCTAAAGGGACACCATGAATTATGGTGTTTAAATAAATCATATAGTGAAAGAGCAGGAGTCTGCGATTAACAAATTTAAAAGAACAATACGAAAGCAACAAACTCTGTTATTCCCTTAATTTCTCAATACTCCAAAAAATAGTGCAAGCAACGAAAATATTGTAGAAGAGATCTAGATTCATAGAGATGAAATAATGATTAAATCATTCGCTCACAGACCAACTTTAAGTAGCTTAGTCTTTGAGGAATAAGCATCTATGAATAAATAGTCGCCTATTAATTCATAGAGAAGAACTAAACATAGCTATATTGAATCCTTTTTATTGAAGCAGCAAAAGCTAATAAATAAAGAAAAATAGTAATTCTCTAGATAAACAGGATTATTTGAATCTTTACATAAAAAGAGCAATTTTTCCAATAGAAATACTTAAATGCATACTCCAACAATACTAACTCCTAGATCTCCTGCTTCATCATTCGTTACAGGGTTTCCGTCGTAATCACCTGTGAAAAGAAATAATTAAATTAACGTTTATTTGTAGCCTCAAAAGTCAAAATTCTTTAAAAACTAAAATAGAATTACGACTCTCCCTGAGGTGCAGTAATGAACGTTATTAATGATGAAAGATTTTGTGTTTTGTTTATCCTAGATATATTATTGATTTTGTCTATTATAGTATAATTTACTCTACTTAAAGCAAAGAACTTGTTTATTATAAAATATAAAGAATTCATTAATATAATTTATTTTTCAGTCACAGTTAAACTTTGCATTTAAACAATACACTTTCACTCCGTGTGCAATTAGACTTATTAAAGAGCTTTGTTAAATTTCTTTTTGCAACTATCTGGAATCCAAGTTGTGAAAAATTTAAATATATCATCTGATGTCCAACTATCTTAAACTAATTCTCCTTAATCTACTATTATAATTCTAATTTTAATATGAATTGTTACCTATATGAATCTATATACATGACTGCCAGAATATTAAACATGAATGTATAAAATAAGAAATAAAAGATTATCATAAACACAGTTCCTAGAGTAATATCGAATTGATAAAAGGAATATTAATCCTAACAATCAGTTAAGATCAATAATAAAGAAGTCAAGGCTCTGGTGAAAGTGCTGAAAGCAACATTATATTGGCCATACAGACTCATAGAAATCATTGTGTATCCAACTAAGACAAAAGCCAAAATGAACAAACTTGCAAATATCATTAAATAATATTGCTCTATTGCACTAAGGGCTGCTTCAAATGATCTTAAGAAGTTAAATAGTAAAAATATTCTTAAAATCGTAAAACACAATCCAATTGTATTTGTAAACAAGGCAGAAGAATGGTGAGCTGCAAGATCTCCTAAGTCAACAAAATCCTCTTTCATAAATAATTCAGCTGCATCATAATTCATTTTATCCTACTAAAAGATTAAATCACAACTTTTAAAAGTGATATAAATTATTAAGCAGTTCAAAACAAATGTAATTGAAATAAAATATTTTAATCCTTTAACTTTTGAATCTGTTAAATATGTTTTTATTTTTATTAATTAGAAAAATAAAAAGAAAATACCTACAAAAACTTTAGCTATTGTAATTAAATAAATTATTAATCCAACTTCAAAATCGATAGGATTTTGCGGACTTTCAAGAGACTGTTATGCAATTACAGAATACGGTGCTGATAATCCCCTTCCAGCTAAATTTAAATTAAATGGAATGATCAATGGAATATTTGGTATCAAAGCACTGTTGGTATATTCAATCAAAAACTCTAAAAATATAAAAGACCCGTCATTTCTACTCCGCACAGTCATGGTTAGAATTTATGCATTCAATCCCTCAACTAAATAATCTGGATGATTAAATAACTCTTGTATCACTTTATTTTTATATTGCAAGAGAGTTTAGTCTGATTTTTTCAGATCCAAAATATATCCTGATGAATCATAATCATCGAAAGTTCCTTTAGAAATTCTGGGAATTCCTAATTCGCTGGTAGCTTGATATGACATCCATTGTTTTGAACCGTCCCCTATTTGATCCGTTTATCTAGAAGATGACGTTACTTAGGTATAAACACAGGAGATTTAGCTTCTCCTATCATTTCTCCGAGGGTATTGACAATCAGCCGGTTTAGTTCTTATTTATCTGATTCTAATAGCACCAATAATATCAAAGGATTGCCGAAAATTCGACTCCGGAACCATAAGCTCGTAAGGTATGCCAGATACATTGCAATAGTAATTATAGATATCTTCAATTTTAGATATGTCTCTATATGACCCTGCTTCACCAATACTTCCAACTTTTAATAATGATTAGAGTCTTCTATAATTTGTTTAAGCATAAGGACCGTCTTCTAAATAGTAAAGGGCTAAGTAATTTAACACAAACAGCGCTGCCAATATCAGAATAACACAAAAGTTATTATCATCACAAGTCATACCTTTTTTATCTTATTTAATTTCTTTATCTATCATAACTCCTCGAGATTCAATATCCTTTTTGTCAATCATAAACATTTTTCTTAGTAAAGGAAACCTTTTAAAAAATGTAGCAAATTTTTTATATAGTTTTATTTTTAATCTTCTTTTTTCTTCATCTTAATCAGGATCATTTTCATCATCATCGTCATCATCGTCTTCTTCTAATTAATTATACTATTATTAATTTGATTAGTCATCACCAGCCACCTTAGATTGTTAATTAGATTATTAATTTGTTTAAGTGCCTATTTATGAACTTTACCCACCATGACTAACTCCATAACTTTTAACTTAACTCATACCTTGACTTTTACCGTCATTTTGAATTTTACCTCCAGCTTTTTTATGTGATTATTTATTTTTTTTTTTTCTCAACACAACACATAATGTATTCTTATTTGGATTAGCGATTTATTCATTTAAAAATCTTTCAATTAAATTTGTATTTTAAACTGGCTCTAAATCATCTGTCACTATTTCAAATCTATTTGCTATTCTTTTTATATCACTCTCAGATTATCTACTTGATTAAGAGTTGTTCAATCCTGATATTGCAACTTAGCCATTGGCTTCACTAACTTTAGATTATTCTCCTCCTTCCTACTGGATTTCACTTTGTAAACCATTAGACTTTTGATTATTTTCCATATAATTAGTAGTTACTTTTGTTTCGACTAAACCCCAAAAACGAAGAGCAGCTTATTTTAAACTTTCGAAAGTTTCTAATTTTGTATATCGAAATGTTTGAGTCACATAATCTGGATCATCTCCTGGAACTCCAAATTCTTACTTATCTTTTGGCAAGCAAGATTTCAAACATTTTACTTATATTGCACAAGTTGGTGGTGGAGCTTGATATTGATTATCATCATCCTTTATTTCAGCCTATTCTTGTTCCTAATTAATACAATCCTCTATATATCTAAAATATTTATCAGTGTGATAACTAAATTTCTCTAATACTGATTTTTCCAGCATTTTTGACACTTATTAACCTTGCGGTTTTTTCTCCTAATATTCATCATCATGATATCCACTTGTGACATATTTACCTAATAGTTCAAAGTCTTTTGTCTTCTAAGTCAATTCTTTTTCTAAAAAGTTATTTCTTAATTCCTTTTATGTCAATTATTCCTCCATCTCTTCTTTCTTGCTTTTTAGTTTTAATATCTTTGCTTTTAATTATGTTATCTTTTTCTCATTATCCATAACATCATCTGCCATTTGAAAATGTAATTAATATAATAAAATGAGAAAACGAAAATAAGAGAAATAAATTGATTAACAAATTGATCAATATCAAATTTTGAAACAGAAAATATTTGCATGTCAAGCAAAAATCTTGGAATTGGAGGAATAAATTGAAATGAAAGAAAAAAGAAATAAATTTATAGATGACGAACTCAGGTTGAAAATGAGAGATCTGAATAATGTTGAAAAAATTTTTGAAATTAATAAGGAGCTTGAAATAAACGAAATTAAATCGCAGAATAATGAATAAAAATCTAACTCCTCTACTACTATTTATAAGTAAATGTGTTATAATTTTATTATTAGTATGTAACAACATTAGAAAGCCCTAAATTAGCAGTAATTTCTATATAAATAAAAAATTTCTTAGGAGTATTACTCAAATTTTATGGAAAAGTATTTTTAATATTTTGACAGTTGTATTGGGCAAGAACTTATTTAAGAGAAAGAAATAGAAAATGATAATGAGAAAATATATATTTCTCCAATGGCTAAATTTCATGCTATTTAAATACAATGTTTTGTTAAATTGTTGGATCCTGAGTTGCGTACTAAGGTAAATTAGAGGACAGCAGATAATTAAGATTATGTTACGGTTACTTTTAGATATTCAAAATCGGATACTTTTGATAATTTAAAGCTTGTTTGTCTTTAATATTGGAATATAATTGAGCTTGATCATTTATATGCACCCGATACTTTTAATTTAAATTAGAATTAATATCAGACTAAAATGAGAAAATATGAATTTTTAGCTCCTGATTTCACTAAAATATCAAATACAGAGTTAGTTGAAAGATATTGTGAAAATTTTGAGCAGAAATTTGCAAAGGAAAAATATGTTAATGCTATTCTTAAAAAAAAGGTTATAAAATTATAAGGGTATTAAGAAAAAGGAGAATATAATGCTTAAATAAATGAATCCTAAGCAGCAAGCTAATTTGTAAGTAGAACTTTCAACAATCAAACCCTTATGAATTACACCATTTAAGCTGAGGATAGTTAATTAGCCAATTAATATTTATAAAATTCAATTTCGGGTGATTTAAGTCTAGATGATGCAAATTTTGCAATTAGCAATATGATATTGAAAATGAAATAATCTTTGACAAAAAGTTATTATAGCTTTACTTAACGATTTCCATTACTCTAAAAAATGTTTTAAATTGATACGTTTGAATTGGATCTTCGAGACTAAAAAAATATCAAAAGAAAAGGTTTAAAAATTGATGACTATAACATTTTGGTAGTTTTATTGATTTTAATCCTATTGTTATTAAATTGCATTCAATATTCTCTCGTTCCAAATTAAGCTGTAATTTAGAGCCATATTAACTAAATAGAATCTGTACTTAAATTAGGTAAAAATTAAGAATTTATAAATATCTCTACATTAGATGGTATTTTTACTTATTTTAATGACTTAAGTAAATTTCCCTTTTATCTATGTAATTAAAAATCTCAATTCAATTTGTACTATGATTTAATTGGAGCAGTTAGATTTAGAAATATAAAAGTTAAAGAAAAACAATGCTTGTTTTCAGTTAGATCTGACATATCAAGTAGATTGAAATGCTTTTATGAATAATAAAATATCAATACAATTGAAACAAGAATACTGTCTTAAGGGGACAAGGACTGGATGTAGTTTAAATCAAAAAATGATATTACTATTTCAAGAGTAACGAGAGGAAAGTTTGGTGAATACGATTAAACTGGTTACATTAAAGATTTAACAAAATCAAAATAAACAATGCAGCAGTATAGAAAAGAAATCACATATGAAATGTTCCAAAATAAAGAATATCTTAATATAAATACTTTGGCTCTTATTATCACTTTTACTATTAAAAGTAAGTTAGACTCAAGCTTTTTTTTTATTGAATTACTTTGTGAAAACACAAATCTTGGAATTCACCCAAGCTCCCCTAAAATTAAATATTTTCGATTACCCAACTTTGACAAAATAGAAGATGAAATTAAAATATTATCATATTTCAAGCTATTTTTTTCAATCTGCTTTTTGATATACATGGTATTTGTGATTATAACCTTTAGCAAGGAAATTCAAAGTATCAAATCTAATTAAACAAAATTCAAAAATATTTTCTCATACTTTATATCCCTTATTTTCCTTATGAATTTAATAGTTTTGTACACAAATTTTGTTAGTATCTCATAAGCCTTTAAATTACTGTCCGTAGAATAAATTCCCAAAAAGATGATTGAACTTGAGGATTTCGAAGACTATGGAAACCTTGCAGAAACATATTAAACTTACTTTTACTTTTTAGGCTTGTCAGTGGCTGCACTCATATTTCGAAGTATGTTATTTTTAGGAGTTTTTGAAAGTATGCTTAATTTAATAGAATCTATTTAATTCTCATATCTTTAGATTATGATCAGTTTTAAAATATTAATCCTAATACTTTTAAGTTTTTGTATGATTATGAGGTCCTTATAAGGACCTTACTCGTCAGAGTTTAGTTCCTTTGATACAGCTTTTACATCTTTACTCTAAATGGTTATGAACACTTATGATGTTCAGAAATTATTAGAGAATAATTAATTATCAACAACATTTTTTTTGATCACTTTTTATTTTTTGCTAACTTACTTTACTTTTAATATGATAATTGTTGTTTATATTGATTCTTATAGGTAAGGAAATTGAATATTTAGACAAATTAAATTGAGAAGCAATTAAAAAATCGATAGTACTTTGAGCAGTCTGTAGTATGGAATACTGTGGCTATTTTATTGGTTTCCAAAATCAGTTTAAGATAAGATTTTGATTTAGTATTTTTGAATTTATTTCTATTTAAAATTTATACCTATGAAGTTCAATTAACAATTATATACATAAGCAATTAATTGATTGGTTAGGCTAGGCTGGCTAGTAATTAAAATACATTGTTTTTTTGAGTAAATTGTGTCTTTATAGAAAATAAGAGTTTATATCCAACTCATTTAAAACTTTTGGAAATGAGAAAAGAATATTCTAAACTTAAGAAAAGAGAAATCTATAAAAGAAAAATTAATAATATGTAAAATTGACTTGTCTTACTAATTTATTATTTATATTATTCTCAAATATTCTATTTATTGAACCAATATTTTCCTTCTCCATCAAATTTGAGAATGTACTCATGGAATTTAAATAATGATTGTCTGTGTGATACTGTAAACAAAGTAATATTTAATGCTTTGGCTTTATTATACATGATAGCTTCAATGTCCATGCTAACAGAAGATGTACATTCATCTATTTAAGATATTAGTTATAATACCTAATATAGCATATTAAGGTTTATGATAGAATAATCTTGCCATTGCAATTCGTTGTTTTTCTCCTCCACTCAAAACATCATTCCAATCATTGGCTGCATCTAAACCTCTTTCCCTATAAACAAGATATTCTAATTAAACATCCTCTAATAATTTAATCAAATCTTAATCATTTATCTTTCTTCTTAACATTTATAATTTTGTATGAGGATAAATAATTTAATCTCTCAAAGTTCCTGGTGGCAAATAAGGTCTTTAAGGAATATAAAATAATTTATCAATTGCAGGTCTATATAGAGTACCTCCTTAGACTGGCCATAGAGCTCCCAAAATTCTGAATAGAGATGATTTACCGCATCCATTTGGTCCACTAATGATAACATTCATTCCAGGAGTAATTTTAAATGACATCCCTTTAATAAGTGTATCCCCATTAGGAGAAATAATTGGTACATTTTCAAATTCAATAATGTCATCTGTTTAAATAATCTAATATTAAGACATTAAGTTACTTATCCTTTATCTAATTATATTGTTTAATGCTTTCCTTAATCTATCACTACTTATCCAGTTTCATTTTCTTATTAAACTTAAGTTCGTCTATAATATCCAGAGGTTAGATCAGATAATACTTCTTTTATTTCATAAACAACCCTTGTGTATCCAGCTAATTATTATATTTCTTTGTAGCTAACAACTAATCTACCAATTGCTTTTGCCAAATTTATCAAAAGTGAACTATTACTTACATAATCTCTTGTAATGGCACTTTTATCATTTCCAATTTTTTTCAAATACTCTTCTCTATTAGGTCCAAATACAGGTAATCCCATAATTCCATATCCAGCCATAACTGCACCATATTTAACAAGAAGTCCATCAAAAATACCCATAAATAATCTGAGTTTATTCACAACTATTTAATGCTTGTTTAATTGTTAATAGGATTAATTAATTTTAAGTTTTTCCCAATTTTATCCTTATAAAAATGCTACTTCTTCTGCATGATATAACAATTGACTATGAACACTTCTGTATTCACCTTCCAATTTTTAATCAATTGCAGTTAATTTACCAAAAGCTGGGGATACTATTTTTAATAATACTCCTGAAAAGAAATACCATAAGAACACATACATAGGTCCTTAATAACCAATAGAAACAGCTAATTTTTTTGAGAACAAGAATATATCTAACACAGGTTTAGAAAAATTAGAATATATTTGAGATAATGAATTTGCCCACTTTTCTATATCTGTAGTTAATCTCTAATCAGGATTAGTAACTCGACTATCTAAATTGGAAACTTAATAAAAAATCATATTCTTGATGTATTAATCATGGAAGTATTCAGTTAATCTCCTTCTAAATCTTAATGAAAGTGATTTGTTTAAATATTCCAAATAACTATTAACAAAGCTTGCAGGCACAGCAACTAAACCTAATTAGACAATCTATGTATAACATTTTATTAATACTTTTTTAATAAACTTTTACAAATCACCATTAATAATTGTTTTAACTATTCTACCATTTAATGATGAAATATAGATACTCATCATAGTACGAATAACTAAAAATACTGTTAGCACACTCAAATCCACCACTTCCATACTTTTTATTGAAGGAATAACAATTTTCAATAGATCCAAAATTCTGTTTATAAATACTTAATCAACATTCCCTTGTCCTTGTCTTCTGGGTATCTTTCTAGGAGATGATGCCTCTTTTTTCGATTTGACAATCATTAATATTAAAACTAACAATGCTCCTGAAAGTGCCTTATTTTGAAATGATTAAGGCATAGGAATTTTGGAAAGCACATTAGGCATTAAAAATTAATTTAATTTATGATAATTATATTTAATTCGACATTATTTGACAAGTTCATTAAATAAAATAATTATCTTTCTAATACTATATTATAATATTTGTAGAGCTGTTTAATTTAAACTCAATATTTAGATAAATGTTTGATAAAGCTTGAAATATTAATAATAAATTTTACAGAGTAAAAAAATTGATTGTAAAAAATATATTTTTATATTGAAAGATTGATTTATTTTACTAATTTATTATTTATATTTATTCTCAAATATTTTATTTATTGAACCAATATTTTCCTTCTCCATCAAATTTGAGAATGTACTCATGGAATTTAAATAATGATTGTCTGTGTGATACTGTAAACAAAGTAATATTTAATGCTTTGGCTTTATTATACATGATAGCTTCAATGTCCATGCTAACAGAAGATGTACATTCATCTATTTAAGATATTAGTTATAATACCTAATATAGCATATTAAGGTTTATGATAGAATAATCTTGCCATTGCAATTCGTTGTTTTTCTCCTCCACTCAAAACATCATTCCAATCATTGGCTGCATCTAAACCTCTTTCCCTATAAACAAGATATTCTAATTAAACATCCTCTAATAATTTAATCAAATCTTAATCATTTATCTTTCTTCTTAACATTTATAATTTTGTATGAGGATAAATAATTTAGTCTCTCAAAGTTCCTGGTGGCAGATAAGGTCTTTAAGGAATATAAAATAATTTATCAATTGCAGGTCTATATAGAGTACCTCCTTAGACTGGCCATAGAGCTCCCAAAATTCTGAATAGAGATGATTTACCGCATCCATTTGGTCCACTAATAATAACATTCATTCCAGGAGTAATTTTAAATGACATCCCTTTAATAAGTGTATCCCCATTAGGAGAAATAATTGGTACATTTTCAAATTCAATAATGTCATCTGTTTAAATAATCTAATATTAAGACATTAAGTTACTTATCCTTTATCTAATTATATTGTTTAATGCTTTCCTTAATCTATTACTACTTATCCAGTTTCATTTTCTTATTAAACTTAAGTTCGTCTATAATATCCAGAGGTTAGATCAGATAATACTTCTTTTATTTCATAAACAACCCTTGTGTATCCAGCTAATTATTATATTTCTTTGTAGCTAACAACTAATCTACCAATTGCTTTTGCCAAATTAATCAAAAGTGAACTATTACTTACATAATCTCTTGTAATTGCACTTTTATCATTTCCAATTTTTTTCAAATACTCTTCTCTATTAGGTCCAAATACGGGTAATCCCATAATTCCATATCCAGCCATAACTGCACCATATTTAACAAGAAGTCCATCAAAAATACCCATAAATAATCTGAGTTTATTCACAACTATTTAATGCTTGTTTAATTGTTAATAGGATTAATTAATTTTAAGTTTTTCCCAATTTTATCCTTATAAAAATGCTACTTCTTCTGCATGATATAACAATTGACTATGAACACTTCTGTATTCACCTTCCAATTTTTAATCAATTGCAGTTAATTTACCAAATGCTGGGGATACTATTTTTAATAATACTCCTGAAAAGAAATACCATAAGAACACATACATAGGTCCTTAATAACCAATAGAAACAGCTAATTTTTTTGAGAACAAGAATATATCTAAAACAGGTTTAGAAAAATTAGAGTATATTTGAGATAATGAATTTGCCCACTTTTCTATATCTGTAGTTAATCTCTAATCAGGATTAGTAACTCGACTATCTAAATTGGAAACTTAATAAAAAATCATATTCTTGATGTATTAATCATGGAAGTATTCAGTTAATCTCCTTCTAAATCTTAATGAAAGTGATTTGTTTAAATATTCCAAATAACTATTAACAAAGCTTGCAGGCACAGCAACTAAACCTAATTAAACAATCTATGTATAACATTTTATTAATACTTTTTTAATAAACTTTTACAAATCACCATTAATAATTGTTTTAACTATTCTACCATTTAATGATGAAATATAGATACTCATCATAGTACGAATAACTAAAAATACTGTTAGCACACTCAAATCCACCACTTCCATACTTTTTATTGAAGGAATAACAATTTTCAATAGATCCAAAATTCTGTTTATAAATACTTAATCAACATTCCCTTGTCCTTGTCTTCTAGGTATCTTTCTAGGAGATGATGCCTCTTTTTTCGATTTGACAATCATTAATATTAAAACTAGCAATGCTCCTGAAAGTGCCTTATTTTGAAATGATTAAGGCATAGGAATTTTGGATAGCACATTAGGCATTAAAAATTAATTTAATTTATGATAATTATATTTAATTCGACATTATTTGACAAGTTCATTAAATAAAATATTAGTGCTCTCATAATAATAAATATTTAAGTTAGCACCAATTAATTTAAGAACAATTTCAATGGTTTCAATTATCTTTATAGTTTAAAATTATCTTTATTTATCAAATAAAACTGCTGATCAATGTTTCAGCTTGCTTGAAATGGTTGCTTTCTAACATATTCGAAAATTCCTTGTTCATTTTAAATTTATTTCTCAATCTCCTAGTAAGCCTAATTTCCAATCTTACGTTTAAGGTGAACTAATTTTTATGTATAAAACTATCTTAATCTAGGATCCATATGCGGATTACCTTTGAGGATTTCATTTGTGTTTGAGCTCTATTTTTCTTCTTATGTGCTCTGGATTAATAGGATAATTTACCACATTTTTTATTGCATTCATTGCAGGTACTTCTTTATTCCAAATTTGATCTTTTAATTGAGGGGAAGTTATCAAGATTATTAAATGTATTTTTCTACTTACAGCAAATAATTCTTTGACTTTCTTATCATCTCTTATAACTGATGAATATTGTATGTGATCGTAAGACCATGGATAGGCTTAATTATATAACAATATTTAAATAATTTCTATATACTTTGCAGAAGCTTTGCCATGCGCATAATCTGTGGCTATATATAAAGGAGTTCTATAGACAATATCCTTAGCATCAACATCAGCATTATGCTAGATTAAAATTTTTACTAAGTTTGGAAATCCCCTTTTTGCTGCCCAATGTAAACCAGTCATATGAGCATTATCAAAATCGTAAACCAAATATGGAACTTTTTGTAATAATCTAGTGACGATAGGCTCTTGATTATCTTTAATTGCTTAGAAAAATTCAATAGAATGATCCTTTGAGTATGGATGTGCACTAAATACATGATCTCTTATAACTTAAGCATGGGTTAGTTTGCATCTTTTTAATCTTCTAACATATGACATTACACAAGTCTTTAGTCTTTATCCTTTTTTATAGTTCTGAGGTTGATTCTGTGGCTAGGCTTAAGTCTAAGGTTAGGGTTATGGTTATGGCTGTGGTTGAGTTATTGGTTGAAGTCTTGGTTGAGGTAGGGATTGAGGTTGTGGTTGATCGGACAAGGGTAATGGTTGAGTCTAGGGTTATGTACGGGGTTAAGGTTGAGGCTATGTTTCAGTTTTGGACAAAGTTAAAATCTGAGTTTAAATATGAGCTAGCGGTTCTGGATGACTATTAGGCTGAGGTTAATCAGAGATGCATGGTCTTGCTTTTTGCCTTTTTGCCAAAGATGCATTATTTTTTTTCTTCTCTAATTTAATTTCGCTTTCTGATAATGACTATTATACTAATCCATGATTTTATTTAGCTATAATAGATGCAGGAATAATTTCTTCTAATATATGAAATGCTTGATTAAAACATTCCTATTTGACATTTCTATCTGGTTTAGTTTCTTTCTTCAAAGGGTTAATAATATTATAAAAATAATCAGCCTTTAAGTCTAATTTTTGACTTGACGAATTGGACCTATTAGTAACTACGTCTCCGTAATATTCAATTTTTTCTTTCTTTTTTGCAATTTATAATTTAGGTATTTTAATGTTTGAGAATTTAGGTGGAGATTATTTACTGGAACTTAAATCTACTGTTGTTTTAATAGGGCTGTGGATGTCTTCCTTCCAATCTCCTTGTCTCATAAAATATTCTGATGAATGTTCAATAATTGAACTAGAGTCATTATTTTTTTGAATAACTGGTATCGAAGTTTCATCCTTTGTCCAATAGTATACCCTTTAAGACAGAGATCTTGGAGTGGGATACTATCTGGCTAATAATTTCTAATCTAATCTTTACTTTCTTCAAATTTACTTACATCTTTATTTTCTATTTAATTTCTTTGTGATCTAGTTGCGTTGTTTTTGTATTAGTTTAAATATAGGGAAGTAATTATTCTTAGGATTCATTCTTTAAAAATTTATAATCGTATTTCATTTTCTATATTTATATTAAAAAATCAACTTTTTTTTAAATCAAAAAGACTAACTAAACTTTACTGCTATCTATTTTGTTTTTGTTTATTTTCTTCATTATTCTTAAATAATTTTGTTTCTCTAACTTTCCTAAACTATTCTTTTGTTCAGATAAGGACAGTTTATTTTGTCAAGCACATAAAATATTCAAAGATTTCATTTAAAAATAATGATACGCATAGACTATTATCATGTGATTTTATTAATTATAAATAAAAGCATATTGAGATACTTAATTGTCAAATTAACTAACTTTAGAAATATAAATTAGACACTTGAATGAAAATAAGAATTAATTTAAGAGGATAAGAGAATTAAGATTTATTTTAAACTCCTGAAAAAAAAATGACTGCCATGAAAAAGCAGTTGAATAGAAGATATATTCAATTGTGAAGCCTATATAATCAATTATTTAATCTTAGCTTTCAATTTTTTATTACATGATAAAAATAATAAATTAGATTAAATATATAGGATCCATAAAATTAAATAACTTAAATTTAATACTCTCAAATCATTATTGCTGGTGTTCAATTTAAATTCTATATTTATGATAATAAAGAGTCATTCTTTGATGTGGGTTGTTTTGAGTATAAATATTTGTATCCCTTTGTTGTTTTAAAATCTTCTAAAAAGACTTCTTAGCCTCCACATTAAGCTGCTTTGTCATAATTTAATGCAAATCTTCTAAACGTAATTCTTATTAATTATTACCTATAATACGTTTAAAGCAGTAAGTCTTGCAAATCCTTTCCGCAATGCAATACGCATTTGATACGAACAGTCAATAAACCAAATCTTAGTTGTGTAAAACATTCTTCTATATCTTCACTTTCTATATCGATTGTGAGCCCATGAAGGTATGCACATAAAGGATGAAATGCATGACGACAAGGTATTGTCTCATTACCAAAGCATGTAAATCGAAATCCTATTATAATGATTAATTAATACCCTTCAAATCACCGCAAATTGCACATTAAGGTATACTAACTTCATTATCTTTACATATTTATTTAATATCACTTTAACTACTTCTTACTTTATACACCCCTTTTTTTATGATGACTGAATTTGTTAGCAATAAACATGAAATATGATAAAATTAATTATCAATTTGTTTTTATGGTAGTCCTAATTTTTTGCAGATTGCACATTTCGCTAAATCTGAAATAATACTCCTTTTAGTTGGCCCTAATTAGTATTGTTCAAATTGACATGCATCGCAAAGGACATCTTATTCATCTAGATTTCCTAAAAAGCAATAGCAAATTTTATGGAATGCTGTTGAACATCTTCCACAATAAATAACAGGATTAAAATCTGTATAATGATAATCAAAACATATTTTGCAATCAGTATCAAAAGGTTTTGTATTTTCTTTTGAGCGCATTTTTTTCTTTTTTAACTAAGCCTTTTATGAAGATTGAGAATCTAAATTTAAACAAGGATAAAAAGTGTTAAGAATATCTTTTGATTTATCCTTATATCCATTAATAAAAGCTTTAACTATTTGCGACCATTTCAATATATCCATCATCATTTGTTATTTTTTTTTCAAGTTTTTTAAGGTTTAATAATCTTGGGTAGACTATATTTAATTGTTAATGTTTTTCCTCATTAAGTTGTTTTACTGAACAACTTCATTTAGGTCCTCTTTCAATGCATGGTATACAATGTCCAATTATTCCAGTGTCTCATTTTCTATATCAAGTTATTACTCTAAAAATTAATGTTAAAGTTTAATTTTGTCTTCCAATTTAACACATTGATCAAAATCCTCCTAATTTAATTCACAGAATTCTTGAAAAACAAGACTTTTTCCTACTAACTCCTTTTTAGCAAATTAATATTTGTACTTCATTCTCAAACATCGATAAATTCTTTGTCAAAGGGAAACTTTCTTGCGGGTATCTATATAGTCTTAGATTTGTTAGGATCTATCCTTTGGTGTTCGTTCGACCAATATAATCAGTAAAATTATATCGTATAAATCTAAAAGATTGTTTTACAATTTGAGTACTAATAGGAAGATTGTGAAGTTCGAAATACAACATTCATGGAGTCTCTATAATGATATCTTAACTATATTATTGGCTCTATCTATAAATCAAAGCTTTACCAAAATTACTCGCATCCGAGATATCTAAAAGTTCTTAATCTAAAACTTATTCATGCCATTAAAATAAATTTTCTTATTCTTCTAATTTTGTTAAGCCCATGTTTACTTCTCCTTTAAAAAACACATCATCAATCTTCTCCCACCATTTTGCAATAGCTAAATCCCTCTTTGCTTCTCGCTCTTACATTGGAAATTCTGGATCTTCTAAAGTTATTTTAGTTATCTAAGGGAAAATTTATTAGATTATTTATTCATTTTTCTGATTTTCAATTTCTATTTATTAAAATTTTTGAGGTTATTATTAAATTTATGGCTCTTACTTTAAAGGTTTCTCATAATGATGAATTTATTGTTAGAATTAATAATTTATGGTTAGCGACGGTGCTTTATCAGCTACTTCTGTCTGCACTTTATTCTCCAATTTATTAGAAAAGGTTTAATTAATCAAATCGATAGTTATTATACTTTTTGGAATCACCAAAAGACTATGAGAAATCGATTTTTTAGATTGTGACTCCTCTCCATCACTGAATTTTAAACTTTTGCTTGAAGTTCTTGATTTTTTTCTATGGGAACGGGATCTTCTATGGGAATATTTCTTTTTATGCTTATTTTTATGTTTAGATCTATTACGAGAATATGGTTCTTCATATTATTCATTCTGAACTATGTAAGAGGTATAAAGGGAATTAACCGCTTCATCTAAATCAATAACAACATTTTAGATTGAATCATGGTATGAGCAAAATATCAATAACTTAGGAGGGCGATGACCATTCTCAAGATTCTTAGATATTTAAGGGCTGTCTACGCAATCAAAGTGAAAGCTCTTTTTACATAAACTTGTAGGAATTACACATTCTAATTATACCTATATGAACAATGAACAACTTATTTATAGTTTTTTTTCCCACATATTGAGCAATGCCTCAAGTAATCCTTGTAATATAATTTTTGATTGACTGCCAAGCGATGATTCCAATCAGATTTGTAAAATAATAGGCACTTTTTATGGATATACTTGTATTCCTTTGAGGATTTGAAATGAGGAAGCAATTTCAGCAGTCCTTCTGATTTCCTTCCACACACAACACAATTTTTATATACCATTAATATTAATTATTTTATATCTCATCTTTTCATGAATTCTAAAAAATTAAAAGGTTTTGTGTTTAATTAGTAATAAATCTAATCAAATTTGGTAATATAGCATTTTAATTTTAACTTTATGCATTCATTATAAATTTAAGTAGTGAATATTATTTCATAAATCCGAAGAGTCCCTAAGGTAGAAAATTCCTAAAAGAAGTAAAAAGTTAATTAAAGTCAAAACTAATAAGTCACCTACTTTTTATTTTTTAATTATTGCACCTCTAAATATTTCAATAAAAATTGAAAGACTTAAATTAAAATCTATTAAGTTATTTAAATTGAATGAATATTTCATAATTTATATTTTCAGTCTCGCCTACATATTAAGAGAACCTTATAAATATTTTAGTTATGTATTACAATTTCTAAGTCTCTCTGAAATAAACTACATCATTAACTAGCTTATTTGTAATTATATTAGTCACAAATAAATATTTTTTCTTCATTTTAACTAACATACTTAAGCCTATATATAAAGTATCTTTGAGAATATTATTCATCGAATATAACTTCAATTTTTTTTTGAATAATTTTCATGTACTAAAGAGTTCAAGTTGTTGCATTAAGAATATTAGGTATTTTTAAATAATCAAATAATGCTCTTTAAAATTGAGATTAATTGAAATGTCATTATGCTCAAATTAACTATTACTAAATTTAATTTGACCATTAGATGTATTTGAGAATTTGATAAGAAATAAATGGATGGGTATAATCTTAATGTAGTCCTAACTTTATAATGAACTTATTAATTTTAGGAGTCACTAGATGACCAGGATTCTTTTATTTATTAAAGTTATAATCAATAATAAAAAACAATAAAAATTCTAGATTAAAAATTAATTACTGTAATATTGTCAGTATTTCAATGACCACCAGTCACCTTCTTTTTCTTTATATAATGCTATGTAGATATAATGTTTTTTTTCGTATATTTTTGATTTCTCAGGAACTATTTTCTCTCTAGTCCTAGGAATTTTTAAAGCATATTCAACTAACTCATTCACGTTGATATTAAACTCAAATCCATCATTTTAGAATTAAGCATTCATAGCTATAATAGGCGTGTCTTTGATTTCTGGATAATCATTTCTATCTATTAATATTCTAGAACATTAGATAGAAAATTACTTCATCCACATTCCATCATTCATAAATTTATATTTTATGATGCTTTTAACTTGTTTTTCAGGTTGTTTGATTCTTTCTTGAATTAATTAAGGAGAACCTCCAGATGTAATTAATTATTGAGCATTTAAGATTTTTTATGCTTCTTCAGATAGAGGTAATCCAGAATTATAATACTAGAAATAAATTACTAAGTATTACAGAGGTATTTTTATGAAGATCTTATGATTATTGAACAATGTTTTATTCGTATTCAATTTCCATTAAAAATATTTATGAATCAAATTATTCTCATTTTTATTATTTATACAATTCATTACCAAAATAAATGAAAATAATAATTATCAACAATTGTAATATCTATTAAAATGTTGGAACATTTTTTAATTCAACTAAATCATAAATGTGTAATATTTTTAATGAAAATGATTATCAATTGGAAATATAAAGCGAACCTATAAATTAGGATAAAATGCTACAGTTAAGAAGGAAGGCTATCAACATTCGTCTTTCAAAAAAATATACAAGATCACCCACAATTAAAAAAGTATCATCTTAATTAAGGATGATAACTTAATTGTTTATGTTGAATAAAATAATTAAAATTTTAGCAGTAAAATAAGGTTTGTTTTGAAAAAAAACTTAAAAGAAAAAAAATAAAATATCTTGAGATTCATTTTACTGTTTTAAAGCATGTTTTATGATTTGATAATTAAAAATAGAAAGAAAAATAGTATATTCGGATGACTATTTTATATTGATTTGCCCAAATATAAATCAATTTTCACCATCTGCTTTTTACTATTATTATTAATTTTGACTCTATAATTTTTTCTGATTATTAAGTTCTAAGATTTCTGCTCTTAATTTATCTTTTTCTTTTTCAATATTTTCTATTTATTATTTTAAATCTGCATTCTTGGTTATATTGAGATAAATATACTTTTTATGCTATTTCTACTGTTAATAAATTAGCTTTATCAGCTCTCTACTAATTTAAAATACTTTTTTCTTCATCCTCCTTGACTTTAAAAGCTAATTTTAAGAACTCCACGGTTAAATTCTGAAAAGTGCTTGTTGATTTCTCAAAAGTCTCAACAAATTCATTTTGTTTTCCTTTGTATACTTATAATTTCATTTTTTTATCATTTAACTACTTTTATGCATCTTATATTAATTATTTTTCTTGCATTGCCTTTTGAGCATCCCCTTACATTTTTTCAAATTATTCCATGTACTTCTTGGTATCATTCTTTTGTTCCTCTTCATTCAATTTAACTTTCTCCCAGAAATCCTTCTCCTTTTGTTCATATTATGCAATTAAGGCTTGCATTTCTTCACGAATTCTATTATATAAGAAAACATATTTACTTTAAGTTTTCTTCAGCGAATTTTTAGGCATCAGTATCTTCTTATTGAATCTTATCTTTTACATCTTTTACATCTTCATAAAATTTATCTTTCATTGATTTTCTATTAGCTTCTTCTATTTCCGGCAATTTTTTAATAGTCTCATTTATTTTTTTCGCATTAAAATCAATCTCTTAGCAATTTTGTTTTAATTTTATTAATTTATCTTATAATTGTGGATATTCCTTATGTAATAATTATTCTTTCTCTTGAGTTTCTTCCTTTGCTCTTTTTCTTTAAATATATTCATCCTATTGCAATACTAATGAAAATTCAAGCTAAACTCATTATTCTATTATATACAAATTGATTTCCTAATTATTTTAATTATTCAATTGACAGATCTTCATTCAAATTTTTTATTAATTCTTTATACGATTCCTCTAAAGCATAGAATTAATAATACCTGCTTTAGTGAAATCAATGTTATCTACTACTTTTTCTGATAATTATGCAATTTTCTAAGCCAAGAGGTCTTACATTATTCAAAATTTAAATTTAATATTAATATTATCATTTCTTACTTTGAGGTTTTGTTTAATAAACCTTTTTATTCTAGATACCTTATAAATTTAATATAATTAGATCAAAATCAACTAGTATATCCAACTTATTTAAGGCATAGAAGTTCTTATTTTTTTTATGATTGTCTAGGTTTTTTGGGTCAAATTTAAACAATTGAAAAAAAATGATTTTTAATGCCTTTAAAATCATCAATAATTAATTATACAGATAATATAGTAATAAATGAATCAACTTATTACTAATCTTAGGATTTCTACTTTTAAATTGCTTAATAGAAAAGAATATTTTTCTCCTTTAATTCTTCCTTTATTGTTTATACTAGATATCAAATGAATATGTTACTTCCTTTAATCAAATTCATAATTGCTATAAATATAAAACGACAAGGTAAATCTCTATATATGTTTCTTAGTCATCTATTTTTGTAAATTAAATGAAGGATTAAAGTTCTTATATGATTATCAGAATACTTAAATAATATTTATTACATAGATAATCTTATGATTTGATTTTCAACTTCATTTCGAATAAGTATATCTTAAAATGTGACATATTCCCATTTATCCATATTAATTAGCATTTTATCAACAAAATCAAAAAGGTGACCCAGGCTTTAAATATCAATTTCAATCATTTGTTTAAGTAGTTTATTAATTCTTAAATAAAATAAGAGAGTTACTTTGAATTTATTATTCGGCTTATTATAATTTTATTAATAAAATTACTAAAGAATATTTCTAATTCGTTAAATAATTTTTCTCAGAATCTTAATTTTTAGCTTAGAATAGTGCTTAGTTATTTATTTAATCTTGAGTCTTAACTCTTCGGAATATCTACTCTATCGAAATTAAAGTGAGTTTATTAGAGTAGTTAAATTTCTTTGTTAACTTATTTGGATTAATAGATAATTCTATGCGATTCAATTAGAAAGCTGAATCAAATAGTGCAGAAAAAAACTACTTTTTCTTTTTTTTCTTATTCCATAAATTATTTTAAATATATATATCAAAATCTTGTTTTAGTTTTTGGTTCTACTTTTTCAAATTCTTTCAGTTTGAATTATGGTTGCTATGATTTGTTTAAAGATTTTGTTAAGCTTTAGTAAGCTAATTTACTTGCCTTAGTATGTTTTGTTGCTGTCGAAGGTCTTTTATTTTATTATTGTTTATATTTTGTTATTGCATCATATTTCTTATCCATTAATTGTTCTGCTTCATTCATATAACTGCCACTTAACACATTCTTCATTGGAGATTAAGGTAAATAGGGTTTGCCATAACGAAAGTTTTCGTCAGGTAAATTCATTTCAATTTAACTGCATCCTCTTCTTCTAAAGACTCTTGCATCGTTACTTTACCTGAACAGATAAAATTGTTTCTGATCATGCAACTTGCTTGAAATACACATTTTATTTAATTTCATAAAATCTCTATCAGGTGGATTTTATTCACTGTTATTATGATAATACCAAGTTGATGTTACTAGAGTGAAATAACATATTACCTTGTGATGCCCCTTCAGTGTCGTGAACAATTGCTTTGCCAAAATAAATATCATTAGGAATGGTGTAGATTGATTACTTTGCTGCTCCAACTGAGTCTTTTAACAATAACGAATTCGCTCTATTTTTGTTCCAAGGTTTCATAAAATTAATGATAATATTAAAATTAATTATAACTAATATATCTGATGATTAGAAAATATTTATAATTTAAAACTATGATCAGATCACAGCAAAAATTCTTGATTTAGAAAATATAAGAGATATATATATTTAAAAACTAACATAAACAATACTTTTAGGCACTAGCCCATCAAAATGATTTCTATTAACGAAGTTCTTCCATTCCTTAACTTACATTGAAGGAAGATCCAATTACTTACTAGGAAAACTAGCTTACTCTTTCTGCTTATCCTTATCTAATAGGTTTGCCTTCTAACTTGATTCTTGTGATGAAATACACCATGGGCTCACTTTCAACAAATTCTTAAACACTAAATATTTGATTTAAATATCTCTATAATTATTCTTGTCTATCTTAGATCTGTTAAGGATTATCAATAGTCTATCCTATCAATCTTCTTTTTGGAAATTGAGGCAGACAATTTTTGAATTAATATTTTTCTAACAAATTATGGCAATCCCTAAGGTTGCTGTATCTGGTTTCAAATTGATATTTAGTTGTCTTCTTAGTGTCTGTTAAAATGATGTGATATTGAACAAAATCTTTTTGAATTGTAAACTCGTTTATTGTAAAATGATATCTCTGATAATACCCAGAATTGTTGTTTCCTTTTTGCTTATTTTTTTTATTTGATTGGAACAGCTCTTGCCTTTGTAGAAATGATTTCTTCAGCTCATCCATCTGCAACCAGCACAAGTCTTTTGAATATTCAGTGTTGATTTATTCTAATCTACATGTTTCCTCCATAAGTTGCACTTTAGGCAAGTATTCTCGTATAAATTGAAATGACCATATGGTTGGCATATTGAGAATGGCTTCTAAATATTACTGCAATTCTTAGGCCTAAGAATTTAAGAATTTAATTACTCTATTCTTAACATCACTTTGGGAATTTTTGGTTCTCCCAAATATTTTCTTTTTTGGAAATCTTGGAAGTGTTAAATTCAGCTTGAATTCATTATTTTTTTATTATAGTAGTTCGTTCAAAGCGTTTAAATCAGAATATCTCTTGTAGACACTCTTAAAGCCTTTTTAACAATTGATTTGGAAGTTATAATAGATCACATCATTTCTAGTTTCATAATCATTTATTGCCACTGCATATCTCATCATTATATCTTGGTTATTGATTATAAATAATAATTATAATTAAAGTCATAATAGGTTATAATTACAATAATTATGAGAGTTTATTAAATTAATGAATTTAAGATATATTTGATAGTAGCAAGCCTATAATCAATTAACTTGTTGTCCTAAACAAATATAATACTAATTATAATAATAGCTTATAAAATCAAATATTTATCTAGCTTAGCAATTGTTAGGCTTCTTAAAATGTAATGTTTTAACTTGCTAGTACTAATGGCCTGTTCTGTTCACCAGATCTTAAAAACATATATAAATTATATAAATTAACCAACAACCTGACATTGCCTTTTTAAACGTGATAGAAATTCTGATTTATATTAATTAAATATATACTGGATTTAATTACTTCAGCTAATCAGCAAGTAGATTAATACTGAATATCAATTACGACATACAAAATTTTAAGAGATCGCTTTTTACCATCTAGAAGATATTTGGCTGTTTCTACTACTATACAATCACTGTTATCTAATTGTATTCATTCTCTAGAACATCTTTATAGTTTACCTTGCTCTTGTTTTGTATAGTAAAGTATTAATCCAGTGAGGGCATAGGTCAACAATTCATTATCCTGGATCTCTTGTCTCACCGATTTCACAAATAAACAAATATTCAATGTCTGCTCCTTAAATTAGAACGGCTACTTATCATAGGACAAAGATTTAGTTCGTTAATGGAACGATGATGTCATATTGTTTTCTTTCTCAACAATTAATATCTGTAATTTCTCTATGGATATTCTTTTCTAAGGGTCTATGGCCAACATATTTGATATTATTGCTTGCATCTTAGGACTGATTTCCTTATTGAATTATATAGGATTGTTGAGATAACAAAGTAGAAGTTCCTTCTCATTCTATGCTTTAAAAGGAGTATAACCATGAATTAATTAATAGAGTGTGATTCCAAGTGACCAAATATCTGATTAATAGGTATGCTGATTATTTGTTAGGGTTTCTGGCGACATGTACAGAGGACTTCCGAAATTAAATTGGTAATTTGAATTTTCTTTAATTGCGAATCCGAAATCGGCTAGTTTGAAACAATTCTATGAAATAAAGATATTCGATGGTTTAATATCATTATGTATTATTTCTAAATAACGAGTTTCTATTACTTTATTTCTTCAACGTCAATAAGGCATTACACATTTAATTCAAAAAATTCAACGCTTGCACTTCATTAAACTATTTATTTTTATTCATTTGATCTATGAAGTATTTTCTAAAATATACCTTCTAAACTCCCATATTAGCATAATTCTGTTATGATGAATGTATACGAAGAGTTCTTTATAATTTCAAACAATTTGATGATGTTTTAACAATTTAAAGTTTACAAAATTTCTATTTCCGTTCCTAATAACTTGATCTAGGGTTCACTCATTTATTAATGATTTATCACTTTTATAGCATAAAATTAATTATTTTCCTACGATTGTGCCCTATAAACTTTACATGAATAGCCTTAACCTATTGGTTCACATATTTTGTATTTTCCAATCATAAATTTACTAAAATTTTAGTTAAATAGAATTTCTTAATTACATTAATTTTAATTTATGAAGAGCAAATTTATCTTCAATAGTGATCCCCAACAAATATGAGAATATTCAGATGTACAATTATAAATAATGAAAACTATAAATGCATTTCGAAATAGAATTAATTATATAATAAATATTAATGCTCTATTCTCAACTTGTCCAAGTGAAGAATGTAAATTAGAAAGTAAATGAATTATTTCTGTCATTCTTATGATTTACTTGACCCAAACTCAAATACTTTTGATATATATTTGTTTAAAACTTATTTATTCACATACTCACTTCTGAATTATATTCAAAGATAAGATTAGAACAAGGACAACTATAATTGCAATAAAAAGTCAATAAGTAAATATATTTGCCATTCCTTCAGATATAAATTTGAATTGCATAAAAGTAAAAGAAAATATTGAATCTCCCCTTTAAAATATAAATTAGTCGATATTTAAAAATACAAAATAACTCAACACCCTTCAATCTTTTTATTCATAATTAAATTATAGGATATGTATTTAGCATTATTTTTCATTTAAATATATTCAATTTCTAGTACATAATAGATTTTTATTATTATAATTATTATGTTATTCGATTTATGAGTTAATTTTGATTTTAATATAATGAAACATAGATACTCCATTACAATAAGGTTTTAAAATATAATTGAAAAATGTGAATAAAATGTATGTTTGTTTAATTAAATCTAAATTTCATCAAAACTACCTAAGAGAAATTCAGAAATTTTAAGGAGCATATTTATATTTATTAAAATTATTAAAATAACTCAAGCTTTGTTTAATTATTTAAGTTCTTCCATTTTACTTGGAAATGAGACATATTCAAATTTACATCCTGGATGCAGTTTATTAAGGACTTCTTCGTAATTGCCAAAATCATCTATCAATCCTAATTATTTTGCTTATTCTCCATTATAAACTTCAGCCTTAAATACATTTTAATCAACTATATTCTTTCTGTAGGATTTAACATGATCAATAAACATTTAATGTGTATATTCCAATTTATCTACCCATTATGTAGCACCTTATGGATTAAATTCTGAAAATGCACTGTTTACTACTTCATGTATTTAGTCATTTGAAGATAAGAATTTTGCTTCAATTCCTAACTTTTCTAAAGCTTTTTTAATTCCATGCCATTAACTAATCACTCCAACACTCCCAACTAATGAACTTTGATCAGCAAATACTTTATCACCAATACAAAGTACAAAATAGCCTCCAGATGCAGCAACATCTTCAGCAAATGTATAAATAGGTATGTTATGCTTTTATTTGAATAGGTTCAATTTTTGACATATAATGTCACTTTACACTGGTAAGCCTCCTGGAGAATTTATAAGGACTGCCAAAGCACATAGATTTTTAGATTTGATTTTATCCAATTGATCTTATATTTTATCTCCGGACTTCTATTTAATGACTCCACTTAAACGTATGATTGGAATTCTAGGTTTCGTAAATAATTTTAATAGTGTCTGCATGCTTATTAGGATTTATGATATAAATATATATATATTAAAATATTAAAATTGATCATTTCATCCATGGCTTACTTGGATTACCGGTATTGGAGAATCCTGGGAGATCATTAAGGTAGTTAATTGTTGGGACAGGGTTTGATAATTGTTATTATAAAGGTTATTGCTCTTAATTCGATGTGTTTTCTTCACTATGATTCCAGAAATCATTTTATTGTATAGGTAATTGAGATGTGTCAACTTGATTATCTAATTATTATTATTGTTCTGCTTCTTCGATTTCTTATTACTTTAATGCAACTTCAATTTCTTATTTTTCTTTGATTTTCTTCTTCATATGTGCCAACAACGCACCAATCAATAGAATGACTGCATATTTAATTTAAGAATACCAACTAACAAAAGCAATCGTATTGCAATTATCCATTACTTACCAATTTGAGTACTAGTGTTTACTACTGATTTACCTATCTATGTCATAGTCAATTCCCCTTTAAGAAATTGCTTGATTCGGAGCAATGTTAACAGTTTATTAATTGAAGTGACAGCTCCCGATTTAAAGAATTCCAATAATTTCTTAGTTTTCTCCATCAACATTGAACCAAATATGCACAATTGAACAGCTGAAAATGAGATTCCCATTAAAGATTAGATGCCCTTTATAAAATGATTACACTATTTACTTAAACTACACTTTAGTAATCATTTCTAAGGCCGTTTTGCTATTGAGGTTGTTAGCCTCTGTTATTCATGGTCATTCGAGGGTTCATGTAATTATTATACATAATAATTTTATTATATTGTAATCATTTATTTTATTTTACTAAATCATCTATTGAAAAGTATAAACCCAGAACTCCAGCACTCACTCCCATAAACATAACAAGCGAAGCTTCAATCCATTCAAAGATCCTCAGGCTGGATTTGAAATATAGCAAATACAGAGTTATTGGATAAATGAATTGCAGGAATGTTCCAAACACCATTCCGATTAAATTAAGAAAAGTATTGAAACTTGGAATGATATAGGCTATCACGTATAAAATGGACGTAACAATTAGTCTTTCAACAATCCATATGATCTTCGTGTCTCTTATTTTTAATCTGTTTTCAATTATAGTAAATGCAGGATATATTTGAACTGGATAAGTGAATAAAATTGATATGGCATATAAAAACTACAAAGCAAATGCCCAGATTTTATCTTTGGGCAAATTAAAAACAATAATTTATTGTAATTATGAACCCAAAGCTATGCAATTGATTATTATGAAAGAAATGTACATAAACAAACATGTTAACGAACTGCTCAAAAATACAAATGGGAATTTCTTTTGATCTTTCATTGAATATCTTACAGGGAGTGTTGTACATATCCCTTCATAGGCAAACATGGCAACCCCAATAAATTTAAACATACCCGATGCATTGAATGCGACAACATCCTCAGCTTTTCCAAACTAGGATATAGAAATTCCTGAAATTGCAACCAAAACAAAGACTGCAATAAAAAATCCTGCTGTACTAGTTTTATGGAAGAAATGCAAATCCCTGATCAAAGATAAGGGAATGATCACCAATAACGATATGATTACACTAACATAATTGGGGAGGTTTGATAGTGCTAACTAGCACATTTGTTGAAAAAATATTATATATGCAATACAAGCAAATAACTAAAATAACATTTGATATATATACTTACTAACCTGATAAAAAGACATCCAAGATTGAAGCTGAGATTGGTCCCATATATTACTTCACGATTTTGGTATAATAATGAATATCTGATTCTTCAGCCACTTTTATTAACATTAAACTGGTTCTGATTGTTCCATAGGATAGAATCAGGAGCAATATACTTGCCAAAGCATAGCCACACTCATTTGCAGAATAAGGTAAATCCAATATTGCTATTCCCACCAGACTCTTGATAAAATTGAAGAAGGCTTGACTGCTATTGGATAATTCTTTGCTGTTATGTGAATGTTCGGGATCTTCTGGATTGCTTGCGAAACTCTCTTCCATATTTTATATTTATTTTAATTAATAATCTATATGCTTAATTCTTTATTTCTGAGCATTATAATGAAATAATATAAAAAATTTAATTGAAAGTAGAAGGATGGAAAGAGAGAGTCGTTCGAGAGATGATAGTAAAGGTAGACAGGCTCCTTTTTATAGGGAATCTCTCTATCGAAGTTCGTCTTCAGTAAGCAGCTAGTTTAAGGTTTCGTCTGGCCCTATGTTGTTCAAAGGTACAGAGAATTCGAGTGTGCAGAAAAATGCTCAACCCTAATTTGAGGAAGATGCAGATGGGTTTAAGAAGCCCCCTGCACGTTCAGAGAAGTTGGAAGAGGAAAGGAAACGCAATAAATTACTTAATGAATACACAGCATTTGAATGGGAAAACATAGAATAAGAATCAGATAGGAAATGGTACGATTATGATGAAGATGATATTGGTAATGCTTCCTAGTAAGATTGGGGAGGTGAAGTTTTTAAAGGTTAAAAAGAGGAATTTAAATTTGAGGAATATAGTAAACGCAAAGGTTAAACTGTAAGACAATCAGAAAAGAATTAAGAATAAAATAGATGGGAACTCAATCGTATGATTGCATCAGATGTTTTCAAGAGAAAAGCAGATGCTTATGATTTTTATGAAGAAGAGAATGAAAAAAGAGTTGTCATACATGTACATGATATTAAACCTCCTTTTTTGGATGGGAAAGTTGTCTATACAACTTAATTGACATAAGTCTAAATTGTCAAGGATCCTAATTCAGACATGGCTAAGTTGGCAAAACAAGGTTCAGAAGTCTTAATGTTAATGAGAGAGAAATAGGATAAAACTAAAATGAGGGAGAGATTTTGGGAATTAAGTGGATCAAAAATGGGAAAGGTAATGAACTTAGATAGAAAAAAAGAAATGGATCCAGACAGACATCTATTGAATGAGGATGGAGATTATGATTTCAAAGCATCTTCTAGATATTAAACAGCTCTATAAAGAGTCACTTAAGGTCAAAGTGATTTTGCTAGAAATAAAACAATCAAAGAACAAAGAGAATACTTACCAGTATTTCACTGTAGATCTGAATTAGTTCAATTGTTACATGATAACAGAGTTTGTATTATTGTAGGAGAAACTGGATCAGGTAAAACTACTTAATTGACATAATATTTATATGAAGAAGGCTATACTAATACTGGTGTTATCGGATGTACTTAACCAAGGAGAGTGGCAGCAGTATCAGTGGCTAAAAGAGTAGCTGAAGAAATGGGAGTAGAATTAGGTAGTAAAGTAGGATATGCCATTCGTTTTGAAGATTATACTAGTAAAGATACTGTTATCAAATATATGACAGATGGAGTCTTATTAAGAGAATCTTTGTAAGATCCTGATCTTGAGAAATACTCTGCTGTGATTATGGATGAAGCACATGAGAGATCATTGAATACAGATGTTCTATTCGGAATTCTTAAGAAGGTGGCATAAAGGAGAAGAGACATTAGAATTGTAATCACATCTGCAACAATGAATGCCAAGAAATTCAGTGATTTCTTCGGAGGAGTGCCCATCTATAAAATACCTGGTAGAACTTTTCCAGTTGATGTCAGATTCGAAAAAGCACCTGCCTAAGATTATGTGAGAAGTGCAATCAAGAAAACCATTGAAGTTCATATTCAATAACCTCCTGGAGATGTATTGATATTTATGACAGGACAGGAAGATATTGAAACTACTTGTTATTTATTAGCCGAGGAACTCAATAAATTAAGTGAAGCTACTCCTCCACTCTTAATATTACCAATATATTCATAATTAAGATCTGAAGAATAGGCAAGGATTTTTGAAAAAAGTGAATTTAGAAAATGCATTGTGGCAACTAATATAGCAGAGACATCTCTAACTTTGGATGGTGTAAAATATGTGATTGACACAGGATATTGTAAAATGAAAGTGTATAATCCCAGAATTGGTATGGATGCTTTATAAGTCACACCAATTTCCTAGGCTAATGCAGATTAAAGAAAAGGTAGAGCTGGACGTACGGGACCTGGTATTTGTTTTAGATTGTATTCCTCATTAAATTATAGATAAGATATGTTGGAAAATAATATTCCTGAAATATAAAGAACTAATTTGGCTAATGTTGTTTTGTTATTGAAATCATTAAATATCAACAATATCTTTTAGATTTTGATTTTATGGATCCTCCTCCTTAAGATACTATTTTAAATGCTATGTATCAATTGTGGGTGTTGGGAGCATTAGATAATGTAGGTGAATTAACAGAGCTTGGTAGGAAGATGAGTGAATTTCCATTGGATCCACCATTGTCAAAAATGTTAATCAAAGGAGATTAATTAGGATGCACTGAAGAAATCCTAACTGTAGTTAGTATGTTGAGTGTTCCAGGCATATTTTATAGACCTAAAGATAGAGAAGCAGAAAGTGATGCTGCTAGAGAGAAGTTGTTTGTCGGAGAAAGTGATCATTTGACTATGTTAAATGTATTTGAGTAATGGAAAAGACATGAATTTTCACCTGAATGGTGTAATGAACATTTTGTTTAAGCAAAGAGTATGAGAAAAGTTAGAGAAGTGAGAGCCTAATTAAAGGATATTGCTGGTAAATTAGGATTAAAAATGAGTACTTGTAATTTCTCTTATGATGTTGTAAGAAAGGCTATATGTTCAGCATATTTTTAGAATGCTGCCAAAATTAAAGGTGTCGGAGATTATATAAATTTACGTACAGGTATGCCATGTAAACTACATCCTTCAAGTGCTTTATATTCTCTAGGTTATGCTCCAGATTATGTTGTTTATCATGAGTTGGTTATGACATCTAAAGAATACATGCATTGTGTGAGTGCTGTTGATCCTTAATGGTTGGCTGAGATGGGTCCCATGTTTTTTAGTATCAAAGAAGATGGTGAGACTAGAGCTTCTCGTATTGAGAGTGAAAAAAAGAGTAAGAGAGAAATTGAGTTGTCCATTGAAAAAGCTAAGAGAGAACATGAAATGAAGAGTGAAGAGTGTCTGAGAAGGAGAGAGAAAGAGGATAGAGAGAGGAGATTAATTAGTGAACGTACAGCTACTTTGGGATTCAAACCAAGTAGAATACAAACACCATTAAGGCAATAAACTTCATCAGTCGCAGCCACTCCTTTAAGAAGTGAATGTGAATCTGTTATCTCTGGAATGACAAGCATCTAAGCTAAATAAATGAGGATGGCATATTATGATGATGAAGAAGAGTAAGATGTTGGTAGAAACAAAATACCCAAAGTAGAATGATTATTTAAATGAGTTCTATTTATAAAAGTTATTTGTTCTTATTGAATTTCTGTTCAAAAAAATAATTAAAATTTGGGATTATTTAATTATAAAATATGTACCTCACTTTTAAAATTTTATTAATAAATAATGGAAAATAATCTTGATCAGACAGCTTCCTTCTTTCACAATCCCAAACTCAAAATACCAAAATTGAAATGCACTTATGAAGTTATTTGCTCTCCTGATCTCGAGATTCCTACTTTTAGTAGAAAAGACGACTCATACTAATAAAAATCATTATTCAAGCAATGTCAAAGAAGAAACAGCCAAAATAACCTTACTCATAACAATCTACAAAATATATTCCATTAAATATCCTTAAAAAAGGCGAATTCTGACTCTAAACCTAATCCCAAAGTCCCACCACTGAAGATACAGTAAAAAACCCTACTTTCCAAAGTTTCAGACTAAAAATCAACAAGTCAACATTCCACAACTATATTGAGGGGAAGGGGGAGCATCAAAATACTCCAAAACCCTTTCATCACAGACTCTCGCCATTCTCAAAAATCGACTTGTACTTCAGGAAGTCAACCTCCACAACCAAAAGGAAAACCATTTTTATAAAGGAAAGCTTAAATACAAATGGTGAATAGAGTTTTCTCTTCGATGTCGTAGCATAAATGAATTTAATTAAATTTTTGTCTCAAAAATTCGTATTATATTCATTCTCTTAGATTATGGAAGCACAAATGATACAGCAAACAAGACTCGATATGATTTGACTGTTTTTCTAACTAAAATTAATACAATTATAAAAAAGCCTATAGTGATCATTTAAGTTATAAAATTAAATTCTCTCCTTATGGTATTAAAATTATTAACTACATATTTAAAAACCACCAATATGCTCTACAATGATATTAATCTAAGAAAGAATTTATTCAAAAATTTAATATTTTTGAATCTCCAATATTGATTTGATAACATTAAAATATTGAAATGTTTTATCAGATATAAAGTGATTACTTATCTAACTCAGATAAATTATTCTAGTTATGAAAATTAAACCAAAAATAAATGAGATGATTTTATTTAATATTTTATCTAACGAATTATGGATCATTTTGAGAGAATTCGAAAAATTGGTAAAGGTAATTTTGGTGATGTTCTTTTGGTATCAAGAAAAAGTGATGGAAAAGTAAGTTAGATCTTTCTATCGAAAGCAATTTGCACTTAAAAGAGTGGATTTAAGTATGAGGGAAAGCTTTGTAGTTGACCCTCTCAATGAAGTTAAGGTTCTCAAATCGTTAGACCATATGAACATCATTAAACACTACGATTCGTTTGTCCACAATAATAAACTGTGTATTCTAATGGAATATGCCGAGAATGGTAAACTTTTGAAAAATAATCCAAGCTGATCTCAGTTTAAAAATCAAAGAGGCTAAACATAATAATCAATTCATTCAAGAACCTACAGTTCTGTATTTCATTTATGCATTATTATAGATTCTTGCCTGGTTAACCTAATTGGCAGTAGCGCTCAATTACCTCCATTCTCAAAAGATACTTCATAGAGACATCAAAGTACAAAACATATTCCTTTGCAATGATGGAATTGTAAGATAATTTGAATATCCTAGGTGAAATTGGGTGATTTCGGCATCTCTAGAACCTTAGAAAACACGTCTGAATTGGCACAAACCTCAATAGGTATTAATTGCAAGAAACGAATAATTTAGGTACACCGTTTTATCTCTCTCCTGAATTGTGTCAGAACCAGTCATATAATCATAAGATTGACATTTGGATGTTGGGATGTACCATTTATGAATTGTGCACACTACAAAAACCATTTACTGCTGAATCAATCAATGTAATATAATCTATATTAAATAAAGGCTTTGGCCACCAAAATTATTAACGAATAACATACAAAAATCTCTGATCACTATTCAGATTTTCTATCAAATCTTATTGATGAAATGCTACAGAAATAACCAGAAAAAAGGCCAGAAATTTCAAAAATACTGTCATTTCCATAAATTCAAACAGAATTATAAAAACTATCTCAAATCTATCAACCTAATTATATTACTCATTAGAATTATGGATTTTCATCCAGTAAAAAGAGCAACAGAATGCAACAGAATTCAATACACTTCTTAGTTGAAAAATCAAAATAATAATAAGGGTAATCCCCAATCTGTTCAAGAAGGAGCTAGTCTAAACTCAACACTCCTTATTAGGGCTATAAAACAGACATTGTTGATTAAAACAGTCCACATTTTAAATTAAATGGAAAACAATTAGTTTCCAATTTACATACTCTTCCTGACTACATCGATGATTAACAAAAGACCTAAACCCCGATTTCCACTCAAAGAACAGAATCCAATGAAATCAATTCGAAATAGCTAAAATATTAAAAGTCTATTTCGATTAATACTCAAATTGATGATAATAATAATAAAAGAAATCAAGAAATGGAAAGCTAACCTACTCTATTAAAAAACCAAAAATCATTCACTTTTGTTGATATCTTTTTCAATCCTAATACTCCTACATCCCCTAATAGATCTTTATTATTAACTGACTTCCTTAAACGAAAATTGGGAAATGAAAAGTTTTATTAAATGAAAATAGTATTTTTATTGAATTAATCTTTTTAGTTACTTGAGTAAAACAATGATCCAATTAAATTGCTAGATTAAGAACAGGGTTTAGTGTAAGACATCATAGGAGAACAAAATATGGATTGCGTTAGAGTAACATATAAATAAATCAATAGATTTTTAAACTATTAATCAGTTGTTCTATAACTCCTTAAGCAAGTCATGGTAGAGCAAAAAGTGCTTAGGTTTTTACCCATGAAAAACAGGAAACCTTAATGGATATCATAAAGGCGTCTGATTTTTAACCTTAAAATTCCATAGGCTCTAATCCAGGATTAGAAATTTCATTTAAAAATCTCTAACATTTCACTGAGGAATAATAATAGGCTCTATAGCAAATAAAGGAAATGAGTTTATGACCAACTAAAAGTTTCTTTGTATTTTTATTAAAAATTCTTCTAGTTGTTTCAACATCTTTATCACTCACCAATTTATAATTAAACTTGAATTTTCAAAGATAACGAGATCAATCTTTAATAAAACCTTTTTCTCATTTCATCAAAATAAAACTGATTTATTAATTTTATTAAGTGATAAACTTTAATTAAAAATAAGCTATGAAATTTAACATTATTTTATTATAAAGATTTTTTGTAATATTGATGTTAAATGTCTTAGCTGAAATAAGATGTCTATTGTTTTTATGATTAAGGCTTACAATTATTTATTTTTCAGTTATATAATTAATTATATCAATTAAAATTGTATGTTGATATATTTTAATTTTCCTTCTTAATATTAAATAATTATGAATAACTTCATTTTCTCTTCCTTTATTATTTTAATCGCCAATAAATCATAATAAACATAATCCTGATATTGCAAGATATCGATTATTATCTGAATTTCTTAATGACAAGAGATATATGCTTCAAATCAATAAGTATTTTTGGTAGGTAATATATACCCATATAGAGTTGAAATCCATCTTTTTCATTTGATTTGAGTAGCTGAATACAAATGTAATTGTTTTAGCTTTTAATTTAATGGAATAAGTAATAATTCAAAAAATTTTCAAGAATGTAAGTGCAAGTTCAGAATTAATTTCATTGGATCACTATAGATGTTGTTAATTTATTTCAAAAAATACAAATTAATTTATATTACGTAATCAAATCGTTATTCCCTACTTATCATTATCCGATCATGCAACAGAAGAAATAAAAAAAGTATGTCTCAATATAGAATTTAGATAATCAAGAAGTCCTTAAAGGAATCCGTTAACAACGAATACCTCTCTTATTTGTAATACAACCAATATCTCAGCAAATAAAATTGTTAAAAAGAGAGGAGCATCAGCAACAATACCAACTGATTCATATCGAATTGAGAGGAGAGATTAAGTTGAAAAGCGTAAGGTTTCTAAAACATACAAATTAACGAATTAAGAAAAAAATAATTTTGTAAGAAAAGAATCAAAGTTAAAGGAAATTTAGAGAAGATAGGAGATAGGACTGGATTTTTTAAACAAAATTCCCAAAAAAAAAATTTAACTGCTTCTACAAAGTATAACTTCACTATTAGTGTGTAGGATAGAAAACTTAAGGATTATCACATATTGAAAAGGACATACCTAAAAAGGCTTAAAGTACTTAAAATAATAGATTACATTTAAAGTAGAAAAATTAATTACATCAGTAGCAAAAATAAAACGAATAAATGAATAGAAAGAAGGAGACTAAAAAATAATTGCAAAATAGTAGAAATATTTTGAAAAGTAAAACTATTTTAAATTATAGAAAGTTCATCTTAATAAAAATGTAAAAAAAGAAGTATAACTTCGATAACTCAAAAGAAGGAATTCACACAGAGAAATTCTAGTTTAAAAAATAAAAATGAGATAATAACTTAACTCGCTGGTTATGAAGGAGAATTGCTGGAAAAATATAAAAAGTTATAAGCTCGATATTCTAAAATATATTAAGCATTTTTTGATGAGAGTAGTTGCGTATAGTATTTAACAGATACAGATCCTTATTTGTTGCCTTCTTAACCAACCTCGAATAAATAACAATAGGGTTTAACTGAAGAGTTCTCGTTGAATAGAGATGAGAAAATTTAACTTAAAGAGTTTGGCATTCTCGAAAATAAATTTAATAGAATGCATTCGGCAGCAACTAAAATCTAGAAGGTTTGGCGAGGATACATCACCAGAAAATTGATTTTGGATTAGTAATTCGAATAATACTATTACAAATAACCAGAAGTTTTTAATGAGGAAACATTCAGAAGTCAATTTCGATTCGAAAAAGATAGTTAATCTATACAATAAGGAAGAGAACAAACCTTAAATTAGCTTACTCATTAGACTGATATTAATTTCATATTAGATTTGGAGTCTGAAAAGAAGGAGAAGGAAGAACTTAAAAGAAGTCCTAAAATCTCTGGTAAATTCGTTAGGTATCAAAAATTGAAGTGGCAAGAACTAATCAACTATATTTCTGAGTTAGAGAGTCAAGTTTAGGAGAAAACTATTAATGAAGTTCTTTAAGATTTGAAACTATTCACACAGTAATGTTCTTAAGATTGCTCACTTACCAAATTTTAAATAAAGAAATTAGAGATCTAAGTTCCTCAATTTTCATAAGAATCCATGGTCATGAGTGAAATAAGATAAGCCATGTGTTCTGAAAAGTTAATGAGATAAATCCTTACATCATCAATAAAGTAAGAGAACGAATCGATTTTTGAAGAATAACCGTTTCAATAATTCGCCTCTAAAAAAATTGATGAAATTCTGAATAGAAACTAAATGGATGAATTAATAAAGATGAGATAGTTAATTGTGCAAGAACGATAGAAATCATAACATTAGGCTTTGACCAAAGAATTTGAACAAAAATTAATATCACCAAATACCTTTGAGGAAAGATACCAAACTTTAGAAAAATGGGTCACTAAATAATATGATGAAATTGAAAATAATAAAATCGATTTTGAAAAAGGATGGTAAGGATTATATGATACCTTTATTTAAACTGAAAAAGAACTTAGATTTTTGCAGCAATAGAAGTATTCATAACTTTCTCAGATTTCCTATTCTCAACAGTTTATAAATTATTCAATTTCAGCCTTTTCGGATTCAGCCTAAAGTAATAAAATGAATTCTATTTATCGATACAAAAACTCTTTATAGGAACTATCAAATTAAAATGAAACTCTTTTATATAATAATCTTAATGAAGATTTTGAGAATAAACGTTTAAAAACTCATACTTCTACTTCTTAAACTCCTGATGAAAAGCTTAGATTTCAGCATTTGAAGAATTACCATGAAACTATAGAATGGAATGATGAATAATTATTGACTAGTCAATAGTTTCTATCAAACCAATAAGTTAAAGAGTCAAAAATAAATAATGCTATTAAGAACGCTCCCTAAAAAAGCTTGGAGTAGGCTGAGATAGATTACCTTCACTAGGAAGTATGACTTATTTACAATGATAGGTTTAAAATGAGGAATTGAGTTGGGTTAATTATAACGAATTCAAATTTTATGTACTCATGGATATCTCTAATTTAGTTTTTAATGAATTAATAGAGGAATTTACAGAGGAATGTATATAGCAATAATTTTGAAACAAACTTGTCATTATATAATATTCATAATCATTTAGTAAATGTTATTAGAAAAAATTTAATAACAATATTAATGCATATTTTATATTTTTTTACTTTTCTTCAATCCATTCTTTCTATTTAGATACCACTTTCTAAATTCAAGGTCTTGAAATCAATGGACGCCTTTAAATTGTCAAATTATTAAAATGTGTAGTACTATGGCCCAATTCAAATGGGAACTCCAAATTAGTAATTAAGTGTAATATTTGATACAGGATCCCCATACCTTTGGGTTCCTAGTGATAAATGCACACTTTCAAAATGTCACCTGAGTAAAAGATTTTATACTTCAAAATCATCGACATACAAGAACTATTCATAACCAGATGAAATCTCATATGCCTCAGGAAGTTGCAAGGGATTTTGGGGTTCAGATTATGTGTAATTATTGGGAGATAGTAACACAAGAGCATAAATTAATATTTTATTCGCTTACTATGATTCTGGATTCGATTCAGTATAATCTGATGGTTTATTGGGTTTAAGCAATGAGAAAGAGATAGACAATATATTCGATTTAGCATATAAAGAAGGTAAATTAAAATCGAATCTTTTTGCCATGGAACTTAAAAGTACAGATGAACAATCACTTTTTTACTACGATGAAATTCCGAACGAAATTATGAATAATGTGGAATGGGTCAGAGTTTTGCGAAATGACTATTGGGTATTAAATTTAATTAGAATAGACAGTGAAGGTCTTATCTATTGAGGTTAATGGGTATTTTATTAAAACAGGGAAATATAAAGAAGCACTAATTGATTCAGGAACTTCACTTTTGTACCTTCCTTAGAAAGTTGTATTATCAATATTTGAGGAATTAATTTTAAGCAATTGCAGATTATTAGATGGCAATATGTTTTGTCCTTGTTCGATTCCCAAAAGTGAAGTTGACAATTATCCTAAAATAAAAGTGTTTTTGGAAGGGATTATTCTAGAATTAGATATAACTGATTACATGATACTCGACTTCTCATTTTAAGGATTGTGTTATATAGGAATTGAGGTAGAATCTTAAATGAATCTTATGATCTTTGGTGATATTGTCATGAGGAAATATGTCATAGTGTTCGACAAGCAGAATAATAAGATTGGATTTAAGGGGTATACTAATAATTTCTATATTAGAGTTGAGAAATTGACAAATATCAAAACGACTGCCATCTTTTGGATTGAAATCATTGGATTCGGAATCATCACCATCAGTTGTTTATTATTATAGATGAAGTTAATGAAGTTATGAATAATTAATATTATTATTATAAATGCACGAATCTCTTAAGCAATATCTGCCTAAAGATTACAAAAGGAGAGCCTATTATACTCCTTACGATGTCTCAGTCCATAATACAGCCAATGACTTGTGGGTAAGCTTTTTCGGGAAGGTTTGGGATCTTACATAACTTGTCTAAGAAAATATTTCATCGAAACTATGCGAACCATTAATCAAAATAGCTGGAAGTGATATATCTTATTGGTTCGATAAATAAACTGGAGAACCCAGAAAGTAAGGAATTTTCATGATTATTTTGAATAGATAAGTAGATATCAATACAGGGTTGATAACCTATTATTGTCCATAGGGCAGATATTTGCACATTCCATCATCTGATCCTTGTGGAGATGATGAGCTTGGGGATCATTCAAAACCGTAATAAATTATCATTGATTATTTCAAGATGGTGGAACAACGAATAACAATATTGTATTGGCAATTTGAGTCACAAAACAAGAAAGGTGAAAATAATCAATATGCTTACAGATCACGAAGACATTATTGAAGTATTTTTAATATCAACTCAACTTTAAGGTGCCATCTGAAGAAACTATAAATGAAATTCTTGATAGGTATAAGTAGATCAATGCACATGCTGCCAGTTATACTTGGAAGAGATTGGGAAAACCTTTGGATATGGAATTAACTTTGAGTGCCAATGGAATACCTGATGAAACTGATGAATTTGAATAATTAGGAGTCCCTGAAAGTTAGTGGTATATACCAGCAATTCATCTATATTTTAATGATGATTTAACAGTCGCTTGATATGAATCATTATTATATATTATTATATATGATTAAGCGTAATCTTAAATGGAAAATTAATTCCTAAAGAGACAGTAGTAAAAACAAACCAAAATCAATTAGTATTGAATCTTCCCCTCGAAACCCAATATACCTAATTCGGAGAGAAGTCAAATCTAAAAATTCATAATTAAAAAGTAATTTGACAACTTATACCAAATATGTCTTCCATTCTAATTATATCAGCCCAGTGAGTTCTCCAAACACATCCAAAATCATTAGATCAGATGAATAACAGATAGGTTAGCCAAACAATATTTGCAATTAAGAGAGAAAACATTCATTGAGTACCCTTTCAACAGAAAATCGGAGTTTTAAAAATAAATTCACTACAAATAATCGCCAATTTTAAACAGAATCTGTATAATTCTTAACCCAACAATTGACAGAATAAAATTAGGATATTCATGTTGATAATTAAATATAATAAAACATAGATATTGATATTGAATGTTCTCATCTTGATATTTAACTAAGGAGAATTTCGTAAATTTGCTTATTTGATGATAAGAAGAAGAAAAAATTAAAATAAAACATGCAAAATTTTGAATTCAAAGACCATAAAAAAGCTAATTCATCAATTGATTAAGTAATTAAATTAGTAAGAACAATAAAATAGCCATCATATCGATATGAAGCATAATAGAGATCTTCTAAAATATGGTTAGAGAATGTGTGTTTTGAACCATTAGAATTAAAATAAAACTACACAGATACTTAAAGTTAATTTAAGTTTTATTTTAGTCAGTATTTTGATAAAAATTTAAAATTGCATAGAATAATCGAGATTAATAATTAGCTTTTACAAGTGATGAATGATAATCAATAAATTATCTAAGATATTTAAGAATAGAGAAAAGCTTTCTTTTTAAATAAAATTTAAAAGGCTGAAAATTTATTCAGGTTTTACCATGATATATAAACATTTGGAATGTATAATATAAATTTAATATTAGCTAGGTTAAACTTTTTAAATGAAGATTCTCAATTAAGTATTACATCCAATCATAATAACTCATAAATAAATTAAATAAAAGAAGTTGGTGATGATTAATCAGATTAGTTAGAATAAACATAAAATTAATTAATTTCAAAAAAAGTAATTTTCATTCCTCCAAAATTTAATATAAATTTAAAAATACATCAGTTTAAAATCACTTTCATTATTTCAGAATTGGATTTAAAATCCAAAAATAACCTATTATCAGTTGATTACACAACTATGGATTAATAAATATATATGGATAACATTAACAAAATTGTACCAACTTTTCAAGAAGAGTTTACAAATCCAATATTTTTTAAAGATTACTCGCAACATTACAATCAAATTTATAAAGATATATTAAATGGTAATTTTTGCAATATTAACCCTATTGATGATTTAGAATTTGAAGCTCCAAATCTTGAAATGATTGAAAATGGAAACAATGACAAAATAAATGGAATTGACAAGAGAAAAATTCTTATTTCTTTAAAAAAGCAAAAGAATTGGTAAAGCGGAAATTTAAAAAAATAAAATCAAGAAGTAATTGATGGATTACATTCATAAAGAGCTAGTGTATAAGTAGTTCCCAATAAACAAGGACAAGAGAATGTTGCTGGATCACCTTTGCTTCCATAAATAAACATTTTATAGAATTTAAAATAATCACCCAGAAAAAAAAGTTTCAGTAGGTCGATTCATTCTAAAAATATTGGAGATAATATCTTATCAATTTAAAAAGCAGATTCTTAATTCAAGAATCAAATTGATACATCTAAATTAATAAAATAGTAATGTCTAAATCTCAACAATAATTCACTAAACAATTATCAGACAATAATTTATTATAATAAAAAACTATAAAGAAAGAGGAGTCAGGTAGAGATCTTACAATGGTATCATCTATTAAAGTAGATTCTATTTAATAAGATTCTATTTCAGATTCAATTCAGTCGAATAAGCAATAAATAAATTTATAAAATGTAAATTTTAATTTAAAACCAAGAAAAATGCAAATCCTTAGAGTGTTAAATTAGAAACCCTATTACTATATGATTAGATGATAAAAACAAATAGATCTAAAAAAAAGATTGTAAAAAATTTAATTGAACACGGATTGTTAGATTAATTTTAAGAGTTTATGGATGTTCATAAAAATTTCAATTTAAATGGTCTTACAGAAGATGGAATTCCATTTATTTCCCTTGCAGCAGCCAATGGAAATAAAGGTATTGTTAGACATATGTTAAATTTTAATGTTAATTTAAATTAAATTGATGTAAGATCGATTGTCTATATAATTTTAGAAACATTTCAATACTCCACTCCAATATGCTATGTTCCATAAAAATTTTGATGTAGCTGATCTACTTTTACAAAATGGGGCCAACCCTTCTATGAAACTTTGAGGATATTGATTGTGTTAATGTATACTATTTTTATAACATGGAAATAAAATTAAAAATAAAGATAACGTTAATCAACAATAAGGACAGTAGTGTTTTTTGAGAGGTTTAAGTTGTCTTCCATATTTTCTTTATTTCTGAGAGTTGGTAATCCAAAAAAAATTACACATTTGATTTAGACAATTCTGAATTTGTAGTTAATAAGTAATACATTTTAGTTATTATTCATACATTTAATTAACCAAATGCTCTATACCTCTTATTTTAAGCTGTCTCACTTACTCTGGACATAATTTCATCCCACAAAAACAAGAAAAATGGGACTAGGTATCTGAGAGTTATTCTTTAAATAGATCAAGGATACACTTTTCATGAAACATATGCTAACCAGTATCACAATGGATTATGATTTTATTCTGAAAATTGAATTTTTTACATCTAAAGCAGTCCTAGTCCTTATTATAACTTATGCTCACACTTCTTTCAAATTTTAGATTGCAGGGACTCTAATCAAGAGTTTTAAGACGACGATTACAGCTTTTTCTTGGAGAGAATGAACTTTTATTTATATTTGCAAAGGCTCTGATCTAGAAATCTAATTCTTTCATTATCCTATTTTGTAAATGAATAGGGACCACATTTTTATGAACAAGAACATCCCTAATAAATTACATTTTTTCACATCTCCAATTAGAGTGAAAATTCATTATAATTAATAAAATTAAATATTAATTGCTTTAAGATCAATCCCATTTTTAATAGGTTAAAACTATTAACTTTATGAGATTATCAATATTAACTATATTAATATCAGATATATTAAATAATAAACGATTTTATTATAACAATTAATAATTATTTTACATTGAATCATCATTGTTTTAATTCTCCACAATCTGCTATAACAATACTAACTTTTGGTTTATCCTACTCTGTTTCAATTTTCTCAATTACATCAAGCAATTCAATACCCTTAGTTATTTTACCGAACACAACATGTTTACCTATAATTTACATTTATTTCTTTACCATCAAGCCAAGGAGTGTCCTTAAAAAGAATGAAAAATTGACTTCCATTTGTATTTGCACCAGCATTGGCCATACTCAAATACCCTCTTCCAGTGTGTTTATGAGTAAAGTTCTCATCTGCAAATTTCTCTCCATAAATACTTTCACCACCAGTACCATCTTAAATATAATAAAAATTCATACTTCCTTAAGTGAAATCTCCTCCTTAAATCATGAAATCTTTAATCAATCTATGAAATTTGCAACCCTTATAATGCAGATTCTTTCCTGATTTGCCAACACCTTTCTCTCCTGTACAAAGAGCTCTAAAATTCTCGACTGTTTTTAGGACAAGATTTCTTGAATAGAGTAAATTCCATTCTTTTTGGTTCATCATCTCCAATTTTAATATCAAAGTATGTAGTTACATCGCTAGGATCACTTTCTTCTAAAGAAGTAGGTTTAGCCTCTTCTTCATAGTATGATTATTAAAATAATCTTCCATAAATGTCTTTCTCCTTTTTTTTGGATAGATTTATCTTGTTTTGAACCTCGTGCATCTCCTCAATAACAGCTTAATTATTTGGGTCAATAGCATAAGCTGCCTTCAAGTCCCCTTTTGCCTCATTATAATCGCCCAAACTACTATGTGCTATTGCTCTTCTATAATAAGCCTTAACTAATTAGGCATGGTTAGGTTTATCATTGATAACTTTAGATGCATGATCCAGAGATTCTTTGTAGTCCTTTGTATAATAATAGCAAAGACTAAGGTTTAAATGAGAAGCCAATTTTTGTTCATGAGCAAATTCTGTCTCTGCCTCAAAATAGCTGGCAGCCTCAAGATATTATTTAATGGCTTCAGGATAGTTCTTTTCCTTAAAAGCAGTTGTTCCCAATTCTTTAAATTTCTTAGCCTCAGTTGTTTTTTCTTCATCACTCAATTCCCTAATAATGTTGTAATCACTTATACCATTTCTACTTTTATTTCTCCTTGAAATCAACCAATTAGACATCAAAAATAAGAGTAGCCCCTCCTGGTATTTTGGGAGGACTTCCTTATTTTCCATATCCATAATCAGATTTAATTTTTAATTGCGCCTTTTCGCCCTTCTTCATTGATGCAACACCAACATCCCAACCTTTAATGACCTCTCCTTCGCCTAAAGTGAAACTAAAGGGATCCTTTCCTTCATTTGAATCGAACACTGTTCCATCCTCTAATTTTCCAGTATAGAACATCTTTGATAAATATTTTTGTTACCTCGCATACATTACCTTATTAAGGCAAATCCCCTTATCCTTCCTGAAGAGTTAACTTTTAAATTCCTCCATCTTCGTTTAAACTAATGTATCCAGCCATTTCTATTAGAAATTTCTAGAAAAATAATTATTAAAATGATCAAAGAGTATAATAATTTGATTTTTTCATGAATAAGAATTATATTCTCTTTGATGTATTATTTGCAGAAAATAAAATCTATTTAATAGTTCCATTATTAAAGCTGTTGTTTTAAATTATTACTCTGATTCAGATGAAAAATAACCAAGATGTTTTAATATTCTACTTTTTACATAAAAATGATATAAATTAATTTAACTTATTATGTATCCAATTGAATATTTATCAAATTGCTTCATACTCTCATATTACCGTTGTTATTCAAACTAAACTAATACCTTCTTTTTTTATTTTTTACTTAAGAAGCTGGTAAACTTAACCATCAATTCTTCAATATGATTCAAAATGGAGTGATGCAATACAGTATTATGGTTATAAAGATAACTAATTATCAATTAAACTATATTTATATTTAAGGGTTTGTACTTATTAAATTTATTTTTCAAGACTATTTTAATATATAAAATATATAAAAAAGCAAATTAATAATGAACAAACCAGGAATTGGACTGATATCACTTCACATAGTTTTTATAGAGAAATCTTTTGGTGATAGTGACGAAGGAAATTCTACTTTAGAATATTCTGAGAAATCTATATTGGACAATAATGTTCGATTTGCTGATGAAATTTTAATTTGTTTTTTTCATCAATCAGATAAGGTAACACAAATTAATGAGGGAAAAAAGAAAACTATCAAAGAAAATCTAAAATGAAAGATACTCGAATAATGAATTTATAATATTCTTTATATTCTACTCTTATTGACAATCTTTATTGACAAAGCAATGAAATTTAATATTTCACATTAACAAGATCTTTCTTCTCTCATCATCATTCATTTAATTCCATTCATTCGCATTGATTCGAATTTCCTTTAAATCATATTTTTTAGAGGCCCCTTCAAGAATCCATTTATTAAAATAATGAAAACCAGTGTAATGTTTCTTGATTAAGAAAATTATGTACCATATCATATGTAACATATAATGAATTATCTATCGATATGATGTGATTTCTCATTTAAATATAGAAATCAACATACTGGTTGTCAAAGTAATAATTTACTTTATACTCGATCTAAGATTTATCAAGATATTGCATAAGGCTTTTGATTGATTAATTTAATTTTTAATTAGGAATTAATTTTGTATTAACTATTTTTTTTCCATTTTCAATAATTTATTTTGCCAACTACTGTTGCTTCTAATTTAATTCTTAAATAATATATATGATACATTCTTACATAAATCTAAATGCATACTAAATTCTAGGAGATTGTAGATATCCATAAACTGACGAAAAATGACTGGCATCTTAGTATTCGTAGGGAGATTTGGAAATTTGGACACTCTAAATATTATTATTAGATACATACTCATTCATTAGATTGACAATCAATTTTTCATATTTAACAAAATAATTCTTTTTCTATTATTTCTTTAAGTATTATAAACTAATCAGTACACTCCATAGAGTCTAAACATATGCCATAGGATTCACTGAAAGTCTCTATTCAATTTATATCTTATCTAAAATAGTCAATATTAATGACTCATTAAAGTATCCAATTTTGGCATAAGAGTTAAGAATATCTATCAATTCAAAACCACTATAAAATTACACTTTCCTTGAGATTTGCTTGCTCAATCCATCAAATAATGATTCAACATAGACTCTTTATTCAGATAGATTTTGTAGAATTTCTACAATTTAGATTTATTTTACATTGTCTATTTGTCTTTTAATGAATTCAGTTAGGATTTAAATAGTGTCATCATTATTAAGTTTGATTTTCTTTGAAAATTCAATGTATTCCAAACAAATAGGAATTGAAGGTATCTCATGATTCCTTATATTATGACATTTTAATAGCATTTTCTTAAACACATTTTCATAGTTTCTAATAAATTGATATTTTGAATCAAACTATCCTATAGTCTTCAGAATAGCTTTCAACCCTGGTCTCATATTATTCATGGTTAATAGGTGATCGATATTATTAAATTATAATTCGATAAAGTCTTTTAAGCCATCTTCTTCATATTTTAAATTATTGAATCTCCAACCATCATATTCCATCAAAATCATCAAACCATCTATATAATGTTCTTGTTATTTTGTTAAATCCAATTTTATGATCTCCTATTTCAATTGATCTATCATTAAATTTAATTAGACTTCATCTTGTTTCTATTGTAATCTTGCTTAATTTTTGATTTAAAAGAATAGCAATTTTGTTTTAATTAAAATAGCATAATAAGTATCCATCTTCACTGCAATAGCTGAATTCAAAAAATTACTCATAGTAGGAGTAATCTGAAATTGATTGACATTAATTTCAGTGATTATAGTTGCTACTTATAATTTCTCTAAGTCGCTCAAGCTTCCAATTTATTTGCAAAGTTATTAACAGATATTACTTATTATATTTGTTCTTAATTCTAATTATTAAAGCAATTGATGAAATTTTATTAGCAATTCTATGTTGATTTCAATCTTCTGTTGAGTGTAATTAGCTAGTTTAGTAAATAATTCTATTAATTCTCTAATTGATTGTAAGACAGTCCCTCTCATATTATGAAGTGAATGATAAGGACAATTAATAATGAGTGTAAACAACAGATTTAACGATACATTAATATTAAAAGATTTTACAACACAATTTCTCTCAGTTAAAGTGATAAAACTTTTGGCTATTTGTTTCACCAATTTATCATTTGCGAAATCAATATTGGTGATTTCATTTATGATTTTTTGTAATTGATCAAAGGTAGGAAGAAGTTGTTCAGTTCTTGTTCTCACTTCCTAATTAAAATGATATTTGCTATTTAATCTCATAAAGAAAATATAGAAATAGGAGTCTGGTAGTGATTCTAATTTGATGTGTTTATTAATAAATTCATAGAAAGGATCATCCTAATAGGGATCTAAAGTAAGTATTAAGGATGCAATTTTTAGTTATAGTTCATAATCTTGATTTCCTACTTACTTGAAAAAAGATTTAACACATTCTTTGATATTTTTTTTTTGTTGATTAAATCTGCAATTCTCAATATATTTATGACAATAATGCATAGATTCAATGATTTTGAAAAGTAAAGTGTCATTGAGTTAATTTAGTTCAAAAATTTCATTTAATCTATTTTACTTTATGATTACCTTTATGCAGTCAGCTTTTTATTTTATACTTAAAGAGTTATAGTTCCTTTTTAGAGTTTTTATACACAAACTGATGATGTTTTAGTATTAATCTTCAAATTCAACATCGAGAAATTTTATCAGAAAGGCAGTCTCAATAATATTTTCAAAATTAATCTTACTTATTAGCATTTGAAGAACTTCAGTTGATGGTTTATTTTTTTGTTTCTGAATCTTTAAAAGGACATATAACTTCAATTGATTGGCATTAGTTAAATTATCTGATTCGAAGGATTATAATAATTTTAGAAATAACTCATTGGGGAATGATTCTGGAAGTTCAGAGTATGCTTCTAAGAGTTTCAGTTTTGAATACTATGAGATTTTATCAAAGTTTTCAATGAACTTTTCTTTGAGTATGTAAATAACTTCTGGCAGTCTTTTGTAAAATGAAGTCTAATCAAAGTGCATTCTTGCTAGTTAATTAAATACGGCCACTAAACCATGAAAATTTATATTGTCTATAAGGTTAATTAATTAGTGACAAGCTAAGTAAGCCAAATCTGAATGTTAAGTTGATTTGAAAGTGCTATATTCAATATAGCAACCCCTAATTATTTAACATAATGAATGAGCAGTGAAAGCCTGTGTTGGCAAGCACTGTGTTAATATTTTACCAATGTGTGCCATTTTCCATCCTTGTTTAGAGTAAAATGAAAATACATAGGGCAATTACAGATATGTATAGTTTTTCAAGTTCTAATCTATGTGTCTCTTGATTTTAATGCTATAGGATTTAGTTTACAATTTCAAAAATAGTTAAATGACTGTAACACATTGTTCTGAATTCAATTTCTCAAAATTAGGTATGATTGTTTCTTATACAAAAGCATCTAATTAACTATCATGTAGATAATGCTTATCTGTAACAATGTTCATCAATTAAAATGCTGCAAAATGAACCTATTCGTATGATAAATTATTATCTTTGAAAGCCTTAATAACTTCCTCGGTTGTTTATGCATTTACAAAATGTTAATACACCTCAAATTTACTGAGAAGAGTCTTAGACTCATAGTCAATTTCTCCATCAGAGAGATACTCCTATTCCTTATAAGCTGATTGTTATGAGAAGCATGCTATGCTCCTTTTAAATAATCTTAAAGGGAGCTTGGATGTGAATAGAAATTTTAGCATAAATAAAATTTTATATAAAAAATATTTAAGTAACTAAGAAAATAATGGTAATAGTTCCTGTCATAGTAATTAAATAGATTTTCCATATTCATGTAAAATAAAATTGACTTAACAAAGCAAATATATAAATAGCATCAGATTTTATTCATAATAATTTGAATAAATTCTTCTTCCGATATTTTACCATCTTTATCTTCATCGCACTCCTCCAAAAACTCATTCCATAATATATCATCCACTCCTTCCATAACCTATTGAAATTCATCCTTGGAAATGAAATTGTTTCCATCCTAACATTAAAGTATATTAATACCATGTCAAGAATCTTAAAGGCTTGTTTTATCTTTTCTTCAGTTAACATCCTTTGTTGTTACAGACAGACAATGATGAACTCTGTGTAGTCAATTTTACCAGATAAATTGGTGTCTATCTGTTTAATAACCTTATCCATTTGTTCCTCCAATGACTCTACAAAGTAATCTTTATTCAAGAGTTTCTCTTAAAATGCCATAACAAGTTCTTCTTTAGAAACAGTTCCATCTCCATTTTAATCTAGTTCTTTAAACTTCTTTTGAATATCTTCTACCTCATTTTATTGTATCATCTAACATGCCATGAATGTAAGCAACGATTATTTTAATTTACTTTTGGCACTGAATTATGAAAGGTTCTTTAAAAACTGTTGATCAACTAAATTTGTTTAGTTGTGCTCTTGCATCCATGGATCGTTTAATGCATCTTAGGCACTGATTCTTTCGTCTACATTTTTACTAAGCATTTTTAAAATCAATTGCTTTGCAGGTTCACTAACTCTAGACCATTCTGCAGCTAGAAATTGTGAGAATAAAAAGATACTATGAAATGAAACTTGAGCTCTGACTATTTTTTGGTAAATGTCTAGTTCTTTTTTTCCATAGAATGGAGGATATCCTGCTAATAGAATAAATAGGATCACTCCACATGACCACACATCACATTTCTCATTATATTATTTTAGGAGAACTTCAGGTGCAATATAATAAGGCTATGCTTAAATTTTGTATTAATACAGTTCCTAATCTTTTGGTCATTTTTTTATTTGATTCGAATCTTCTTGAAGTGCCAAAATCAATAATTTTGAGTTGTGCATCTTCATCTTTGGATGTAAATACAATATTCTCAGGTTTCAAATCCCTATGAACAATCTTTTTGGTGTGACAATAAGCAACACCACTCAGAATCTATCTCATTATATGAGCTGCATCCTTTTCACTGAAGGTTTTAGCCCTCTAGATTCTATCGAAAAGCTCCCCTCCTTAAAGATACCTAATTCATCATAACCATTAATACTCAGTCACAAGATAATAATACTTTTCATCCTAAAACAACTCACACAACTTAACTATATTCGGATGATCAAGATCTTTTAAAATATTCATTTCTTAAAATAATTTTTATTCTTCCTCTTCAAATAAACTATCTTTCCTTATTGCTTTCATGGCTCTGATCATTCCTAATTCTAGCATTGAATCAATTACCTGTTCTTTTGTTGGTTACTGTCGATACTTGACCATAGGCCCCTCAAATATAAAATAAACAATACCCTCTCCTAAAGCCTTCCCAAGCGAATAAACACTATAAATATCTTAGCGTTTCATGGGTATGAATAGATCCGGACTGACTTTCAGCAATGTTATTTTTTCTGGAAAAGCACAAATTTGAAAATAAATTACTTGCAGCTTGACACGAATATTTCTTATCCGTTGAGTTGAAATCTATGGGTCTGGTCTCAATTTGAGTTTCATTACCTTATTACAACAATTAAGATACTATAAGTAACTTCCTAAGCACAACAATAGCTTCCCATTTTTAATAAAAAATAGGTAAAGATGTAAATTAAAAAAAAAATTGAATATATATGTTTATTTTGGATGTCTACTAATAAGTAAGAAAGAGGACATCCATTAACAAGAATAATATTAATCTTGTATTCAAAATTTCTGATGCTTTGATTTAAAACAAACAAATTTGGAAATCACAACAACTTGCTAGCAGTTATTATGAAAAATAATAAGATTGAGAAGAATTAAAAATGAAATTACATTTAAAAATCAGAAACTTATATAGAATCACTTATTGATGACCATTTAGAGATTTGATATTTCTCCTATTAATATTTTCAATTTATATAATATCTTTAATTCTTTATTCGTTCATATCTAATAAAATGGAAAAATATTTCGTTATTTTAGTAATAAATAGAATGCATTTCTCATTTTGTAATTAAGTTATAAATGAAACAGAATGACATTGTCGTTATTGTTCAATTCAATAATATCATTTATTTAATTATAGTATAACATGGAATTTTAGGGAAATCATTGTAACTTCAATATTACAGATTTCTAATAGACTTTTGATATTAAGAAAAGTAAATAATACTCTAAATTTAGATTGGGAATAAGTTTTCTAAATTAACTCATTATGGAATTTATAATCAGTTATTTATAGAATTGTTGAATTATTATAATTGCCAACTTTATCATCTAAATAAGCAATAAACTAGATAAATTTCTATCTCAGTCTTACACAATCATTAATTATCTAGTTTAATTATAAAGATATATGAAATTATTTGCAATAATATAGATGAGCTTGAAGATGGAGCAATTAATCAATATAGTGTTGTAATATGGTTTATATTTGGTGAAACTATTTATATGGTAATAGATTTTGAAGTAAATTAAAAAGAATTAAGGATTTTTTAAATTCCGTCACATTTCTGATAAGAGAATTCAAATGTGTCTTTATAATATCTTGGATACCGAAAGAGTAGCGAATTTTATTCTAGAAATCAGATTTACGTCTATATAAGGTATTGATAATATCAGAAATTTTGGATTTAATAGAAGATATTTATAATCTATTATTAAGTAAATACAAAAGTGAATTAATTTAAAATTTATTTAAATCTTCAAATTAGTTTATTTGATATCATAATAATTCTCTTTATAACTCAAAATTCCTTCTTTGAGTGAATTTGATAGATATCGTACGGAGATTTAAATTAAAACTTTTCTTTTCATCATTGATAAAACTTGTTTATATGTCATATGTAGGTTGAGTTTGAATGATTTAATCGTCTATTTTGAGATTTCCATGAGAAGAAGTTCCTATATTGCTCGTATTCTGTTATATTTATGGATATTATTAACAATTAATTTTAAATTGATTTCCAGATTAATTTAAATCACTTTCCATAATTTATTTTTTCATTGCAAAAGTTTGGGCATATTAATTAATCTCATCAAAATTGGGAAGGAAGGACTAATACATCTCTTTTATTTTTGGTTCTACATTTTTTAAATTACTTGCATCTAATTTGAAATAGAATAAAAAAAATTAATTGAATTCTTCTGATTGCTTCAAGTTCAACATCTAAGAGGCATATATAATACTTTCTATATAAGTCATTAATCCTTAGACGCTGTCAGTTTCGCCTTGACATGCAATAATTTTATAGGCTTAATCTTTTAATACTTAACAATAGGCAATAATGAAATTAACAGTATCAAGATACTTCTTTTGTTAACACAATTTAGAAAATAGGAGAAACTCTTAATCTTTATTCCTGTTGTCATACTTCATTAACTACTACAATTGGTCCTCAAATTAACTAGTTTTAGATAGATCTTCATTCTTTCTTAGCATTGCGTATTATTTGAGCTATGATAGGGAATGACAGTTACTTTTTCAATTTTGATCTTGATTTCTGATTCTGTTATTCTTTTTTACTGTATTATAACCTTTGGTTAGTGACATCCCATGGAAACAATTAAATTTAATTAAAATACAAATTTTTACAATTATCCTTTGATTATTTTTAATTAAAACAGTATATTTGCCACAATATTAAAATGTATAATAGTATATTAGTTTTAGGAAGTTCTTGAGTGACAAAGAAAAGTAAATATTGCTTTAATATGTAGCGGAAAAAAGAAGACAAAGAAAAATCAGAACTAAAAGATGGAGTAGGAGGGGAATCGCGAGGAAATTATTTATCATGTATTTATTTGATTTTTACATTAGAATCTATATTTCCCATATAACAAAGTGCATTGTGACAACTGTGAAAAAGATATAACAAAATAAGCGCGAATTCTATGCAACGACTGTCCAAATGCGATAGATATTTGCATGAATTGCTTTTTAAACCTCCAAGAATTTGGTATGATAATTAGTAATGTTTCAGAATCTCACGTAATCAGCCATTCTTACTCTATAATAAACAAATTGAATTTTCCCATATTTGTAGAGGATTGGACAGCTGAAGAAGAATTATTATTGTTGGAAGGATTGGAGAAGAAGGGATTTGGTAATTGGCAAGACATAGCTGAAATGCTTGGCGGAGAAAAAGCACAGGAAGAAATAGCACAACATTATGATGATATTATTTTGAGTGGGGAATTTAGAAAGGTTTGTTTTTATAAAATTTATATATTTTCAGATGCCACTATTATCCAAAAGAAACCAAGATACTCTTGAGTTAATTAAACCAAAAAGAGCACAAACAGCTCCAAAAAGAATAAAGGAAGAACAGAATATAACCAAAACTGGTCGTTTAACACCCAACATGTCTTCTTAGAGTGGTTAGGAAATAGTAGGATTTATGCCCAAAAGAGGAGACTTTGACATCGAATTCGATAATGATGCAGAACTATTGTTGGCAGAAATGGAATTCAATGATGATGACAAGCCATTTGAAATCGATATGAAATTAAAAGTTCTTGATATTTACAATATAAGATTGGATGAGAGAATCAAAAGAAAGAAGTTCGTTATTGAAAGAGACTTGCTCAATTTAAAGAAACAGAATATCTAAGATAAATCTAGATCAAAAGAGGAGAAGGAATTACATAACTTAATGAAACCATTTGCAAGATTCAATAAACCAGAAGATCACGAAAGATTAGTGTAGAATCTAATCAAAGAAAAGCAACTTAGAGCTAAGATCGAGGAGTTGAGATACTATAGGAAATTAGGCATGAAGACTTTTGAAGAGGTTGAGGAGTATCTGGCTGAAAAGAGGAAGAGAGATGAACAGTATCAAAGGAGATAAAAACAAAATGATTCATTTGTTTATGACTCATAAAAATAAAGGTTTATGCAAAGAAGAACCAGGTTCATTCCTTTGATGGAGGGAAGGGATAAACATAAATCAGGTCCATCTTTTTGTGAAGAGGAATACTAATTGTGTCAAAAATTAGGACTAACCGAATAAGAATATTTGATACTCAAAGAGGTACTTGTGAGGGAATCAGTCAAAAATGGAATCATCAAGAAAGATTAGGCACTACAAAACTTCAAGTTAGACAAAGAACGTGTCACAGGAGTTTTTGATTACTTGGTTGTTAAGGGTTTAATACATGAGAAAGAATGAATTATAAATTAATCAATAATATTATTATCAAAAAAAGTTGTGGATTAAAAACTTAGGTTTTTTACATTTATAATTATTATATACAATTTATGCATAGTCTTAATAGCGTGCATCTAGACAATCTTAATACAGTTGGCTAATAAGATACATCCATGTGCAAGAACATTCCTGTAAATAATGAATGTGACTCATCATCAATTGTATTACTCAAGAAAATAGAAGCCCCCAGTCCTGATATCCCTGGCTTCAATTAACCTGTTTTCAAACCCTTTCAAAAATTAATCATCTATTATCATATCGGGTTCTTTGTTCGAAAACTATTGAAGTACATTAAACCAGATCAATCATTTAAACCCAAACATTACTATCTCATCAATGATAAAAGCTCTGGCAACATCAAAGATTTTATCAGTTATGCTGGCAAATCCAAATCAACAGTTATGCAATATCCAAGTCTAGATGAAGTTGACTTCTTCGTAAGGTTACGATATCGATACAGATAAGGTCTGGAAAATTTTTAATAAAAAATGTTGTACTTATTTGAATAGATCCCCTTGATAGATCCATCAAATAAAATCAAAATCATTTGGGATCTACTCCTTAATGTATTCAGAATTTACCTTATGTATATTATACCCATCATCATTACATTCGAATAGCTGATTGAAGACTACGATTACATCATTATCGTGTCATAGATAGTGTTTGCAATTGATTTACTATTACGAAATATCACTATTTATTATGATTAGGGCCTGCCTGTTGTGGATCGTTATTAGATAGTAAAGAATTAATACCATATTACTAACTTAATCGAATTGATGGAAATTTGTTTGCTCTTTACAATGGCCTATTTCAAATTCCATTTTAACAACCAATTCATATTATTTGGAGGTTGGCCTAAATTATGGATGCTCTTATATTTTATTTAGTTAAAAAATCTATTAAATTTTATAGGCTCATGGCAGCAATCCTTCTTAATGGGCCAATTGGTGTCATCATTAATAGAGTTATTTAAATTAATAGGCTTATTACTTATCATATAACATTTTTTTAGTTGTATATGGTTGATAATTGGAAAATATCATCTTATTTTGGGAAATTCTAATTGGATTACCTTTTTCAACTTGGAACATGTTTCGTGGACAGATTTATATATAGAATCTATGTATTACACTAGTGTAACTATGTATACGGTGGGATATGGTGATATACATCCAATAAGTAATCATTTAAAATGTAATTTAGATATCTCTGAAAAGATGTTTGCCTTTTTATTTGTCTTCGTGTGTACATTCCAACTGTCCTTTAGTTTGAATACTATTGGTGAAATTTTAACTAGGATGAAAAACAATAATGATATCATTAATAAAAAACTGATCTTCATCAATCAGTACATGCATAACAAAAAAATAAGTCATCAATTGTAGTTTTAAGTGAGGGAGTATCTAAACTATTATTGGTATCAAGAATAAACATAATAAACGAAGGAACAGACAGAAATTCTAAGTTAGTTATCTGATGATCTGAGAAAATAAATAGCAGTTGAATCAAATAGTATAGTACTTAAGAATTGTGATTTTTTTTACAAGAATTTTTCAACTGATTTCTTGAATGAACTACTGAAACATCTTCAGTTTCAAGCTTTTTAACCCTCATCGACAATTAATATCTTTAATGATGACGATCATTTCATACATATCATTGAATCTGGATAGGTCGATATTTATGATAAAGCTTATGATAAAAAGGTATTAATCGGTTGTTTTAAATCAAATGAGCATTTTGGATTGAATGAATTCTTGAATAATTAAAAAAACAGCAAATACGAATACAAGAGTTCTGGATTTGTCAGCACTTTAGTAATACCTAGGTCTAAGTTCCACTCAATATTATTAAAATACCAAGCTGATTTTGAAGTGTTTTGGAATCTTAAAATCAATAATTATACAGAATTGAAATGTGCTGTTTGCGAATCAAAGAGACATCCTCCTGATCTATGTAAACAAGTGCATTATATTACCGATAGAGAGAAGGTCATTAAATAATTCAATTTCTATTAGAATTAGGAGAGATCTAAATTTAGAAGAAACTCAATCAGGATTAAGCAATTGTATCATGCTTAGACTGATTAAGAGATTATCAAGGAAGCTGCTTAAATGGTCAAAGTGAAAAATGACAGTATGTTTTTCTAGAAATATCATATTAATGAGGAGGAAACAACCCAATATGAAAGTTAAGGTAATCTTATCTATTGAATTAGAAAATATAAACAAAAAATATATGGATTCGGTGGGAATATTAATTAAGGATCTTGAAAGCCGATCTTATCTCGATTTCTGTCAAAAGTCTCATAAGTCTAAGTCTGAGAAAGAAATTTTGGAGTTAAAAATACACTTTTCATTGGAACTGCAAACTTTAAAGTCTTTGAAGGATAAACTGCATCATAAGGATTTATATACAGAGAAGGACATTTAATAGATAGAGTATTTGATTAAGATTTTAGAACTTAAGCTAAATTTGGAAGACAAAATTGAACTTGATTAATAATAGGAATATCAGACTTTTAATTAAAAAGCAAATATAAACATAGTCTTAAAGAAATTAATTCATCCTGTGAAATACATAGTAACCTAGACCTCGAAGAGCTTGGATTAGTTCTAATTAATTAGTGGGAATGGTTGGATGAAATACATGTTGTATCCTTTTGATTTCATAAATCAATACAGATTGAATATTAATAGGTTAGGCTTACCCAGAAAATCGATGGTGGTACGATAACAAGAACGTCGACTAACTTCAGTCTTATTAATGAGAAAAAAACAATAGACTATAAGATCAATGAAAAGATCAATTTAGGTATATCCAATAAAATGAATATATATATAATCATATAAATACTGTTAAATAATTAAGTTTGTATCCACAAAGTCATATTCAATTAATAAAAAGGAAAATATCTAATTACTTATATTAATTTAAAATAATTTGATTATCATTATTCTTATGAAACCGCAACCCAAAAAATCTGACCATGCGAATTAGAAAGTCAACCAATAATAAATTGATGTTGACAATCTTTAAGATAAGTCTGCAATTGAAATATTATCTCATGAGACTTAAATGAAGAAGAGAGAGAAATTGTCTCCAATAATACGATCTAATTCAGGACACTAGGAATAACTAATTTAGTAATACAATAATCCTCAATCACTTGTTACTCCAAAATATGAAACGATTACAGAAAGATTGTAAACATTTGGACATGTTGATTTACTAAAGTAATCAAAATCATTCAGAAAACTTATAGTTTATTTCCATCAGAAGGATTTTATCAAAATGTTGTTGATTCCATTCAAATTAACATCCAACTTTACTTTAAAACATTTCAATTTGATAAATGATTTAAGCGCTTCTTATAAATTTTAAGTAGGAAGAAGTCAAGAAACCTAAAAGAGTTTAATTCATTAATATATTTCACTAATTGATATTAGAATTCAATTAAGATTGAAATTCAGAACAATAAAGACAATATGTAAGTAGTATCTAACTCATATGCATAATCAGATTCCATTAATCGAACCAATGAGCAATACTAAATTTTTTTGGGATTTAATTTGCTTTGCCATACGAATATATCTAATAATAGTGGTTCCAGTTATTATTGTTTTTCATGGATAAGATTTTAATGCCAAATAATTAGGACCCTTGGTGCTATTCTCAATTGCATTGATCTTTGACATTTTAATTCGAGCATTTACAATTACATACGATTAAGGTATACCTGTAAGGGATAGGTACTTACTATTTAAGAAATAATTAAATTTTTCTACTGTCTTAGAATTATTCAGTTTTATATATACAATATTAATTACCATCCAAGATGATAAGATAATAGATAAATACATATTGGGAGAAGGATGGGCCAAATTCATATTGTGTTTATTGTACATTTAGGTAATCAATATATTAAAATTTATTGATGTATCCTAATATTCACTCAAACTAAATAGAATGCAAACCTCGATTGTTGATCTAATCAAATTAGTTGCAATGATTTTATTAGTATAACATATATTCAGTTGTGTTTGGATTGTGTTTGGAGTGTATTCACTACAAGGTTAATAGGATTCTTGGCTAAATAAATACGAGAGTGATGAATGGTCATATCAATTTTTGTAATCGTTTTATTTCATATGCGTAACAACATTTACAGTTGGATATGGTGATTTAACTCCAAAAAGTAAATATTTAATATATATTAATAGATCCTCCTGAATAGATATTCACTATAATTTACATGTTCTTCTGCATGCTTTTATTCTCGTACACAGTTAATACTATAGGAAGCATCTTAACCCAAATAAAGGAGAGCAGCGAAAAAATCAAGTCGAAATTAACTGCAATCAATTAATATATGCATAATAAATCTATAAGTCCGACCTTATAATTTAAGTAATTATTAAATTAATGTCATTAGAGTGAGAGAATAACTATACTTTTACTTAAAATAAGAAATCATTTAATAAGTAAATGAGCAATCTGAGATAATCTAATTGCTTCCTGAAGATCTACAACACAGTCTTAGAATAGAGGCAGCCAAATCTCTACTTAATAAATGCTCCTTTTTCAGCGATAATTTCTCAAAGGATATTCTCAATTAGTTGCTTGAAGAAGTGAACTTTCAAATGTACTAGCCAGGAGCAATCATTCACTCAAAGGAAGAGTTTTATATTCATATCATTGAACAGGGATAAGTCGATGTGATGTACAAGAAGGTATTAAAAATTCACATATCTAATATAGAAAATAATTCAAACTTTAGAGAAGTATGACTATTTTGGCCTGGAGGAGTTTATTAGCTAATAGGCAAATCCAAATATTACTTTTAAAAGTACTGCATTCACTAGTGTGCTTTCAATTCCTTATTCTTACTTTCATAAGATTTTGTCTCAAAATGATCTTGAAAACTAGAAATTTCACAATCTCTTAACTTAATCTTCTTGTCTAGAGAATTTCTGTTTTATTTGTAAAACTAAATCTCATAAAACCTAATTATGTCCTATGGTGCATTATATTCCTAATAAAGAAGTTGTAATCAAAAAGTTTCTATACAAAAAGAAATAAAAAAAGAGAGTAACATAAGAAAGGAAAATAAGGATGGTGTCAGTAAATTAAATGGATGAAAATGAAGAAAACAAAGTAAAAAAAATTAAGTTTTTGAATGCCAAAACTAATTAAAAGATGGTTGAAGATACAGTGATAAAGTTTAAAAATGAAAATTAACCCCATTTGGAATCTTTATTTCCTAATATTGAGCAACCGCTTAGTATAGATAGTCAAAGTGAATCTGAGAATGAAAATCCAGACGAATTAAAAGATCAAAGCTTCTCAGATCAGAATCGTAATTCAAGGAGAGGAAGCAAATAAATTCCACATCTATCATCTAAAAATTTAATTAAATATGATATACTTTAAAAAATGAGAAAAGAGAGATTTAGTAAAAACTTCTAATAATAATAATCACCTCTTTTAATGGTATCTCAATATGGCTAAATGAGTCCAGCCCCATAAATTATATCGAAATACAATCTAAAAAAAATTATTTAGGCGAAGTCTCTAGATGATGAATAATTGCAATTAATAGAGGAAATTAATTTCTTCGAAGACATAAGAAATAAAATGAATAATTTATTACTCTTCCCAAATAAGGAGTAAGAATAGATTGAATTTTGCTATAAGAAACTTTCTAATCTTAAAGAAGAAATTGATGATATGGCTAATTTTGAATAATTGAAAAATTACGAGATCTTTAATAGATAATGGAATGTTGATTTGGTTGTTAAGAAAACTAGTGCAAAACCAAAAAAGTTTAGAGGGTTAAAAAAACTTAAACGGTACCTTTTATTCCCTTATCTGTTCATTAATAAGTATCTTGATCGAAAAGATCCAAATGATCCAACCAAAACGTAGGAGAAATCCAAAAGAAAAAGTATTAATTATCCCTAATTTTAGGACCTTTCAAACCTAAAGCCAATAAAAAAACTCGTGTAACTCCTAAATCATGACATTTAATGTATATTTATTTATAAAAAGTTAAATCTTTGTTTTACATTTCTTATTACAACTTTTAATGCCTATATTATTTTTCTCCCTTATTACTTGTTATGTACTATTTCAGAGGAATGTTATACAACTTAATTATTAATGTTATAATTAAATAATAAATTCAGATGAGATAGTTAAGTAGTCCACTCACAACACTTTAAGATAATTTATAGAGTCAGAGCATGCCTAGGATTCATTCTAAATAAGAACAGAGATTTTAACTTCCAACTTTGAAATCGAAAATGAATAATCTAATTGAATCTGAAGAATAAAAAGCACCAGTTGGTTAATTTTTTTAAGGTCTAGTTAAAGGAAAGACGATCATGGAATCCAAAAAGAAGATTGAGTTTCCAAAAACATAATAAAATTTTTATCGTCTTGTTTACAAAGCGTAATATTCATTCAGGCCAACAAAATTGAATCCAAGGTAAGTTAGTATGGATTAACCAGCAATTTAAAAGAAATTAGGTGGTCCAACCTTTGCTTATAGAACCATCCAAAGTTCTGAAGAATAACTTAGGAAACCGAAATTAGAAGTAATTGCCAGATAACAAGTAAATTATCTGAATGACTCTCATTCAATAAATGAAAGCTTAAATACTGAAATTAATTAAATTTTATATGGAAAAGGATAGAAAAAAACAATGTTAAAGTAGAGATTAAATCAAACCAAAAATAATAACGATACTAGCAATATAATAAAGGAAGAGAGTGAAAATTCATTTATTTGATTAATAAATTATAATCCTTATTTTATTTAAGTCTTCTTCTGAATTTTTGTATAATGCTTAATTTTGATATTTTTTCTTCACTAAAGTGTCCTCTACAAATAATCATTCATAAAAAAAAATTAGTTTTTTATTAGAATTAGACATATTAGATATATTGTTACTTTTTATGAATGACATCCATATATTTATATGTAAATAATGCATATATCAAATGCCTATACAGTGCTAAGATTAGCAGAAATTGACTCAATCTGAAGAGTCTGTTAAAATAGTTAACGATTAGGATCTTTTTCTTTTTTCCTAATTGAAATCTAGTAAATCTCTGAAACTACAATCTGAAAGTGAGTCACCAATTATCATGTTTACTATTCCCTTGAGGCCTTCATCTTAATATTCTTCCTTTAATTGTCTAACAAATTCCTCATCGTCCATCAACAATTTCTTTAATTCTGACTTCTAATCTTCTGTGATTTTATTTTCAAAGTGCAAGTTAGAAATCAACTTTAAGACTTCCTTAAAGAATTCAGCTTATTCATCTGCCATAATATTAATTTAATAATATAAATATTTGATCTCCACACTTATTCATTTAAATTAAAGAAAGAAGAATTATAATTATTTATATAAAAACATGCAAATTAGACATTAGAAATGCGTTGATAATGAAGTGACAAATTAAATTTCAAATAAAATTTATTTCCTAATGGATATTAAATATAATATTAATTGAATATAAAAGAATGCCTATCTACCCAACAGCACCTCTTACAAGTTCTATTCCAGCTCCAGTCAGCGTCGTTTAACCAGTAAGCTATGCCCAACCAGTGACTTATGCTCAACCAGTCTAATACGTTCCACAACCTGTTTAATATGTGCCCCAACCTGTTTAATATGTGCCCCAACCCGTTGTTCAATAACCAGTTATTGCTCAACCAATCCTCACCCAATCAGTTGTAGCTGCCCCACAATAGGCTCCAATCAAAGGAGAATCCAGAGTTGAATACAGAGAATTTCAAAGACCTGTTGTTGAGATGGAAACAGAAACTATTTAAGTTCAAGTACCAAAAACTAAATACGTGACTGATTACTATCCAGTTGAATACTAAACTGAGTACATCCCAAGAACAGTTTATGAGTAGTAAACTGAATACGTACCAGTCACTAAAACAGTCCCTAGAGTTGAATATGATGCTGTTGAGAGAGAAGTATAAAGAGTGGTAAGTTCTATAAATGAACTATCTATTAGTAATATCAACCAGTCCAAACCGTCCCTGTTTAACCAGTTGTTCAATCCTATGTTCAACCAGTTCAATCCTATGTTCAACCAGTCCAACCACTCACTTATTCAGTTGCTAGACCAATAGCCTAAGCTCCAGTCTATGCTCAACCAGTAGTTGCTCCAGCACTCACTTATTCAGGTGTTAGACCAGCTTATGCCCCAGTATTAGCCATATGTTATCCCCTTTTTAGGTTTATCCAAGTTATCCTCAAGTTGGTGCTAGACCATAATAAGCATAATAACCAGTGCCTTCAAACAAACCATAATGAAAATGAAATATTATATCATAAGCATTTGTACAGAATAATAAACTTTATCATAAAATTAAAATTTTTTTTTTCAAATTCGAAAATCAATTCTATTCTTAAAAACTCATATTCAATAGAGTTTTATTAACTTTATTCCTACGTCTTATATATCTTTGGAGATATTCTGTGCATTTTAATACAATTTCTTATTTTTTAAAAATGATACTAATAGAATATCACAGAACTAATAATATAGAAAAGATATTTTTGAATAACGATCCAAGTGTAAGATAGAGCTAGAAATGCCGAATGCTTATGTGAAAAATTGAACTTTTGAAGAATTTATGGAAAAAATCTTTGGATGATATAATACAGATAGAGAAGCAAACTTACATATATATATGTAATATATGGATATCAACATATTAAATAATTTGGGACAACATAATTTTGTAAAATATCTCAGTAGAATGAAAAATATCATTTCTCAATTTAAAATCTTAGGTTTGGTCTAAACAAAATAATTCTTATTTATTAAAATACATTATAAAACACTAAATATATAAGCGTTTTTGCTTTTATGTGCTTATTATCATTCCATTTATTAGTTGTATTTAACTTAATTGAGATGAGATTCAGTATTCTGTAAGTTATAAAAATTGATTAAGAACCTTAAAAATCCAAGAAGGTAGGGTACTATACTAATTGAAAAGCTTAGAATTACCTAAATAGAATAGATTTATATTATAAGTAGGTATTTTTGTTCACAGAATATTTTTAATAATATTTTTAAATGATGTAATTGATTATATTTGCTTAGTAAATAGTAAATGTATTTATATAATTATAAAATTAATGGAAGTTGTTTTCATAGTTTATTTGGTTTTGGCTTTATTGATTGGTGTGATAGATTTATATTGCATTATAATAAATATAAAGTGCATTGACAATAAAATCACATTTACGATTTTGAATTTGCTGTGTATTGATAATTCAATATTTAGTTAGTGTGCTTTTAATTTGTTTGGGATGTCTAATGGCTTTAGTGAATTGCTAGGTTTCATGGTCATTTACATTTATTGGTTTGAGTGCGATTTGTGTATGGCAATCTTTTACTATGTATGCTACATCTACAAACAAAGTGATTTTATGGAATGCTGCCTAAAAAGTAAAAATAAGGATTAATATATAATAGACGATGATAGTGATGGCCTATGTTGTTCCAGTGGTGTTTTATTTGTTATCGTTGTTGGTGATGAAGAATACAGATTTTCATAAAAATTCATAGATTTGTGCAATAAAGTTTAATTCAAAAGAACTACTGTTGACTAAAGTCCTTTAATTTTTCTTCTTTTTTGCATTCCAATTAATCTTTTTAGTCTTTGGGATCATTGACTCTGTAAAGAGTACTAAATTCTTGGAAAAGTGAGTATTTCTTAATAGATTTTAGACAGAAGAGTAGATTCACATTTTTAGAGTAGTCCTATCGTGAAACATTGATTTTCCCCATCATTACGTCAGTGCTGATTATCTCATATTTTGTCTCTTTCAACATTCAATACTGGTTATAGGTGGAATAAATTCTCGTGATAAATAATATTTGTTCAATAGCCATGGAGATTAACTTAATGATATTGGTGTTTTAATATGGATTCAATTCAACCATTTTGAAGGTGAATACAATTAGAAAGGTGTATTAATTTCGATCAAATTTAGAATTGAAATACCGAAACAAGTATTGTTTCATTAGTCATTTTAGATTGTTAGATGGATCTGGATCTACCTTTTTCCTTGGTACTTACAGTGAGAGTGAATTAGGAAGTATTGAATAAATATAATAAAATTATTAATCATGATTCCAATGGATACTTGTTCTTCAAAATAAATGAGTTTAAAGTAATTAGGAGATGTGATGTTTCCCCTTGGATTTATCACTTACGGTGGACCCCTAGCTCATATCAATGTGCTTAGAGAAAGATTTAAAAATTACACAACTGAGGATGAATTTCAAGAATTATTTGCATTGTGTTAAACCTTACCTGGTCCCACTTCTACTCAAATGGTAATAGCAGTAGGAGCCAATCTTACACATAGTTGTTTGGGAGGATTAGTAGCATTTCTATATTTTAGTATGCCATCAGCATTTGTAATGATGGTACTAGGTCTCACTGTTCCAAATTTATCTATACCATGGATACAATTATTGATAAATGGATTTAAATATGCATCAATTGGAGTAATAATGGAAGCAGCTTATAAATTGTCAAATGGAGCCATTAAAAATAAATTTCATTTGTTCTTGTGGATTGTAAGTGCAATCGTAACGACATTTTTTCCCACACCCTCCATTGCAGTATTAATGATCGTAATTGGAGCCATCGCAAACTATGTTTCAGATCGATAAATCGGATAATAATTGTTAATTCCTTAAGAAGAACAAGTGTAGCACAGTTTTGATAGTTGGTTGCTGGGCTATAGATCATTGGTTGGATACGGAATTTCATTTGTTTTGTTTTTCTTTTTATCCTACATTGATTGGATGCCTATAGCAGTGTGCAGTAATCTATTCAAGACAGGCAGTTTGGTTATTGGTGGAGGACATGTAGTTTTACCTATGATTTAATTTTCTTTATCAGATTATTTGACTACAGAACAGTTTTGGAATGCCTTCGCTTTGGTTTCCTGTATGCCTGGCCCTATGTTCAATATTGCAATTTACATTGGAGCCTTAATAGGAGGAATACCGATGGCTATTTTGGCAGAAATGTTTATGTTCCTTCCTGGATTCTTCACAATATTTGGAATATTGCCTTATTGGAAGAAATACAGAGGATTAAGAACTATAAGGGCAGTTTTATAAGGAATAGCAGCAGTTGCAGTTGGATTTATATTAAGTGCAATAGTGCATTTGATAATTAACTCTTGTAATAATGGTGTTGTAGTTCCTATAGGCATAGGAATCCTAAGTTGTTTGTGTCTGTACAAAGGCATTCCAATACCATTTGTTATAATTGGAGGTGGATTTATTAATTTATTAACAGAATATAAATGATTCATTTTATATATATATTTAAATACTCATTATCCACATTATCTCATTATATTTAAACAAACTTCATCTTCCAAAGGTTTTGAGATAACCTAAATGCCGACTGGCAATCCTGCACTGTGTTTCATAGTTTCTTCTAAGACCTTATATTCGATATCCTTTGCACCAAACAATGATTCTTCATTGTAGTATTGCTCATCCTCCTAAACAGTTGTAATAGGAACTGATCCACAACTAAAATCAATCATATTCCAGAAGAATGTGTAACATATTCCACTAAAACAATGTTATGCAGTATTATGTTTAACAGCTACTCCAGCAGTCACAGGACTTATGACTGCATCTAATTATAAATCATGCCAAATCTATATCATTTAAATTTGACTTGCTGTCAATCTTGTTGTTATTTGAAGATTCTCATAGTATGATAATCCATGGTCTCCTGCTTTCCAAATCATCAATTCTCTTTTGCGATTCTATAATTTCAACCATTTCTAATAGATCTTCTTCCAAAGAGGACATGATTGAGTGGCCTTCTTAAAATTATCAAAATGAGTAATCCATGGTTCTCCTTTGTATAATTCATAAGTTCCTTTCATTCCTCCATCACCTAACATCACATCATAAACATGTTAGAAAACATTCTCATAAATACTTTAATCAATGTCAAATTCTATAACTGTGTGTCCTTATGCTCTCAATTTCTCTACTGCCATATCTAAAGCTCTTTAATTTGCCTTGCATGGTAAAAGTAGATTGATCTTCCTTAAAACTCCTATCTTATATTTCTTATTATTGTTATAACACTCCTTCTCATCGAATGTCTTCATCACAAAATTGATGTCTTTTATGTTAATTGGAGCCTATTCATAGTTGGTTGTCAATGCCTACATCATATTCACTAAATTTGGAAAATGCTTAGCTTATGTATATTATTGAATTCTTACCCATAGGACCATAACATGATGCAATATTCCTAATTCCATCCCATGTTGGAACACCCTTTGCCTAACCTCTCATTATCAACCTTTTAGCACTTGGTTTATATCCATACAATCCACAAAAATGAGAAGGTATTCTTATACTTCCACCACTATCACTTCCCAATCCCAAAGGAGAACCATTCACTGCAAGCAATCCACCTTCTCCTCCTGTTGAACCACCAGAGGTTCTTTAAGGATCTTAGGGATGGATTGATCTTCCAAATAAATAATTCCAACTTTCGTATGAAAATCCAAATTATGGTAAATTTGTTTTTGCAAATATTATTCCTCCTGATTTATTTATTAAATATCCTTGTATTCCATCTATTTCTGATCTCTTTTAAGCATAAGCACCACACCCAAAGGCTTGATATGTTCCTTTTACAATAAAGGTGTCTTTCACACTTATGGGAATTCCAAATAAAGGCATATTTTCTATCTTATAATTTGTATTTTTTAACTCCTAATCCAACTATCTCGCCTTTTATATGGCATCCTCGAAATTAACATCATTCAAATAGCCCATTTTGAATCCTTTTTCTAATGATACTTCCAAAAATGTTAATAATACATCCAAACATGTAAACTTTTTAGATTCATAAAACTTGTGAATTTAGGGAATAGAACTGTTTAAAATAAGGGTTTTATCTTCATTAGATAACTTTAACTCTGTCTATATCACATACCTTGCTGTTAGAACTTTTTATTGAATCTCTTACGCTACTCTTCTGTATGTAGATTCAAAAGGATTAATTTTCCTCTTTCTAAAAGCCAGCATCAATAAACCAACACTGGCAACTATTGATAATGCTGTATATTTGTTTTTGGACAATAAATCCCGATTAATTTTAAACATTATTAAAATAATAAACTTTTCTTTCTTATATCATCTTTGTTTCTACTACTTATAGGTCCAAACTCATATAGAAGGAAAAACTTCATTTGGATGATCCAATAATAATCAAAATGAAATTAAAAAACATGTATACTCTCATGACCTAAACATCAATCAAGTATTTATACATCTAGAAAATAAGCTTAGGAATTAACAATTATGTTTTCTCATCTAAGTTTAATATTAAAAAAAACCTTTAGCCTTGCTCAAAAATATCATTAATTATTACGATATGATTAATGTGTAATAAAATTCATCATACGTACTTTATAATACAGATTTATTATAAATTAGGAATCACACTCAAAACTTAAATTTATTAAATAATAATTAAAAATAAAATAAATCATGTTATAAGATATAAGATATTTTCAAAGTCCTATATATTATTATATTACCTTATCCATTTGAACTAACTATTTAACTAAATCACTCACAGTTATTTTATTTTGTTTTATTAGCTATTTCATGTTTTATAGCTCATTAGTGATGTTATAATTATCTAATATGATGGGTCTTTCCTTTGATAAAACAATATTTTACTCTATTAGGCAACAAAATTTCAAAATAATTCGATATTTCTATCATCTAATCTGGCTATTATAATTATTCAGTTCCACTTGAAGAGTATTTTAAATATGCTAGCATGTCAAGTTTGATTTGTTTTCTTGAATTAATTAGGATAATATCTTTCTAAGGAAAGCTTATATGAAGATTTAAATATATTTTTAATAAATAAGCGCATAATATCTAGATTAGTAGTTGAAACCTAACTTGAAATGTTTCATTTAATTATAATTTACTATCGAAAAATTCTGATAGAAACATCAATTGGTTGAATTAATAATGCTTTTTTTCCCCATTCTTCAAATATATTGTTAAAAATAGGTTTCTTAAGGTTTCTTAGATACTAATATCTAAAGAAATTAGAAGCCTATTGATTTGTTCTTCTAGTTTGTTCAATTATCCCTGTTAAATATTACCATAGGAGTGTTTATCTATTTCAATTAAATTTTTGTAAATATCTTCACAAAGATTGTCAGAACCTTAAACCTAATAATAGATCCTCTATTATTCCATATTACTCTTTACTACGTTTACAAGTTTGCATAGTTTAACATCTAAAGTTTAAACTGATTATTAAGGCTCTGATTATTATTATTATGATGACTTGTTTTGCTTCTCTGTATTGCATTACTCAAACTTATTGTAAACTTTCATATCAAATTAGTAAATGACATCAAAGATGAATTTCTTTTTTTCTTCTAATAATTTAAGAACTTGTCGATTTTCAATCAAATATAAATGAAATGAAAAATTTAGATACCCCTTATCATCGATAAAGGCCTTAATTTGATTGTTATGGTATAAGTCCTTCTGAAGTCTTTCTATGGTCTATACCGTTTACCTTCGTTTTTCTTTTAGTTTCATTTAAAAGTATGCTAAATTTCTTAAGCCATACGAATTCTAAATAATAAAGAATTAGTTATTGTTTTTTAAAAAGTTTTCTTCATTATTAGTCATTTCTTAACCCATGCCATCTTGTATGTACGCTGTTAACTAATTTTTACAATCGCAAGCATTTGATGAATATTATTCAGTGTTTCCAAAATTCAAAAAGAAATTTTTTAATTCAATTTGCATAATTCAATTATATAATTATAGTATTTGATATTAAAATCAAATCATCATAAGTTAATAGGAAATTTAGCTTTCAAGTATGCCTCTAGCTCTTTGACATCGATGGGTTTAGTGAAGTAATAATCCATACCTTAAGCGATAGCAAATTTTTTGGTTTCAAAATCACAATAACCAGTGTTAGCTATGCAAAGTCCCCTTGGAATGGAACCTTCATTGATTTTTTTTTTGATTATTCTTACAGTATCGATTCCATTCATGAGAGGCATATTAATGTCTAAAAAAATGGCTGCATATCCTCCACAAGAACAGATTTTGCATGGTTTGAGCTTCTTCTCCTCGCATTTCCGAATGGCCTCCAAACCATTGCAAGCTTTGTCACTTTTGACTGAAAATTTTGAAAGAATAAGTTACATTGAGATGATATTGAAAACTTCATCATCTACAATCAAAACCCTACTACAACATTTAGAACTAATGTCATATTGTACAATTTAAGTTTTAAAATTGGTTTCTAGACTTGGTATTACGATTAAAGATTGCTTATATAAGCTGGGATCATTCTCATTTTCTTCCTCCTCTTCATCATCATTCTAATCAGCATCGATATCCTGTTTAATCTGATTAATGTCAGTGATCCGATGTAAAAACTATTATTAGGTTTCTGCTGAATGCTTTCTAATTGAGAAACTCTTAATGTGTCTTTGTCCTCTATGCATCCCCCCACTATTGCTTTGACTACGCAAACTGGCTTCATATTTAGAGGCCAACATTTGCTTGATTGAGGCTTCTGAAGGTTGCTATTCGACATAGTAAATTTGATTGACTATTTTTAAATAAGTTTAACTAGTTTGATACGCACTCTCATTATATAATTATTGAGAATTTCTAATTGAAAATTAGAACTCAGTTCCTTTGTTCTACGTAGACTTGAATTCTAATCCTTTTTTTCCATGCATCTTCTACACGATAGCATTTGAAATGCTTAAACCCAATCCACAACCAACTGAATTCGAAGATACTCTCAACATTTTTTTATTGTCTTTTAACATCTCACTTAATTTTTGAGATTCTGATATACTCATACCAATGCCAGTATCTGTAATTTTGGTTTTTAGTTTGTCTTGATTCAAAGTAACTTCAATAGTTATTGTACCTTCTGAAGTGAATCGGGCAGAATTTGAGAGTAATTAATAAATTATTTATTTGTATCTCTCAGCATCGTTATATACCTTTAAATCGACAGGACAATCAACTTAGACCTTGTTTGATCGGAAATTTAATTGTTTATCCATTAGAGTTATGATTTCCATAATAGTTTAATGGGGACTAAATTCTTAGAGTTTTAAGGTGAATTGTTGTAATAGGATGGAATTGTAATCTCGAATGTTACGTAGGATGTAATTTAATAATTGCGAGTTAATCTAAATGGGATCGAAAAACACATCTTTTATTTCCTTCTTTATCATAGAACTATTCAAGGCTTCTCTACTAACAGTCATTATACAATTCAAGTAGGTCCCAAATTCATGCGAAACAGACTAAAAGATGTTATAGAGTAATGAACTGGAAATAGTATTGTTGTCTACGGTCTTAGAGTTGTTAGCACTTGAATGGTTTTAATGAACACTTATGGTGTGCAAAGACTTACTAAATTAGTTCTTGCGTTCCAACTATTGTTCAATGTGGAGAATGAGAATGTTCTCAAATTAACTGATGTCACTCAAGATTATAAAATTGAATTTAAAGTTCTGCAATTTAAACTGTTTACTTTCTATTTCTCCAGCTGAATAATAGTTGTAGATAGAGTTGCCATTCTCTAAGAGAGTCTAACAAATCGATTTCAAATCAGGCTTCAAAAATGCTCTTTTTTTGGGTTATGGACTCTATTATAGCAATAGCTATACCCCTATAAAAGTTTGAGTAACCCAGTGGATAAGGAGTCACATTTGCAATCCAACAATTGTTTCACCAGTTTTGAGTCACTCATTTCCTCCTCCTCGTCAACAGAACTGTCGAAAAATTATAGTAATTGAGCCTACTCGTAAAGCACGAGCATTTTGTCATTAAAAACTATAAATTTTTATTCGGTTAGCCACGGACTAGTTATATAATATCTTTATTTATTACACTAATTCAAGAATGTGATTCTTTATATCAAACTTTATTGACATTTGAAGTTCCACCTTTGGAATCGGAGAAGCCTCCATATCCTTATGCTGTTCTGGCCTCATCTTATAAGCCAGGAGCACACAAAGAATCAGAATAATGATAGTTTTGATCAAATCGTATATTGAAGATCCTTATTTAAAAAATTCCAGTATCAAGGAGTACAACCCTAAGAGCATTCCAGGAATATAGTATTATTGTATATTCAATCCCCATCCACATTATATAACTATTAAAACCTTCTATACATCAATATTTACTTGTATCAGATCTATTTTGTTCTACCACTGCATGCTTAATAATCCCATGCTTATCGACTCACTCACAATTAAGGCACCCCAAAATTACCACTTCTGGCATTCTAGATTGATTAAGATGCATTTGATCAAAAAATTTATATAATGCAGAACTACAGCGCTCAAAATAAATCCCAGTTTATCATTCTCCATTCTAAAAATCAAATTCCAAATGATTTCAAACGATATGATAACTTCAAAGAAAATCACAACTTTCATTTTTTATAAAATATATTATCGCGATAAGCATATTAAAACTACTTATCAATTCTTCAATAAAATTAAGTATCATTTATAATGCCGTATTTCAGAAGTAATTTACAATTCATTCTCCCTTCAATTACAAAGCAACTTATATCTTCAACTTTTTGATTAATTAGAAATTAGAAATTACTGGAAAAATTTAACAGAGGAACTTTTATATTCCCTTAGCAATTCACCATAACAGAATATATTAATAATCAATCATCTATAGAGAACTCTCGATGATTTTCTAATTATTAATCTAGCCAATATGAGAGGAACCTAAATAAGCACAAGTAAATTGAAATTAAAATGTTTAACTAATCTGAAATATCCTTCAAATCAATCCATTTAGATATTAAATAATCTTAATAATACCTCCTATTTGAAATATAATCTTTACAATTGAAACCATACCAAGAATACAAATCTAATTGAAGAAAAAGCAACTCATAACGTCCCATAGGAGGTTAATACAACTATTTATAGACTGTTTAGAATTGATTACAGATAGGGTCGTCTTTTTATAATGTACATACATAACATTTGTCTAAAAAATTAATAAGATATTTAGGCTTTAATTTATTGTATTATCTATTATATATCCATAATTCATTGGCAATTATTATGCTGGGTTTAATTGTAATCTGAATCAGAAAATGGATTCAAACTAACATTATAAACAGGAAGAAATAGTTAAAGTTAATAATCATACCCATTAATTCTAATTTAAAGACTGAACCATACGTCAGTAGTAATATCGAATATCTGAAACAGTAAAACAATATTGTGATAACTCAATAGACATGAAGCAATAGAAGTGGCCACTTAATCATCAGGGATTGTAATTATTTTTTAGCTAATGAAAATAATGTGAGAATAGACATTGAATTAAAAGTATTATTGAAATGAATAATAAATATAATATTAAAATGATGTTAATTCTGCTCTACGGAATCTTTGTAGTTTCCTTTAGTTAAGAGTGCACAACAACCGTTAAAGGAATATTTTCTAAATAGATATACGAATTTGAAAGATCCATCAATCAATTAAGAAATGAAGTAGCATAGGCAAGACAACCTAATCATTTGGGATCATTTGAATATGCTGCTAATATGCAAATAACTACATGGTCAATTGGATTGTCTAGAGGAGCGTAAAATTGTGCTGAAAGATGTCCTGATTCTCTCAGTACTTGTAAAAACGTACTTTATAAATCCTACTAAGTTAAAAGGTGATTTTGGAGTACTGTTTCATTAAAGAACGGTAGAATCATCAGGAGTAGAATGGAACCCTTAAGAAATTGTGAAAAAGTGGAAGCAAAATTAACAAAATGCTGAGCAATTAGTCATAGCAACAATTTCACAATTTGGATGTGGAAGAGCAATTAAGAAATCTGTAGATAAATACATGGAATATATTGTTTGTTTTTTTGATTAGGTATCAAATCAGGTAAATTGTTTAGGCTCCTCAAGATGGAAAAGCACCATACATTGTTGCCAATGAAAAATCAATAGCAAAGGCTTGTAGATTTGGTAGATCAAATCAATATAGTGGATTATGCGCTAGTTCCTACAATAAAATGCTCATTATGAACCCAGAACATTCAACTAAAATATTTGAAAGTTTAGATGAATCACAAGGATAATGATGATAATATCAATATTATTTAGTATTAGTACATAAATATATATATCAGAACAAATTAAAATTCATAACATTACTAAAAGTGCTCCCTCAAAAATAGTCTTCTTAATTCTGAATAGAAATGAAATAGACTCATAATTAAGGAAAACCTGTTAAGAAGAGCAAATCATAAATGGGATATGATATGATAGGATATGCAAACATAAAAATGGTCATATTTACATTCTTAAAATTCTCTAATACTTTTTCAGTCATTCTTTGACTTGCTAATTTGATTTAGTTAGTTTAAGCCTAGTTCACATTTTACTTAGTAAAAAAGTTTCCATCCTGATTAATTGAATACAAAATGAATTAATGATTATATTAACAATTTGATCAATTATTCTTCTATAAATACTAAAATTTGATTGTATGTGGATGACCAATTAACATTATAGTATTAACTATTTTCACTCTATGTATATTTATATCGAGGCATCTTAGAGCTTGATCAAATAGAATCACATAGGATAAGTTAATTCTTGAATTTTGAAAATCCATGCATCTTTGATGAATATACATTTTGGGTGCCTTAACATATAAGAAACTACAAGGAATGATGCAAATATGATAGGGATACAGAAGTTGAGAATCGAAATGATAATTATAGATAAAGTTAATTATGTTTATTTTCGTTATTTAAATTTGAATGAAGCAGCCTCTACAGAGTCGACTAATTATTTAAGATGCAAGACGCAAGAATTTAAGCGCTGTTGCTCTTCTTGATCCTTCCCCAAAGTAAATCACTATACGGAAGGCTTCAATTGGTGGGTTAAAGAATAAAGAAAATATGAATAGCAATGACACTTAGAGGAAACAAAAAACTTCTTAAAATACTAACACAGAGGACATTAGAAAATAGATAAGTCAATTAATAAAAAAAACAGCTTAATCTTAAAGAACCAAATTGAAGAAGATTGATATTGGATGTCAAGAATAGATTGAAATTAATGATCAAAAAGAAGGAATTTTTGATGAATATACTTTAAGACTGTTGTATTAAAAAGAGTTGGAATATAAAATTCATCCATAATTCTTTGATCATTAATCACATGTATCTCCATAGATGAGATCTATTTTATATGACTGGATTAGTGAAGTCTGCAAAGAATTCACATTAAAGAGAGAGACTTTTCATTTATGTATTCATAATTTGGATAGATATATGTCCAAAGCCTCTGTTAGTAAGTCAGAACTTCAATTATGTGGCTTAGCAAGTCTATTAATTGCATGTAAAATTGAAGTATAATTATCACTTTATCCTAGGAAATCTATCCACCAAAAGTTAATGATTTTTCATCAGCAAGCAATTATGGATTCACAGAGCAACAAATCTTGGATAAGGAATTAGATATTTTATCTGAATTAAAGTGGATGATCAATCCCCCAACTCTTTATCTTTGGAGTTCATGGTACCTATCCTAATGGGATATTTACTATCCTTAGGCCAACCTATAAATTAAATAACCAACACAATCATCCTATGCATTATTTAGACATTTTATGACCTTTTTAGATTGTGCCATTTTAGATATCAAATTATATTAATTTACCAACCGAGAAATAGTTTCATCCTTACTTTATTTGGTTTTATTAAAACAATATTGTGGATGCACATATCAAAGAATAGTGGAAAATAAAGTTTAAGAGAAAGATGTTCTTGATTTCTAGCGCATTTATAAGCCATTCATTGAAATTGTATTTGGCTTTCAATTTAGTTAATTAACCAGATGCATTAGATATTTGACGAAATTTTTAATTTTAGATGTGATTATTGATTAACCTGGCTCAACTAAAGTTGTAGCCGAAAAAGAATTAATGGAAGTTTATGAATATTTCTTATCAATTTAAACACATAATCCAGCTGGTCTTTAATTCATTAGAAAATGATTGATATCATATACTTTAATAAATTTATTTATATTTTTAAATTTCTTAACCGACTACTTTCGAAAAATAAACTATCAACTAATTGTATTAGAACTCTTTATTTATGAGAATATTAATAAGTCTACATTTTAGAATTTTTTAATTATAAATTATACCTGATGGAATAATAAATCATTCAGATATATGAAAACTATAATTGATACTATTTTCGAAAATCATTATTATTCTATTTCTAGTATTATCTCTCATATTATTAAATATTCTAGTCTTGAGTCCTCTCGATATGCAATTATTGAAACATTCTCCACATAGTATATTTCCTTGCCTATGCTTCCATAGTCAACTATACTATATGATCCTAATATTAGTTTTTATAATCAATTTATTAAAGATAAATAAACATGTAAATTATTAATCAATAATTAATTCTATGGAATAAAATTTGAGGAACTAAATCAGGAGTACAGCATATTGATTAAAGAAGTGGATAATTATAATACTAAATTTACTAAAAACTTTAATAATTTTTACTAATATTCCAATAGCGGCTGGTGAAGAGGATTTTTAGCGAGCTAATTAAATCATTATTTAAAGGAAAGGCTTTAGAGAGGTAATACTCTAAAATAAATTTAAATCTGTTAATGATGAAATTGTTAGAGATAATTTCGCATTAATACTTAACATATGTTCAATTTAAACTCAAAACAAAGATCGTATCTTTCGTGTATAATCTTAGAGAAATTTCATTAGGGCAATCATAGTACAAAGCAACTAAGCGCTTTCTTGGAATATGGAGTAAATTATTTAATTATGTTAAACTGTAAAAAATGAAAGTGATGAGATGACAATCTTTTACTTTTTGCTTTTTGTTGAATAGTTAAAATTAAAAGGATATGATTCAGATAAAATGAGAATTTGTTGTTTGCCAAAATTTAATGTAATTTTGTTGGACCTTTTAAAAATCAACAAACTTCAACTAAGATTTTTGATAAAGTTAATGTGATAAAAATTAAAGCGAAATTTAACAGGTTTGGAAAGAATTAAGACAAATAGTTGCAATAAGCGAGATAACGCAAAACATGACCAAATAATTATAAAAAAATAACTTAAATATTTCTTTATTAATTTATTATTAGTATTAAATTAGATGAGAATATAGTTAAATAGATATACTCTTTCTTCTTCGAATTATCTTTTAAATATACTAAAGTATTTATTTTATTAAATATAATAAGTTATTGTAGAAATATCAAATAAACACAGCTTAAATGAATTATAGATAAGAATAAATATTTATAAAACATTAGTTTATATTATTTTAATGATTATTACTAAAATTTGAATTCAGTCAATAGATTTGTCTGTTTTTGAGAAAAGTTTCTTCTTCTTCATTTAATTTTTATACTAAAATACTAAAAGAATAATTATACTTAACTCTTATTTATAGGAATTTGCAGGAGGACTATTTGAATCTAATATTGCTTATACTACTTCAATTTTATCTCCTGCTTCATTCCAACGAGGTAATTAAACCATATTAAACTTGTTCAACTGCTTTTAATTTTCTAAATGGATTTCTTTAAATTCCAGATCTTTGTGTCTTTTCATTTGGTTAATTTACAGAAACTATTTAATATCTGACATCTCTGTTTCAGCCACATCAGTAAACCAATCAGATATACAGGGTATACTCTTAGTAATTTTGCTCTTTGCTCCACTATAGGATGGATCCTAATAGACTACAACAGATGTCTTCTCTGGAATATAGATACTTTTGGCTAATCTCATGATTGCATTGAAATCAGATACATCTTTACACAAGTATACTTTTGATCCTTAGTAATTACACATCGAATAAACAATAGGACATTTTTTAAAATCCTTCTCCTCGAAATAATACAATCCCAAAACTGCTTAATTTCCTTTATCCAAAGTGATTCTCAAATTCACATTCAAAGCAGTAGGATCAATTTAATCTCCTTACCACATAAAAGCTACTGGCAATGATGTAAATCTCAGACCATTAATACCATTGATTTAAATGAGCTTTGGTTTGCTTCTTAATTATAAGAATTCTTTAGTTTCTTCTGCTTTTTCCGATGATTTAGATTCCTCTTCATGATCAACAGGTTCAATATGTGCTTACTTTTACCCAGTATGTGTAACCTATTGGGCTAATTCCTTGCTAGACTACGTAGCAACATATGCCAATTAGACTTTCTAAACGCTTGTCTCTCCGAACTTCTTGAAATTTAATTAAACTCCATGTAATGAAACTGTTAAAGGAGAGACTTCAAACTATATGAGCTTGGATTATGATTCCACTCCGACTAAGAATACTTAAACTATTGGGTCTTCAGTAAATGTTCTTTTAAATGTTAATAAAGATGGTATGACTTTATCTCCAGCTTCTGCTTTCTTCAAAATTGAAAGTGCATCAACATTGAAATACCCAAATTCAACTTCATCCTAATTAATCGCAATATATTCATATGCTAAAACTTTTAATGTGGCATGGAGAACTGTCAATTAAAATGTAAAATCTACATAGATTCTCTGCAGTTACCTTATTCAGTCACATCTTAAATTTAACAGAAAAATCCTACAGGACCTGCATCATATTCTATGGCTCTAATTGTTACTAAAATTTAAGGGATATCAATAAATTTATCTGGAAACGTGATCTTTTTCAGTATTGGGTCACAACAACTTGGTGCTGTAAATTCAATAACACCCTTCATTACTGATTTAGACTAAACCAGCATTATAGTTAAAAATGCAATAAAGAATCGTTTTTGCATTATAAATTTTAATTATATGAATCAAACTATTATATACAAACTAATTAGGCTGATGAAGAATATTACGAGAATTAGAAATACAGGCTATTAATTTTGATGTGTAATTTTAGCGTGTTGATGAACCTCAATCTATGGCTTTTTCATTAAAGAAAGAAATATATGTAAATCTGGATGGGGTTTGCTTGACCTGCTTTCAATTATCTTCTAAATTAACATCTCTTATTCTTTGACTTTATTTTGACCTTTGATGAAAATAAAATACATATAATACACAGCTATCCAAATTAACTCAGCCCCTTCTGCTTATTAAATAAGTCTAAAAATTCTTCATTGAATTTTAACTGATCTAAACTATTCTACGAATTAAAATAAGCTGATTATTTTAGTTCACTCTACTGATTCTCTATTTTTGCAATGTCCAAGTTTTGAGATTTATTTTAAGTATGGTTATTTCTTTAGGATTATTCTGGATCATCGCTTCTTTCTGAAATCAAATCAAAATCTAATTGAGAATAAGTTTCAACTTGTTGGGTTTATTAAGATAAATATCGAACATGCTTATTTGATTATTTGTTTTTAAAAATCTAACTATTTTACTCCGATCTTGATTATTTAATTTATAGAACTTGATTTTTTATTTTTTCTAATGGCTATTTGCATCTTAAAGCGAAAATTTTTTATAGTTTATTTATTGCTAAGCTCCAATGATAAGTGAGAACTATTTTTTTAAAGTGAATTGATGGTTTAGAATTTTGTTTAATGTGTATATGGCACTTGTTCATCTTTTCTAATAATTAATTTGTTTATGATTTCATTGTTACTTTAATATAATAAAAAATGGATTAAGTAAATTAGGCATTTAAAGAATTGTATTTTTAAGGAGAGCCCTATGAAAATGTGAGAGAAAAGATCGATCAATGTCCTTATGATGAAGTTGCCTCTCTTATGGAAATTTATGTAAAAAATTATCTTGATGTAATATATGATTAACAAGTAGACAGTACAAAACAATTTACACTCCTATAGTTACAACGATTAAGACTCGGCAAAGTTCTACATTGAGTAACTGAATAGTCATTGGCTAAGAATATAAAATATAGCCTAGGAGTTGGGAAAATACCAACAACTTAGTAATGGCTATAGAGTAAATTTAAAATTAATTTAGATCTAAGAATATCATCGCATTAAGTTCTAAGATAGAATATTTTCTGACACAAAGATAAATTTTGCATTAAGAGAGATTTGCAGAATCTACAAATTCAATTAACTCATTGAGTCTCATTTTGGTTCTCTTGTTTTTCAATATTTCAGACCGAAAATTACAACACATTAAGATCTCATGACTAATTGGCTAACCTATAGTTAATGCGAATAAGGCATTGATGAAATTAAGGATTTTGAAAGAAGACTAGAATGCGCCATGACGAATTTACCCGATAATGAAAAACAATTACCTAAATTACCACCTAATTGGGAAAAGAATATGGTAAATTTGATGAAAAAGAAAAAGAAGAAGATTTGATAAACAATAATATGTTCAATAAATATCTGGAATTCTCTACAATTATTATAATCAATTATAAAATTTGCTAATATATTATGACTCAGATAATTTAATATAGAATCAATACATTTCTTAATAATATTGAACCTAATTCATCTTTTCATCTTAATTTCGAATCCACCTAATTGAGAAAGCTTTGAAGACAGATTATGACATGAATCATCCTCTAAAAATAAATTAGCATCATCATCATCATCACTTTCAGATGATTCCCCATTCATACTTTCCCCTGAGTCACTTTCTGATAATTACTCATTATTTGTCCCATTCTTTGTCTCAGTATAGAATGAACCTGCTATCTAAATTAAATTTCTATTTTTACATTCTTTACTGTTTCTGAAACAATCAGATTTTCTTAATCCTCTTCCTCTCCTTATTATTGTTCAGCTATTTGTTGCATAATTAACGCTTTCTATTTCTCAGTATTGATAGCCTATTTCAATAATATATACTATCTCATTGATCTTCTTTTGGCTTTTGAAAGGTTAATCTATTCAGGTAACACTGAAGAACCCAAATAACTTAATCTAACCTATTGATTCATTGAAATAAGTACTTCTTTTTTTTACTATAATGGTGTTCCTAATTCATTGTTAAGAAACTTGAGTTATAGAAATGAAGAGTCCAAACAATCTGCTGCTGAAGGTCTTTGATTTTCCTCTAAACATAAGACTCTTTATAAGAATTATTATGCATCTTGACTAAGACAAATAAATTTCGAATTGTTGAAATCAATTCTTCCTGCAGTATTTGAATTTAATATAGCACTGATGGTGTTTCCTGAGAACACAGGTTATTGAGTCAATAATATATAAGCAACTACTCCAGCACTAAATATATCAATTTTTTCATTATAAACTTTCAAATTGAGTACTTCAGGAGCAATATACCCTGGAGTTCCATACTTTTTATATTCAAATTTAGGTATTTTCTTGGCTGCTAACCCGAAATCTGCAATGACTATAGTTGAAGAATCCTTGACCAGAATATTTTCTAACTTAATGTCTCTATGTATAATATTCAGGGAATGGATGTGTTTAAGTCCTTCGAAAATTTGTTTCATAAAATTGCTTATCTATTATTCGCTAAATTGTGACTTTTCAGATTTCTTCTTTTAGAATTCCTGAAATAATTCGCCCTTTGCATATTCATATATCAAATATATTTATTTGTTGTCCTCATGAATTTCCAATAGCTTGATCACATTTGGATGATCAATAGGTCTGAGCAGCAACATTTCGCCGATTACTGAATCTCTAAGCTTTGTGACTTTGATCAAATCGGTCTTTTGGAAGGTCTTACATACAAACTGTTTCTATTTACTGTCCTCTATGAGATAGCCCTTTTTTTAACATACATTACTTTTGAATAATTTCCATTGTTGATTTGACTCAGGAATCTGAATCTAGTTTAGATCTGGCCCCTTGTAATGCAAAATCTTAAGAGATGCTCTATCCAATTTTTTAATTATTTTTGGTCAGTGCAGTGATACTCCTTAACTCTGTCGTATGAGGTCAATAAAAAACTTTTGTCGGTATAGGATAGAATGAATAGATTGCTAAAGAGATTGTAACATTTAGTTGTTTGATGTCCGAATTTGACTAATGAGCCATCTTTGGTTAATGCATATTCATATTTTTGACTTTTGGTTAGATTTATCAATTAGGACTTAATCAAATAAGCCTATTGAACATTACCAGTAGTCGACAGCTTTGTTGTTTTAAGGAGCGATTATAAATTCTTGCTAGTAGGTATATACAAGTAATCAATATTTTGAGATTATTAGAGCATATTTATTTATTTAATAATTTTTAATAAACCATGGGATCATGTGCGTCAATGAAATAAAAAAAAATAGATGGAAATATTTAAATTGCAGCATATAAGTGAATATATGTTATAATTACAGAGTTTGCATAACTGCTTTCATCTGGAATAAAGAAAGTCATAACTTATTCGATTTCGAGAGTCACCAAGCATGCCGAAAAGAGCTGGAACTAGATTTTTCAGGTAACCTTGTAGTTCAATATGAATTAGCAACACTTTCGATGGTCGATAATTAAATTATAGCATTAAGTGAAAATGTAAATTTATTATCACATATTATGAAGGAATATGTTAAAAAACAGGTTCAGCTCCTTAAAGTTGATTGTGAATAAGATTACGTGACTCTGTCAGGAATGAGTTAGAAATCAGATTAAAGAGTGTGGGCAATACTATGCAGAAGACCAGAATTTGAGTCATTGAATGTAAAAATATAAATGAAAACAAAAAGGAATGGGAATTATAAACAGGAGATATTATCAAATTAGGAAGAATGAAATTACAATTACTCGATTTTAATTATGATTTAGATGCATTGCAATAATAAAAAGACTAAACTGACATTAATGATGAAGAAATATAGTCCTAAGATCTAGATCCAGATGGTTGTTAATGTAGAATTTGTTTCTAAAAAACTGCTACAGTTTCAAATCCTCTTTTTAGTCCATGCAAATGTAAATTATTTTAACTTAAATTGCAGGTATCGGTTCCATGAAATATGTCCATCTTCATTGTTTATAAGTTTGGATTTAGTAATCAATTAAAGTTAAAAATCAGTAATCTTCAACCTAATACATCTGGAAGAAAATGGAGTGTGAAATTTGCAAAATGCCATTAAAAAGCACATATACCTACTAAAGGTAGATCTTCTGTATTATGCAAATTCAGAAGCCTATAGTGCCTTATATGATTTGGAAAATCACTTCTGATGACAAATCCAAGGAAGGCATCATCTAGGTCATGGAACTCTAAGATAAAGCAGAAATTAAAATTGGGAGAATACCCGACTGTGATATCAAACTTAAAGATATTTCAGTGTCCAGAAGTCATGCCTTAATCAAAGTTATCAAACAAGAAGATAATCACTTCAAACTTATTCTCTAAGATAATAATTCCAAATTTGGGACTCTTCTATATGCCTAGTCCGATAAACTTCTCAAGTATAATTTACCATCATTGCAAAAAGTACTTTACTAGATTGGAAGAGTCCTATTATACATTCAATTTAAGGATAAAGGCAAGTCCTATAATAAACAGTAAATCTCCATTTCATTAACTTAGATTCACTTGTTACAAACACCCTGATAAAATTGTAGTCCAAACAAAAATAAATCAAAATGAATAAGCCACAATCATCCCGAATGTTGAAAAAGATAAGGATAATCAACTATCATTTTAAACTAATAATGAATTACATTAAGAAGATATCGTAATTAATGTAAAATAAATATGAATACCTATTAACTAATTATATTATTTATTTATTAAATATTTGTCTGTTAAATGATATAAAAATTAAACAAGTGGGATTGCATAATTGACCCTATAATCAAGAACAATTAATAGATGTAAGTGACTAATTAATCATTTTAGTGGAGGTTTGTATCTGGCGGATATAGATTGTGCATTAAGCCAAGAATTATTATCATCATTATAAGTAGGTGCCTTGCTTAGTGTTATTGATGAACCTAAAGTAACTACCTCTCCAAGTATAATTCATCATGTCATCAACATTCCGGATTGCACTGAACAAAACATTCAAGAATTTTTCCCCAAAACTAATGAATTCATTGAAAGGCATAGATAACATACTAATGTTATGGTTCATTGCTTCGCTGGAATCTCCAGAAGTGCTTCAGTCGTTATTGCGTATATAATGCAAAAGTTCAATTGGGGATTTCAAAGAACTCTGAATTCAGTTGTTGCAAGGAGACCCTAAGTCAAACCAAACTCAGGTTTCGTCAAACAATTGATTTAATATGAAACCTAGAATAGAAATAGGTCCGCTTCTCAATAGAACAGAATTTTAAATACCATTAACACTGTGATTGATAAAATGCCTTATCAATCAGATAGTAAAAATAATAAATACTTTTAACCGTCCAAATTAGATATAAATTAACTGGAAATGGAAATTACTAGGAGACAATAAGATTTACAATTATTAAGGATGAAATATTAACAACTAAACGACAAGATTGTTAACAGAAACAATGTCTACGTATCCGCTTTTGAGTGAAACCATCTAAAACACTTATATATTATTTAATTCCATTTTTAAATCATCTTTTTTTCCATCTATTTTCTAATCCATTTCTATCAATATTGCTTATGGATTATACTTTTTATTAAAGAGATGATATTTACCTTATAAATAGTATTATATAAAATAACTACTTTCTTTTAATAATTTAAAAGCAGTGTCAAAACTTCTTTTGGACAAATCTAATATTAGAATTACATCCCAATCTGTGCACTGAGGATATATTTATTACAGTTCCTCAAATAACAATTAAACTAAGTAAAATCTTTTCATACATAGTTCTTCATTTCTTTAATATAACCTCACACATCTAGGACGAAGACTTGAACTTTGAAACTGCAACTATTAACATTGAGTGCCCAAATGAACATTCTTCTCCTTCCTTTACACTTATTCAATCTTAATTTTCATTTTATTTTATTTTTATTCAGATTTAGATACTTTACTATTTTTCTTTTGATTTCTTGTTTAAACTTATTGAACTAATGATTTGCATGAGTCATCTTCATAAATTTTACCTGACTAAACTAAATCATCCAAATCTAAGAGTCTTGAACCTTATAATTGAATAGTGTTGCTAAATCCCATAGTATTTAATTTATCATTTTCAACTATCATCGAATTTTAAGATGTTATGAACTATTTATTTGATAGCTCAATGTTTTGATGAGAAGCAAAATTGCAGAAATAAGGAAATGCCCAAGATTCCCCTTTTAAATATAATTATGCAAGCAACTCAAAGTAGTTAAGCTTACTCATTTGATAATTTATTTATTATTAATGCTTGAATGATACTTTAGATATTTATTGTATAATTAGTTTGTTAATATATAAATTTCATAATCAAATTTTTTTATGCATTTTGATTAGGGAATGAATGTCTTCCAAAACTCTAAGCTTATTTTATGTTGTGACTTATTCTTGTTTCACCTACAACACTTATCTTGATTGAATTTCCCTTTCACTTTCATAAATTCTAACTTTCTCTTCAATCTATAAATTAATTTAAACGATTTACTTGTTTTAATGAGTACTGACTCTATTCAATTTATTATTTGTATTTAGCTGATTTCTAAGCGTGCTTGAGGATTTCCTCTTCTTATGACTTTATTTTCTGCTTAAAATCATTCTCCCTATTCTTGTACTCCTTAACCTCTTCTTTACTTTAAGCTAACTATTTAACAAGATGATCAATTTTTATTTCAATTTCATCCATTGTTTTATCGTTCTCATGTTTCGTCAATTAGATATCATTTTCTAAATCTCTATTATACTGTTAGGTTTTTGTTAACTGTTCCTATAAATGAAGAACTTAATTTTTAAGCTAAAATATTATATTTTAAGTATACTTATTCTATGCTACGAAAATCTTGTCGAGATTACAATTCAAATTCTTCAATCTTTTGTTTCTTTGTCTATAAAACTGACTTTTAATCTTAAATTTCAAGTACGAGACTTTAGATTCTATTCTCCGCTGTTAACAATTTATTTTATTAATTATCAACAACAGATTTAAGTTCAGAATTGATCTATTATAATTTCTAATAATCTTAAATTTGAATTTAATGATTCTTCTCTTCATTATCAAGTAATCTTTAAAAATCAATGATTTTTTAATTTAAATTATCAATTGATTATTTTTACTCATTAATTTTTTATTTCTTTTTTTCAAGTTAATCTTTGTAATTAGATACTCTCTTTTCAATTTCTGATTCTTAAGCCTATAAAAATATCTGCTACTGCTTTTCAACTTTAGCTAATTAAGCATAAGCCTCATCATATTTATAAGTAGCTTAATCTAACTATTGCTTATAGTAATTGGCTTATTAATTTAGATATTCTATCTAAGATTGTTAATCAGCATCTCTGTATCGAAGATCCTAATACATTTATTCAAAATATCGAATTTGCTCATCTCTATTAATTAATTCATCTCTTTATTTTCCTAATTGTTCCTCCAATTCCTTATTTTATTCTTCTTGATTTTTTCTACGTCTAACAAATATGATTACATTTCATTTGAAAAATCTTCGCATAATTTTTATACTCTTTCAAGTTCCCTCCCAAAGTTTTAGCCTTGTTCTTCATAAACTGTCTCTGCTTATTTTAACTAATCCCTCAAAGCAGTTAATTTTTATTTCTTATCTCCTAATTTTTATTTTAATATATGATTTTGCTATTGTAATTCTTCAATCAACTTTTCAGACGTCTCTGCTTTGATTTTAACTTCTTTGGTACTCGCATCACCCTTATTAATAGAATCCATTAATTATCTATTTTCTTATTCCAATGCTCTAATTTATTTATCCTTAGCTGATAACTTCCCTTCTAACTCTTTATTAACAGTCATATATTCCTTAAGTGTAATCTATTGTAGCTTATAAAGAATTGTACTTTTAACTCCTTATTTAATATTCTTATTCTTTCATATTTTTCTCTTTCCTACAAATCCTTAGCATTCAAGGTATCCCTTAATCTACTTATTTACTCCAATGACCCACTCTGTCTACGTCTTTCTCTTGAAGAATCATCACTAGGCGTTTAGGTATAAGAATTACTCATCATCATTGAGTTTGCTTGGCCTCGATCTGCCTATAAAATATGTGACAGGTTATTGAGGAGTGGGTTCATACTACATGATCTAGTCGATCTACTGACTTGTTTTCTTATAACGATCCATGAGTTTATTGACATTTCTCTCTAATCGGTTATCCATTATTTAAATTCAAAATTATTATAATTCAGGTTAACTTTATTTTCTTAATTCTTACGAATCAATCATTTTCATCTCAGATTCTATATGCTACAGGTCATGGAATGGGTTCTTCTCTTCTACTGACAATTCCAATTTTTGTGATTGCTTAAGTTATTCTTCATTTTCTTTGTTCTCTATCTCCTTTTCTTTCTCTTTTTCTTTCTCTTTCTCCATGTCAATATCCACATTCTTTTAATTGGACTTTTAATTGTTATTATCATCATCATCTTCAATCAAATTAACTAAGTCAGAATCCTTATGATTATTTACGACTAACACTTCACTATGTGACAATTTTACACTCTCTGGCTGCCCATCTCCAATATTTAAATTCTATTGCTAATCATCTAAATCCTCTTCTTCTTAACTTACATCGAAGGGAGAGTGAATTTATTATAGAAATATTCTGGATGATCTATTTTACCTTTGTATTAAAGCATAAAAATGATCAATTTCTATTTTGCTTAATTAAATTTCCACCGAATTGAGTATCTCCAAATAAGCCTATAATAATTCTATAGATTTACATCAATATTGATGTATCCACTCGTATAAGTTTCTGGATATTTCTTCATTATAATGTCTGAGATCTCATTCCTTTTCTTCATTATCTATTGATTGATATTACTGAGTTATTCTACAGTTAAGATCTAATAGTTTTCCATCAAAGTTTTAAAGATACTTCTTACTCTAGCACTAGTCGTTGTTTCTGTTTCATTTTCAACATCGGCTAAATAGATGGCTGCCATCTCTACTTATTCATTTGATGATAAACCAAAGATTCTATTTGACAGATTTTACTTTAACTATTATTGAGTTAGAATTTCATCTGTTAATAGGTATTCTTCAACTTATTAAATTGAAATCTTCAACCCAATCAAATTCAATTTGACTTATCTTGCAATAGCTAAAATATCATTTTTATCCACATTGATAAATTTCTTTTTTTACATTTCAATTTCTTCTTATAATTATCCCTACTCTTCAGGAGGTTATGGCCCATTGTTTTTTATAAGGATAGTCCTTTTTTATTAGTATTTTTATAGTTTTTCTAATTCATATTCTCTTTACAAAGTTTCAAATTGTCTCTTTTGTTCAGCAATCCTTTTTTCCAAATTCTCTATTTATTCTTAATGATCTGCCTACAGTTTTTACATTTAGTTTTCCAAATACTTGTTCTTTTATCTTTCATTCCTCAAATCAACCATGGCTTGATCATAACCCAACTGCAATTGCTCTTCAATCTTCTTATTGTCTTTCTGTTGTGGTCTTTCAAGGAAATATGTATCTTTCTTCTTTAGTTCTGCAATTTCCAATAGTAATTATGCATTGAGATTCTTGATTTATTTATATTTATTTAAGATTGCATTATATTTTATGTTCATTTTACTGTAATTATTCTAAATCTAATAAATTTTCAGTACTTGTGTTTATATAACTGACTATTCCAATTGCTAAATTAATTACGTCATTCTCATATTGTCTTCACTAAGAGACATACACAATCCTTCTACGTTGTTTTTGCTTTATGGACTCTGCAATTGATTGATATATGATGCTTATTCCTATAATTATTGTTGCAATTTGAAGTTCAAGTCCTACATAAATATTTAATATACTTCCAGTTTAGTGATTTTCTCCAAAAACCCTTACTTTATTCTAACATTATTCTTTTGAGGAGCACTTTCTTCTTTTAAAAAGGATTGCACTTCTCTCTTGAAATATTAATTTTTAGATTAAAACTATCGCAATGCTAATTTTAAGTGATTGTTTTCTTATTTCAGATTTTAAACTTCCTCATAAAGACTCTCTTTATCATGAATTATATATTTAGCTCTCATTTTACTGGCTTCTGCATTATCAAGCGTTCTATTTCTCGAATTTAAATTAAATCTATTCAATTGCTTTAAAGATTGCACTTAATGTGATTTCTATATTTATGATAATGATAGCATCCTTTTATTATATAATTAATTATAAAATTACAACATTTATATGAGCTATTCAAAATAAATGCATCATTCTCATCACATATTCAAAACTAAGAGCTTTAATTCCTTCCAAGCTAACTTCAATTACTCAAAAAGCAAAACGATTAGGATTTATTCATTTTATGGCAAAAATAATCATCATTAATAAATATCGATAGCAAACTATACTTAAGTGTGCATTCTGAATGGATCTCAGAATCAATATATAATTTAAATTATGGATGAGTATAGAAGTAACATTAAGATAGTAGTAGGGAAGGCAAATTACAATTATAAAATATTAAACTTAATTCAATTCACTTTTTTAATGAGTTCTCCACTCTATTACATGTTTCGTTGATTAATCTAATAATTGTTCTCTCTGTTTCCTCCCTTTGCGATTTCTCTTCAGCTAATTACAATGATAAAATGCTTGTTATTTCCTGGACCATCATCTGCATCTGATTCTGAGATTCTTACCTCTATTATTTCTCCGTATTTATTGCTTCTTAAACTGAGAGAACTTATTCTCCTATTCTACCTATAATATTCTAGCAATACACCTCTCTTTAAATAAATAAGTTCCTTACCTTTCTTTTCTTTCGTTTTCAACATTCCCTCTTAATTCATGCATCTTATTTGTAAGATCTTAAGAGTACTGTGCCTCAGTCTCTTATCTGTATTACCTTTATCTTAATAATTTCATTTTGATATAGTGTGATTATTCATCAATCTACTTAGTAATTTTGACTTAATTATCTATTCTCTTTATTTTGTCCTTCATTAATTCATTCTTAACATGTGTCTCAAATTTTTTCAAATCTTTCTTCTTAAAATTATCATTATTATTCTATCAATAAATTTTATTTAAATACATTTCTAACATTTTATTCATTCGATAACATCTCACCCATCTTATTCAACCGATTTTATAACGATGTGAGCCTTTGTAAATCATTTTAATGAGCTTTCTAAAACTTTTCATCAATCTAATTTAATTTTTCCTCATAAACTTCTTTTTTGAAGGAATGTTAATCATTAATTTGTATTTATGAATGCTTAAATCTAATCTCCTCAATTTGTGCTCTACTACCAGAACCTATATAATTGAGGAGTTCCGCTTACTTGAACTTCTATAAATGGGAGATAAGATCTATGATGAGTTTGTGTTTTTGGTTGAATTAGGTGATAAATAAATTTTACTATTTAACATAAAAAATAAATTATCCAAATAATTTTTTTAAACATACATAATTAAATGTATCTAATTTTAAAACCATGTTGAAGAAAACTATTTAACATAAAAAAATAAAACAAAATTATTCTTTAGAAAAAAACACTAATAATCTTATAGATTCAACCTAATATTGTTTTTGGATCAATAAATCATATTAAAGTTATATATAATATTGACATATTTAGTATTAATGATGATATATTAAAGAAACTTATTATTATGTTTTACGATTATAAACAATTAAATTATAAATTATTTGTAACAAAATAAATTATTAATAGTTTGAAGAACCTATGAGAAATTACAATTGAACCCAATTTAATATAAATTTTTAATTCATTAAGGTTTCTGACTTTATTAAATATATATATAGAAGTGAGTAAATATTTAATTATAGAAATGCACATATTAATTATACAATAATATAAAGTTTGAAGATGAATGTTGTGATAATGATAATAAATACAGATGTGATGACTTAATATATAAAAATATCATCTTCCTAAGCTTCTAATCACTTCGCTTGTAAATTGATCTGTTGTAGCATTACCACCAATATCTTTAGTTTTAATCTAAAAAACAATTAGAATGGTTAATTACTTTTTTATCTTAGATAGTATGTTAAACAGCTCTGCAAATTTAATCAGCAAAGTTTGGTAAGCCTAGATGTCTTAACAAAAGAGTGGAAGATACTAGCATAGCAGAAGGATTCACAACATTTTTGCCTAGAATATAAACATTATTATTACCTGCGATATCTCTTCCTGTATGTCTACAACCTTGGGAAAAGAGAGCGTGATCTTTACCAATTGATGCTCCAGCAGCCATACCAACTCCTCCGGTGATACCAGCCACAACATTTTATACAATAGATCCATAAAGATTTGGCATGACCATCACATCAAATTGAGTTGGGTTTTTGACCAATTACATACAACAATTATCAATGATCATTTCTTCATATTTAATAAAAGAGTATCTTTGAGCCACTTCTCTACAGGCCTATAAGAATAGTCCATCAACAAGCTTCATGATATTAGCTTTATGGACAGCTGTGACCTTTCTTCTGCCACTAAGATGAGCGAACTCAAATGCATATTCAGCTATTCTTAGAGATGCTTGTTTTGTGGTCACTTTGATTGATTCTACAACTCCTGGATAGACTTCATGTTCGACACCTGAGTATTCACCTGCGAGATAGTTAATTATGGTATTACCTTCTGTATTTTCTCTTATCACGACTATGTCTGTATTATTATGTCTTTGTGTTATTCCTTCCACAGAGAAGGCAAAAGTAATATTGGAATATAAGTCTAAGTATTTATAGAACTTGTAGTTGTCTGTATATTTCTAATTCTTCTCAGTCATCACACCTAAAAGAATGCATTCATTTTTTCTAAGTTGACTCTTTGAATCGTCATTCTCGAAATTGAAATTGTCTAACACATCGAATTTGATTGGAACGTGTAATGCTTCGAAGACAGTCTTTACACTATCTAACATTCGCTATATTTATTACTTGTTATTTCAGGTCCAATTCCTACTCCAGGAATCAAAGTGACATTTTTTAATGCTCCTTCTCCAGGCTTTTATAAATAGTTTTAAGACCATGCACCTCGGAGTTAAGGATTTTAACGAAAAGCTGATCTAATGCAATTCCTCATAAATAAATTTTTATAAAATATATTTATATCATGATTGTGCTCATAAGAACCCCCATATCATAGAATAATTCATATTATTATTATAAATTATTATTATATAATTTTATTATTTATGTCATAATATAATATATATATTATAACTCTATTAGTTAGTCATTTGATTTCATTTATCTCTAGCCATGCAAGTAAACAAACTGGCAATCCTCTAGAACACAGTTCTATCTGCTATATTACTTTTCTGTTAAGAAGCAATTTATTAGGGATGATAACTCGCTTGGGTTTCATCTGAATACGAATTTGAGGACTCTTCAACTTTCGCCTTATTTTAATCATCTCTTGTTAAAAATGGATGCAAGAATATCTGATTCAACGAGATCCTCTCATTGGGATTGGGATTTAGCATTCTCAAAATTAAGTCCTTTGCTTATTGATCCACAATTGTAAACTTGGGCTCTGTGAATATGAGAATCTACTCTATCATTTCTGCTTCAGTACCTACCATATCTTGACACTTCTATACCTGTTATAATTGGCTTTTTCTCAAGCATCCAATACAGTAGGCATCCCAAGCTCCAGATGTCCACTGAATAAGTTTAAGGGTAGTTCCTCAATATTTCTGGAGCCATGAACTCGTAAGTCCCACTAAAATTACTAATGATGTCTATATGAGTAGCCAAACCGAAATCACATAATTTCACATTTTTTTTATGGTCTATCAACACATTACTTGGCTTTATGTCTCTGTGAATGATCCCTTATGAATGCAGGTATTACAAAGCATTACACAATTGCAATATCACCTGTTTGGGATCAATATACAAATTTGTTGTCAAGTGACCATATTCTAAGTTTGTTTTAATAATTTACTTGCGTATTCCAGTACCAAATATAAATTATCATCTTACTCCAGAAATTACAATAATTAAATTATGTACTTATGCTTAAGTAGCTTATGAATTTTGAGTTCCCTGTTCCCATTATATTTATTGATTTTTTTTATTGCAAAATTATATCCATTCAGTTATTTTAAATAAACTTATCCAAAACTTCCTGACCCTATCAAATCCATCTCATCGTTCAATTAACTTAAAGAGACCTTCGGAACTAATTCAAATAAACCATTACAAACCAAATAATGGTATCCTTCCCTACCAAATTACCAATCATTATTTACCAATCAAAATCTCTACATTTCGTTGAACAGTAAAATGCGTTTGAACAGCTATCACAAGTGACTTGAGTTCCATTCAAAATTGAATTATAGGGTATATCCCTGCTACATTTCGAATTCTGGCAATTCATTTGAAGTTTCAGAAAGGAAAATTTATTAACTAAAATAACAAATACATTTTTAAAGTATTATATTTCATTCACTTATAATCATTACGCAAAGATATTGTTGCTCCTTTCTTCATCTAATTAAGTCGTGACTATTCTCAAGCATCAGAACATCATATTCCATATAAATCTTGGATCTTCATTACTTCTCTATTTGTGCTAATTACCTATAAATCTAGTGCGTTATTTCAAGCCGGTTGACATCCCTGCTATTTTAAATTAAATAAAGCATTCAATAACTATCACTCAATTCATTCTTTAATTATTGTCTCTACAACGCTTTTGTTTAAATAAGCTGAATTTGACACTTCCACATTAAAGAACATAAGTAATAATATAATATTGACATATACTAGAGAATGCTAATCAATAATCATTGAATAAACAGATTTGGAATATATTTTATTTCGGTTTATTTACAAATTAATTTATTTTATGATTAATAAAAATTAACTTTTCAAGTATTTCTTTATTATAAATAGTACCTTTTTGATTGAAGTATAAATGCAATTAAGATACAATCAATGTATAAAATGACTGTAATCCATTAACATGACTATATTGATAGCAAATAAATGTCATATTTAACAATGTAGTAAATAAAAACATGAGTTGTTTTTTATTCTATAGGCTTGGATTGTATTAGTAGTAATACTCTTTTATTTTTATGATCCTTTATGTGAGCTATAATGGAAACACTTATGTAATTTAGAATATAAATAAGATGATCATTTTTTTAAATTAGTTATAAAAAGAAAGATATTTTGAATTTATTTAGCTGTAAATTCATATTTATTATATTTATTCAGATAAGTCTGAATACTCACATGCTTTCTTCTCCTGTTGAAACAAGATTCAAAAATAATAGGGAATCTATGTCAAACATAACAATCAATAAACTAGTACAACCGAACAATGGTCAATTGAAGAAATCTCATTATTATTCACAAAGTCATCAAATTTTGGATTAACTAATAGATGAAAATCATTTTTTTATTCCCAAATACAGTTTGAGAAGAGTTAAATATTCAGATTAAAATAGTAAAACTGCATTTTCTAATTACTTAGTTATGAAAAACTAAACAATAGAAAAATCATTATAATCCTAGTTAATCGATAAGTATTTGCATGAGAACAGCATTCAACTTCACCGAATTAAGCCTTTTAAGTAAATTGCCTTCAAAGAATTAGTATCCTCTTCATAGGCTAATAAGACAATAAAAAAATAAGGGAATATGAACACAGAACCAAATTAGGATAAAAAAACACTACCCTTAATGCCTTAATCAAAATAATCCCAAGTCGTTGCTGATTTATACAAATTCACCTTTTATAGTCCCAAGACCTAAGAGAATAAACTTAGATTGCCTAAGGAATTCTTAATTCAACCTTGCAGCAGAAAAAAATATTTTATATGAGTAAAGTTATTGTATCTATATATATATATAATTTAATTATTAATTGTAAAATTCATAAGAATTTGATGTCTGTGAAGAGAATAGCATCTCCTTAAAGTAACAAATGCCACTCAAATGGTCGATGCCATGAGATTAAGACCAATCAAAGACTAGATTGTTTTACTAGTACAAATTGCAAAATTGATAAGGTATTCAAGTCTAAGGGTTATTAGTTTCTAGAGCAGTAGACATCAGTTAACTTATGCTACGGATCAAAGACATTTGAATTGCTTAACAAATAAGACTTTGCTAAAAGATAGAGATTCTAATCAGAGAAAATAAATGATTAATTAATTACTACAAGAGAACATAAAATTGAAAGAGCAAAATGATAAAAATAACAGATTAATAGAAATGTTAATCGATGAAAGAACAGATCTCAAACGAGTTACTAGTCTTCACATTCCTCATGAAAGAGATATTTAACAGTCAAAAACAAATTTTAGGCTTTAAAGTCCAAGTTAAATGGAATTTACATTTTATAAAAGTCCTAGTAGAGGCCTGCCTAAAGAATTCTAAATAACTCCGTCTAGGAAAATGTTTTTTTGAGAATTAAAAATACTGATATTTTATTAAATATTTGCTCTATAATTATACTAAATCAATAAAATTTCATCATGACCTATTACTTAAATAGGACAATAAGAACTGATCTATTTTAAGCACAAGTAAAATCAGAAATTAATTTATTTGTTATAAAATTGACTCGTATAATTTTTATAATGTAATTTATTATAAAACAATACTAACTCTAAATATTTTAACTAAAAATTAAATTCTCTAAAAATTAGACCAAATAATAAAATTTTCAAACAAATTATATCAATGGACAAGGATTAGGAAACAAAAAAGTTACACCTTTAGAGTGAATTATAAAATGTATAATGTAATTCTTCGACTGATGTAAAATTGGAGGAGATTGATTCATTTTGGAACTACAATCTTAAGTAGAGTGGTTCCGTTAATATAGAGGATTTATTCCAAATCTAAGCAGAGGACAATAGTACTCAGGAATAAATAGCTTCAAAACTGAAATAATTCTTGAAACCTCAAATTGAAAATGTAAATGTTAATTTCATGATTAGTTTTTGAAAGTCAATCGTAGAAATGTCAAACTAATTAAATATCCAAAGGCTTAGTGGAACTCCAATTTAAGTGTTTAGACCAAAGTGGGCAAATCATTATAACTTTCAGAATAATAGGCCCCATATTCTACTCATGAAAATTAAGTTATTGTTCACAATATTGCGCCATAATTAATACATCAATATACAAACTATTTAAAAATAGATCAAAACATAAAAGTAATTATTGTGTATAATATAGAGACAAGAAACATAAGATCTAAATTTTAAGTACAATTTTACTTCAGAATTGAGAGAAAAATATAAACATGACGTTCTTAAAGTAAATAAACAGTTTTGGAGATCTCAAGAAGGAGTGAAAGAAATGATTACCCTTAATAAAAAGTATGCTCTCAATCAAATGGACTTTAGTAAGTTTATTATAATAAATTCTAGTTTAAATTTATTCTTAATATTTATATTTAATTGAAAAATAAAATATTTCAAAATTATCTTTGGAAGAAATATATGAATACCTCTAATAATAAATAATTAAAAAGAATGTAACCATAGAAATCAATTTAAATTCATTAATTTAGATCTATTTACAATTATAAAATAATTAGTTCTCTGAAATAAAACAAACAATATTTTAGAAAATAAATCTAATTCAATAATTTGATTTGACTGCAATATAGAATTTATCTTTTAAATCATTTAGAACAAATGAATATCTTTAAAAAGATTTTGCATTTATTTGCAACTCCTGTTCATTGTACAAAAATAAATGTAAATGCAAATTTAATAACCATTTGGCTCAAATAAAAAATTTCTTAGAATTTTGCTGTATCTTAAATTAAAAACCGAACACAAAAAAACCTTAATGGTGCTTAGATGTGATAAAAGCTAATGCTCAAAACCAATGTGGAGAGAGATGTTACAAAAATAAGAACAACTTTGAGTTGTTAAGAAAGAAATCTAATAACAATGAATTAAACGAAGAATTTTAGCCTATTACAATAGATAGAGATCCATGTTTATTGGCTCAAATCTATGAGTAGGATTGTATGTCAATTTTCACTTAAGCTAGATATAGATATAAGGAAATTAAAGAATAATATTTATAATCACTTAAATAGATTCAGGAAAATCAAGACAAAGCAGCTCTTGTGAATTATCCATTTAATAATGCAAATTTATATATTCCATGTTGTCATCAGTAAGATTTCAAATGTGAAAATTGTAATTGTGATCAATTTTGTTCAAAATATTGTGATTGTCAGCAAGATTGGTGTTCAAAAAAGCTAAAAGGATGTGCTTGCAAAGATAGATGTTCAATAGATAGTAAATGCTCTTGTAGAAGAGACAATGTAGAATGTGATCCATTAGTATGTAAGTGCTGTACTCTCGACTCAAATTTAGTTTGTTCAAACACATAGATTTTAATCAACAATGTCAAACCTACCTTATTAGGAAGATCAGGAGTATGCAATGGAATTGGAGTATTTGCAAGGAATTACATAATGAAGGATGAATTAATAATTTTGTACATAGGAGAAGTACTAATTGATGATGAAGATGAAATTCGAGATCAATTTGATGATACATTCACATTTTATAACTATTCTTTAAATGATGACAAATATTCTTTGGAAAGTAGATTCTGTGGAAATGAAAGCAGATTTATTAATCACAACAGCTCAAATTTAATGAATTGCAAAACCAGGCAAATATTTTCATCAGGTATTTAATAGTACTAAATTTTAGGAAAATTTTAGTTAGCCATATATGCTCTCAAAGATATCTACCCAGAATAAGAGATACTTTTGAATTATAATGAAGGCGATCAAATTAATAGAGACCTGAATAATTGGGTTGATATCAACACTCAGTACTGGAATTATAGGTAAACTACCCTAATTGGAAAAAAATGATTTATAATTTTTGTGATGATTCAAAGTAATATCTTTATATATAATTATTTTTTCATTTCTAGTGATTAAAAGAGAGTTATTCATAGGCGGATAAGTATTTCCTCAAGTGAGTAAGAGAATTGTTGCATATATAAAGTAACTAGTGTTATAAATATTCAATATATTACTTAATACTTTTGAATTAGGACTTGAATTAATTAAAGAAGACTTTAAGCAAAGCTTTCCTATTTGAAATGGTAAAGATTGATAATCAAATGTATCATTTCCTCACTTTTTGTTTTTTATTCAAGTAGACTCTGTTCCTTCATATTACAAAATTCTATAACTGTTCTTAAGTTAGCTTTCTTTAAGACTTAATAATCATTTTATTCATTAGGGACATAACCATAACAAATATTTTTATTAAGCTAAAATACCATCTGTTTTAGATTTGTAAGTTCATCAGAGAAAATGAGTAGAGCATCTTTATAGTATTATTCTAAATTAGATATTTCTACTGTTTACATTAGCTATTTATATCCACATTATAAATTGGACTGGAAAACTCACATTTGTCAACAATATGATATTGATATTGAATTTAAGAGTCATCAACATTAATAAGAAATTTCTACTATGATATTCCATCCTTAATTTTCATTTGAACTCTTCTCTAAAATTGACCCATCGAAGTTTAGGATCCAGCAATATAGATTTAGAAATTCTTTGGATTTAGACATTGAAAACATATTCTCCTGTGGTTCCAGACATCAATTGAATGTTTATTAGTTACTCTGTTGGGACCTGACTCCCAGTGTATATTTTCAACCTTATCATACTGAGAAATAAAATATTTATATTCCAGACTATGATAAGCTACCTCTGTTACCCAAATATCATTCTAATATCAATATTAATCTATACCTAAGTCCAAGTCATTCGAATTGCTTGCTCAGGATTCCATTGTCCTAAATATTTTGATTTCCCTGAAATATATAAAGCTTATTCAAATTCAACTTTGTAATGGATTTATAATTGGATCATTTTAACTATTTAATAATAATTTTCAAAGGATTTATTTTATGTTGGTTAAGATGCTCATATTAATAAAGGAAATTTTTACGAAAATGATATAATATGTATAAAAAATAAAATTATTATAAAAATACTCTAATATCTAATAAAAATGTATGATCTTCATAGATATTTACATATGTAGTATAGGATTGAAAATAGAGTAATAAGCCATCGGAAATTTATATATATTTAATCAGTTTAATTATTCACGATTACTGAATATCTCACCTTATTCATGTTATTTTTATTCATTATTATTATATTTAGATAAAAATATATCTATTAATTTTTGTAATAAAGAATAAATATATAAAATTGTTTTTTTTCATTCCTAGAGCTTCTTTCGGTATTTAATTCGGTTAATAAGTAACCATACCATTTAATATATATAAGACAGTTAATTATAGACATTAATATGACACACATAAGGCAGCAACATCTTTTTGAATAGAGCAGCTCTTTATTTATGTTTTGCTCTGAAATATATACTTTTGGTCTAACATTTCTTATTATGTAATAAGACATCTTTTAATAAGTAAAACATTCCATCATTTAATAAAAGTTGCCAATAATAATATTTAATACTCAGCTTGTCTTCTAGTTTCTCGATAAGATGAACTTATTCAAGAGATTAAATAAGTTGTAATTTTTTAATCGTTAAGTTTATAGGAATTCATTTATATTTGGTCTATTCCTCATAATAATGCTTCTATAAATTTTTCAAAACTTACTCACTTTTCCCTTTGAAGTATGATGGTTTAATATGATACTCCATTAATTCAAAATGAGAATTCGAATGGAAATCTACAAGAAAAAAGGATAAGAGCGTATAACTCAAAGTAATATTATCGTATGACACTCTTAAAGTTCAATTAAGAATGGATCAATTTTAAAATAATTCTATAGATAATTTTAAACTTATAATCATTATCATTATTTGCATTATTGTTACACACAAGTTGAGAATCTATTGATTTATCCACTTGTTTTATAAACCTAACAATGATAATATTTAAATGTTACAATTTGAAAAATTTAAGAACAATTATAGAATCACCATTTATTCAAATTTTTCTAAAAATAGATAGTCTTCTGCTAATTGTGTTCCGATATAGGAAAAGCTCGAAAGAGATTCGGTTGGATGACTTGTACTTAATACCTTATGTAATTATTATGAAAGAATTATATGATGTTCTTAAAATTTAAAAAGGGATTATTGGATGGACAATAATAAGAATTTTGATTATCAAAGTTACCTGTAAGTATGGTATAAATTATCTCGTTATTATAATCATTAATAATAATAAAAAACTAATATGGATAATAGATTAAGACAACAATCAGCCATGACATATTTAGAATACTTAACCTATCATAATAAGGAGCCAGATTCTCCTCGAATTTAGTAATAACATTTTTAAAAGGAATAGTCCAAAGGAAAGTCCAGTAGAGCCATTATCAGATCTAGAATTGAGTCCTATTTAGGAGAAATAGAGGAAAAAGTTAGTTGTATCGAGTTGTAAAGTTATCAAAATATGTTCTAAACTTTGATTATCAAATTTATATAGTTAAATAAGGTCAACAAAAAATGAATATTTTAAGATATAAAATATAAAAAATATTTGTGCTTAATAATAAGAAATTTAATTTTATTTCTCAAACTTAGATGTTGGTAAAGTCAGCACTTTCAACAACTGATAAGGCTTATTCACTGACGCCTAACTCTCTTGTGAATTCGTTCTTCAAGTTAGTGTAAATATCTGTTTCTTCAGCATAGGTGTTGTTTTCTAACTCAAGTTCTGCAATATATTGTTTTCTATCAGCTTCTCTTTAGTCTCTGAATTCACTTAATTGATCGATCTTTTCTAGTTTGATTAATTTTGATTTAATTACCATTTGTAGCAGTCAAGTCGACATTGAGTCTATTGATTTGTCTTTAGAATTCAGCAAATTCAGTATCCAATTAGGACAAATATTCTTCGTGTTCAGCTTAAGCATCAGCTTCGGCAGCTGTTTAAGCATTAATTGAATCAACAATAGCATTTCTGAATTCATTAAGAGCATTAACAATTTGACTAATGATTCCTTAATCTGAGAAGTTTTAATTGGAAGCTAAGGTGATAAGGGCTTTGATCATGGGAGCCATCTTGGATCTAGATTTGATTTTGGATTCAATATTTTTCAATGAATTTTAAAATCTCTTGATTTGGAGGAGTGATGGATTTGTAAGGGATGAAAGAAGGGCAAGGGCATCATCAACAGCGGCTGTGGCATCATTTAATTCTGCAACTTAAAATTCAAAATCTTCGTGCTCTTATTCTCTAGTAAGAACAGCTTCTTCGTATTTTTTTCTATTGGCTTCCTAATATTCTTGAATTTATTCGATTCTGACTTCAAGTTATTCTTTTCTTGGGAAAAGTAAGTTATCCAAGGTATCTTATGTGTTGTTAACATCTAAATTATTATTTTATTATCTTACCAATGACAGCATCCTAAATATCTTATTCAAATCCAATCACAAGTGAATTGTGTTGGTTTGTTCTTTATTAGAAATTAAATTCTAATTCTTCTAATTCTTCTTCTAGGTCATTAATAAGCTCTTCAATAGCATCAATCAATTCTTGTACTGGTCCTCCAGCCATTGAGTGAAGTTCAACTAAATGAAGTAGTGCATTTCCATAAGTGCTTTTTTTCAAATCAGTTGTGATTTTTGCGAAATTCTTTTACTAAACTCTAGCAGTGAATGCAATAGTGATCAAGGCAATAAGCAACACTGTTTTCATTAAAAATAATTATGAAAAAATTTGAGAGAAAAAAAATGTAAAAACAAAAACGACTAGCATATTTTTAATTTATTATCAATTTAATCATTTTCGAAAATGCTTCAAAAACTAAAATCAATTAAGTTCCAAAAATTAAATAAATAGCAACTATTGTAAGACACACAAAATTCATATTAGGGATCTAATATTATTGAATTATTGTTTATCTAAACTAGCAAAAACTAAACTTTATATTATATATCATAAAGTTATTTGCATAGAATATATTATTATCGTAAAATTATCATCTTATAATATATCTTGAATGTGATCTATTCATTTTTAAAAAGTAATAATTTTATAAAAGTCTTCGAAATTCACCATATCATCCTTATCAAAGTCAGCTCGTTTTAACATTTCATTCAATTCGTTTTCATCAATATTTTCACCAACTTCCCTACAAATTTGCTTCAGAGATTCCAATTCTAAACACCCTTTTTCATTTGGCTTAAGAAGATCAAATACTTCCTTCAAATTGTCCTTAGATTTGATATCTGATAATCGAACTGTCATTAGATCTAAAAATTCATCAAAATCTATTCTTCCATCTTTTTTGTTTGTCTATGCAATCTCAATTAAATTGTTTAGCAATTATTCATCTGTTGCAAATCCCAATGAAGCCATCACTGTCTTTAATTCTCTTGGATCTATTTCTCCCCCACTTTAAATTTTTAGTATAAAATATACCCATCTTCATCAAATATGTCAAAGGCCTCCTTGATTTCTTTGATTTCTTCCTCTGTGAATCCAGGCCTCTCATATGACTTGATGTTAAATTTAATGGGTCCAGGAGCAAGACCAACGAAGGATTTCTTTGGTTACATTAATTTATAAAATGAAATAAAGGCCTTTATTTCTTAATGTTGACCTGTCTCCTTAACCAAATAAAACTCCAAACAAATCACCAATATAAAGAACAAAAACGCCACTAAAAGAAACTTAAAAATCGTAAACGAGATTCCATTCTCCAATTGATACTTAGCCTACCCGTTAAACATCAACAATCATCACTGTATTTATACAACGTTACTTTTTGGCAATAGGAACTAATATCCAAGAGAAGTGGAGCAACTGGTAGATCTTAAACATAAACAGCTGCTGAACAGGAAATTCCAGTTAAATAAACTACTGATTTCTAGACCATCTACCAACGTAGTTTAAAAGCTAACTATGTTCCTAAAATATCTCACATCAATGCTCAAACACCTCCAAAATAATAGAGTGTTCCTAGTCCAGCCACTCCCCTAAACCATTAATTCATTTCATAGAATATAGAGAAAACACTGCCCATTCATGCCAACATTGTTAATAAGCAAAAAGAGAAAGTGCAAATTTACATAAGGATTAAGCCAAACCTCACAAACGAGAAGTCCGTCGTCAAGAAGCTATCTAATCAGCATCTAGCAGTCCATACATTCGAGGATACAAACCGACAGTTTGAATTCGATACTATTCTAGATAATTCCTCATAAGAGGAAGTGTATAACCTAACCAGTAAGTAAATTGTATCAGATTGTATTGCCGGAAAGGCAAATGGAGTAGTAATTGTCTATGGATAAACAGGATCTGGTAAGACTCACACTATGGGACTTCTTGAATAATCAAAAGGAGTTATCCAATTGGCTATGTCTGACATATTTCAGCAGATTAAGGAGCAGAATGAAAATGGCAGCAATTTTAAAATCGAAATGAGTTTCATTCAGATATACATGGATAAAATATATGATCTATTAAACAACAATGGGTAATAGTTGTAGATAAGAGAATCCAAAGATTCCATTCCATATATACAGGGAGCTGTCTAAATTTCGATTGAAGATCAAAATGATGGAGTACAATTAGTCTCATTTGGGATCAAAAACAGAGTAGTAGCATCTCAAGTCATGAATGTCAATTCTTCAAGATCACACACACTTTTGACAATTTATATAAAAAAGTAAGTTTAAGATAAAGTTATCTGTTCCAAAGTTGCCTTTATTGATCTAGCTGGTAGTGAAAGAAATAAAAAATCATTATCCAAAGGCTTAAGACTCGATGAAGCCACTTATATAAATGAATCTTTGTCAGCCTTAGGAAATGTTATTGCAGCTTTGGGATAACCTAATTAATAGCATGTTCCATATAGGGAATCAAAATTAACCAGAACACTTCAGGGATATTTAACAGGAGAATCGCAGATTTCCCTTATATGCACGATAACAAAATTAGCAGATAGTACTAATGAAACCCTTTAAACACTGATGTTTGCATAAAGGTGTAAGGATGTGGTATTGAGACCATAAAAAATAATACCAATATAGGATGAAGAAACAATGGACAATGGAGATCTATTAAAATAGATAGCTGAGTTAAAAGAAACGATTAAAGATATGCAAGAATAATAGCAAAAATAATAAATATCATAATAAAATTAGCTATCAAAATAATAGGACAAAGATTTCCTAAAATTTCTTATCAATATCATTCTGAAACTCAAATAGTACACTTTCAGTAACATATCCAGTTGCCAGCTCTAAGAAAAGTAGGCTTTAGCAGAAAAATTCTTACAGGATAGCACATATTATTAAACCATATAATTCCCAAAAGAAATTTAAGTCATGATGATGGAATAAATATAATCATAAGAGATCGATTAATAAAAAGTGGAATAATGTCTGGATGGCAATAAAGAGCAAATTAAAGATCTTGCTAAGAGCTTTACCTAAGATATTCATTATTTAGTCTAGGCATTCAAACAATATTCAGATATGCGTTATAATTATATTATTGAGAAAATACTTGAATAATATAGACAAAAGGAAATTTAAGTTTGGGCTAAAGGTTTGGCTTATTTATTAATAACTGTAAAATAACTTTTAAATTAATTATATGAGATCAAGCAATTTGATATAGCCTCAGACATCTATTTGGAAGGAATTAAATAATAATTATATCACTTAATCAATGATAAAGGAACTATGTATAAATCCCCATAGAAGATTTGTGACCTGATAGAGAAATTCTATAGCTCTGAAACCGATTTTAGTTTTAATCAAATGAAAAAATTCTCAAGTAGTCTAAACATTCCATCATAAACTATGTCTGACAAATATAAGTAAAAGATAGAAAAATTGATTGGCACTTATGGCTAAGGAGTTAAGGTTGTCAAACCAACTGAACCTCCTCCAATATATCATTCCCCTTCTGTCAATGTTTCCACACTAATTCAAAGTCGAAAATTCTAATAAAATCCATTTAATGATATATCTTCTTTGACTGAATAATAGGCTGCTTCATCTGTTGAAGAATCAAATTTAAGAGAAGAAGTACATGTGATACCCAATAATGAAAGCCTACTTTAAGGAAAATTGAGATTCAAAGAGGATGAATTACTGATTTATTCCAGAAATCAAATGGCAGCGCAAATGGCAGCAAGAAAAAAATAGTTAAAATGACTTATACTTTTTCCTAGCTAATTTAAAATAATTTAATATTATTTATATATATTCCATAAGTCTTTCCCAATGATTACTCTTAATCATCTACACTAATAACTTTTATTGATTTATAAACCATCTTTTAAAGTAAATTTATATAATTATTAATATATTCTCTTAATTAAAATAAGAAAATACAAGAAGGAATAAATAAAATAGAGTCATTATTTAAATTTCATTGATAGTTTATTGATTAATATAAGAGTCTAATTAAGTATTAATTGCATATATTTTTATCTAAAAATAATAAAAGAAAAATCTTAGAAGGTAAAGCTCTTCAAGGGTTACCCCAAAGAGAATATAATATTTGAACTCCACAATTTTATGAAATAGTGAGAGTTGTGAATACTTAATATGAATAATTCAGAGAATGAAAAATGATAACAAAAAATCTATTAAATACATTCATTGTCTCTGATAAAATAATACATAAGAGTTCTACGATTTTTATAATTCATCATCTACCACTTTATTTGAGTATTCCGAAACTCTTTAATCATTAAAGTTATACCAGCAGTCTTTTCCCTTAATCAAACTAAGATGTTTATTTAATTAATTTACCATGTATAGTGTCCACTATAAATACTGTATCCTTGATGGTTGATAACTGCATACAATTTATACTAAGGACTCTAATCACAAAATCCTTTAAGAATAAGATTTTATTCAATCTCAATAGCATTGTTAGATCTGGTTTGCCTTGAATCATATCTTTTTAACTAAATTACTAACACTAAAGGGGCAGAACTCAAGTTAGATCGTCTTATTAAGGGACTTGTCTTTTGACATTTTTTGCATTTCTCTTAAGAGTTTAATTATTCTGGTTTGAAATATTCAGAGAGTAATTGACTCAGTCTACATGATTGCCCAATGTAGATGGATAAATTGATAAATTGTTCAATTTATTTGCTGGAGTTATTGCAATTTTAGCAATTTATTTAATAAGTCAATTAACCATAGAATGGTTAAGAGAGAAAGCCTGTATTTACAATGTCCAAAAAAACATGGAAGAATTCAATGCAATCTTATTGATTAAAATTATCAAATTCTCTGTGTTAATTCATCAATTTTTTAAATTGGATTATGTCATTATGTTCAGGTTCTATTCCTGCTTAAATGCTAAACCATATTTTATAAAATTGTTTAAACAACTCAGTGCTGTTTTTATTGTCTTTGTACTACTTCATAGCTGTACTAATGGCAGGAGTATTGAATAAACATTGCAACATAGAGTTTCTAGGATGCTTATTGTTCTTGCATACATGTAACAAGTATTGCCGATATTTTCAATCCCAATCCGTATTGGATCTACATCCTAAGCCTTTTAACTCATCTGCTCTTTATTTCTTGTGACAACTCCACTTCCATAGGCTGAATTAGTTGTTCTGTACATGTTTTAATTAAAATAAATTAATTAAAACTTGTCTTTCTTCAGAATAGGGAGTTTTATTTCAAACTTAATTTAGATTTTAGCAAAATCTCAAAATTACCTAGATGAAAAAGTAAATTTAAGAGTGAATATGTTAAGTTGTATTTTACTTATACCCAAAACGAAGAATCAATGCAAAAGAGAGCATTCCTAAAAATTATAATTTTACAATTAAGAGAAATTAAAATATTATTAATAGAGATTATAGAAATTTGTAATTTATTTATAAATAATAATATGAATCAAAGTTAACGCATTCTGATATTAGTTCTTCTCTTTTCTATAGGCGAATTACTTGAATTAAGTGGGCTAATATGCTTATAGAATATTACGGTAATTTATTTAATGACCCTCTTTTAGCCATTTGAGCAAGTTGCATAGAATTAGAATGCTGTAACTATTTTGTTTGCGATTATCTTTGTTAAGTAATTCTAAATGGAGATTATTTCTTTAATGGACTGGCAACATTTGTCTCAAAAAAGAGTTGACTCGTTGACCTGGCTTGTTTAATCCTCGATGTTGATTTTCTTTGGGTGGGATCTTAATTCTGTTGTCTAACAGTAATCTCTTATTAGGAGCCTTGTTCATTTAAGGGGATAATTAATCTGATGGCTTTAACAAAGGAAGTGCAATATTTAATGAATGTGAGAGCATTTATCAAGCAAATTAACTTCTATTTATTCTAGAAGATAGTCATTCTGTCATGAATGGTGATGGGTTGCCCTAGATCTCCTTCTCCAGTAATCCAAGGATGCATTAGGGCTTGTTCAGCTGACATTCTGGCTTCAGGGTTGATTGCTGCACATTTTCTGAAAAAGTTCTATGCTGACTTGTCCATGATGGTGAAGTTGACATTGTATTATTATATGCTCTCTATGAGATTCTCGTAATTAAATGGATGTTTCCTCTCATAGAGGAGATATTGGATGACTCCAATACTCCACATGTCTACACTCTTCAGATATGGCATTTTTAATATCATCTCTGGAGCCATGAAGAGGAGGGTTCCACATTTGTCGTATGAGATCTTGGATTCGGATTATTGAGACAAGCCAAAATCTATTAGTCTCACTCTGCCATCAAGTCCAACCAAGATGTTATCTATAAATTATAATCCTGATTACCAGGCTTGATATCTCTGTGAGTAATGTCTTTATTGTGTAAATACGTTAAGACAATCAACAATTATTTTATTATACTTTTGATCTTCTATTCACTCAAATTGGATTTGCTCAATTCAGTCAAATTTGAACCTTCTACATAATCCATTATGATGTATAATTTGTCAAATGTTTCATAGCTCTGTGATAATGATTAATCTATATACCGCGATATACTTCACTAGATTAGGATGTTGCAGTTACTCCAGAATTTCTACTTCGCGATTGAACAATTCACAATAACTGGGAACTGATTTGTCCAACACCTAACTTACTTCTCCACAGTTACCTTGATTGCAACTTACCTACTCTTGTACGTGCCCAAGTAGACTTAACTAAATGCTCCATTCCCAATCTTTTGCAATATATTGAGCTCATTCATTATTTTTATTTTAGGAAAATCTCTTATTTATTAATATAATCATATATATATTAATTAATAGTCAAAATGGCAATAGTTTTTTTTAATGTCACTCTATTTATTATCCCATATCCCATGTCTGATCAATATTATACCAATAATAATTAATAATAAAATTAAATAATAGATCAGTCTGGCAAACAAAATATAAAAACTAGTGTGTTTAAAAATGCTTCTGCTTAAGTTTAGTAAGATTAGTAAGGTATTATCTGAAACAACGCTGTTTGATTAGGGAATACAATTATTTTCAGTAAGAATTCTATTTACGGATTGCCTAATGTAAATGCTAACCCAAATTCAGTCTCAACATAATCTTTATCGGCTAAAATCTAGAAAATTATGTACCTTCGCTCAAAAATTCATCATTCAATCTTATGATATTATTTGATCCAAAACTTTTTAAAAAATCATCTTTTGATTTTATGATTTTAGGATTTAGACGTACTTACTCTGTCTTCAATATGCTTTTGGATTTGTACTCCCATCTAGCCTTGAACGAATCTATAGTTGTATCTCTAAAACTCATAAATTTAGTTAACAAACAAGGAATAGCAAAATGACATGTTCTTTTATCCTCTTCATCTGCTATTTCGTAACTAAATCTTCCTGAAATTAATTAATAAGGAACACGATTATAGTTAATGCATATCGGAACATACAACTATTAACTTGGGTTCAATATCAGTCTTCCCATTTAATCTCTTAATAATGTTTGACTATTTTGATGGACTGGTTCCTATGTCCATAGACCCATACAAGTGTCTCCTTCGAATGAATATTGGAAATTCTACAATATTGTTGATGTTTTATTTCCAAAACACAAACGAATTCTTAAATAATAACGATTTGTTATCTCGTGATAAACTAAATTGGAATCAAATCCAATTTGGATTTCTCGAGATTCAAATATGGAATATCTGTTCCTCAAGTTTGCTCTTTTTATTCTACTGATTCCGTTATTATTATAAATCTCTTCTAATATTGAGAAATTCCTATCATCATAAGGTATAAATTGCCCTTCATAGACCTTAGATACAAATCCCTATTGCCCTCTCAGATTGAAATCCTTCCCTGAAAACTAAGAACTCTAACTCCTATTATCATAGTGATCCTCAAATTAACCTTTATTTGGGCTTTAAAAATGCTCTTGTGATCTGGTTATGGGTAGTTTTTTAAAAGGAGGAGGAGGAGGAGAGGGTTGCCTATACTTTTCTGGTTGTTAATAAGGCTGGTTCTATTATTTAGTCTATTAATAATGTTATGGCTATTGTGTTCTAACATATGGATAGCTTTATTATAATGGAGGTTAATAAGCAGGTTGATGAACTTATTTTTAAATTTCAGGTTCTTTTCTTATAGGCTATTGTTAGGTCTGGGGCTATCTCTTGTCTGCATATTGTGGTGGTTTTGGAATCTATTATTATTATTATACTCTTTAATCAGGTTATGTATTCGTTTATTATTATTAAGGTTATTTTTAAGTAGGTTTGCTGCCATAATTTGCTGGGGGTTTTGGTTTTTCAGATCCTGTAATTTCTCTTGTTGCTTATAGGACTTCATAACGAAAGATCTAATAGTTGTCATTGGTAAATCCTTCTGCACGCATGTTTTTGTTTGCTTCAATTAAAGTTGTAATTATTTTATATCTATAGCCAATCTGTTTTCTTTGGCCTTCCCCTAATTAATTTTGATTAGCCTGCAATAATTCCAAATTGGGTTTTAATTTCTCTGCATCGTTACAGGCATTTTCCATCACTAAAATAAACTAACAATTTACATTAATCCATAATTTCCGTTGCTTAATCTTCGCCTTTTAAATTTTGTTCCAAACTCTCCACCAAATCATTAGTTTGAGTAAACATTTCTTGATACATTTTTTTCAGTTCATCTAGACTAATATCATTCATGTTGATTTTTTATTTTTATTATTCAGTTGGCATACTATAACTTTTTAATTTCTCCTTTTTGTTCTTCAGTTAACTCAAACAGTTATAATTCAATTTTTGGTTTGAAACCTTGATTGCACAACTTTTCAAGAAGCTTTGCGAATATTGTTGGATTGCCCTTCTAATCGGCAGCATACTTTGTTCCCCAATATGAAATGCATTCCATCAAAATATCATAGAAACTCTGACTAAAGCTTGGATCTATTATTTGATGCAATTCACTTTACCTTCTTTAGCCCCAAATATCTTATATGCTCTCTCCTCATATGGTTTATCTTTGTCACATAATGCAAGTTCTCCAAATATATCAAAGAGATTCTTAGCCTTAATGAAACTGTTGATGAATAGTTATTTCTTACTAAATAACATAATCAGCTTGATTCTTTGATTAAAGATATTACTTTCATTGCAAAATATTTCTATTTCGATTGTCCTTGTTGTGCGAATAAATCTTAAATTCTTTCCACCACTAGTTTGAAATTGCTAACTTCATTTTCACTCTTTAGCTTGTCTACCAAATTTTAAAGGGCATCCTCTCCTAAAAAACCTTCCATTATTTCTTCATTTGTAACAACCATTATAAAATCAAATTATTAATAGAATTTTTTATGAGTTTTGCAGATTGTAATTCCTAACCACTCTCAATTATTTAATGTCATCCACATTAAAATTATATATAATGGAGAGATCATAGCCATTTTTCATAATTGGTGAACATTAATCACTTAAAAATTCTAAGAATTGTAAATGATTATGGCAAATAAATTATTATGCATTTAATAATGATTTATTGCAAAGCTATGATTTGATTAAATTATTTTTGGAATAGTCTTTATTATACTTATTACACAAAAGATTTTAATAGACGGCATTGTTATTATTTAAAATGCTTTAACCCCATTCTATTTGTTTTTTATTTAATCCTTTCCTATAAGCCACTTTGATTTTTGATATTCAAATTTAAATAAACAATTCTATTACATTGTTGTTATTGAAATTTGTCTTTCAGAAATCTTTTAATAAACTTTCATTTTAAGAGCAATATTTTAATACTAAAATTTTTCAATTTAAAAATACTAGAGTTAAACTACCTTCCTGTAAATGAATAGTGAATACTTTTTGAGAATTCAATTGATTTATGATTTCTTACTGTTATTCTAAAATTGGTAGAAAAGAAAAGATTTGAGTTAAAATTATCAAGTTTTGTGAATGCTGAATGGATATTTACAAATACTTAGAATATCATATAATTATTTATTTAATTATTTATGCCAATCATATAGGGAAAAGCAAAATTGTGGCACCCAACACAAGAGGAATAAGTAATATTTTGATGTATATTAAAAGGATGCATATGATGACAGAATGATTGCAAATATTGAATTGAAATCATTGGACTTTGATGATGAAAACTTTTCACCAGTTTTCAATAGAAGCAAGAAAGAATTCTTTTTAGCACATAGCGAGAAATACAAGAAGGATTTATCAAAAGTAATTACAATTATTAGATTAATTTAGTTGGCAAGACCATTCACATCATATTCATGCGAAGAATTTGTTAACAAATATATTTACATTAAACCAAATCATACTTATTGGAGAGAATGGACATTGACTAAATGGGTGTCAGGATTTGGATTAGGATATTTAGTTTTGAGAGAAGTAAATACTTATCATAACAATAAATTAGTTACCACTCCGTAATTTCTATGCAAGAGTATTTGTCATGTGGATCTTCTTGGCTAAGTTGAGTGATCATTTTACCTCTATTTTGCCCTATCATGGTAAAATGGTGATATCAATACAAAAAGATAGATTTACAAAGTAAATCAGAATTCATATGAATATAGCAAAGATATTAATCAATATCACAATGTATGCAGTGCATTGCATTTCTTGGAAATGCCTACCTTCTAAAACAGAATATCAGAATCTCTAGCTTGGAGAGCCAGACAACCAGCTCACTTGTTATACAACGACACAAATTGGTGTTTACACATTCTTAAGAGGTGGCATGGTCGCCCAACTCACATTGCACATTGGGTATACTTATTATATATATTTAAGGATGGAACATTCAATCAACCCTTAGAAAGACTTGCAGACCCATATCATAAGGATGCTCACTTCATCCATTGGATTTGAGTAATTTCACATACAAATATATATATATGGATAGACAATAGTTTAAATATTTATCATTTTAACAATGCATCATTTTCACAGAATACCATAATAGATAAATTTAAATATGTTTACTATACACTTCACAATTCAATTGAACGTCCTCTTTGTGATGATTGTTATTATTCAAATCCTTAAGCAGCAGCCAAACGAGGATATTGTTAACTTTCCTTTATTCTTTGATCTCTGCTCTTTTTCCAAAATAGTAAGCCTACTGCTATCAAAAGATAGAGCTTAAATATTTATTTGAATTATTACACAAGATGCTATAATACAAGCTGTCGCACTTGGTTTTTTATCAGGTTATTTATCAACAGTTGCTACAGCATAGGGATAAAGAGGGTATTAAGTATCAACCACTAAGAACAAAATGAACTAATGTTTAGATTAAAATCATACGAATACTGCACTTGCTAGAAAACTGTTTACTACCCAAAATTCCAAACAACCCATTAATTATATATATTAATTTATTGTATAATCTTAATAAATGAGTGCAAGTGTAGCAGATAATGCTTCAGAAAGGGAAATGATTGATTTTTCAGAAGATGAGCATTTGAGTTTCTTTTATAATATTGATCAAGTAAAATGATTATCAAAAAATAGATATATACTGAATTACCAGGAGTTATATCTAATTATGGAACCTTTGCATAGTCTTTATAGATTTGCAGACAATTGAGTAATTAGATTATCAGGAACTCAATTGCCGAAGCATAAGAGAGAGTATATATATACTATTTACATAAATCAGTTCATTTTAAGAAATATTCCTATTAACGCAATAAATGAATTATAGGCTCAAACTAATTTAATATTGAATTGCAATTTAAATGATGGAGGTATCGAAGAGGAAACTTGTCAATTAGATGAAGATTACGAACCAGTAATAAACATTAATTTATCTAGGAACCAATTTATAGTGATAGATGGAGAAGGAATAGAGTTTTAGTTATGCAGGGTAATTTTAATATTTAGATATCTTATTTTTATAGAAGTAGAGAGTTAAGAAAAAGAAGATATAGATGAAAAATTGAACAATGATAATAGCAAATCTATTTCGAAATCAAAATTATTTGATACTAGAAAAAATACAGTTAGACTTCCTACTACTCCTCCTGCTCCGAATTAAATGGGGGCTAAGTTAATCTAAGTTTATCAAGAAGAATTTGAGGATGAATTTGAAGATAAACTTAGAAATGCTAAATTGTACGAGATGAAGAAGAAGAATGAAATCGAATAAAAAAAGAAAGAAGATAAATTATAAAGCCAAGTATAACTATTTACTAACAAAAGTAGATAGAAAAGAAGGATGGGGCCACTTAAAAATATACTTATGATTTTGATGGGAAAATTATATTGGCTAGAGCAATTAAAATGGATAAATTATAGCCTACCAATCAAAAATTGAGAGTTGAGTTGAAAGAATAAACTAGATAAGATCAATAACCAAGTGTAAAGAAGGGAGGAAGAAGGGACTCAACCAAAATCAACAGACCATAATGTCCAGAATAGGAAATACCTAATAGAGTATCTAATTAAGATATAAGGTTATATAAGAACGGAGGGATGCTGCAAAAGAAGTAATCGGAGACAAAGCATTAAGAATTGATAAAACTTCTTAATTTCCTTATGAAGTATTTACAATGAATAATGGAGTAAAATTATATTATGAGCAAAAAATGAAAGAAGGGGTAAGACATTAAATTAGTGATTCAGCTGAAAATTTGTAAATTAAATTATCAGGTTCTAATTTAGTATCTGGAGATGACGCAGCATAATTTGCATCATAAATTAGATTAACAAAGGCAGAATACTAATTGATAACAGACGCTCAAACCTTACAATAAACTAGATAATAATTCCTACCATCTGAAAACATTAATATTCCTGAACATGACTAGTAAGTCACTCAACAATCCATTTTATTAAAAAAAAATAAGGCTAACCTTAGCAATCCTAATCATCTTACTGACTCTAAATAAGTCTAATTTAATGCTGGAATTTCATAGTTAAATCCATTCAAAAGAGAAAGTCCAATACTATAATCTGCCCAAACTGAAAGAATCTAACTTAAGAATGTTAAAATGATTGAAAATCTAATAGTCACTGGTGTTCCTGATACACCTAAATCATCAAAACCTGATTAACCACCTACATCTCTCCCTGATAATGCTTCTACGTATAATTCCTAAATTAATAGAGTAATCCAATCGATCTCTTCAATTAATAATTGCTAACCCAAAAGGAATGGGGTAAACAAGGTGGAGGCAAAACATCTTACTTTCCTCCAGTTAAACAATAGAAGAGATCTTTAGAAACTAAAGCATACAAAGGCTCATTAGAACAAATGTAATTGAATTCAAAATGAAATAGGTACAAAATGCCAAGGGAGCGATTAGTTGCTTAAACTGGAAGAACAGCGATGAACTTTTATAAATAAAACTCTGATGGTATATATATTCTTATTATGGGTTTTTCAGGAGCAAAGAAAATTGGGAAGTCAGTCAGTGATGGATTTATGCAAACATTTTATACGACTCATACAAAATTCAGCGAAAAACTTAGATAATGATTTTATATTATTAATCTTAATATGAGCATTTCGATGTCTATAATTACTGATTGTTAAATTATTTCATATGATCAAATTAATTAACAGATCTAAGAACTTTGACAGCAAGGGTTGCGTCCTTGACGTTAAATAACTAGATTTGAACTCATTTATAGTTCTGAATTGCTCCAATTTTCTGATTCCAATCTTTGCAAATCCTTAGGCTTTATTGTTGTTGATTGTAATGGAGCAGAATCAATACCTTTGTAATAATTCTGGTAAGAAATTTAAAACTGAGAATCCGGAGGCTTGAAATTTAATTTGGTATTTTTACATCTTCAACTATGTTGCTTAAAGAATCAGCATATTCTATTAAGTGACTTTCAGATACAATACAATGTCTTTCTAATTAGGTTAACAAATATTTTTAGATTAAATGTGACATAAATCTAATTAAAAATTTAAGAAATAATCAAATTTTCAACTAAAAAACAACTTCTTGTTCCTCATTGTAAACTTAGAGAAAAAGTTAACTACTTTGACTACTTTCATTTCGATTTCTTTAGATGATCCTTTAGGATTTAGAGCCATTTTCATCTGTATTACTTATAATTGTCTTGACTTCATCTTTTCTATCTTTTTTCACAATTTTCTCTGGTGAAAGATTTTTTGGAGGCCTAAATAAAATTTGATCTGTTTACCAAAAATTAGTTTAAACTTCATTTTAAAAACCCAAAAATTTAGTTTCTAACTGATTTTGTTCTATTTAATTGGTTAGTTGATAGAGATCTTTTTTTTAAAGAAAGATTATTTTATCTTGTGATTCAGGTTTTAAGATTTAGATTAATCTATTAAACAAGCAATTATAAATTTCTTCAATGATATATATCTTATGAATTCTTCCATAATAATTATATTCACAACTCTTCACAAAATCCATCAATTCATTTGTTAAAAGATGCGACAATTGCATAAGATTTCCCATATCTATCAAAATTATTATTGACTCAACATAATAAGATATTAAAACATCTCTAATTAGCATATTGAATAAATAATCAAAACCATTTCTAAAATCTTAAAGTTTGTACTTAACAAATATCATACAAATGTTACTTTCAGAGCTTTAAGTAAGTTTATTACGATGATTGGTCTAAAACTCTTGTCATGTCCATGTATGTAAACTGCCCCATTTAACTGTAGATCAAATAAAAATATACCACAACATCATTTGGATTATGTGATAAATTGATCTTGTTTCTCCAACTAAGGTGTTCATTCAAAGCCTTCATTATTATATCTGTATATAGTACTTGAATGGTGCTGGAAATCTCATAATCGCAATAAGCTAGGATTCTTAAGTAATCACTATCTTACCATCTATCCTAATATTATTTTAAATACTCTCTGGGTAATCTCAATGGTGCAAAGTTAACCAGGGCTAACTTTAAATTTTTAAGCTACTCTTTTTCCTGAGGCTCCATTTCAATGTTCTCGAATATTTTTCTCTCAATCTTCCCTGAAACTATAACCTTATCAGCTTAATTTTATAAAAAAAGTTACATACATCCAGGTTCAATTAGTTTTTCTTTTTTTAAATAGCCAATCATATTATTATGTAAATTAATTAAGCTCTCCCAATACATTGTGCTTATTGTTTTGATGTCCTGATTGCATCTTTACAAAAAAAGGAAGTGCCAAAACCAACCTTCTAAGAATTCGACGTCCCTGTCTTTGTGACTTTCCATGCAAACAAGGAAGATTTGAGAGGGTGCATTGGAACATTTTCTCCTGGTCCCCTAGCTCAACAATTAGCAAAATATACTTATATGTCAGCCTTTAAGGATAGCAGGTTCCCTCCAATACAGACAAAAGAATTGGATACACTAGATGTTGGAGTGAGCTTGTTAATCAACTTTTAGAAAGGAAAGAAATGGAATCAATGGGAAGTGGGGAAACACGGAATTATTATTGATTTCTCAGAAGGGGGCAGAGGTAAAACTTATCTATTTCATTTTAGAATATGGTGCTACTTTTTTACCTGAAGTAGCAGCCGAATAAGAATGGGATATCAATACTACATTGGAACATTTGATTGCAAAAGCAGGATACAGAAAGAATTACTAAAATGTGTTAGATAAGATTGATTTGACCACTTACGAAACTTCAAAAGCTAAATTGACTTATGCTGAATATTTAGAATTGAAGAAATGATCAATATATATAAATTATCATTCAGGATTTTATAATATAACATTTATTCCCAGGTGGTTAGCGAAGGAATCGATTCAAAGGAGCCAGAGTAGTTACTGGCAATGTTCAAAACATCTACATCAAGGGGTTGAATACAGACTTGAATTTCAAATATTCAATTCGAAAAATTTAATAATATTCTTGGTAAACACTATGAATTTGTAATAAGAAGAGAATACGATCGATTTAGAAAAGCCTTTAAAAAACTCTATCCATGAAATAGACCAATATCATTAATAATAACAAAGTTTGTATTTCTGATTTTATAATAAAATCATGGTTTTTTACGAGGATTTCTTTTAGCTAAGGCCGCTTAGGTTTCATCCTTTTTCAATCTTAAGAATTTCTCCAGCACTACTTTATCATCTAATTTCAATTATTCAAAATGACTCTACACCTTTTATTCCAATGTTAATGTGCTATTTTAATCTAGGAATGGCTGCTCTTTCTAATAAAATGTCTAATTAGCTTGATAGCTAAAAGTTTTACTTGATATCTCTATAATGATCCTTAGGATAGTTTTGATATATTGAAAAACATTGGGGCTTCTCGTATAGGCTATTATTATTCATTCATTTTTAATTTATTTATTAAATTCAATATAACAAAACACTCAATTTCATAAACCATTTCATCCAAATCTGATTGATCTTATAGAAAGCATCACTACGAAAGATACTTAAAAATAGATGATTCTCATCATTAATTTTTGACAAACATAAAAATCTAAACGTGCCATCATGAAAATGATGTTCATTATATTATTTAATACCTAAGATTGAAATAATATGACGAATAAGAATTTAAAATAATACTTATTCTTTTTAGATCATGCATTCTAATGAGGAGTTAAATGATGTAAATATTTCTATGTATTTCAGTATAAATTTGTAAATGGTCGCTAAAATATTAAAAAATAAGATAGTTTTATTATTATAGAATTTGAGTCATCATTAATCTATAAAGCAATTAGCTCAGAGTGTGATTTAAGTTTAGATATAATTTTTATATCTCAAAGATTAAGATCTCAAGGTATCTACCATGTATAAAACTTGATTTCAACAGAACAAGAACTTAATAATATTTATGTAATCTATATATTTGTTAAATTAACGGACTCTCAATGTGAAAATAGTTGTTTAGTGTCCAATACAAGGGACTAAGCAGAAGATGAAATAAGAGAAGGATTGATTAGATTATACAAAAGTTTGGGGGATGAGATATGCAGAAGTGAATTTATGATATAGGATCAAATGATGATACATCCGCAGGATTATTTAGCGTCTTTTAAGGGTTCTTCAACATTATATTCTTTCCAGTTCTCAATTTCATGCACTTAAGTCAGAGATTATTATTTGTCTATCTCATCTATAAATACAATTCTATGTTTTTTTGATCCTTGAGCAATTATATTCTTGAATTTATCACATCTTTAAGAGGTCTGGCTATCTTTTTTGGATGCTTTTAAAATACCAGATATTTGAGTATCCATCAAATAATTAATATTAATAATGATCATATTTGTAATAAAAATACTCAGCTGCTTTATTAGTTCTCTTCCTACACTTATTATTATTCTGGGGCTTGGTTATCTTAGGGTTGATTTACATGAATTTCTTCTTCTTATTATACTTATTGTAATTATTCTTATTAAGCTTCTTGATTTTGATTTTCAGGTTCTTCATTTCCATTTTCTAATGGGGCTTGTTATGGTTATTCTTCTTCCTATTTCTATTCTTCTTATTTGGGAGGAATTTGTGGTACATGAACATCTTGAACATCTTGAACACCTTAGAATGGGAATGAGGATTACTATTATGAGACTTACTCCATTCTTTGTTTCAATTCTTCATTACTCATGGGACCTTGCATAATGAGTTATTCCATGATGGATTGATATTTCATATCTAGTTATTTCATTTTGACATTGAAACTGCTATTTTGTTATTGACTGTAGACTTGAGTGGCATATTGTAAGATTTTGCTTCCTGGATCTTCGAATTTATTTAATCCATATTATTCTAGGATATCCTTTCTAGTATGAGTAATAGCTTTTACTTAGAACTATCCATTTTGAGGGATTGCATGATTTCCATCATTTTGGGGCTTTAGAAATTGATTTGTTCGCCTCTGTCTTGGAATTCAAGCAATTTTTCATTCAATTTCAAGGCACTTTCAGTCATGACCTTTTCTAGGATTTCAAAAGTTGTATCGGCAGTAAGAAAGGCTGGGATATCAGTTTTAGGATCTGGAGATTAGCCTGAAAAGGATCTATCAAAGGATTCCTTCATTTGCTTTTATAACTCTTTGACACTAGGGTCATCGCGATAGATATGTTGGCAATAGTGCTCGAATTACTACTTGGTAATTCTGAATTGGGTATAGACCATCTCTTCGACTTATTCTATTTCTCCTCTAAACATAGCTAAATTAGACATTGAAGTCTTACGTTGTTCTAAGAGCATCATCTTAATGTCTTCAGGTCTGGCTCTGCCCATGGATTGTTGTTTGATGTTAACGGCGACAGCTGCAAAATTTTGAAACACACTGAACAGCTCCTTCTTCAATTCCTTCAAGACTTTGATGATGACTTCCCTATCAATGACTTGAGGATCAATAGTTGAGTTTCTATTTGATATTTAAAGCTGAGATACGTATCGGGTTTCTTCAGAAATTTTAGAAGTAGAACACTGGCTCCAGTCAAGACCGCTGCTCCTGTGAGTAATGTGAATATATTTCTGTTCTATACTAGACTCATTTCACCACAAATTTAATAATTAATTATTTTATTAAAATAAAGATGTAGCCAGTTGAATTTGAGGAAATGCCCAAGACATTCAAATAGAACAATAGAAGAGATGAATAATAATATAAATGGATGAATATTAATATTAATAATAATGAATCATTCCATTTTTAATTCTGGAATATATTCATCAGGATTGATAGGCAATGGAACTGATCTCTTGTATCCCTTGAGTAACTCTTTGAGTTTATCAATACGTTGGGCCAGATCTTCCACAATGTCTCTGGGCGAAAGATCTTCTTGTTTCAGTAGATGATGCAATTTGACTATCAAGAAGCCTCCACAAGGGGAAGTGAGACAGTCATGCAATCTATCCATGATATCCACATCTTTTTGGGCCTATTCGTAGATGGCATCAACTATTCCATTGATAAGATTGGTGGCATAAATGTCATCCACTCTTTCATCATCGAAATATCGTTTAGCCTTCAACCTATCCAAATACTTAAGTGTCTAATTAGGAACCACGTCATTCATGTAAAATGACTCCATAAACTCTTTAGTTGAAGGTTGGGTATACAAGGCTTCAATGGTTTTTTCAGTTGTATACAATCGTAATTTAATTTTGTTCGGGAAATTCCTTCGTTCAGGTCTGTCAATTTTAATGGAGTAGATGATTTCTGGCATAGCAATCCTGTTCACATAGATGAAATAAGCTGGTATTTTAGAACGTTGTTTCCAGAAGTTGATTTCCAAACTGTATTTGTATTCTCTGTTCTGTTTTCTCTTTTTTCGTTGATGGATATGTTCTGATTTGACTTTGTATAGATCATTCTTCTATTACTCAAATATTTCTGGGTCTCTCATGCAATCCATCAATTTAATAAGTATTTAGTATGTTTCCTTTATGACATCATTACAAACTACTTTCTTCCTCTCTTTCTCATCCAGCAATAATCTCAATTGCTCTATGAATTCAATCACACAGGGATCTTGCAGTATCACTTGGACTCTCTCTTTCATAAAAGCTATGTATTCTAGTGTCATTTCCAGCACTGCCTAAATTACTTTGGGTTGAGATAGCATCTACAACCACTATCGTTCTACTAATTATTAGAGTATTTCCTCCAAAATAAAATCAAAAGTCTATTAACTTGTATTTTGATCAAGTTAATATTGGTAATTGATATCGATACCCAAATTCATTAAGACTTCCTCACTCACCAATTAACAATAGAACTTTTTGTTCGGTGTTATAGTTAGGTCAACCACTTCATGGGTGGATCTGGATTTCCTACTGATATTCAAAGCATAAATCAATTCTGGCAAAGGAGTCTTCTGTTATAGATAGAATGTCAATAGTTGTCTGCATCCTTATTTGAAATCAGTGGCTGCTCCTATTTGTTTCTGTTTCTACTTGTGCTTGTGCAATTGGTAGGTTGAAATCTCAAGAAATGAGTTCCGGAATTTCCCCAAAAAGGTTCCATCATCCTTATCACTATAGTCATCATTCTCCAATGATTCAATATACATTATTTATATCAATCCAAAATCTACATCCCAATTTTTAGGTTTGACTATAATAATCCTTCTAATTATTTTGATGAATAATATGAATTAAAAAATTAGTATGGAGTAATTTTGCTCTAAACTCACTCGTATTAATCGATTACCCAATCTTACTAACCACCGCTGTTTAAAGTACACAGAGAGTATTAACTTAGTCTCTCTCAAGAATTAAGCACATCAAAATCAAAGAAGCGTTTGAACTAACAAAAACTGGTAATTCATTTCCCTATTCCAATCCAAGCAAGCTCTCTCCAATTAGAAAGATGACTCACACAATTATTACCATCATACTACCATTTATAATCTCAAATAAAACAATGACACTTTCAAAGTCTCTAAGTACACTTATCATTATCCATCCATAGTAATCCAGAATTGAGTTCCTCCAAATATAATTAAACCTTAACTAAACTAATGGTCTCTGATTTCAAAAAGAAAGTTGATGCTTTCCTCAAAAAAAATAATTACAAATCCAATTTGATTAGCAGTAAAATAACCACTTCATCAAAGGAATTACTCTAATAAATAAAATATGAAGAAGCATTGCAGAAATCCTTATGTTCTAACAAATACACAGTTTAGACTGAAAGTATGCCTATCAATTTATCCATTATAGAAAAATCCATGAAAACTATAGAGATATGTATACTAGGAAACAATAAAGTTGTTACTAAATAAGTAATATCAAGTGAACTCTTATAACAGAGATTATTAAAATAAAAGGAAACCTTCTTAAAAGATGATAGATTCAATTATGATCTTAAGTACTTATTATATCTTATTAAGAATGACAACAATGATGGAATAGTATGCAGAAATTGTTAATAGAATCCAAGAAAACACATTTACTATTAAAATACCAGATAATTATATCATTTAAATGAGCGATTACAATGAATATTATTAAATTAAAGAAGATTCAATGAATAACTTTCTTGAGAACAATTTATAAATCATAGCTGATCAAATTATTCATGAGATCTAATAATCTAAAATTACAACTCCTAAAATCTTAAGCAATTCAACTAGTTAATTAGTTGAGCAAAATGTATCATATCCCATTTACTAAATTGAACATAAGATTAATACTGAACCCAGTAATGTTAATGAATCAGAAATATTAAAAACTGAATCAGATCATCAGGAGTAAATTATCCCTGATAAGAAAACAACTAATAAAAAAAATAAATAAAAATAAAAAAATTAATAAAATTAATCAGAATAATCTCGTCTACCAGAAACCTTTGATTCCGCTGTCATTATTACAGACAATGATAATATTCGAAGAAGAAATAAAGAGATACCCAAAATTGAATAACAGGAAGATCTTGAACTTCTTCAACAAAAAGAACTAGAACTAGAAAAAGAAAGGAAATAATTAATTATTAAAAAGCTCAGAGAATTCAACTCAAAATTCAAACCAAGTAAATATTTGAGAAAATAATCTGAAAATGCAATTTTATTAATTGAAGACCCAACTCTACTTGCAGAATCAAAAGAGAAAATACTTAAAAAATCTAGCCTTAGACTTTTGGATAATATTGCTACGTTGGAGGAAATTAATGAAATTATTAGAATTAAAAAGTAAGAGTTGTCTGAATTGCTTAGATAATAAGAATAGAATATTCAAGATCAATTTTAGAATATGAATGAATAATAAAGGCCTTTGCATTTAATTGTAAATGGTAAACCTTTTAGTGAATTAAGAGAGGCTGAATAATGGGATTCTAAAAAGAATTCTCCAAGATCCTTCAGAAAGTAAAGGTAGTAGAATATACCCAGTCCAATGGTTTAAGAGTAAAACTCATGGGGATTTATATAAGAAACAAACTTAGATTAGTAGCAGAACAATAGAAACAATGAGTTAGAGAATTAAATTGATTCCATCAGAAATTTGTAGGAAAATGATAATATTGATAACAATATCAATTATCAATTGACTGATAATGAAAATGTAATCAGCTTTGAAGAAAGGATGAAATAAGAATGCCAAGATATTTTTGATATTTTATTGGCCACAGATTCAGTGTATGATCTAAGAATTGATGACTATTAAATTGGAAGACCCTATTCATATAAAGTTAATCATTCTAATTTAATTTTACTTCAGGAATAGGAAGAGAAAGTCTTTATTCACCAGTAATAATAATTATAAATTTAGGGTTTTATGGAGGAGAGAATTACAAGAAGTGATACCGAAACTTAATTCTGTTAATAGAGAAATGTCAGTCGAGATCGATTCAGAAGATGAGTATAATTTAGATAGTAAACAGATGAATGGAGAAGAAGAGGGTGTAGATCATGGTCATGATGTATAGGAATAGGAAGATTCATAAATGTGACAACTGTTTCCTTATAATACACTAAATATATTTACTTATAATTGTTTATAAATAGATACTTAAAAATATATGGAATTTTTCAATTATATTTACTGATCTATTTTAAATTATGGATTAATTGTTTAATCAAAAATTGATCTTAATACAATATACTAATCAATCACTATTACAAAGTTTGAACTTCTTCTTGCCAACACATTATCCGCAGTTTGGACAGTAATGGACTCTATCTTTTGTGCTCTTTAATACAAAAGGCAGAAACACAAGAGGCAAGAAGAATATAAATATGAAAAATGCAACAATCCAAGTTTAAGGGCCTGATCTATATTGCATAAGAGTAGTTCCAGCTTTCTTGCAATATTTACACTAAATTTGAATTGGGATTATTGATCCTTGAGCATCAAATGGAAGATTAGTTCCATTAGAATCTGTGTTGTACATAGGAGTGACAAGAAAACCTGTTGGAATTGGTATTCCTAAGGATTTATAGAATGTATTACCACTCTGAATAAATTGATTCTGCGTTGGTATTCCTATGAATACCTTTTCTGTGTTTTCCTCATATCTCACATCAGCCAAATGTGGATAGTTTATTTTCTGTATTTCAGATTCATTTAGTTAAGAATGAGTTGATTGAGACATAATAAATAATGATTTAGTTTTGCAATAAAATATTCCACATATTTATAGTAGTATTACAAAATTCAAATTGTTTCTAAATTTCTTGAAATATATAATACTATAATGTTAGAATTAATAAATTATTATGAATTTCACTTTCTATATTTTTTTTATAGTTTTTTATTTCCAAATAATGCTTTCTTGTAAGATTCTGTAATTAATAAAGGCGATGAGGAGTACTTTAAAGAGGATTCGATTTGTAAAGTAGAAGGTAATTTTACTTGTATGGGATGTTTGCATTACTCATTTAATGAAGGGATCAATCTACCATATTGGTTAGCTAGTATGTAGTTAATTTAATGGATAGTTCACTTGTTATAAATTGGCGTAGTGGCATTATCTTCCTTAGTAGGATTAGGAGCAGAAATCCAAAAAACTTCTATATTGATGGCCTTATTACATTACAACGAATATGAAGCAACTAATATTACATAGTACCCATTTCAGATTTATTAGTTATATTTCTATTGTTTCGAGTTTTATTTATCTGTTATTTCTCTACTGCAATAATGAAGTCGACCTTATTGATGTGCATGCTGCTTAACTATTTTTTCCATTTATAGTAATTTTTACCGACATTGGAAATTATTTTAACCGAGCCTTCTATGATCAAATAATAGTGTTAATAACGATTGGCTTAGAATATATTTGGATTATATTATTAACATTAAAATATGATAGATCAAGAAGTCACGAAATTGAATCAAAGAAGAAGGAGATTACTTTGGATGAAAACTTAATTAATAACCCCAAGAGAACTTTATCTTATCTGAGCCTCATTCAGTAAACTACCAATGAAAAAAGTTCAAAATGTGCCCTTATGGAGATTGTATTTTTATAATTATTCTTGCAACTACTTCTACTAGTCGCACGAGGAGGTAATCACCTACAAATATTTGAATTCGAATACAGTGGTCCAATGTATTGGATAATAACCATCGTTATTTATGCTTTAGGAACATTAATTCTATGTTATCTTTACAATAAATAAGCGAATGATTATCAGCAACAGATGCATAATGATCCAAATTTTTATTAGATTAGGCCTTTGAATTAGAGTCTATTAATGATTTCAATTGCATTGATTTCGTTTTTCTTTAGTGGAACTGCTGGAGTTGGGGCTGGGTTAATTTTAATACCCTGTTGCATTCTGATCTAAAGATTTCGAATGGGAATCTTAAAGGCTATCAGAACTATGATTTTTGTGCAATTTTTGATTGATCTATGTGTGATAGGACAAACTTTGGAAAGTAATCAGATTTAAGATATGCATAGATTATAATTCTGTGTAAATTAAAGACCAAATATTTTACATGGTAATTGGATTTGTATCTTCCCTTATTACTGTTGTTTTACACATTAAATTTATGAAAGAATAACGCTAGCTTATATTAATTATCTTTATTATTGGGCTATTTGCTTTTGATTTTACTTTGGGAATCTATTAAGCCTACACATTTAGGAGTCCGATTAAGGGAAGTCCTTATTTCTCAATTTCTATTGATGATTGTTCTGAGAATTGTGAATTTAAATAATTTACCTAAAGTCTTTAAATTTGAATAATATTCATTTTTTCTGCGTATTTATAAAATCAGTATTCAATACTAGTTTATTCATCTTTAATATATTCCTTAATAATTCAAAGCTATGAATATTACTTGGAACCCACATTTAATATTATTATATATATAAAAAAGTAAAAATAATTAAGGACAATTCTCCTGTTTTTATTTGAAAATATACTAGTCAACGACAAAAATAATAATCCAAAAATAATCATGAATATATAAACCCAAAGTGAAATCGAATTGAAACTTTCAGCCTTTGAGAAATTAGGAGACAATCCAACAGAAGTAGATATTAAATATGTGAGCTATTTATTCAAAATCCCATTACAAACTATACGTCAATGGCTAGAAGAAAGAGCTGGAGAAGATTTTTAAATTGATCTATCACCAGCTGATGACAAAGAATGTTCAATCATAGGCATGAAAAAGAAAAATATAATAAATTCATAAAGTTAGGTTAAGGAAGAAGAAGCTTAACAGAAATAAATAAAAAATTAATCCATAAAATCATAAACAGAAGTTAAATAAAATCAGGATGCAAAAAAAAAGAAACAAATTGATAAAATCAAATAGAGCGATCCAAATAAAAAGGCTTAAAAGACTTTTAAAAAATAGGCAAAACTGGCCGCTATATAAGCTTAATACTCCACATTTGAAGACTGCAAAACTCAAGATAAAAATGTTATCAATAATTAAAACTTAAAATTGCCTTTGTCGATATAAACTCAAAAATTAGTATAATAAATTGATATTTCAAATAAAATTAATAACATTGTATAAAATATAGATAACCGTAATCAACTCCAATAATAACAAAGTTATTTAATAAGAAAAGAAGCGAAACAAAATAAATTATTAAGTTAAAAAAAGAAACTAATTCGTTTGGAAAAAGAAAAACACTAAAAAGATATGAATGCCTAATTTAATTAGTAAAATTCTCAAAGTAAAGGATAGTAAAAGTAATGCATAATTATTATTGATGATGAGATAAATTAGAAAAGCTAATTATCAACTAATCCAAACAAGGAAATAATTTATTATAATTATTATTCAACCTAAACATAATACAAATAACATATTAATGAGAAGCTTTAACTTTTATAGGATTTATCTTATTTTTAAGATAAAAAAATAAAAAAACCCATAATGTAAGCTTTATAAGAAATCCAACTTGGATAGTATAAGTAATCAGAATACAATATTGCAAAACAAAATGATTAGAGATAAAATAAAATGATAACAAATCAATAAAAAAATCATTAATAATCATAAGCTTATCCACTTATAAATTAAACATAAATATAGAAGTTTTCAGTGTAAAATAATGAATAGATCCCTAAATCAAAGCAATAAAATGAAAAGAATCCATTAAATACTGAACCTTAAAATTTGAATTAACAATCTCTGAAGTCAAATTCAAATGTAAGCTAAGAATCACAGAAATTAACACAATTGCCTCCTTAATAACTATCAAATCATATATCTTTAGATTTTAATTCTCAATCAATAACTGCTTAACCAAATTTAATTAATTCGACAAATAAATCTTCGCCAAACTAAACTACACCATCTTAAGTTTAAATTTAAGAATCTTTGTAGCAGTAATAAACTTATATTGGTTCTGAGTTGAATCTTATACAAGCTTAAATTAATCAGACAATACAAGGACCTATTTTATAAAACAATACGGATAAGAAATTATAATTGCCTAATTATTTATCAGAATTGATTCAAATGTTCAATAAAAATTCTTAAGCTTTAGGATAAGCAGTTGAATAGATTACAGCAGTAAGTAATTAACAAATGGTTTTGATGGAGAAACTTGATATAATTTACGAGTATGTTAATATAAAGTGATAGATTTTATTTTTATATTAATTTATATATACAAAATTAAATAAAAATATTAGAAATTTTTTATCCTTATGATCCAATTTCAGATGCATGCAACATAATGAGTTAGGTTAATTGGATGCTTATTGATTCAATATATTTTCATTATATTTGAATAGATCAAAATTCATATGGTAATTATAAAAACATTAATTCTATGATATCAATGAAAACTTTTTATGTTTTTTTCAATTTTTATATATTATCCAAACCTCATGATCATTCTGAGCCACTCTAGAAATACTTCGATATGTTGCTCAAGAAGCAGAAACCATTTATCTTTTGTTTTAAAATTAAAGAATAACTTAAATTAAATTAGAATAACATTAAAGATTGGATGTTAAGTTTATTTGAATTGAATGAAATTTGAATGAGAAGCAATTGATGGAAAAGTGCTTTTAATTTTAATTTAATTATATATTTATATAATAAAATGAAAGGTAGAACTGGAGGATTAACAGCTAAAATGAGCAATGTAATTCTAATGAGTGTTATTTTGATTAGTAAAACTAAAATAGAAGATAATAGGAGAATGATCAATTGGTTAGGAAAGCTGATTAAAACAAAATATCACTTGCTGAAATTTTTATGGCAAATTCTTAATAATTGGGAGGATTGGAAGATGGAAAAGTATAATGTGGGAATATTTGATAGGTGACAAAAATGTATTTTCACAAATTTCTATTCATGGAATAGGTTTGTTTTGCATTCAATTTAATGGGATTGGGAATTAGTGTTATATAATACGATTTAGAATACGAAGAAATTACTGATGATGATCCCATGAAAGATGTAATATTAAAGATAATTTTAGATATCCTTATGGCTATTATGGTTAGTATTTGTATCATCTTGTCTATTGATTTTTTTAACTGTTTATCGTTATTAAGCTCATATTGAGTGGATGAAATCAAGAAAATCGATGGCTCCAAGTGATTAAATTTGGCATACTGATGATTGGCTGCCCATGCTCATAGAATTGGCAGTATATTGTATTATTCCTCTTCCATTCACTAAAGGAATCAGAGTTAACTTTTACAATTCAATTTAAGGGAGTGAAGCCTACTATCATGTGAATGAGATCTTAGCCTTGATTATGATTTGCAGAGTCATCTACCTATATAGAACTTTGTTAACCCTTACTTTCTGGTATAACAACAGAACCCAAAGAGTTTGTAATTTATATGCTTGTGAATCCAATTACATGTTTGTTGCAAAATCCTTACTAAGAACAATGCCATACACTGCCTTATTTATAGCTTTGATATCTTTAATCTGTATTTTTGGATACGCGGTAAGGATTTGCGAAAGACCACTCTCAAGAAATGATCCCTCAAGCAACAACCTAGGATTGTTTGAAAATGCTCTATGGAATATCATTATTACTATAACCACAGTAGGTTATGGTGACTTCTACACTAGAACTGACTTAGGCAGATTTGTCATCTTTATTGTGTGTGTTCTTGGAATCTTCGTAGTTTCAGTTATGGTTGTCACTTTAATTGAATCCTTAAAGGTCACTTCACTTGAAGGTCATGCAATCACTGTTTTAGAGAGAGTTGCTTTGAGAGAAAAACTTAAGCATGAAGCTGCCTTAGTTATTATACTTACAGCCAAAGCTGCTCTTGGTTATAAGTAATAAAATTCAAATATATTTTTAGAAATGGGACTTTGACTCGAAAATAACACCATCAATTAATAGTTAGATTAAAACAGACTTTGATTAATTTTAAAATGACACACAGATAGCATAAAACTAAATAGGATGAGAATAGTTTGAATGAAGAAATCACTAATTAATTCAGTCTCTTGAAAAATGACTTCAAACAATTAATGGAAAGGTAATAAGTCTTGATTTCAACTAATAATCTTATCTATTAGAAACTAGGATTTGAAAATAACAAATCAGTTGTCAATATTTGACACTTTATACATATGAATTTAGCAATTTAATGTATGATAATTTTATTTGTATTTCATGATCAATGGATATTTTTCTTAGCCTTTCTCTTAGCCAATCTTGTTTCAACACTCTTATTCTTTTTGATGGATGGGTCATTCTTTATAGCAAATCTTCTATTTTTTGCGAATCTTTAATTACACTTTATTTTATAGGATTAATTACTCCATTCAATGAGGTATATCTTTGATTTGGAAGCTTCTTAATACCATTTCTGTGATGCTTACGGGCATTATGATGACTTGTTGCATTCTTAGACTTGGCCATTGATGAATAATTATTTAAAATATTTATTTAGATTTTCAATATTTTTAAATTCCTTAATTTTTTATACAAACCTATTACTCCATCTACAAAGCATCCTTTTATAATGCTTCTTTCTCTATAATACTTCTCTCCAACTCCTTAAACAAACACCAGACTCTCTGCTGTTCGAAGTCCTGAACCTCATTCTTTATTTTTATCTCCTTCTTGCCCTCCTTCTTCAATTTTGCTTTTTGCTCTTCCTTAAACTATTGTCTATTTTCTAAGAACTGTTTACTTTATTCTATTTGCTCACTCAAATATTACTATTCATGTTGGTCTCTAATTTTCTTACTCTAAAATTAATCATAAATATTAACTTATCTTTCATCCTGCCATTCTAATTGTTTTTTTGTGGCTCCTAATTTTTTTATCTATTTTTAAATCAGTTCTAATTCTTATTTTAGTTGCTTTTCAATATTTGGATCATTACTCTAAATCTATTCAATTATTTTATTTAAATTAGGAGTCTCTGGTACTTAAGCTTCTTTTTTCTTCTAAATCTCTCTTTATCTACCAACTGGAGATTTGGATTATGAAGACTTCTGATTAACATTTTTGATACTCTTTATTTATGTATTGGATATATTTTTATTATTCCTTGAACTATTTAGTTATTCTAAAGGTTGAGTTTGAAAACTATTAACAGTCACTTGATCTTGAAAACTCATATATTCATTCATTAAATAATTGTTTTCCTACTATGGTTTATTTGAGTTTTATAAAGGTGATTTAGATTTATAATACTATTTTTTAGAGGTGGTTGAATAATAGGGTAATTTAGGACTCTTTGATGTTTTTTGACGATCAGCAATACCTTTTTAATAAGATCTAAAATCTTTAAATCTCCCAAACGTTTTTAATGGAGTCGATTAATCTTTGGGAGTGAGTGGAGTAGTTTAAACTTATTCATTTTATATTTAGGTTTCTTCCTCAAACTTACCTTCTGAATCATCGTCTACGAAATTATTTAATTTTGATAGCATATAAGACTTCAATTCTTCTGAACTCTTTTCTTGTGGAATCCTCAATTGCTACTCATACTTCTAATTGAGTTTGAGTATCTTATAGAATGAGGTATAATAGTTAATTGACAATGTCAAAATCTTTTCGAGTTTGTCTGATATCGAATTGACTTGAAATTTTAATTCTTCTTAATAATACTTTTGAGCCTCCTTAATATTTGAAATATTGATCTTCTTTTTTATCAGATTTGATTACAGATTAGACAAAATTGCATTAATTTATTCATAGCTTTTGCAGAATTGACTTGAACTAGTGACCCAATCTCGTTATCGTAAAAACAAATAGTCAGTCGTAATAGATTTATCGACACCAGCCACAAAGCATAGTAAACCACAAACACAATTATAAAGTTGCTATGTTGGTTTCAGTATGTAAAAGAGATCCTAAAGCATCATTATTTTGATTGTACTTAGATATCTTTGATTTAGATGTTTAGAAGAGTTTTGAGCATATTGGCATGAATTTGTTCTGTTTCCTCAATAAGCTTTAAATATGATGGAACTTTCACTTAATCTAATTTAATCAGCAATTTTGATAATTCAACGACTCCTTTCATAATAAAAATTATATAAACATATAATTAATTATTCAATATTCTTGCATTGATCAAAAAATTACTAAGATAATAATTATTTATTAAAGGATATTTAAAATGTCTAATAGATATATTTTTATATAAACAAAGCAACAAATTCAGTGAATGTTTTTTATTATAAAGGCTATGTCCTTGTGAGAAATATTGTTATAATTATTAGTTCATTAAAACAATGTAATTTGAAATTGGAATTTTATATTGATAGCAACATAAATAAAAAAGGAAGTTTATTTTATTTTTTAAAGGTCTCTTCTATATTTTATTAACCTGTAAGGGAGATAGGAAGTGTTTTAGTATGAAATGGTGGAATATAAATTGTATATATTAGAACTGTAATATTATTATTAAATTAAAAAATGAAAGGTGAAGCTACTTAACCTAAAACTTAAACATAAGGATCTGCCATAAAGAACGACAAGCCTTTGAAATAAGTGAAATAACAAAGTCCGCTGAAACATTAAGTTGAACCGGAAGTTGTGTGGCCATTTTTTGCTCCCTAACCGGCACTGGTCAATTAAATGAGATTTTGGGATCGAAAAAATTGCAAGAATGTTTATCCAAGCAAAGAGGATCTCAGATTTCAGGCCATAATGTTGAGAGTGGGAAAAAAGAAAAAGTCAACCAAGGGTTATTTTTTCAAATTAAGTAAAGATGGAACACTAAGTTATTACAAGAAGGTTTCACATTTAAATATAAATAAGGAATCTGATAAAGTGGCAAAAGGATATTTATAAATAACTATGGATTATGTGGCTCATCTGTTGGAACAAAAAACAAAAAAAGATTCGTTACTAGTTGTTTAAATCGAAAAGTATTAAGGACTCTCAATATCAATATTTGATGGGAAAACTCAATTGACCCTGGAATTCTTCAATCATCTCAAAGATTATTGCATCGTGTCTGGAATGGATAAACTATATACATAGATGGAACTTCTAGGGAAAGGATCATTTGCCTCAGTAAATAATCGGAGTGATTAATTCATAGGTGTATAAGGTAAAGAACCTATCCAATGAGTAAATGTATGCAGCCAAAACATACTTCAAGGAGACATTTGAATAATCTCAACATAGATCTAAATTTGTGGTACCATTTGTTCCTTATTAAAGCTGAGCTTATGATAAAAAACGAAATCATGGTTTTGCGTAAAGTTATTCACCCTGGCATAATTCGATTGTACGATGTAATATAAGAGAAGGAGAAATTAATACTAATCATGGAATTAGTCTCAGATGGCGATCTGTATAGTCTGATAAAGGAGAAGAAAAGGATTCCCGAAAAGCCTGCTGCAGTCATGTTAAAAGGTGTATGTGAAGCATTACACGAAATGCATATGTATAATATTAGAATAACTATTTAGAAATGAATTTGTACATAGAGATCTCAAATTAGAAAACATTATGATGAAATCAAGAGATCAATATATCATTAAATTAGTTGACTTCGGATTTGCAGAACCCATCAATCATAAGGAATTAGTATCAAAAGCAGGAACTCCAGGTTATATTCCTCCTGAAATTTTCAAATTATTCCCTTATACTGACAAAGGAGATGTGTTCTCAGTTGGAGTCATCTTCTATTCAGTATAATCTCCTTTTTATCATAGTTAATATCAGGCATTTCATGTTTTAAGGGAAAGAATTATTAAGCAGTTTTAGAAGATAATAGAAAATGTGAAATCAGTTTTTAGAAATCAGTTTGGGATAATATCAGCAGTGAATGCAAGCATTTGTTGAAGAAAATGTTGGCCAGAAAGCCTGCTGATAGATATACTTGTGCTGATGTACTCAAAAATGAATGGATTCTTATGCATACTTCTCATGAGTATGAACAATAAGCAGGTTCTATATATGAATTATAGTTTGTAGATTCAGAACTCGAAAGAAGGAACTCCTATTAAACTATGAAGAAGTCTCATTACAGTCATTATAATTCAGTTGATGGATCATAACCTGATTTTAATAATGATTTTTCTTATCATACAAATGATCTAAAATCTTTTTACCATCGTAATAGTTAGAAAACTGTAAAAACTCAGAGATCTATTTAATCAATCAAATCCAACAGTAAGATTTACAAACTTATACTTAGATGATAAGATGAAACAATCTATGAGAAATAAATCAGCTCATGCTAAATAATAACAATTTACAAACTTTAAGAGTCAAACCCTCAAACACAAAAATAAAAGTGCAATTCATTCGAATACTGGAGAAGGAGGTGGAGATTAAAAGAGTGTGAGATGGGTGGATAAGAAGAATAAGAGTGATGAACCATCCTTTGGAGATAAAAAAGAGAGTAAGAATTTAGTCATTCCTTAGATGATTCGGTTAAGACAACAATTTCACTTAAAATTTTTGAAGATTTCGAAGCTATTAACTAGACGAATGTAGCATTTTTGAAGATGTCTCCCATATTATTTAATTTACAGAAGAAACCAGATTCTGATGCTAAAATCAACGAAGCTATCAAAAAGAAAAAGTAATAAGCAACTCATTTAATGAGAGTAAAATGATACAAATACATATAATCATTATTCTGATAATTCGGATGCAATTATTCTTCGCACTTTGACATCTGCCATGCATCATTACTCCACATAACTGATATCTTAACATCTCTTAAGACTTCTAGGATTCATTCTTTGCTAATTTATATTATATTATATTTAATGATTATTCCATCTGATATTTGAGTTATTGATTATTCACTATTATTATATACCTGATCTTGAGTCAAGGGATATTAATTGTGATTTAAATCCAATCTTGCCATTTTCAATTGATGACGCGATTGAACTCAATCTTCTAAGATACTTGAACAATTGATCGACTATACCAGAATTATAATGGATTTTAATTGCATAGTACAGAATGAATGTGATATTAAAAATTATGAATAATAATCATTATTATCGACTCACCTTAACAGCAAACAAGAATCGACACAGAGTTAATCAACACAATTTTGCACCTATTAAAAAAGTATAATCAAACAAAAAGCCTTATATGTAAAATACCTCACTCTTTCCTGGTATGAGCAATATACAATATTCAATATTTCTTTAGAATCTTAGATCTTTGAATCCTAACACATTTTTGACCATAATTCAATCGATCTCAGACAATTTAATGAGCATTCGGATTCAAGATAAAGGGTAAAAACTGAAATAGTAAGACCCAAATACCAATTACATATCGAAAGTCAGAAATTTGACTAGCCTACTGCATATTTTCCAAAATTAAAGGAAAGAGCACAGTCATACTAAAAAAAAAAACCCGAACAAGTAATTTCATAATCGAATAGATAGCCCTTGAGGTTGATGTAGCAGATTCCCCAATTTTCATAAGAGATTTATAGAAATCACTCGATTATACTAGGACTCAACCAAATAAATATAGAAATTTGACTCCACTTCAAAAAAGAACAATCGAAGTATCAAAAATAATTAGTAAATCGGATCATTTAAATTAAGAGGAGATTATGCAGTTCTCTTTTGGACTACAGTACAATAGAATGAGCATTGAAAGATAAAAGTCCAAATTTCCTAAAGACATTTTTCTTGGCGATGTTAGAAAAGTCAAAAGAATTTTTTAGTAACAATGATTTCATATTATTCATTATATTGGAATAATGTTCTTAACTTAAATATACCTAAATTAATCAGGATAAAATAGATTCTCTATCTTGTCAATTAAAGTGGTAAATTATTATTTGAATATGTAAATTATATAATTTATTTTACAATCACTTTAGCATACTTTACATTTGATATCCTTTAAATAACAGAACTATCTTCTAAACAATTCCTCAAACAAAAAATATTAATTTGGTTTATAGAACAAATGTATTGAAGTTCCAATACAAATTTAGAAAGTAAACACAATCACTTATTGTAATTTATTTAATAGAATCAATATCTTATATCTTTTATATTTTGAATATAGATAATATGTATAATTTAAGATATTAAAGTCTTTAATTAGTATTTTATAATATTTGAAATTATTATGAATACTCATTTTTAACTATATTCAATGAATAGTAATCACACTTCCAGACTCCATAGGATTATTTACTTAAGATAATATCTCTGGCATTTATGATTCTTCTTGTCTAATAAAGTTTTCATCAACTGATTTATTTCCTTTTCTTTGGTTTCCAATATTATCGTTTTATTCTTTTATTGAGAATACAAATAGTTTTCCATTTTAGACATTCCCCCATGAGTTTATCATTTATGGATTATGCTAAGATTCTCCAAATTAACTAGTTCCCATTTTTTATAATTTCGGTTCTACTTTTTCACTAAAATATACTTTTCTATTTACCTTTTGAAATTTGGCGTTTGTTAAAAATACTTGGAACTTGCTTCCATTGGATTGGCAATAGAACTCAAACTCTTCATTGATTGCTTATTTTGCAATTTTTAATTTTATGAAATCTAAATGTTTGCACTATCTAATTCAATATAAATTGTAAGTATATACACATTTTTTTTTATTCATCATTCTTTTCCAATTAATTTTGATGTTCTAAATTCTATTTAAAATATTGAACCTCTAAAACTATCACAAAGCAAAAACAAATCAAGTTTATGGGTGCAACGTAATTCTGGATTGCAAAAATGAATCTAAAAGAGTTACATTCCTAATCCATCTTATTATAGGTTTTAGATAATGTATAAATATATTGGGCAATATGAATTATAAACAACACTGTTAGTAACATACTATGATTATCAAATTCGATATATACTTTGCAAAGTTTCTAATTTCTTTTTATTATTTGTTCTAATTAAATAGAATTAGTGTAAATATCACATTGATAATTGTTGTCAATAGATTAGTTAAAAGCAAAGACAGCGATATCATTGAGTAATTATGTTGGCATTCATAATTATCCTCGTGAGACAATATCAAGGCTGCTATAATACAAGATGTGAAACTATTCACGAATCTGTTCATAAACTCTAATGGAAAAATCTTGATTATCAATATCTCAATTTCCTATTTGTAAAATATAAAAAGAATAGGTATATACCTTTTGTAATAGGATTAGCATAAAGGCTTTAACGTATAAATGAAGGGCAGGATCAGTCTCCTACATGCTTAGGTAGTAATTTAATGAATAAACCAAAAGAATAATAAACCCAAAAATATTTACAGTGTAGATGAGGAAATACTCCAATTTTGGGAATTCTTTTTCTAAACACACTAAAAAGGTTGCAGCAATAAAATTAAAGGCAAAATTCATCAAAGTTAAATATTACGTAATTGTTATATAAAAAGAGTCATTACCTTATGTTCTTATCAAAGTATTAATAATTAATAGGATGAGAGTGTATTTGAAATGTAATCCAAAAATGTTCACCAACTTGATTTTTTCAATACGTTATTCTTCTTTTAAATTTATCATTTTAAATTAAATAATACTTTATTTAATGATTACAAAATATACAGCTTTAATTTAGAAATTTAAAATTAAATGATTTAGATGAAAAGAATTATCTTTCATCTTAAAGGTTTTTAGATATCCTTAAATAGAAAAACTATAAATAATTAAATATTTCATAAGATGTCCTCTGAGGAAATGTTTACTTCACTTCTACACAAAGGACATTTATTATTGACCTAGAGCCAAGATCTTATGCAAGGGGAATGAAATCTGTGAGTAGATGAACAAGGGAGTGTGACTATGTATTCTGAATCTTAAAATTGAGTCATACATATTGAACACTCTCTGTCTAATAAACACTTATTAATAGTAAATACCATCTACGTTATCTAAAGAACTGAATAAGGCTTCGTTTAAGGAGTCATCAATTTTTGTATTTTAATTTCTCCTATTAAAGTGCTTATTGAACCAAATGCATAAACTGTAAATTAGAAGAATTGGCAAAAAAATAATTACTAACAACACGGTGATGTAAATTTCTAAGTATTGATACACTCCAATAAAAATAACCTAAATAAATAGGATTTAGGTTTACTGAGAATATGTATCCTTTGTACATTGTGATAAATGTATAGGTTTGAATCTCATCGTTATTAGTTTGAGATTGGAAATAAAAGAGAATACTCCACAATTGGATTAATTAGAAAGCAATAAAACAGGTTTTTCCATGTAGATTTAAACACAAATTATTTTTCAATAGTTTTTTCTTTTTTATTAATGAATTGTACTTTTATTTCACTCCCAATTTAAGTTATTCTTCTTTAGTCATCCTGCTAACCAGTTATTCCTTATCGTATAAGTATTTCTCGATTTTATGTTTTCAGTTGTTCTTCGATGTAGTTTTCCATTTATTGACCTGAAAAGTTGTTTGGAATATAAAACTCTATCAAGTATCCCAAATCCTTAGCTGCTCTTTGAGATTACATTGAGTTATCAATGAGTAGTAGTAATTTAATGTAATAGATGAATCCAAAGAAACTATGTGAAACTATGATGAGGATGTACTTTTACGTGATAGGTACATCCATATTTCTAAGTAAGCGACATCAAAAAGATAGTTGTAATCTTTGAAGGGCTATTCGTCAGCGAATAATGTTAGTCTCAATATAATCTATTTTGTTAATGCTTAATATACGATAACAAATGCCGCTACAAATTTTAGTAGTGTGTATCCTGTTAGGAATTTGTGGTATTGTTAGAAATACTCTTTCCCTTAAACAAATAAGGTAGCAGGCTCTGAAATTTTTTTGTAATTGAGCAATTGAATGTTTCCGACTTTGTTAAATGAATAAATTATTACAGTTCTATTGAATTTCATCATCACTTAGGCTATTGTTAACTTGGTTTTCCATTTAGAAGTTGAAACTGAGTGTTATAATTAGAATTATTAAATATTACTGCGTCAATTAATCATGATTTACTTATATAATACTTTATATGATTTCATTAATATAATTCATAAATATATTTAGTATTGAATGCACACCAAAAGTTTAACCAAATATTCCTTGTGCTGTAATTCACTCTTCTACAAATCCTTCATCAATTAATCGCAACGCTAATTGCCATTTAATTATTTCAACAAATCCAAGTTTTATTCTCTTTGATTATAAATTAATTTAATTTAATTGAAAAGTATCTCATTTTCAGTCTCTCCTTAATCACAATCAAATTGAACTTCGTTATTGTCTAACTTCTGTAAGAACTCTTAAAATTTCTGATCTTCCAATAGTTCTTAGTCATAATTTTCAGAAATATCAATCTATAAATCATTTTTATTACAAACAATATATTTTAACAAATGAGAAAATGATCTTTCATGTTGTGATTCTTGTTATAAGAATTTCTTGAATTTCTCTATAAGATCATTATTTTGCTTGAGTTTAGTAGAATTATTATTTAAAAATATCTTTTCTCTCAATCTAAATAACATAGTTCCAATCTTTAATACATTTGTTCCATACTCTTCAAACTCCTCTTCAGAATTGACTTCAAAATTCATTATGAATTTAATCTATACACCAAAAATTTTATCAATCAAATCCATCATTTATGAAAATTCTGTGCTTAAATAGATATCCTCCAAAACAACAATATGTCGATGATAGTTTTAAGTTAGCTTTTCCAGGTAATTCACAATCACTTAATTCGTATCTATTTATAAAATATTAGGGAAGTGGATCAAAACTTATCTATAGAAATTTTCATACTTAGGTAAATTAGAAGTTAAATTTAATTTCTTGATTTTTAATAACTCAACCTAATTGCTGATTTGAGGAATTTAACTCATCTAAGCTAAGAGTTTTACAGTAGGTTTAACCACAATCATTCCAAAACTATATGAAACATTGTAAACTGAACTATTTCTGATCATCTTCATAAATCTCAGTAATTCAGGTATGATAATGTTCTAATACAATAACAATTAAAGCAGAACTCTGAAGATCAGCTTTGTACATTTTTCTTGTCTGGGTTTAATCATTTAACAATAGGTCGAAAATAATTAATAAAAGTCAGACACGATGTTTATTATTTATTGTGTGGTTTACTCCAAATAATTAAACTCCAACTCTTAACATTTTGCATGCAGATCCTTTATTGCTTGATAATCTTTTGATGTATTAAAATACGTTAGAAAATCCTATTGGTTTGTGATCCTATTTTTTAAACACATTAAATGAATTAAAATTAGGTTTTAGTCTGACCCTTCTTCAATTTGATTATAAACTTCCGTCCTTTCTAGTTTCTCCTAATCATATTTGAGTAACTCTCTTTCGAGTTCATAACAGTACTTTATTTCAATGCAATTATTATCCACTCTTAAAAAGTGGATTATTTCAGGGAATATTGAATTTGAGCAGTGCAAATTTATTAAAGATTTCCTTATTCTCTCTTTATAGTCATAGTTATCTCTGTCAAGTATCTTTTTGATTAGCTTTTATCCTTTCAATATAGGATCATCTCCTAGAATTTCAACAGTGTTTCTATCAAAATAATTCTATGAATATGAATTATATAGATATTAAAGATCCTCCATGTCATCTAATATAGTTTAAGTCAAATCTTGGAGTTCTGCCTTTTTAGACAGTTCATACAACATTTGTCTTTTTGATTCGTACTTTGAATTTTTCCTCAAAATCATTTTATTTATTATTAAAGACATTATGTAAAATTAAAAGAAGGAAAAATATACCAAAATTAATGACCATTATCTTTGGTTTCTTTTAATCAACTAATAAAATGTTTTCGCAGCTGAAGAACTCTAAATCTCATTCCAAAACCTAGATGCTATACAAATTATTAGAATAAACAGACTTGTATTAACTGACAAAAGACATCATGGATAATGATTTAAAGGAATTCTGGGAACTATGTTAAAATGCTAAAAATGAGCTTTAATATGATTTTCAAGAAAATCCCATTCATAAGGTGCAACTATTTTTATTCAAAATAGATGAAATACTAAACAATCCTTTCAACTTACTGATGAAGCAAAAGATTAAAAGTCTACTAATCGAATTGTTTGCATAAGGAACGTAAGTACCTTAAATTTTTGGTTTCATCCAATTCAAAGGGGACAAAGTGCTATTGAAGTGCAGTCTCACAATTGAATAGCATTTGAAAACTATGATTAAATCAGATTAAAAATGCCAACAAATTGATTGCTATTACAAAGAACTTTTAATGAACTCAGAAGAACTATTAATTTAAATCACCTTAAATTATTTATATGAAGCTATGATAGAAGCAAGCTCGTTACAATTGAATAATAATTAAGAATTAGATGAAATTTATAAAATAACAAGTAAGATTAATAAATAGAAGTTTTCCAAGAATGGACAAAAAATAATAGAATTGATTGAAAATATTAAGAAAAGAGTGAGTTCATCGCAAGATTAAATCACAGTGACACAACCTGTTGAACACAATAAAAAAAATCAATAAAAGGAACAATAAATAACAAATATAGTGAGCACATAAGAAAATGGCAAATATTTTATATTCAAAATATTGTTATTGCTATTGTTAAAATAAGAAATTGCGTTACCAGATATAATCAAATTGTTTAAGATTAGCTATGTATGTAAATAATAAGATATGGAAGATAGGAAAGGTTTCATTAAGGTTTACATCTCTTAATAATTGATATTTTAAATTAGTTTGATGGTCAAAATTAAATAAGATGCAGAATTATTAAAAATAAATTCATCACTATCTTACTATGACGAATCAAGTATAAGGGCAGTGAAACAAGCAATCAAATAGTATTATCCAGAATATGAATTCATAAAATTCAATTAGGTGATCAAATCTTCATTAGAATTATTGCTAAAGAAATTTGATGAATATTAGGAGTAGATATGTGCTTCCATGGAAGATAGTAATGTAAAAATTGTATTGAAGAAGATCTACAAAACTTGTGGAAAGTATTTTTAAAAGATTGATGCTGGTATTCTAACATTTTAGAATGCTCAACAAAAGTTTTTGAAGAATAATATGTTAGAAATAGGATATCTACTTTATTAAATACAACTTAAAATTGATAAAAAAAATAATAGTTAATCCATATTGACATATTATAAGTAGACCTTGCAAGAATAGGATAATGATTAGTAGATTAATTATTAAAGGTCAATTTATGAAAAATAATTAATCTAATATGGAATAATAAATCCTATATTTTTTAAATTCATTCAGAATTTGATAAAAAATTAGATTCCATTCCCATATATGTTTTAATTTCTAAAAATGGGATGCCATAGATTACTTATTCATTATAGGATAGAATCCACTCGAAAATTGACATTAAAGAAAAAGTTCATTCAATTTGTTAAGCAAAATTATGACCTAACTATGACTGATGATAGATATATAAATGTAGAATTGTTAAAGACAACCGACACTGAGAAATATGTGAGGAAGGAAGGTCTTGCTTGGCCTTTGCTGTTATACGAGCAATGTAAACTTATCTATGAGAACCGAGAAAGATTCAATAAGAAACTGCAATAGTTAGGAAATAATAAAGACTTTCAAGAGATTATTCAACAATATGTTGGATAATTTGAGTCAAACAGCATAAAATTCAAATTATAGCAATATCTATTGGAATTGAATAATTATATAAAATAATTAAACAACTGATAATTACATTTAAATTAGTTTTAAGAAAACGACAACATCGCATAAATGCTATAGTTTATTCAACATAAATTTTAAGTGATACTTATAAACTTATATAATAATATTTAACTCACTCTTTTTTGTTACTATCTTCTTCTTCTGCTTTTTTATACATTTTATCCATAGCCATTAACACTTATTCATGATCCAAATAGGCATTTACATCAAGCACGATTGCTTATTTGTCTCTTACTTTGATATCATCCCAATTTAAGCAAGCCTTAGCTTCATTGAGTGCCTCTTGCTTATCACCTTGTTAACTACTTTGATCTTTTTCGATCTAGAATTTAATTAATTTTCACATTCACTAAAAGAAGGAGAGGTTTAGTTTAAAACACTTCGAGAGTCATCAAACGATGTAACAATTATCTTGATTACCCCATGCTATCAAAATGTTTTGACCTCTAGGCTTTTGTTCCTTTAATGACTCTAACAACAAAGATGGTAACTTTAAATGGAATAAACTAATAAAACACATGCCAAAGTGTCATGAACTAGAATAGATTTAGATTTACTTCAGGTGAAGCTGCCAGATCCCATAAAGCATACGTAGTTTATTCATATTTCATACATTCCATGTTATACCCTTCTGTTGGTTTATAAGGAGGATCCTTATATTCTTATTGAATAGGATTTTTTATTACTGTTTTGAAGCAATCCTTCATATAAGAATTTAGTTTTTCCGACATCTTATGCTCCAAGAAGTAATACATGAACATATTTATTTCCATCTAAAAGTGCCCCCATGTTAATTAAAATACATTAAATTATTTGTATATAATGGATTTTTATATCAATTGAATACAATAAACAAATATAAACACTCTGAAAATTCATGCAGTATTTGATCCATCCTTCTTAAACAAACTAGTTTACAATTAATAATATTAGATGGATCTATGATGCAGTTATATTTAAAGTTTATTTTAATATTTCACATTATTACACAATAATTACATAACTCCTGTTAATTATTTTAGTCTTAATCATATTATCATTTTTTTTTTGAAGTCTAAATACTTTAATCTATGATTAATAAGTGTATTGAATTTTGGTGATTTAATTGATGACTAATTCTATGCAATAGTTAATAGAATCAATCGTAACTATTATTTTATTAAAACTTTTTTCAATAATCAAAAATACTCAACTATAGTAAGAATATTCTATCTATCTATGTGAAATTAGGAAATCCATTTGATATACTATTAAAGAATGTACTCTCAAGATCAAAGTTATTATAATTAATTACTATGTTTTTCTTATCAAAATTATACCTGTTCAAATTATTATCAATTTTTTCTGTTTGGCTGGTTACTTTATTCTTACTTATTTTTCTAGATTAATAAATTAATTATATTTTTTATGGATTTTGAAAAAATAGCTTAAGAAGTATTTGAATACTAGAATTAATTGCGAATTGATCCTACTATTGCCATACCACCTTTAGAAGCAAGATTGAAATATTTCAAAGGCAATATCCTACATATGCCTGGTTAGAAACCACTTTAATACAAGGAAGGAGCGGCCTGTGTTTAAGAATGTATCGACTTTTTAAAAACTTAACCTCCGTTGCCTCCATTTCAATATGAGAAAGGATTGGAATTGTCATCCAGAGATCATGGAATTGATTTGGGTAATTGTGGATGTCAACTATTATCTTAGGTAAGAATGGCACAACTGGTCATACTGGCACTGACGGATCCAATGTTTCAAAGAGAATTAGTCGATATGGATTGTGGAAACCTGGACCTGCTGGGTAGAATATTAGTTATGGCAAAGTAACAGGATAGGAAGGTAATTGACTGTGTAATTACTTAAGTCTTGTTGTAACTTATAGTTGACGATGGAAAACCTGATAGAGGACACAGACACAATGTCTTTGACAAGGATTACAAATTAGTAGGTGTGTATGTCGGTGAACATATTAAATTCAAATACATTACTGTTATGGATTACTCCAAGAAGTTTGTGATGAAGGGTCAGAAAAAGTAAACCAAATAGAAACAGGAGTAATAAGAAAATGAATTGATTGATGAAGTTGAAAAAGTCAACTTGGAAGATCAAGAACAAGAAGATACGGATTAAAACGCATAAATCAAGGAAGGAAATGTCTAAGGTGATGATTGCATTGAAGTTGGTGCTGTAGAATAAACTGACTTTCAATAAGAACAATAGTTCTAGTAGAAAGAAGAGGATTAATTGGAGTAGTAAGAAGAATAATAGGAATAATAAGAATAATAAGATTAAGAAGAAACTAATAACGATAAAACAACCCAAAGCAAAGTGGTTAAACCTGCTGGGTGTATCAAAATAGTTAAGAAAATAAAAAGTGTTACTCAGAATGGAGTCAAAATGAAATAGATTACATATGTTTTTAAAATGAAAGATGGAACTGAATAATCATAAATTATATTAGAATGATATTATTTATTAAATTAATTGCGAGAATTTTTAAATTTATTTAAATCTTCTTTATGCATTAATATTAAAAATAAATAAAAAATGAGAGAAAAGTGGCGAAAGAAGAGAATGCGAAGACTCAAGAGAAAGAGACGTAAGGCACGCAAGTGATTTAAATTATTTGCACATAATCTAGATATATATGTTTCATATCTCATTTCACATTATTGTACAACATCCATCATCACCTGATTATTTGTCTCTCATGGGGTTTACTTTGTAATCCTTTATGGTGTAATTGGAATTGAACTCATTGATTTTTTAGTGAACTGGGTGGCTCTCTGTTGTTAACTCAAAATGTTTGTTTCTTATTTCTGATATTTGATCATGAAGTGGCACTTGCTTTGATTTATTGATTAATGCAATGAAATTATGTTGAATATAACAAATCACCACTATTACATCCTTGATTGCATACTTTCCACTCAACAACTATAATTCAGGGATTTGTGATTTATTCACGTACTCCTCAATTTAATCTTTCAAAAACTTGTTTTAATATTTAAATGCGTGTGATTAGATTTATTATGACTCTTTTGTAAAATCGATTTGATCAGCACACTTTTGAGCACATAATGCAATTGTCAATTATATATTATTATCACATTTATTTGTTAATTAATTTTCTTTTATCACTTTTAATAACGACTTCATTCTATTTTCATACTTTATCATCTTAATCATAGTGAATGAATTATCAATCATATCATCTAAGATAACAAAGCTATTTCCCAAAGTTAACATTTTATATACATCTTCATTTTTAGTAATTTTATCATTTTGCACTTCCCCATATGAAATCAAATGATTAAGCATTAAATTGTAGAATACTAAAGAGTAATTGTATTTATTCTAATCATTCTATTGTTTATCCTAATTCCATTACTAAACTTATTTAAGTAGATCCTCTTTGTTCATTGAATCCCAAATCTTCTATTCTTCAACCGAGCACTCCGAAAATGTTTTATTATTCAGTTATTATTCATAAAATTATGTTTATTATTTTTATTACATTTCTGACATTTACTTATACAAGATGTTCAGTTTCTTCAGTATTTCTTCAGTAGAGTCCACTTTGACATGACAAATTGGATTCATGATACAATCTATCTTTTCATCACATAATTCATCTTTCTGTTTGGTCAACTATTCAAATTCCTATTTCTATTTATCCAAATTTTATCCATGAACAATAACCTTCTAGATCACTCCTCCTTTAATTTCAAATTCTTGATTCAATCTTATTAAATCCTGACAATTACGCACAACTATTGGATTTATTGTTGCTTTGTACATTTTTTTATGCATAACAATATCACTCAATTATTAAATCAAATCATAAACATCTCCAGTTTCTTTAATAATTTGAGCCTTTCCTATAAACGATTAAATACTAAATTTGTCAATCTCTAGTATTTAATCATACAGTTTCAATGCTTCCTCCTTTCTATCCAATTTTCTCAAACATAAGGCTTTTAATCTCAGAGCATGGACATTCTAATCATCATTAATCAAATTGCATGTCTAGATTGATTCTTCATACTTTTTTTGATCATACAAAATGCTGGCTTTGACAATAAATAAGGGAGGCAATTGCTCATCAATGGTCAAACCCTATTCAATGGTCTTTAGTGCTTCTTCAAACTTCTGTTAGACTCTGAGAACTTTAGCTTTGGAAGCATAAGCCATTACATATCTACTGTTGATTGATTATTCAAACAATTAGATTGCTTAATCGAATTTATTTAATCTGAACAAGACTTTTCCTCGATACCAAGTAATGAAGTAATTATCTGGATCTGATTTTTATGCTCCTTCTAATAATTTAAGGATCTCATCTTACCTTTACTCCAGAATAGCCTTATTAATCTTGGCATAGAGGCAATTAGGATTGACCTTCAATGATTCATTAAACCATGTGTTTGCTTAAACACTATTTCCTTTCATGATGTATGCTTATCCCAATAATACATAATATTAACATCCATGAGTGCTCTTCTCCAATTCCTTAATGGCTTTATCTGGCTAACTTTGTTGAATGAATATCCAAGCTCTGTTGGCATGACATTGCTATTTGAATTGATCAACGTGATTCAAAACTTATAGAGAGAGTTCAAGACATTCTTTATATTTCATCTGATCTTTTTTGATTAAACTCATGAAATACTTGCAAGTCCAGGATTGATGATTCTATTCTATACAATAATTAAATAATTGTTCTGATTGTTTCAAGTCATTCAAATAGTATTTACAAATAGCATCGAAATATTCCAATTAAACACAATCTCTTACCTATTTAATTTATTGGATTAACTCAACTGCTCTTTGAATTTCCTTTCCCTTAGGTTTACATGAATATTCTCCCCAGGCATAAGCGATGGAATTCTCAGAATGAATGATCAAGTGCTTTACTAGTGCCTATTTAGCACACATGTTATATGGATCACTTTTGATAAGTTGTTCCAACAATAAGATACAATCATATTTTGCATCCTAAGTACCCTTCTCAACTTTGGCGTAAAGACAATTGGTATCTAATTTTAGTGCTTCTTTTAACCATGTATCTGCTTAAGTCTTATTTCCTTTTAGAAAGTAGAGTCTACTGATTAAAGTATAGTTCTGAGGATTTGGTTTAACGTACTCTAGTTCCTTTAAGGCCTAATCCAATTCATTTAATTCGATGTACATTACTACTCTCCAAAAGTGACAATCATCTTTCAATTGTCCTGTGACTTCTTAACTTAGCTTCTTGAATTGTAAGACAGCTTCTTTGTATTTGAATTGATCCTTATGAATTAAAGCGATGTAAAATTTGGAATCAAAGATCCTGTAGTTATTTTGAATACATTATTCGAATACCACAAGTGCTTCAGCATTCTTATAATTGAAGTAATGGATTAATGCTTAGAGATAAAGAGTTGAATTGCATTTGGGAAGTTTTTGTACATGTTCTTATAACTTATTCATAAATTCTCCTCTAGGCCTACATGCATATTCCCCCATTGACTTGATAACTTAAGCACTTCCTTTTGTGATTAATGCATTGATATGTTCTCTAATCAATCTAGAATTAGTGGGGTCTTTCTCTATGAATTGGGTGATAACTTTAATTTATTGATCAATATTATCATTTTTTGCTTGGTTGTTTAATGCATAATAGCAACCTTAATTAATTTTCAATGCTTCTTTCATCCATTGCTGTCCTTATTGTTATTAATTCAATTTGAAATAACAGTTTGACAACAAAGCATAGCAATAACTATTTTCACCTACATGTTCTAAAATCTTAGTGGCTTTTTAGTATTGGTTCAGGCTGATGTAACACTCAGCCAAGACCAGGTGTTTGTGTTTCTGGTCGTCTTTGTTCTCAAGGTCACCCAGAGAATTGAAGATTTTGAGTGCCTCCTCGTATTCTTAGAGCTCCAATTGTCTGAGCCCAAAATAGAACTTCTGTTCATCTGAACCTCCTAATTTGACCTCTTTATCCTAGAAGTAATTTAGAATGGTTTCTATCACATCTTTGTCTTAACCTTGGAGTTCATTAGAGAGTGTTTGAGCCTTCGTGAGTAAATCGGAGGAGGTCTTGGAAATGCATGATCCCAGTGGTATTGGACTCTTCAGCTAGTGCAATTTGATGAGAGTCTTGCACTCGATAAGTTTGTTTGGCTAGGAGTTCAAGAGTTGTTGTGCTTGTTCATAATTTCCACTTTTATAAGATTCTACAGGCGAATCCATTAAAATTTTAATAATGAGGTATTCGACATATGGGGTACCGTATTTAAATTAATAAAATAGTATTATTTATTCAGAGGGGGTCTAAATGGCTAATAGTGAGGAATCCCACAAAGTGCAAAATTACATCCTAGGTATTAGAATAATGATTTTAGAGATCGGACTCTAGGAAGAGGAACATTTGGTAAAGTGAAATTAGGTTATCATACAATTTGCAAAGAACATGTAGATCATTCCTTAATGCAAGGTTGCTGTCAAGATACTGTAGAAAAACAAGATAGAAAAAAATGAAGATGCCATTCGAGTTTAGAGGGAAATTTCAATATTGAAGAAGGTGAATCATGAAAATATAATTAAATTGTATGAGGTACTATAATAGTGGTAGCACGCTAGATTTTAGAATCAGATGAGAACCTCTATTTGGTCATGGAATATGCGAAGGGAGGAGAACTCTTTGATTACATAGTCAAAAAGCATCAGTACATAATATTGAAATTGTTAATAGATTATCAGAACCAACAGCAGCACATCTCTTTATTCAATTGATAAATGCCGTAGAGTATTTGCATTAACAAAAAATTGCTCATCGAGACCTAAAACCAGAGAATCTTTTACTTGATGAATCAAGAAACATTAAAGTTGCCGATTTCGGACTTAGTAACTTATACAAAAACAATGAATGTCTCAAAACTGCTTGTGGGTCTCCTTGTTATGCCCCACCTGAAATGCTACGTATACAGTCATCTAATTCTCATAGATGGAAATCCTTACTTAGGTGAAAAGAGTGATATTTGGAGTTGTGGTATCATCCTCTATGTTATGTTGTGTGGCTTTTTACCTTTTGAAAATGATAATACCAAGAAACTATATGAGATGATTAAGTATGAAGAGTACGACTAACCCAAAAATGTTTCATTCTTTGCCTAAGATCTCTTAAAGAAACTCTTGGTTAAAGATCCATATAATAGGATTGGATTCGATGGAATCAAACAGCATTAGTTCTATAAATCAGTTGTTGTCCAAATAAATCAAGTAATTACCAATTATGACACATTAACCTTAAAAATGTTATTAGAATTAGGATATGATGTCAATAGCATTTATGATCAAGTCAAAGAACAAAAGCATAATTCTCAAACAACCCTGTTTTGGCTACTCAAAATAAAAGCATCTCATCAATACTCCAATTATCTCTGTCAAAGAAGGCAAATTTTATAATATAATAGACAAAACAAACAAAGTTATAAAAATAAATTGCAATAGACAGTCTAAAATAAGTCAATAATTCAAATATAGAATTAAACAGCTCGATCTAATAGCAAGAATAAACTCAGTTTATCGGTCTAATAAAGATATCCAATCTCAAATAATAAATTACACTTAAAAGAATTAGAAAAATTTACTAATGCTCTTACAGGAATTCATGTAAATTTGAATAAAATCAAGAATTGCTCCAAAAGAATTCCTGATTCTCTAATAGATTAAGTCAGATAAAAGACATATTCTGTTTAAGATAGAAAATATCATAATAAAACTCCAGATCTAAGTGATTTTGTTATTAAAAAATCCTAAGTTAAGAACAACCTTTTCAACCTCAGAAAAAAGAGCACCACTTAATAAATAGAAAAATTGAACTTTTTTAATGATAAATTAAATCCTCAAATTAAACGTGGTAGAAATAGGACTGTTAATGAAAAAAAAAAGCATATCCTAATGGAAAAATACTCGAACAACTACACACCTATGCTAAGTCGACAAAGCAGTCCATTGACTAAGTTATTAGCCCTAACAAGAAATTAACTTTAAGGAATAAGAAATTAAAATCACTTGGATAAATATAATATGATGCTATCAGACTTGTGATTGTCACTTTAGATTGTTAAGATAAATAAGATTACCTTTTTATATATATATTAAATCATAATTACTATTAGAATTCTTTAATTTATTTCTTAAAAGTTAACAAAAATGCAAGAAAAGGGAAGTGCTTTTTATTTGACATTATTGATAATAATTTCAGTGTTATCTTTGATTGGATGTTCAGTCTTGTTATTTGATTATTTAAAATAGAGAAAAAGTGCTAATCTAGCAGCAAAATTATTAGCAATATTGTCTATAAGTGATGCAATTTATGTCATCGCTGTAGTCATTAATCCTACCCCATGTACTCAATGAAATATAAATTAGAGATTGATGGGGCTCTTTGTGTAATATAGGCTCTATTGAAGTAATCGTCAAGTGTTTCCACATTTATCGTAAACTTTTTCTTTTGCTTAACTACATCTCTCACAATAGTGGAAAACATAGATATCACAGATGACAAATATTACAAATACATAAGGAATGCTAAATTTTTTTCGGTTCTATTTCCTTTTTTAATTGCTCTTATTCCTCTTACTTATAATGGATACGGAATATAATATTATGCATGTAGTTTTAAAACTCAAAACAATTACTGGTTAGGAGAATTCCTCTTATTTTATGTTCCCTTTGGATTATTTTTTGGATCAAGCATTTATTTCCTTATTAAAATAAAAAGATTTCTCAGTGAAATCCAATCTAATAAATTAGGTCATGAGGATTATAGACTTTTTAGAAGAACTTTAATTTTACAAAATAGTCAGATTGTTGTAGGGGAATAATATACAAGATTTCTGTTCTATTATACTCTTGTTCATCTTTTCTGTTGGCTTCCCATTATTTTGAGTTCAATATGCGAGATTATATGGAAGAGAGACTTCGTATGGTTTGGAGGAATAAGTTATCTTTGTGCATGCTCATAAGGGTTCCTGGATTTCGTTCTATTCATGATTAGCAAACGAGTTTCTTCTCGATCATATGTTTAAGAAAGGAACAGTAGTTATATGTCTGTGGAACCAGTAGACATTTATAGGGGCTCTGTTGTATACAATTCAAGTTTATGATTTAATGTTTTGCTGTAAATTATATATTTATTCAACTTAAATAGACTAATTATCATTCTTAATTACATTCAGATGAGCATATGATGTATCATTCATGACAGTAGTAATAAAGCTAAATTTCTTTATCTTCACTCTCGAATATCTGTTTAAATTAATAAATGAATTTTATAAAGTCTCTATTTCACTAATAGAGTTCATAGCAAAAAAAGATTGTTCAAAAGAAAGAAGTCGGATCCTCCATACTAGATTCACAATTCACCCAAGTCAGACTTTAGGATATCAAAATAATGTCGAGGGATTTTAGAAAATTGGATGAAATTCTCAAGCATTAGCCAGAAACAATAAATGAACAATTTAAGAGATGCTACAGCTTCCATGTCATTTTGTCCAGCGATTACACATAATCAATAGAAATGATTCTCAAATATTTTGAAACTCATCAGCATGACTAATTTAAGCAAACATTTCAGTCTACACATTCTAAGACCATGGCTACTTAACATGTGAATTTAACAATCCAAAATATCAATGATCAAAAAATGAATACTATGTAATCATAAAACTCCATGTTTCTCAATGTATCTGATGTAAACTTAAAATTATTGATTATTTTTAGTAAATTTAAGTATTTGAACTGATAAATTAAAATGAATAAGGATTCATGAATATATACTTCAATTACATACAAAGAATCACACAAAACTTCGATGTCTATAGTTCCTGTAAATTTTAGCAATACCCCTATTAAGATGATTCACATAACCGTAAACTTTAATTTCTTTGGCTCTTCAAAATAATCAATCTACTTAATTTTAAACTCAGCTTCATCCCCTATTTCCAATTCAATTTCAAACATAAATCTTAAAACACTCTCATCATCCGAGATATAGCCTATCTAATTTATAAGGATTGTTTAGTAGAGTATGCTTTCTTAAGAAATGAGATCACCGAAATGCTCGATTCTTATTCCTAATTTCAAATTAAGGAATGTATAAAAATAACATTTATTTAGCCCTTCAATTCTATGAGTTAATCTTGATAATGAAAGATATCACAAGTAAGTTGACAGTATTTTATTAAATGAGGTCTTCATTTGCTCTCAATTCTGAATCAGTTAGGGATGTAAAGTGGTTTGTAATTGAAAAAAAATTGATGATTGAAATAGATAATTACATTTCTAAAATTAAGTTGCTTAACACTACTTAATTTAAAAAGAGCCTTATGGTTCCAAATCAAAAAAATTTAATCTAAGACTTTTAAAACGCTTAGTAAGATCCAAGTCTCTTAGATAATTCATTACATAAAGTAATATCAATGTAATATCATAGGAACCAACAACTGCAAAACAAATAAAAATGTGCAATGAATTATTATACTCACCTCTAAAATTGAAATAACTAAAACGTGGAGAACATTCTAGATAATAATCAAGAAATTGTAAGAATCTTTGACTAATAATTACAACTTCAAATAAGTTATTTTTCAATTAAATAAAAACTCAAACTATTTTCCTAAAATTAAAAACTTAATTTCTTACTACTAACTCATGGACTTCATTTCTATTAGTAACAGATTTCTAGTCATCTCTCTGTTTCTATAAACTTGTTCAATATGATCTCTAAATTACTCATCATTATAATTTATTAACTAAATTTAGATAAGGCTAAGCCAAAGTACTTTGTAGTTAATCAAACTAATCCATCACTAATAATAAACTTTCAAGAAGCATTCAAAATAATTTAATTAATTAAAGGTCTTAATTAGTTTCCTTAGCATAATTGGGATTTCTTATTATAATTGATTGAATCAAAGTATATTTATGGAAAGCTCCGCTGTAATCTATTAATTTGACTTTAAATTCAAAATATATCTTTTACTTTTAATGAAAATGAATTATTGAATCTTATTTGTAATTATTAACTCTATGCATAGAGTATTTTACTCGGAATAATAATATTCAGTAGATTTTTTGATTATAACTTTAATTGTAACCAATTTATTTGATTATTTGAAACTGAATATGTATTCAAGCACATATATCTTTTCTATTGTTTTTAATAATAAAAATTCCTTCCTTTTTTGTTATAAAAATATAATTAAATAACTGATTCTAAATAAAATTTACTTAGTATATTGTGTTGTTCTTAATCAATAATAATGGTGAGTCATCTTTGAGATTGTTTCTTAGTAATTCCTACTCAGATAATTTATAATATCGATATTAATAATATAAAAATTCAGTTTCAATGAATAAGTATGAAGTTAAAGGAGTTGTAGGAGAGGGAGCTTACGGAATCGTGCTAAAATGCGAAAATAAAGAAAATAATCAGATTGGTAGACAGTTATTTCTATTATTAGTGGCAATTAAGAAGTTCAAAGAGACCGAGGATAATGAGATTGTTAAAAAAAGTATTTAGAGGGAAGTCAAGATGTTGAGACTATTGAAACACCCTAATATTATTGATTTATTCGAAGCATTCAAGAGGTATTTATATCAATGATGTAAAAGAAAAGGGAGAATCTATCTAGTTTTTGAGTATGTAGAAAAGAATTTACTTGAAGTGTTACAAGCCTCGCCTAATGGTTTAGATGTATTACATTTAATATTGTAAGTAAGGATTCCTTAAGAAAATTGCATTTTAATTATTAAAAGCTATAGAGTTTATTCATTATCATGATATTGTTCATCGAGATATCAAACCTGAAAATATTCTAATTGATAATGAAAACAATTTAAAACTTATTGATTTTGGATTTGCCAGAGTAAAGCTTTGAATTAATTTTCGTAGAGTCTCAATTTACCAGACACTTTAACAGACTATGTCGCGACAAGATGGTATAGATCTCCTGAACTTCTATTGAATTATCAGACCTATGGAAAAGGAGTAGATTTATGGGCCATAGGTTGTTTACTTTGTGAACTCACAGATGGAGAACCTATGTTTCCAGGAGAGAATGAAACTGATTAATTATATTTGATCCAAAAGACACTTGGCCCTTTAACACATGAACAATTGGAAGTATTTCAAAAGAATCCTAGATTTCTTGGAATGAAATTCCCTGAGATTGGAAAGCCTGAGACTATAGAGAGAAGGTATTTATAAACTAATAGAAATAATAATAGATATCTTGGGAAATTACCCTAGAAAGCTATAGGATTAGTGAAAGGCCTATTGAGGATGGACCCTAAAGAGCGTTTCACTTGTCTGGACGCATTGAAACATCCCTACTTCGCTGATTATCCAGAGGCACAGGAATATATTAAATAAATCGAGAGCAGATAGAATCATATCTAAAATGATGTTAATCAAAAAAGAGATTCTCTTATGAGTTAATAGAAATAACAAAATCAGATTGGACACACGAATCAAATCAGAACTAAAGTATTAATTTCTTAATTGTAGAACGTTAAACCAGTTCCTAATTTTTTGAGTAGCCATGTTTTAATGTAGAGTACTGCGTATAATTATAAGATAACTGATTAACATACGGCTGAGAGGGAGTTGCCAAATATGAAGAAGACTACTTCAGTTGATAAATTGCCATAAACTCAATATAATGGATTTAGTATTGGGAATGGTTTCTCCTTTGCGCCCTCCAAAAACTAATAACTAAAAGCAACTTAACCCATAAAACAATCTTAACCCTAAATTAAAATATAAAACTTGAACATTATTTATAATGCCAATACTTACAATTACTAATTATAACAACAGCAATAATAATAATAGCCTCAATAACAATAAAGAAAAATAATAAAGAAAAAAAGTTGATTAATTTTAATGTTTTATTAAAACTAACTAATTAAATCTAAAATTGATTATAAGTTATAAATATCATTCTAAACCAAAAATACCTTCCAATGCTTCATGAATGGTTGCCTTCAAAAAAACTTCCATTGTTTCCAGTTCTTCATATCTAGAAAACTTTACAAAACCAAATATTTACTTTGGCAATTCTAATCTGTTAAAACATGTATGAGCCTTAGGGTATGGATTTTCTTAATCGAAATTACTGGCTTAAATGCAGAAATATGAAATTTCTCCTCTGTTGCTCTCAAGTTTACTATTATTGAGGATTGTAATTACCTAAAGCCTTCCACTGGAACTCTAGTTGAACCAGTGCAAAATCTCAAAAATTAAGATAGTTCAGCCTAATTCCAAGTGCTTAAGATCTACCAAAACCATATAATAAAGTAATCCTCTGCAGAACAGTCTTTATATATTGTATATTTGGACCAATCTTAAAGATCAATAAATGGAAGTCCAAATAAGATCATTTCTAATTCCTAAGGTTTGAAAATTCTTAATAAGGTTTTTGGAATCACTTGATAGAATCCTGTCAGAAAATCTGAGAGATAAGGTTCTAAAAACTATGAAGTGTAGTAGAATATACTAGGATGTGTTATAATTAAAGATACTTTAAATTGATATATTCCTAAGCATTAGAATTAGTTACTTTGATTTCACATCCATTCTCTTTTAAATTGATAGTCTTACCAAAATATTCTAACTAAAAGTAGAGATCTAATTAATCAGAATTATTATTTAATAAATATTGCCAAGAATAAAATAACTAAACTGTTGATCTTATAATATTACATCTTCATCAAAATATTTGATGTCTTCCAACACTATCTTCTGTCTCAAGATATGTTTAATAATTGTACGATCTAAAAATGAACTAAGTGGGATTCTTTCAAAAAGACATTTTCCCACAATTATTCCTAAAAAGGAAAAGAGTTATCTTTTGTCAATAGTATTTGATTAAACATTAGGATTGAATTTGTACGTGAGTTCTTTAGTGTCAGTTTTTTACAGATATCCCTAATCGACTAATTATTATAAAATAGAAGTTGACCATTCTCTCAGCAAACCTCCTGCATCCTAGACTTTTTGATCTTCCTGAAATTTTATTTTCAATTCTCCATGTAAAAGACGAGATTTCAATTTCATTATACTCTCCACTGAAGATTCTAATATTTGATTTTATGAAACAGATATAACAGTGCATCCATTCTAATGTATTTTTTATTAAATTTACTTGCCATGGAATTCTAAGTTTTTCTAGTTTTGCTCTGAACCAAACTTGCTTTTAACCAAAAGGTTCTTGTTAAATATTCTTTTTTATTTCTCATAGTTACCTATTCATTAATTTGGAGACTAGGGTTGTATTCCTTTAGTACCCACTAGAATCCTTATTCGTTTTAAACCTTTTCCCAATATTTGATTCCTCGATAATCTTCTATTCTATTTATATTTTATTAAGAAGACAATAGGCAATTATCTAAGTGATCATTAAACTTCAAATTTAATTTATCTATATTACAGCATGATTAGTTGTGTAAGATGGGAAAAGTTATTAACACTTTGGACACTCAACTTCCCTTCCAAGAGTTGTTTGACTCGGAGATTTAATTGAACAGCAACACCCCATTAGATTAAATTATAAACTAAAAAAATAATATAATAACATTTAAGCTTAGCATTATATATTCTTAAGTTAAAGTCTCAATATTTACAATATACCCATCTTCTTATATTCATTTTTTAATGTAGTCATCACTGTTTTTTGTCAGTATGATATCTAGTCATACAATAATCATGATATATTTAATTGTAATTAATTTTCTTTTCTAAACCAATAGATACAAATTGAATGTTTTTAATTCAACCCTTACCACCATGAGATCCATGATCGCTCCAAATTAACATCACTATTAAACCATTCTTCTTTATTAAAAATATATTAAAGTAGCCTTAAGGTACTTCTTAATTTCAAAGTATAATAGATCATTTCCTCCAACCCCAAAACATAATATGATAAAATAATTTATAATTAAAAAGCACTCTAGAAGATGAATCACTACCACGTTTTTAAATTAGAATCTTGAAGTTGACTTTCTATTCTTGTGTGAAATAAATCTTTATTTAATAAAGAATATTAATCTATAATTCCTTAAGATTATATTAGGTATAGTATTGAGTGATTTTTTTCAATTTATTCCAAAATAACATTAATAATTTAAGGTAGATTTTGTTATTTATTAAGAATAAGATTTTGGTTCAAAAACAATTTAATAAATTAATAATAGAAATAGAATATAAAAAATAAATGATATATATAATAAAGAATAAATTAGAAATAAATGGAATAAGAGGAATGTGAAATATGAAGAGATTGATATAAGTAAAAGTATGAGTAATAATAATAAAAATAAAAAAAATCGATGCCTGTGAGACTCGAACTCACGCGGGAAATCCCAACGGCTTAGCAGGCCGCCGCCTTAACCACTCGGCCAAAGCATCTAACTTGTTTTATTTATGACTTCTAATTTTTTATAAGATATATCATTATTCTTTTTAATTAATATATAAGCACATTTATTTTTATATTTTTATATTTCAATTATCTAATTTCTAATATTCATAATTACCCATTCTATATATTAATGAATATCAAACTAAAATGTAATCTCATTATTTCTACACATTTTCCTCTATATCTTTCTTCATTCTCTATATCCTTATTAACAAAAACCAATATTATTTTATAATTTATACTTATTATTATTCTATCTATCAAAGGATGAATATAAGAATACTAAAATAGCAAAATTGAAAATATTCTATCAAAACAATAAATCCAGAATTTATCTTTTGCTATATCATGATTTAAACAAATTTTCTTATGAAAAATTCAATTGGGTTTTAATCGCTAATATTAGTTAAGAAGAAATTGGATATCTACAACTATTAGATCTTAAATAAGAGTTGTAATAAAAGATTTTTATATAATTTTTTATCATTTTTAGAAGAATCATAAGAATTTGATTTATTTTATAAAAAATCATTTTTCAAAAAGTAAACTCAAAAGTAATTTATTTAATTATAATTTATATAAATGATATTTAAGTTATTTTGCATATTCTTTATTATCTTAAGTTTGAAATAATGTATGCAATTTAATATAAATATATAATTAATTTGCTTATTTAACTGATTAAATTCTATGGGAAATGAATGTACTTAGAGTTGTAATATAAATACATCATCAGAAGTTGGATTGATAGGATTAACCATAGACGAAAGAGGCTAGATTAATAATGATGAATTGCAAAGAAATAAAATCAATTTTTCATAAGATGAAGATCTTAACATGCAAGCATCAAAAGCTTAACTCTTTAATATGCAGAATAGCAGTTCATATTTTTATTAGAATAAGGATTTAGAAGACGTTTAAGATAGTACAAAACAATCAAAGCAGCAGAGTAATGTTATGCAATCAAACCAAAATAAGAACAAAAAACTTGAAAAAAGACCCCCCTATTAATTTAAGAATGGTGCAATATATGATGGTTAATGGAAAGGAGTGTTTAGAGAAGGTTATGGAATTTAAACATGTAAATAAATAATTCATCACTAGGGCCTGATGGTGCAAAATATGAAGGAGAATGGATGAATAATCTTGCAAATGGAAAAGGTAAATTCACTCATGCTGATGGTGATATATATGAAGGAGATTGGGTAGATGATAAAGCAAATGGATATGGCATATATATTCATTTAAATGGAGCTAAGTATGAAGGATTTTGGAAAAATGATTAATAAGAAGGTTAAGGTACTGAGGAATGGATCGATGGCTCCAAATATTAAGGTAACTACTTAGCTGGTAAGAAAAATGGTTAAGGGTTTTATTAGTGGAGTGATGGTTCAACTTATGATGGAAATTGGTTGGATAATAAGATAAATGGCTTTGGTATTTATAACTGGTGTGATGGAAGAAGATATGAAGGAGAATGGGTTAACAATAATATGCATGGTAAAGGAATCTATACTTGGAAGGATGGAAGAAGATATGAAGGAGAATATCAATTTGATAAGAAACATGGTTTCGGTAAATTTACATGGCCAGATGGCAAAGGTAATTTAATAAAACTATCATTAGCTTATGAGGGTCTTTGGGCATATGGAAAATAGAATGGTCAAGGGAAATATGTCCATCCTGATGGTACTACTAAGGTTGGAATATGGGAAAAGGGAAATAGGGTTGCTTGGTTGGATGATGATCAAACGTAGGTACCTTAATAATTGAAATAACAATTTTGATAATTAATACAACCACCATGATATTTTTATATATAGGCAGTATAATGTCGTTTTAAAATGTCTTCACGTAATTGCAAAATAATTAAATCTCTACATTACAATCAAAAATTTCATGCTTAATATTGAATATCAAATATCTACTAGTCGACAAGATTTTGTTGAAAATAGAAAAAAAACTTTGTGAAAATTAATAATTTTCAAAAAGTTTTAATGAGAACACTACTTTAATTGTACTTTATAGTAATTTGAAATATTTAAATGATTATATGTGATAATAACTCATGTTTATGATTGAGGATTTTATTACATTTAAAGAAAACAGTTAAAAAAATAAGGCTAATGTTAATAGAGTAACTAGGAATTCAAGATATTACATTCAGCTTATTTAAGTTAATTAAGGTAACAATATTGCTGATACATTGAATAGTTAAAATAATTGTAATACATTTATGGTTAATTGTAATACATTTATAAATGTTTCTGATTATCTACATTAAGTTCGAAATTTTTATCTTCCTCCTTTATTTTATTAGTTTAAGATTCTGATTTCATATCTACAGTTTTTGCAGGGCTGTTGAGTGCTACTTTTTTATCTAAAATGTCTTATAAAGTTTATAATTCAAAATATTATTTTATATTATCCTTATTAGTTTCTTAATTTAATAGAAGCTCAGATAAATTATTTAAGTTATCTGAGAGTTGGTTATTTTTTTATAATAATTTAAGTTGAAATTTTTATCGTTTTTTTAAAATCAAAGAAAAAGTAGTAATTAAAATCTAGCATTCCTTTTTGTACTTAAGCTTATTCATAAGAGTAGATAGAATTTCTAACTACTATTTAATTTGTTATTGTACAGATTTGGCTTTATTTAAGCTAAAAATTAGTTATTTTAATTTTTGATTCAATTTCATGTATATAGGATTCTTTGCATTTTTTATTTCCATTAAATAAGTTTGTAATGTTTCTAACAGTTCAAAAGGCTTATTTGATGAGTAAATCTAAGTGATATTTATTTTGCAATCTGAATTACTGTTTATATTGGATAATTATATTTAAGTCTATTCCATTGTATCCAAATATTATTCTTACAATTCATCTAATTGAAGCAATAGTTTTTTCATTTTAGATAATGATAACTAATCTTTGAGCAATATGCCGTTTTTCATTTTTAATTTGCAATTATTTATAATTATCTAAATACAATCCTATTATTTGGATAAAATTGGTTTTGCTTTCTATATTAAATAGGTTTGCTAGTAACTAAAATTTGGATTAATATGTAACAATATATAAGTTAATCATTTAAAAAGTTTCATTTATTACAGAGCCTAACCAACCGAAACACCTCTTTTATTTATATTAATTATAATATATTAAAAAACAAATCAAAATAATAATATAGATTCAAGCCAATAAGATACCGCCAAAATAGTAAGAAACTGTAAAAAATGTTCCTCTAATCATTTCTTAAGCAATTAATCATCAAAATATTGAAGCCTAACCATTTTTCACTATTTAGGAATTTGAGAGAAATGAATTTAATAAATAATGTATAATAATTGAGTAATTCAATCTAAACTCACAATTTTATTGGAGAATTAAAAATTAACATCAAAAAAGAAGTTTTTGAAGGATTACATATATATCCTGTTTAATTCTGATTTTTTGATCTTTCATTATATTCAATTTACGCATAATTGATCCTAATAGAAGATAAATTACCAATAATTATAATTGTTAGGACTTAGCATATTAAGATTATCAAAATATTTATGAATTAAATATATATTAGTTAAGTATTATTTTATTTTTGATAATCTAAATGAAAATAAATGAAGAAATATAGGAATCCAATTGTGATTTGAAATTAGATAATTTAGAAATGGTGATTACTTGGATAATTTACATGCAAAAAAGTTAGTTTGATAATATTAAAATATATTTATTTATTAATTTTATTATATCGTTAATGCTGAGTCAAAAAAATTTATTAGTTGGTGAAGAAGATTTCAATTTAAATAAATTTCGAGATTCTTTGTATCTTAGAATGTCAAGTCCGAGCTAATCAAAATTGAGTAGTGTAAAAAAGGAAGAAAATTCAGTTAAGAAATCAGCGAAAAATTCAATGCATACTGATGTACAGCACCGAAAAAGGTAATAAAAATAATTATTGTTAGCGTGCCATCATTTGATGAATTATTGAAAACAATGAATACAAGTAATGGTCCTGTCTAAAAATAAAATACTTCTAATCACAAAAGAAATATCACTGATTCATCTCGAAAGATGAGTGGTATATATAATAAGATTGAATGTTTGGGAAATAATGAGGTTAATCAAATAACCAAATTATCATAACCGTAAATAATTTTAATAAATTTAGATTCATTTCTAATACTCCTCTAGCAGTATCAAATAATTAGCAACCCAAAAGGACAACCTTCTCGAGTAGCATTGCAGAAAAACCTGTTTTTTCAAAGGGAAATGGGAAATCTCTTATGGATAAATTGTCTTTAAAAGAGCTGATGGAAATTCGCAGTAAAATAGATAATAGTACATAATCGGAAGTGCATGAATTATCTGCAAATTATGTGCAAGAATTATTAAAATTATCTTAAATCATTATTAAGTAAGTAAGGCATATAAAGCATTGAAATATGTTTATATATATTTAATAATAAGAATTAATATTTTTATTTAAGAAAATGGCATCTAAAAATTTTATATCCAAAAGAGTTGCAGAACAATTTACCAAAAACATCCTACTTCCAAATAGACCCAAAGACTTACATTCCTATCAAAAAATGCTCATGCACAGATGCACTAATTTAGGAATGAAAGAATTAGATATAATTTTGGGCAGATGGTCTTAGGAATTCGTGCCAAAGATGAACTATGAAGAATTGAACTAGATGGAGTCTGAAATCTTAGATCTAGATACAATAGACATCTATAATCTATTACTGTAGGTTAAAGTGGCCGAAGAATTGAAACCTTTGGAACAATTGAAATATGTATAAGAAATTAGGAATTACGCTCTGAAAGGTTTGATATGAGATGTCTATTAAATATACAGATTATTAATAATAAAAATAATTTAATGTTCAAGAACAACTTCTACTCCTATGTGGGTGGTACTAGATCGGATATAGCCATGAGTATTGAATCCTATTTCGAAGTTATGGAAGTCTTATTGGATTAATATTTGAGTAGAGAAGTATAGAATATGATATTATCAACAACAAGATGCTGTTCAATTTCAAGAATTGCAGTCAAGTGCTCAATGACATAGTGGTTTCAGCTCCATTAGCCTTTTTGCCTTTCTCGCTCTTGGGAACACAATGGCTCTTTGCAGGTGCTAACAGAAAGGGAGCTAATAAAGCTTATGGGCCCATACTTGCATCTGTACATATGTTAGTATTATGGAGAGCTTACACTGCTCCAATCCCAAATAAATTATACACTAAAATAATCGCAGATCCTACGGTCGATGGGTAATATATCAGGTATTAAATTATTATCAATTTAGAACTCAATTGTCTGTCATGAAGCCAGGCTTATGGCAGGTATTGAGCAGGGAATTGTATCATAAAGGATATAGATTTCCTGAAATGCTAGAGTTCAAGACCGCCACAGAATTCCCAACTGGATTTGTCAAGCCCTATTGATGGTACATCACAATAATATAATATATCCAATATTTAATACAATTTTTATTTAATTTTAATACAAAAGTATATGGAGGCAGATTAACTATTGGTGACTAATTTTTTTATAGAATAATAAATAAAAATATTAAAACCCCGACCTTTGGCTATTAAATAAAGTGCTGAAATTTTATAACATTACTATAAATTGTAAGCAGTAATAATTTTAACATATTATCACTTTTATTAGAAAGAATAAGTCAAAGTCATAGAAACATCTTTGCTCAGCATCTATTCATTCTTTCAATCTGACAACTTTGAAAGTTATTAGGATATCAACACTAAAATTAATAATTTACTTGAAGATATTTCTAAAATTGATGATAACACAATAAAGAAAGGACAATTTCGAAGATCGATTTGTAGAAAATCATTATAAAAGTATTACATTCTGATTTTATATATTCAATTAGATCATTTAAAATTTTATCTTTAAAACTTAGGATATCTTTGGACATTATCAGTAAAAAATGGATAAATAAACAAAATTTAAAAAATTAATTAAGATGGTCCAATCTATGCATCCGAAACATACAAAAGTATATTGACATATTTAAGATAAAGTTCTTTGAATTCAGATCTAGCATTAGTCTCTAAAAAGTTATTTAAAATGTTTATATGCAGAATATGTGAACAACCTGTCTAAGCAACTCAAATGGAATAACATTGCATAAAGTGCGAACAATAAGCTGAAAGCAAAAAAAGATTATTGGAACTAAATTTGGAATTAGCAGATGTTTGTGATTAGGCATATTTAGAAAAGAGGAATGTGCAAGTTAAATTGGCAATTAAAAAGTATTATTATCGGTATCATATTTAAGAATGAGAGATAAAACAAAGAAGAGATAACATCATAATACTAAATATATTTATAGAAGAGTTTAGACTTTAAATGATTAAGACGAAGATGAAGATAATCAAAATGAATATTAATAAGAATTGAACACAATAGTCAACATTATGACATAAATTATTAACTTTGCTGAAAAAACATTAAACAATTCTGCTGAAGTTGAAGATACTAAATGTAAATACATATTATGATCTTTATTAATAGAAACCTTAGTGCTGTTAAATGACATAGTCAATGCCAGTCAATGTATTGAAAGCCAAGAAACATTGACAGTTATTAATGCAACCCATAAATGCTTACTAGATAGACTAGATTATTAGAAAAAATAAGAGAATATTATCAATAACTCATTAGAAGGGTCTCCTAATCAAAATTAAGATAATATCAGTAAGATCAAAAGAGCTTTTACTAAGTCTAATTCAATTTCATTCAGAATGCCAAAATTTTAAAATTCTCCCTCTCCTTCTTAGAGAATATCTACAGATCCTATTTAAGAAGAAGAAGATGTACCATAATCACCTTAAATTTCATCATCTTCAAAACTCATATCTTAAAGAAAAGGATTTAAAATCAATTCTTCTATTTTTAAGTTGAGTGACGGATCTGATTCTCCTAAATCAATTAAATAATCATCTAATTTAATTCAGGTAAAAACAAGCTATTTCTCTTAAATTGAGACAAACTAAACCGTAAATTCTTCCATTAATGAACTTAAAGTTGAAAATACACCATAATAGTCAAGTAATGAGTTCACCTAATCAAGAGAAAACATTTAAAAATCAATATAAAAATTAGCTCAATTTAAAGCTTCGATCCAACCACTCTTAACGAAAGATTAGAAAACATAGATATTAGAGGAGATTACAGAAGAAGTAAAATTTCCAAATAAAATAATTGAAATTAGCAAATAATAATCCATAAAAGATAGCGAAAATTCATCTAATAAATCTAGTATAGAATCTGGGAATTCCAACAATAATAATGAAAGAATTAATTTAGCTCCTAAAAGAAAATACAAAAAGAAAAACAAATTAAGTTTCTAATCATAAGAAATTGATAATTTATAATTGAATAGTAAAAATCCCCAAAGAAAAAGTAAATTTTTTGAAAATTAAATCTGCAAATCTCCCATTGTTTTATATGACAACACAATGGATGAAATTTTGATTGATAAAGGATACCATTCCGATTCCAATTTAATTAAAAGTGTCTCACCTTAATAAAATGAATCTTCTAAGGTTGGAATTAAAGATTTTGAATTCATTAAACTATTAGGAAAAGGAGCTTATGGATGGGTTTTTTTAGTGAAAAAACATGGCTCAGGAGATCTTTATGCTTTGAAAATAATTGATTGTGCTTAAAGAGTAATTTGAAATTTTAATCATAGAATTTAGAAGCATTCTTGGAATAGTTAAAGGCTGAAAGAAATATTTTCGAAATTCTCAACAGCAGTTTTGTCGTTAAAGCATATTTTTCATTTGTTCATGAACAGTATCTTATTTTTGTACAAGAATACATGATGGGAGGAGATCTAGCCAGCATTTTAAAACAATATACGGTAGATTCTAATATAAATCAATTTAGGCGCTTGATGAGTTTTATGTTTAACATTATATGGCTGAGATTGTTTTGGCTTTAGAATATTTAAGATAATAGAATATAGTGCATAGAGATTTAAAACCAGAAAATATATTATTAGATTGTTAAGGACATGCTAAACTTGCTGACTTTGGTCTGTCAGAATAGGGAGTGAATAGCAGATTAAAATTAAAAGACAATTTGAGTACTTAAAATTCTGTAGAGATACCTACTTGTATAGAACAATTCAGTGATTAATCAGGTTATTAGCCAATCTATAAATAACTTAAAAAAGTAGATTCGATTTTAGTTGAGAAATAAGGATGTAAAACAAAAAAGTAAAATTTAATATATTAATAAAAGGATTGTTGGTACTCCTGATTACATTGCACCTGAAATTATATTGGGAACTTCAGTGAGCAATTTTAGTTCAGATTACTGGAGTTTGGGTATTATAATGTATGAACTACTTTGTGGTATTGCCCCTTTTAATGATGACACTGTGGATAAAATTTTTGATAATATTCTGAATATGAGAATTGAATGGCCTTAAATTGGAGAGGAAGAAGATTGTATTTCAGAATAAGCATATGATTTGATTGTAAAACTATTGGAGCCTGATTTTAATAACAGAATAGGGCACAAATCTATTGAAGAAATAAAAAATCATAAATTTTTTAAAGGTTTTACTGAATTATAATCATAGGTATCTAATGGAATAGATTATTGAGCAAACCAGGATTGATTATTCCAGAGCTAACTTGTGAATCAAAAGACACTGAAAAGATGCAATAGTTTTTAAAAAAATTGGAAAAAACTAATAAAGATTCAGAAAATAAAAAATTAGCCTAATAATTGAAAGCTTAACTTTAAAATTTAGAAAGAATCGATTTACTAAAGTAAAGAAGCACATAAGAATCTGATAAATATTTGTATAATTAATTATTAATTAGATCGCAAGTGTAGAATGAACAAAAAAAAATTTAACATCAAATTGAGTTACTTACACAGCTTTATGCAAAACTTTACTAATGTTACTCTAAGATGCAGTGATAAGATTTTTGTTCTAATAATTAGATATTTATTTTTGTAAAATCAAGATATACAATTAATATAATTATTTTATCAGAATTTATATAGATACAGCATATTTCGATACAAAATGTTGGAATTAATTGTTTTATAAAACAAAATATGAATAGAAAGTTCTTCCAACTAAGATAGATGACTAGGAATCTTGATGAGTCTTATAAAGAAGACTTAGAACTTTATGGAAAATTATTGTAAAAGAAATATCAGCCTAATCCTTAAAGATTGAATAATGATAAACAAATGCTATAAGAATGGGACCAATTCAAATAGTTTAGATTATCGAATATAATAGATTCCACACTGGATTCAGATATATTTAAGATCTGCATTTGTGACTTTTTAAAAAAAAAAAGAGTCAGCATGGAATTTTGGATTAAAGTTGCATATGATATTTTTCATGATGAAACAAAAGGAAAATAAGTGAGAATGAAATTTTGGAGATCAATGAGAAAGAAATCTAGTAGTTTAGAATTAGACTTGAAAAATAAAAAATGGCCTGTTGCCTGGAAATATTTGGAGAGAGAACCATGTCTAAATCTTGAATTACTCAAATTGTATGAACAATACATGCCCATACGTCCCTTTTTTGCTTAAACTCTAAACACCATGACTAACATTACTTGTGATTTAAGGAGAATGCCTATGCTCAAAGAAGAAAAATCTATAGAATTTGATCTATCAAAGACTACTTGGTTTCCTAAAATAGATATGTGTGGTCCAGCTATTTTAGAGTAATTGTCTAGTTCAGATAACTATTTTTGCGACTCATTGGTTAAATTTACAACAGAAATGAAGGCAATAATGTTCCCTATATTAGATTTCTTTAGATTAGATAAGAAAAAAGGTAGAATTATAAATTTATTTGGTGAGCAACACGATTTTGTATTAGAAGTACTTTATTCCTTAAAAGCTTTTTGTGGATAAGCTATAAACTATACTTAAGGATCATTGAAGAAGAAAAAGAATTATAAATGCACAAACTCATATAAAATAAATGAATTGCAATGTACTATTATGTTAGCAACCCTATCAGAAAACGATTTGAATTAAGATGTAATTAATGATATCCAAAATAATATTTAAGGAGGCTATTCTGCATTTATTCAGGATAATTAAATGTACTATCATGGTGAAAAAAATTAAAGGTTAGTTCTTATATTTAGCTAAAAGAAATTAGAGTTTGGAAGACTGGAAAAAGGAATTAAATTCTATTAAATTTCTGACTAGCAGATTTCTACGTTAAAAAGTAAATTCAATTACGAGTTTCTAGTATATTATGCAAACATTTTGTTCAACAAATGCATGATAGTGTAGCAGAATTGCAGCTCAAGAAAACCTTTTTATTAAGTTATGATTTGTATGTGGACATATGTTTTGGCAGTCTATCTTTCAGGAGAAATTCCCAATTTAGAAGTAGCTAATGTTTTTCAAGATAATAATGATAAAGCAGATTCATTTTTAGACATTTAAATTGATTTAGGACTAAGTTCTCACGAAGAAGATGCAGAGCCAGAATTTGAATAATACTTATTTCAAAAAGTTAACTTTGATTTTGCTAATCAAGTGGGAGGACTAAGTTTGGATCCAAGTGAAGAAGAAGACTGTATGATTGTGGATTAAATAGAGAAGAAAAAGAAGATTATTTTAGTATGATTTAGTAATATTTATATTAATTTTTTATGGATATTTACATAATAAAATATTTAATTAGATTAGATATATGTTTTATGGTGCAATTGTTATATAAAAAACTTAGTTATAATTTTTGATTGATTTATGTAAATAATATTAATAATTTCATAAAATGTATTTAATAAGATTCGATCAAAAAAGGAATGGCTTTTTTTTCTTGATAAGAATGATAAATAATTAGGTAGATCTCTACCATTTTTTGAATTAATATTGCACAAGTATTTATATTTTATGAAACAACAATGTTATTAAGAAGTATAGTTTTTTATAATAGTATTATATTCCTAAATTCTGATACTATGATAACAAATAATATCCAATATGATTTCCAAATCCTTGTTATTAATAAATATCGGTATCTTAGTTATTTACAAAATATATAAGACCATCCATGGTGATATGATAAATCAAAGAAATTTCATTTTCAGATTTAAACTAATAATATTTGGCAAAAATTGGAGATTTTATAATTATTATGGAAAACAAAGATAATGTACAATAATTGGAATACTTAGAAATCTGATATATATATTAAGTAATAATAGTTTATTTTATTTATATTTATTTTTTTTGCCCGATGTTCCTTAATCCTGAAATGATTAATGAAGCACAAGACTCTTCAGCTTAGAATTAGTAATGTAGTTCACGACAACAGCCAAAGGGGAGGTCTAATAATATGAATCGATTTTAAGTAAAGTAGAAGGATGAATCTAAATCAGATAATAAACCTATGAGTAGAATTTAATAGGTAAATTGTAATCTCATAATATAAGAGAGAAATGGAAATTTCTAAAAAGTAGGTTGAATCCTAGATTTAAGAAAATAATGATTTAGTTGAAAGTCTTGTTTAATTTGATTCGGATGATGAAAAAAATGGTGCAAATTAGATTATTAATCCTTTAATTCTTAGCCTATAAGAATAAGAAGAATAAACTGTAAATATATTCCTTATTTTGAGTAACAATAACAGGTAATCCAATCAAAACCAAAGACTTTTGATTCAATTAGTGCATTGCAAAATAATGCCTAATATAAAAAGAAACTTGGTTAAAATGAATCTTCTTATGGCCAAGAGTTTGATTTAAAGATTGATTAAGTAAATAATAGTCTTAATTTTAGTTAACTATAATTGGAAACAATCATAATTAGTATTATGAGCCAGGATAATAAATAAATAAAACTAATGATCTTCCTTAACTTTCAAAGTAAAATAACAAGATATAATTTGATTATACAAAAAAAGCCTAAGAAACTAAAAATGTGTCAAAATTGGAGGAAGATTAAGCTTAAAAAAATCCTTAAAAATACCAATAGTTTGATTAATAAAATGAATAAGTTGAGGACATTATTCAATTAGATGGAAGTCAAACTGATATTTTTTCAGAAAATATAGATAAAGATAAAGAACAACAAAGTTAAATTCTCTTTTAAAATTTAAACTTAGAAAATGAAAAATAGGAGAACATAAAAGAGGAGTCATTTAATGAAATATTTGAATAAAGCGAACTAAAATCTTAAGTATCAGAGGAGTAGTAATAGTAATAAGAATAATAATAATAATAATAACAATAATAATAATAATAGTAATAACCAAAGTAGACTTGTCCATATCCAAAACCATTGGCTTCAATATCAATGCCTTATGGTAAGAAGCATTTTCTTGTAAATCCAGCAGAGAAAGGAGGAATGATATAATGTACAATAAAAAGAGATAGAAGTGGAATGTGTAGATTTTATCCTAAATATCATATGCATGTTTCAAATGGATTTTTGTATTTGATGAGTGCAAAAAAGAGAGCATGCAACAATACAAGCAATTATATTATTTCACAATCGAGAGATGATATGGAAAAGATAGACAATTTCTTAGGGAAAGTTAGGAGCAATTTTATGGGAACTGAATTTATCTTATATGATTCAGGGTTAAATCCAGAGAAAACAAAAGATCCATAAAAAGTTAGACAGCAATTAGGAGTTGTTCAGTATGAAAGTAACATTCTCGGTTCAAAAGGACCTCGTAAAATGGTGGTAAATCATTTGAGTAAATGAAGGTTTTATTGCCAAATTTGAATGAGCGAGGTTAATTGTATGAGTTCAAACCTTCCAATTCAAAGGATGGAATATTAAAGGAATATTTAAACAACAATAGAGACTAAATTGTCACTTATGTTAATAGGCCCCCGTAATGGAATAGTAAACACAAAGCATTTGTCTTGAATTTTTATTAGAGAGTAGACAAACCAAGTGTTAAAAACTTTCAACTCATAGAGGATTAGAAGGAGGATAACATATTATTGCAATTCGGGAGAGTTGGCGAAGATCTATTCAATTTAGATTTCCAATATCCTATTACTCCACTTCAAGCATTTTAAATTGCATTAACTAGTTTTGATTACAAAATTGCATGTGAATGAAATGTTTTGTCATTAAAATAAATCAATTATATATATATATTATACAAAGAGAGAATGTAAAACAAGCCATTAGACTGGATTTGCATTGGATGCAAAAATCTGAATTACTCCTTTAGAAAATACTGTAATCGATGCAAGACCTTCACAAGAGATGCTCCAGGCACAAAATTCATCCCACTAGAACAACCTAATATTATAGATTCATTGAAACTCTCAGAACCTGATCTAACAGGCAGTGGACATAGTACTACAGATAGTGTTGGAAGTAAAGCTCAAGAACAAGCTGTCTTTCATTAAGCTCTTTTCTTAGAGAATTTAACATAAAGTAAACAAGAAACGGTTAACAAGAACTTCAACTTTATGAAAATTTGTACACTTTGTCGAACTGACAACTATTTTTATCAATCTAAATGTAAGTAATGTGGATTTAGGATTTGATATTGACCATAGTAAGGCCATGATTTGATTTTAATTATTATTCATATCTATTTCTTATGCTATAAATAAAAAATAAAAATATCAAAATTCTATAAAAAGTCATCAAACTCCCCCCAAGAGAAATATATCTTAGTCCAAAAGCTAGATGATTAAATTTTTAAATTATTTCTTTCATTTTAATATATTAATTAGTTTTATTATGTGTGTTAATAAAGAAATAAATATTTGTTGAGAAGTATCTTACAAAAATGAAGACTTAAAACCTTTTGATTTATAATACACATTAATTCAATCATCGCATTTCCGATAAAATCTAATGCTTACCAATATTTATAATTTAATTGAGTTATTAAGGTGTTGTTTTGAACTCATTATTGTTTTAATAAGAACAGACAAAGTTCTTTAATACAATTCTAGCTATTTTATATATAGTTCTTTATTCATCAATTAGAATGTAAATAATTAATTTGGAGTTAAAACAATTTAATATTAAATGAAAAAAAATATTATGATGGAACATGATTAATAGATTCCCCTTCAATAAACTATATTTCGAAATGGTGTCTCTGTATTACCATTACTAGTTAAGAAAAATAGTATGGGTATAGCTTTAGAAAACATTCCAAGAACCTAAACATTTTCAAGACAAATGCAACAATCAGGTCATAATGACAGTGTATAATAATCCAGAACTCCAACAATGAAAAACGATTCCCTTTATGGTAATATTTACAAGAAACCAATTGTCATTAAAAAACCCAATTTTATTTTAAAGAAACCTGATAACGATTTTAGTTGGCCACTTTTCAAAATAAAAAATGATCCATTAATAAAATAATTTTGGGAAAGAAGAGGCTATAAGGATACAGAAAAGAATTGGATATTTGATGATTACATTTTTGCCAGTAATATGTTGAGAATTGGAAAAAAGAAAAAAATTGTGAAGGGTTATTTTTATAGATTAACAAGTTCTGGTTTATTGATGTACTATAAAAAAGTATTTCTTATTATTATTTTCAAAGGAATCAGATACATTACCCAAAGGTTTCCTGTAATTGAATATGCAGATAAGACTGATTGTTAGTTTTTAAAAGACAAAAAGAAATCTCTAATTACCAGTATTGTATTTAGAAAAGACCCAAGGTGTTGGAATAACTATTTTTGATCATTTGATTGACCAAACATTAAAATTAGGAGAATGCATTTAACAATTTTGTTTAATGAGGGGTTTCACTGTTTTGTATGAATAATTGGAATTACTGGGAAGTGGAGCATTTGCATCAGTTTATAAGGTAAGTAGAAAAAGAGATGAGAAGTATTTTGCTGCAAAGACATATTTCAAGTAATTTTATGATGATCATCCACACAAAGAAAGATTGCTTGTAAAGATATTTATTTAAATATAGGTTAGTCAATGGTTTATAATGAAATTACAACTCTTAAAAATATTGATCATTAAAATATCATGAAACTATATGAAGTAATTTAGGAAAAAGATAAATTGATATTGATTATGGAATATTGCGCAGGTGGAACATTATACTCTTATGTGAAATAAAAAGTCAAATTCAATGATAAGCACTATGCTTATATATTAAAGTAATTATGTGATGCTCTATATGAGATGCATAGATTGAACTTTGTACATAGAGATCTCAAATTAGAAAATATCATGCTAGAATCAAAAGACTATTTATAATTAAAATTAGTTGATTTTGGTTTCTCTGAAATTATTAATGAAAAATAATTAGTTAGTTAAGCAGGAACCCCTGGTTTTCTCCCTCCAGAAATTTTCAGATAAATCCCTTATACTGCTAAAAGTGATATCTTTAGTTTAGGTGTAATTATGTATTTGGTATAAATTTAATATCTAATTAGATTGTTGCTGGATATATGCCATTCAAAGCCCCTACTGCAACATAAATCTTAGAGTTAAATAGAAAATGCTAAGTAAACTTTGATAAGTCTCCTTGGTAAGATGTAAATCCAGATTTGAAATACTTAATTAAGAAGATGCTTGAATTTAAAATAGAAGATAGAATAAGTTGCTTAGAGATTCTAGACAGTACTTACATTTTACATCATTCACGTTAGACATCAGAGACTAATTATAAATCAAACTAAATGTTAAGTGGACTTGAATTTGATAAGTGTAATAGGCAATCAATGAAAAGTATTAAATAGTCTGAACAATCTAATGATAGAAGCAAAGAATTTTAATTAGATTTTTCAATACATACAAACGACATAAAGTCACTTTATTAAAGGAATTCTTAAAAGACTAATAAATCTAATAGATCAATAAATTCTTTAGCAAAAAACTCTTCATAAAAAAAAATATCGCGATCAGTACCTAAAGAATGCCAACTCTCTAAATTTTAGAGCACCAAAAAGGTAGAAGATTTAGACTCGCATAAGAGTTAAAGCAAAAAACAGAGTTCTTTTGGGGATGTTATAATATGTAAATATATAATTGATTATCTTTTAATTAGAAGAAACAAAGATTGTAACATTTGATGACACTGACTCTTTGAAATTAGAATAGATTCTATATTTAAAAAGAGGTGGATTAGCCTTTAATAAAACAAAGAAACCTTTGGATTAATTTTCTAACAAAGTCAACTGAACTATGTATTATAATTTATGATAATGAAATTATTAAATATAAGTTAATTATATTTATTAATATTCATTAACCTTTTTTCTTTTTGGGAGGGAGTAAAGGAATCTTTTTTAATTTCTTAGTTTATGACCCTAGTTCTAAAAATGAATATATATAAAAACATTACATTAATCATTATTTTAAAGTTGAATTTATTATTATTGAGGCATAGCTTATTCTTTTGGATCATCATTAGAATAATCAGATCCTTCATCACCTGAATTATTTTTGTCGTCCTTTTGTTAGTTTTTAAGACTATTTTACTCAATTTCTTCCATAACTTATTTAACTTTTATCTATTCTGGTTCATAACAATCTATAATTGATAAACAAAAAGATTGTGCAATTTCTTTGTAAATATCTAGGTTGAAATGAAAATATTCATATTTGCCAAAGTCAGCTCCACAGAATGACATCTCCAAAGTATAGCAATTTATAATAGAAAGCTCTCTCCACAAGGCAATCTTAATATTAAATATTATAATTACTCTGGCAGAACCTTCCCTATCCTTTTAAAGTAAAAAGCAACAGTCCTTGAACGAGAAAACGCTACAATTATTTCGATTGAGCATTGGGAATACTAATTCTTTTCTATTAGGATCCTTGCCTTAACATCCATACATAAAGATGTTCTTCTTTCTTGAATGTCCATGTATGTCACAAAAGAGTACTAAGTCTCTTTCTTCTTTAGTCTTTTTAACTAATTATTTGGTGTGATAAATTGTAGGGTGTTACTTTTTATTTGGGTCAATCCATTGTCGATTTAAATCAACCCCTGCTAAGTTACATCTATAATTTCCATTCACAACTCCATCAATATTAAGCATTGGAACTATTTTGAATATAAAATTTTCCCTTAAGATTCTTGCTTCATGAGTGTTACCTGTTAAAAAATCAATCATGTATTCCATAACATAACTGGCCATAGTTTCACCTGGATGCACTCTGGAAGTAATGACAATTCCTTTCTTCTCTTTTCCATTATTGAAATCCCCAATGATTAAGAAATCACACATGTTCCCAGCAATAGTTTAACATAGTTATTTTCTTTTCACTCTATTTTTTTTAGCAGGGTCAGATTCCAACTGTTTTAGATATCTGCACAAATGAGTGAATGTGTAAGGATAACAATGAGCAATGTAGATGCAATCAAAGTCATATTAAAATTTAACTGCAAATGTCAAAGTGTAATAGAATCCTCCATTCTTTCTCTTCATATTGTTTTGATAGTAACAAATTTCATGGCCATCTCTAAACCATCCTATCTCTTTAATAAATTTAAAATTTATTATTACTTTTTTATTTTGCACCCTGTTCTGAATACATTAACGGTTTCATTCCAGAATTATATAATGAATCGGGCTTCATCATATTAATAATATTGAATCTATACTCCACATCCTTTCTTGTATTTGAGAGAGAAAAATAGAACCATTATGTGTTCATTGTAGTGTAATAGTCAGGCTTAAGGATGAGGTTATACTCATAGTCGCAACTTTAATAATTTTGAATTGATAAGTTACATTTATATGGCTCTTCGGAGATTCCCACTTTCAAATCTACTTTCAAAAACCAATGTAGAATCCTCTTTAGATTACGGCATATAATATGGTAAGACTTCCAAACCATATGTTGCTGGATCAACGTCCTATGGAAATCATGAGAATGATACCTTCGTAAAAGGACTAGGATCAGCGCAGTCAAATACTACTTTATTCAGCAATGTGTCTGCAAAACAGATTCTTTCAATTTCTCTTCTTAAACTCTCTTCCAGAATAGTTTATTTTGGGATATACATAGGTTCGTATGGTTCATTATGATTTATGAATTCGGGCGAATTAGGTAATAATACAAAATCAGTTCCCCTTCTATAAATATAAATAAATACGTTCGAGTGAGATATTCTGGGTCCATTTTCTTGATTTCATTCTTTTATTCCTCCGTTTTATAATACAAAGACTTGTTAATCCCGTAAAAAAATTCATCTGTATTAAAATCCATCATAATTTGAATTATATATAATACTAATAATATTTATAATCCATTTATTATATTGATGATATACCAATGCCCAATAAATTAATGAATATTCATAAAAGGTTTTAGATTGAATGAATGCGCTTATAATTACTTATTTTAATTTATTAAGTAAGTTATTGAAATAGATTCTATAAACCATTATTTATAATAGTTAAAGTAAAGTATCACAACTATCACATACAATCTAACTTTAGTATATAGTGAGTGCTTAAGCCTAATTATATGCATGAAGTAAAACTGAAATAATGAAATATTGTAATTATAATTGATAAGATTATTACTTATATAATATTCAACTAAAAATAAGATGGATAAATAAAATACTGCAGGTTTCTTTGAGCCAACACATTAAAAAGAATCTAACTAATTAAATATTGTTTTTATATCATATTAAAAATATTTATGTTAGTCTACCTTATTTAATTCAATAATAAATTTATCATTGGTTAATAGTTGATATTATAAATAGTCTTTTATTTACAGAATTATCATAAGTGCGATAAATAAATAATTATATAATAATATTGGTTTTTGTTAATAAGGATATAGAGAATGAAGAAAGATATAGAGGAAAATGTGTAGAAATAATGAGATTACATTTTATTTTGATATTCATTAATATATAGAATGGGTAATTATGAATATTAGAAATTAGATAATTGAAATATAAAAATATAAAAATGAATGTGTTTATATATTAAATTAAAGAAGAATAATGATAGATCTTATAAATAATTAGAAGTCATAAATAAAACAAGTTAGATGCTTTGGCCGAGTGGTTAAGGCGGCGGCCTGCTAAGCCGTTGGGATTTCCCGCGTGAGTTCGAGTCTCACAGGCATCGATTTTTTTATTTTTATTATTATTACTCATACTTTTACTTATATCAATCTCTTCATATTACACATTCCTCTTATTCCATTTATTTCTAATTTATTCTTTATTATATATATCATTTATTTTTTATATTCTATTTCTATTATTAATATATTCAAACCATACATTTTAACGTCTCCATTTCTAGTAGTATATCGATATATTATCACATTAAATTAAGTTCATATAAAAATGGATATATATTAAAATATGATCAAATTCTTTATAAAGTTCTAAGTTTGCTTTATCACTTCTAAATTAATTAGAACGAAGTAAGAACATTTTGGAAAGAACTAAAAATTTATAAGAAAGAAGCAAGAATTTATTATTGTTCTTATAAAATAATCTTAAAACATTAAAATCTTTAAATTTTATATAGAAATTCTAAGATTCCAACTAATAATTCTTTAATGAAAATAACATGGGAGCTTCCCATAAAATTATAATTGCTAAGTGATTTCAAGTAGAATCGTTTTTGAAACCATGAAGTTTTTCTCATTCAATATGTTAAATCATCTATTAGAATTAGAACCAATCATATTTCATGAATAAAATAATGAAAAGCAAATTTAAATTGTGATTTACCAATTTGAAAATTAATAAAAATATTTTTAATAAAAGAAACAAGCATCTAATGGATTCAAATCAATCCTTTTTCAACTCAAATTCATCTTTTACTCCCTCTTCCCCTTAAAAAACTAGGTATTTATACATATTTTACAGAAGACCTCTTCCAAGTCCTTCCCTAGATAGTCTAGAAGATTTCAATTTAAACGACATCTAGTCTGAAGGGGAAAGCTCAAGGAAGTCTTCAGGTTAGAGGTTTGAGAAACCTGTTTTAGTAATTGAGTATTTGGTAGAAAAACTCAAAGACTATGAATGAACTTTATTGGAATAAAAAAACTTCAGAAAAAACAAAGAAAGAAAAACAAAATAATCACTAATATGTATTAATAATTTTTTTTTCTTTCATTCTCATAATAAATTAATGAGTTGAAGTTCCTTTTCTACTAAATTGAACTGGAATCTTCAGTCTAAAAATAAATATAAAAATAATGGTAATCGTAATTATATTAATTCAATTTTTTATGTTTTACACTTAATTTTACACTTGCCCAAGAGCTCACAGTATACCTAAACGAAAATATGATCAAATATTTAATGGTTGTGGCTGAATTTCAGCCAAATAGAATGATAATAAAATATTTATATATAAATATTTAATTCTCAATTATTCGTTATAATTGATTTTTTAATGATACAAGCATTTCAAGCAAATAATAGCTAAATTTAAAGATATATTGGTTGTTGATAATTACTTATTGATTGATTGATCACAAATTTCATGCTCTAGAAGTGCGGCTTAAACTTATCCTACTTTTTCTTCTTATATTAATTAAAGAGACCGATTTGCTAAGTAAAAACGATTAATAGATAGAAAATTGTAAACAGGTTTTCTTTATTGAAAATATTCCAAGAACTAATTTAAGAAATTATGAATTTAGTTTTAAAATAATTTTAACATTAATAAATTTTTATTTTTTCGATATATTTAAATGCAATATGTCTAGGACAACAATTTTGTAAATTAGTTTTTCGTGCAAAATTTTGAATTAAAGAAGATTAAATAATCCTAGAAGAAGTCAGGAATAGTGAGAAAAGTTTTAACTAGAAATAATCATTTTTTATTATATTTTAAAATAAATGAATTAATAATGAATAAATTGATTAATCATAACATTTGAATGCAGATATTATGTTCAATATTTCATATTTTATAATTCAATAGTAATGCTGTGAATATTTTTATCAAAAATGATATATTTTATTATTAAAAAGACTAGCTAAAAAATATTATTTAAAAATACATAAATAAATAGGAGTAGAATTGACTTATTATAGAATAATTATCCATTGTTTCTTCTCCTTATTATCATTTATTTTGCTTTCAAATTCATTATATATATGTTCATACGAAAGGAATAGATTATTTTACAAATATTCAAGCAAGATCTATTTTATAATTGATATAATATTAGACCAAATATTATTTCTGTGTTTTTGTTTACCTTCAAAGAATGATAGAATACATTAATTGAGCATTAATTTCTCTAAATTTTATTATGTTAATAACCTCATCATCTTGTATACCTAATAGATTGAAGGGATAGAGATTATATATTATAGATTTTGTTTATGAAATATAAATTCTCTTAAATCTATAGATAATAAAATCAAATGAAATTGATAATTCTATGCTTAATGATGGTTGGAGTTTTCTCATCCTTATCAGATCAAGTTATTACACATAAAGTGAAAATAGGAGTGAAAATTGATGGGTAGAATGCAGGTGAAATCTCATTAGGCCTCTTTGGGGAGGTTGTACCAAAAACTGTTGAGAACTTTAGAGCTTTGTGCACAGGGGAAAGAGGATTAGGTTATGCTGGATCTCCATTCCATAGAATAATTCCAAATTTCATGATATAAGGAGGCGATTTTGTAAATGGAAACGGAACAGGAGGAGCTTCAATTTATGGGAGCTCATTTAATGATGAAAATTTCAAATTAGAACATGAAATTGGTTGTATTTCAATGGCAAATGCTGGACCAAATACCAATGGCAGTCAATTCTTTATTACTACAGCAGAAACTCATTGGGTAATTGATTAATTATTATATTCTCAAAGTTGGATGGAAAACATGTCGTTTTTGGGCGGGTTATTGAGAATATGGATTTGGTAAAGACAATCGAGTCCAAAGGATCACAAAGTGGGAAACCATAAGCCAATGTAGTTTTTGCTTCCTGCAGTGCTGAAGCTGTATAGAAACAATCATGATCAGGATTAATATTATTATATATGTATTTCATATGGATTTATCTTTATATTTGTGCTTTATTAATAATACTCATGATGTTTATGATAAAATCAAGGACACAATAAGCCCATACAATGCCAAAGCTTCTGCAAAAATCAAAATCAAAATCATTCCTACGAAAATTCTATCTTATTAGGCGTTTGCTCTGACTCCTGCATCACCAACAATACCAATTGATAATCCTGCAGCCTAAAATCTGTAAAATAAATATATCTTACTAAAGAGCTCAGTCCACAACATAATCCAGCTGATAAATAAGCATATCCTTATTTTGAAGCTGATTGTGCTGTAATTGATGAAACTATTTATTATATTAATCATCAATACCTTTTCCTTACAAAATAACACCAACAATCATCCCATAGATTCCCAGAATACCAGCCATGACAACTGGAATAACAGACTTCATAATCAAATCTGGTTTTAAAACACCCATTGAGCAAATTCCGACACCAGATTTTGTAGCACCATATGAGGATCCCAAATCTACTATTAATTATTAAAATACTGGCAAAAACGACTGCAGATGCAACTCCAATATATCCAAAGAAGTAGGCAGAAGGCTCAATAGTATCGTTCTCAGCCATTTTTTAATATTTATTTTATTTAATGGAAATTAAAGATTTAATATGAACATAAAAATGCTAATTAATAACGAAAATAATTCTATATTATATTCCAGAATATTGATTCGTATTTTCTTATCTTTTGAAATAAAGTAAATTTACAAGTAAGGTAACCATGTTAGCTTATAAATTTATCATTTAATTAGGTAATTGTATATGAAAATTATAATTAAATATTGAAATATGAAAATTTTCATAGATAATTTAAGAATATGTAATAATTCTTATACAGATTTAATGGAAATAATTATCGATTATATAATACATTGAATTTACAAGATATATTTATGCTTAGACAATCGATTTATTGATTTGTCATTCTACAATTAATGATTATTTTATTTTCTGCTCTTAAGAGATTCTGATATATCTAATTCATGTTTTACAAGATTTCAAGAGAATATAAATATCCCAGAATATGTGTATTTAAAAGTAAACCTTAAAATAAGGCCTATGTGTTTGTAAATTATGCTTAATAAATGACTAAAAAAAGTTACGCTTTTGAAGAAATATGGCATTTTTCTCTTTTAATAGCTTAGATTGAAAGGATTATAACTATTTATTTAGTTAATGATTCTAAGAAAACTAAAAGTAAATATATCAAATCTAATATATAAACATTAATATTATTATATTTAGTTATGAGTGTTAAAGTACAATTGATACACTAACAATGGGATGATATTAGGAAAGTCTTAAGAGCCACTTAAAGAAAACTTACAAATACTAATAATCTGTCCCTTACTAATTGTGCACATTCAAATAAAAGCAATGATCAAGTGTAAAAAGAAGCAATTTTTTCTGATAATGAGCAGGAGTTTTATAATAGCAACCCTAATGCCCTATTATTATTAAAAGATACTTGTCGAAGTGTATTAATTCGATTAATTTTTAGACACAAGGCGAAAGTTTTATTTGAGCTAAAAAAGAAGAGAACTGTCTTCTTAAAATGATTAAGAGTTTTATAGTTAACTACAGAGCAGAAGGGAACAAGCAAAAAAACATAGAATTCTTTATAGCAATATTACAAATTTTGAGAAAGCAATAAAATAAATAACGACTCCGAAAGTAAGTTTAACAAGACCTTCTACAAGAGTCAGATAAAATAGTTAAGAGATCTAATTAAACAAAATAAAATTAAATTAAATAGATTCAAATAAAAATAATAAGGCAATTCCAAATGAAACTCAAAATTGCAATCTTAGTGGTGATAAAAAACAAATGAAGAAGAATTCTAACAATTTTTGGCATCGAATAAAAACTCCGTCTCTAGATAATAAAGATAATATCACTTAAATTTTAAAAAAAAGATTCAAAAAGAAAAATGATTTATCCCTAGATATCTGTTGTTTCAATTATGAATCGTTGAGGTTATTAAATTAAGCAAAGACACCTACTATGTATTATTAATGATTTTCTATAATTATTTAATTTTTAATGAAATAAAGACCCTAATTAGCATGCGATGCTGTGTGTTTTAGAAAACTAGAAAATGACATCAAAAAAGTACTCTTAATAACAAGAGGACGTGAACCATTTTTGGGAAGATATGCATTTCCAGGAGGACATTTGGATTATGGTGAAGACCCAATTCAATGCTGTTTAAGAGAACTCAAGGAGGAAACTGGAATATTAGGATTAAGCGTTGATTTGATAGACGTAAAAGGATCTCCAGATCGAGATCCAAGAGGACATTATGTCTCTATTGTTTATAAGATTGAAGTTCCAGAAGATGCTGAGCCCTTAGCAGCAGATGATGCTAAGACAGCTCAATGGGTAAGTGTTGAAGAAATGCTCAAATTGGGTAAAGATGCATTTGCATTTGATCATTATGAAGTGCTAGAATATGCTCATAAGAAATTCCCATGAATATTAATATATTATATAAGATATTAGTCAATTAACAGTGAAATGTTGATTAGAATCAAACTCTTTCTTGTCTGATCATAATTAAATAATTTATGATAAATTACATATACTTATTGTATCATGGAAATGGTTCGAATTTTGTTTAGGTTTTAATTGGCGAAAGTTATGGGGATCGATGAGAGAAAGTCTGCATTTTTTTAAAGCCTCTTCTAATCGCCTCTTTTTTCATATTATTGACTGGTTTTTATTATATATTCAGAAGTCTGGGACTCAATTACAAATATTTGTCTAAATTGGTATTTGTATTTATTTTGAGTCTAGGACTCAGTATTTTCTCATTTCCTCTGGGAGTTTTATTCATTATTAATGATAATTTGGTAGCCTTGCAATTTCTAAATACTTAATGATTCAGGGCTACTTTAGCTGAAGTTCTTTTAGAAGGATCCAATTCAAGCATAGATTATAACAAATTGAATGTTTTTTCGGATACATTCTACAATAGACTGTAATCCACTGAACCTTTGTAGTTTTGATATAAGCGTTCATCAGCATCGGGTCCTTAGAAGGGAGACTTGCCTCCAGACAATAACATGAATAAGATGACTCCAACACTATAGATATCAATTTTGTAATCATAGATTTTGTCTTAAAGTACTTCAGGTGCCACAAACCCTGGAGTTCCACATCTTGTATAGATATATTTGCCATCACTTCTGTAGAAATCAGCCAATCCAAAATCAGTAATTGCAATTTGCAGTGAGTTTTTGTCTTTCAACAATATGTTGGAAGGCTTCAAGTCTCTATGCATTATGCCTTAGGCATGCATAAACAATAATGCTTAGAGCAATTGCTTAGTGACATAGAGACATTCTTCTTCAGAGAGATATCTTTCTTTGATTAATGTAGAAAGCTCGCCTTATTCGACCATTTCATAGACAATGAATATGAATTCAGCATTCTCAAAAGTTTCATAAAAGTGAGTTATGGCAGAATGACTCAAAGTACGCACTATTTACAATTCTTTTGTTATAACTAAATAGTCTGAATAACTTATAAGAGATTTCTTATCGAATACTTTGACAGCATAATTTTAATGAGTAGTTCTGGATTTTATTTTATAAACCTAAGATTTATAAAATAATTTAATACTTTTCCAAATGTTCCTTTTCCAAGCAATGTAATTATTGAATATTTATTTGCAAAATCCTATTGAACACAATAAAACTTAAGTTATGATAGCCAACTTATGATCATTCCATAAATTTCTATGGTTTGTCCATACTTTGTAATTTTGATTCCTGCCCCATAATTAGGTTGTTCTATTTCACAGATGGTTGCATTTATTATGTCAGCTATTTTATTTTAACCCTAAGTTTGAATAATAGATTATACATTCTTTTTCTTCTTAAAAATGAAATGACCTTACAAATATAGGGTCTTGATTTTGAATGTTTGATGTTTGGAAGAGTAGATATAGAAATTTTCTTGGATGGCCTCACTGATGTTACGAGATGCAGTCGTGTTCAGCCATAATGAGCCTTTAGAAACATCGAAAAACGAAGATGAGGGCACTTGTCTTTTTATATTCATATAATTAATCAAATTTGATCACAAGGAGGAATGCATTATAAATTGAATATGAATTATTGAATTTATAGAAATAAATTATCAAAAAGACTATCAATATTTTTAAGATAATCTTTACTTTGATAATTTTAGCTTATTAAATGTGGACTTCTACTCCGACGGTTCCGTTTTGCAAGTTATGCTGCTCTTTTGACATTACCTCTCAAAACTAGAAGTTGAGCTTCCACTTAACCTAGGAGAGAGCAAATTCGTTTTAATTTTGAACAGCTTTTAACTTTTCTTGGGACTGCTTGGACTACTGTCTTCGCTGTTTAAATCGAGGTTGAATTGAAGTTTAGATTTCATTGAATGTCGTAGACGAATAAAGATAGGTTGAGTATCCAATTAGAACCATTCGTGAGTCTTACACTGAGAAATAGAATATCGAAACAAAGGATTTTTATTGAGCATATTTTGTAGTAGATCAACACAAGGTTTGGATAAGGAAGTATTTGAAAAATCCAAATTATTATCTGTATTTAATTGGACTGTTTCTTGTTCAGTAGCGCCTTTGAAGAGTGGCTTCCCTGTCAGCATGACATAGAGCAAGGCTCCCAAACTATAGATATCGACCTTGAAATCATAAGGATAGTCTAATAAGATTTCTGGAGCCACATAGCCAGGAGTGCCACATCGAGTAAACATGTACTTGCCGTCTCTCCTATAGTAGTCGGCCAATCCTAGATCAGCTATAACTAGATCAGTAATTTGGCCCTTTTTACGAAGCAGTAAATTTTAAGGCTTTATGTCTCTGTGGAATATACCTTTCGAGTGCATGTAGAGTAAGGCATTGAGAAGTTCCATCATAATTATTTTTGCTTGTTCTTCTGTTATCAACTATTGGGTGTTGATGAAATTAGTGAGGTCACCACCAGATAAATAATCAAATACGAGATAAATTTGAGTTTTTGTTTCGAAAACCTCATGTAATTGGATGATATTCGAGTGAGACAATTGTCTTAAAATATGAATCTCTTTTACAAGGGCTGACCTATCTGATAATAACGAAAAGGATGATTTGTCGAATACTTTCACTGCGTTTTCAGCTAAGTTATGTTTGTTTCTGGTTTTAAAGACCTATAATTAAATTAAATGATACTTTAGCATAATTGCCTTGTCCTATTACCTAGAGGAGATGATATTTAGATTGGAAATCTGATTGGATACAATACTGCTTGAGATTGATAAAAAAGTCATCAACATTGCCGTACAATTAGAATTCGATTTAATTTTTTATTAAACAAATTCCTTGTTGTTCCATTCTAATAAGACAAGCATTTTCTATGTCAGCATAAATTTCACTCTATAAATAAGGATGATACATACAGTCCCATCTTTCATTATAAGACATTTCCCTTATAATTTAAGAGATATTAGATCATATTAATCAACGCTTTTGGTAGGCACATAAAATCTGCCCTCTATAATTGGAAGACAAGTGTTGATGATTTTTCGAGGTGACCAAAAACCCTGATCTTAATTATCAAAAAAGGATTTAAACATTATTAATTTATAAAAATTAACTCGAGTTTATATATATATATATTAATTTCATATTTAAATGGGTACTCTGGGTAAATTGGGGCTTTTTTATTAAGGACCATTAAGTGGAGATAAATTGGGTGAATTGAGTCTCATAGGTGAATATAGAGGAGAACTATATTACACAAACCTGCTTTTTTATTCGTTCAATTTTCTATGTTCTAAATATGGTGATTATTATGGAGAAAAGACTTATGTATCAGATTGATAATTGATGCTACCTAAACTTGTTTAGCTACTCACTTGATTTTAAGTAAAATTGTGTCTTTTAAAGAATTAACTCTGTTTAACCTAGTCGAATGTGAATCTATTTAGAGGATTTGGATCCAACATCCCTCTTAAAAGATCCAGACATTCGTTTGTAAAGTTGAATTTAGCCAAATCGACATGTCCATTAAAATTTGCATTCACTGTCAGATCATAATTATTAGAGTCAAAAGGACCCTTTCCTACGAGAAGGTAGTATAAGAGTATGCCACAACTATACACATCAATCTTGTGATCATAAATTTTATCTTATAATAATTCGGGTGCAACGTATCCTGGTGTCCCACATCTGGTGAACATGTATTTACAATCCTTTCTATAATAATCTGCCAATCCAAAATCTGCCAGGACCACCTGATCTATAATTCCTTCTTCTTTTAAAATTATGTTCTCAGGCTTTATGTCTCTATGAAGTATTCCATGAGAATGCACATATATTAATGCTTCAACAACTTATTGAACTATTATATATGCACCTCGCTCTGAGAAAGTTCTGCTTCTCTTCAGTTCCTTATGCAATTCGCCTCCTTAGTAAAGTTCTTAGACTATATAGATGTATTGATCGTTTTCGTAAGTTTCTTAAATGGTAACAACATTTTTGTGATTCATCAATCTGAGAAGTTCAATCTCTTTTAGTAGAGCAGGCTTATCTTAACTCTTCAAAATCGATTTATCAAACACTTTAACAGCAAATTCTTTCATCTCACAAATTCTTTAAATTTTAAAAACCTAAAAATACTTAAGAGCTAGTACCTTAGCGAAACTGCCTTGACCAATAAGTGAGACAATTTTGTAATCTTTAGAGAAATTGGGTTGGATACACCATTTTTTCATATGAGAAAACCATTATTCAACAAGACCATAAAATGTAAAATTTCCTCCATTTTTGGTTAGGGATATCCCCAAACCCATTTTTGGATGGCTAACAATTTCCAATAACGCATTAGTAATGTTGAAATACTTTTACGAAGTACGCTTTTTTTATAAGGATAATATGATACTTTCTAATTGTATTTGATAAGATAATTCCTCTGGAGTACCAGGGTCTTCATCTTAAATTTGTCGTCTTTAGGGACAAAGAACTGATCTTTGTGGGACTTATGAAAAATCTCGATTTGTCTTTCCAAATCAAAAGGTGAAGTAAAATCGAAAAAGGACTTTTTGTCTTAACTCATTTAAATTGAATTTGTTATTATAATATCTTACTTTTTTTTGCATTTAATAATTGAAAGGTATGCCAATAAACGCAATAAACCTTTGAGAGTTAAAGAATTATATTAAATAATATTAATGCAATAAATTCCTAGAATTCAAATTAGTCATTTTAGTTATTTACAATCTGATTTAATTGGTTCGGGCTACAAGAGTCAAGTATACAAAGGAGTGAATGATTTGAATGGAGACTTGGTAGCAATAAAGGTAATAAATTGACTAAGCCAAAGGTGTGCAACATGAAATAACTAACAAATGAAGTTGAGTTGATGCTGCTCAATTAGGAAATCTATGCGTTGGGATTGCTGGATTCTCCCAACATCATTAAGATGTATCAATGCATTCGTTCGCAATCAAACACCTACATAATAACTGAGTTTTGCAATCAAGGTATGAGAGTCTATTTTGATTTTAAACAGGGGATCTCGCCTAATTGATTGAGAGGAAAAATCATCTGCAAGAAAACGAGGCCACCCAGCTATTCAAATAAATTATCACCGGTTTTTTGGAACAAACCAGAAAAGGTATAATTCATAGAGATATCAAACCCTCAAACATTCTGTTAAGCAATGGCATACCAAAAATAGCAGACTATGGATTTTCTAAAATAATGAATGTTCAAGAGAAAGTGTATTACAATGTTGGTACAACACTATATATGAGCCCATAGGCTTTGATGGATAATTAATACTCCGAAAAAAGTGACATTTGGAGCATTGGCATAATGTTTTATTAAACTCTCTGCGGTATGATGTTGGTTTAATTAAAAAGGTTGCACTCCCTGGGTAGCTGAGACAGAGAAAGAATTTATTAAATTAATTACCACCACTCCCATTCAATTCCCAAAAAAGATTCTATTGTCACCCCACGCCAAAGATTTCATCATCAAGTGTTTGCAAGTAGACATGAACAAAAGATTCTCAGCAAATCAACTGCTCGATCACCCTTTATTTAATGAAAAACCTAGATTGCTATAAATTAGTGGATCCTTCCACATTACAAGAGGACAAACACAATACTAATAATAGCAAAAGGACAATGAATGGAAGCGAAGGCTCAGTCCTCGAGAGGTAATTGACAGAAATTACAACAACAATTATTTCAATCATCCTCTAAAGCCATAATTTTCCATTCAAAATCCAACTAAAGACTTTCTCCAAAATGATTTAATTCTATAGAACATTTTTTATTTACTAAAACTCATTCTCAGAGTAGCCAAATTAATAGATCACTTTGATTTTTTTAATTAGAATTGCTTATAAGAGAAAATACTCTACTTTATGATCAAGCATGCCCTATTTAAGACTAAGCAATTCAAATTAATGATAGATTCAAACATCAACACTTTAGGATTAGTCAATTTCCATCAATATACCCTAAATACTGATCTCAAAAAATAATACAGCACTGAAATCAATGAGTTTTAACATAACTTTACAAGATCTTTTGAAAGATTGGTAAAAATGCCCTATTTATCATTAGTGGATGAGAGTTCAGGATAATCAAAATATCTACAAGATCCTTATTCAAGATTAAAAATTTGCAGCTGTTTTCGATAGAAGTGAATTAGAAGTACTTTCTCATTATGTTTTGATGTTGCCAGTATTAAAATAGGCCATCTATGAACTCAGGACAGTTTTGTCAATCAAATTAAATCTTTACACTGATTTTTAGGTATTCAACATATTTAATATCTAGATTCCTGAACCTAGGGAAGAAGCTGCCATCATATTATTGGATTACCTTGTCCTTTATAGTCAGATTTGCGATAATATCGCTTAGAATTTGGACAACTTCACATATCGAATTACTTAGTTTTAATTGAAAAAAGTTGTAGAAACAAAGCCGATTAATAATAACAAATGTAAATACAGAGATATTTGCAAGTAGATTGGAAATTTACAATTAATGCTGTGAATATAAAAATTAATATTAATGAATATAAAAAATCATTCTTTAATGTACAATTACACCTTCGATCTAAATACATCTATAGCCTACAACATTATATCTTTGGCTTCGTATTATCCAACACTTTCAATAGAGACTACATGTTAATGCTATGATTATTACAAATAAAATGATTATCTATTTTATTTAATTCTACATCCTTCTCAAATCCATTTGCTTCTCTTACACATTCTCTACAAGTAGTACAATTTCTTGGATTCACAACTTTTATTTAATTTCCTTTTATTCCAAAAACTTTCATCGGACAAATAGATGCCAACTTCTCTTATCTTTAAGCATCTAATTAATTTTTTATAGTAATTGATGGCATTAATTTATAGAAGGCTGTGCAAACAGGAGACCTAAAATGAATTATTATGATACCATTTTGCATGTCTCTTGCCTACACCTTTCTCGCAAATCAATCTTAAATTGAGTTCTTGATTTTCCCTTAATTTAGCAATGATAATATTTGAGTGAACTGGACGAATTGGATTAGCAGCAAATAATTTAGCTTGTTGTCCTTTTGGTTACCAAATTAAACTGCTTGAATGCACTGTTGTATTAGTATATTGTTATTCAATTGGGTCATCCTACTTGCTATTTGGTTTTTTCTCGCATTTCGCATATAATGTAAAATCAATTGAGTTTAACTCGTTATATTCTTCTTAATCATCTTTTTCAACGAATTACAGAGGGTCTGCAATAATTGGAATTAATCTAATTTGGTTTCCATATAATTACCCCAATCTGTGAGCTAAAACTTCATCTGGTATTACGCTGGTGTTTTGGATTACTTAAACCTTATGGATTGCCATTGTAGGGATCTCTATTTACATTACACTTTACTTCTGCAATCATTATTCTTCTTAAAGAATTAGCTATGGGAGCATCGATATTGATTATCTCAAATACTATCTTCTCATCTGTTTTTGACAGAATATTAATTTCTAAATCTCTTTAAAATTATTTGATATTAAATCTCTCCTATTTAAAAGGCTACGTGGTATAGTATATACTACTTACTTTCATTATTTGATCTTCCTTAAATTATAGTTTATGCTAATCCATTAATTTATTTTTAATTAAACTAAAATCTATAAATACATAAATAAACAATTTTCATATTTCATTCGACAAAGAACTTCAAATATCCAGGAATAATATCTATTGTCCCTTATAATCTCCCTTAAACTTCCAGATATTTAAAATTGAAGGTTTCTTGTTCCTTTTGGATATAAAAGCCATTTTATGAATGATCAATATTCAAACTTTCAGTCTGTAATTTGAATAGGGTATTAGTCAGATATTTGTTTTATGAAATTTAAAATTTTCAATTAAGCTACTCAATAGTTATATACTATATATTAATTGTAATACTTCAGATTCATTAATAATGAGTAATATTCTTCAGTATAATTATATGTATAATTACTTTTTCATTTTCATCCTTATCTATTTAACCATATTCGATTCATTTATTTAGTTCTATTATCCCTTTACTCAAAAAATGCGATTAATTTCTTAGTTTTCTTATCCATTAATAAAGTTCTCATCATCAATATCAATAATTATAATTAATGAATTAAAAAAGCATATTATCTCACATTTTAGATAATCCATTCCACAAACTAAAAGTTGGAGCAGCCGCCAAAAAAACCTAGAATAAAGAAGCTTTACGATTATACAGGGACATTTTAAAGTTTTCTATAGAATTTGATTGGGCTAATAAGAATGGAGAGACTTGGTAAAATCTTAACCCTATTCAAAAGGAGAGACATCATTAGAAAAAGTGCAAGGAAGGAATTTGAAATAGCTAAAAATGAAGCTGATCCATTTATGGTCATGAGAATGATAATGACATCCAGGGAAGCCATGTAAAAAACAAGGGAAAAATTAAATGAGGAATACTTTAAATTAAATACGACATTCTCAGAAAGAACTCAAACGAATTAGCAAAATAAAATAGAATGATTTATATATTAAGGAAGGACTACTACCTTATGCGTGTTTAAATATATATCATAATTACATCTTTTTTTTACATCTAAGGATACAATCCATCAGAATTTATGCTATATCAAACAATTAACAAACCTCAAGCTATTTTTTATCTTTGTTTCTAAGCTGAAACTACCAAACACTTATTTTAATTTTATATAAAAAATTTATTTGTGTAAATTATAATCATTTCGAAAGATTGATTTCATTTTTATCGAAAATTCATTTGAAGATTATAACTTGTATTTTATAAATTTAAGAATTAATTTATTCTAAAATAACACCTTATGTTGTATTATTATTAAGAATTACAGAATTTTTCATAATCATTTTTCATACTCTTATTGAATACCATTTTTTCTTGATGTTCAGAAGATTAATGATTAACGAAAATAGCCTAAAAATTCAAATAGTTTAGAAATTGATCAATTATTATATAATAAACCTCTAATTATTAATTATAAAAAACCATATATTAATTGGACTATTAAATGGATCTATATAATTTGACGATAGCCATTTAATTATTTAAATGTACAATAAGAAGTTTTTTTAATTAAGATAGTTAACTAGAAATCTAGATGACTGCTATCATAATGATTTAGAGATTTATAATTAAATAATGGGAGTAGTTTTGAAACCAAATGAAAAGAAACTAGAAAATGATAAATAACTTTTAAGAGATTGGGAAGTCTACAAATAAAGAAGATTAGAAAATATAATAAATGAAACATTGAAATCTCCTTGTTTTAAAATATGTATTTGCAAATTTGTAAGGAATCGGAAAACATCAATTGAGTTTTGGATTAGAGTAGCATATGATGTGTTTTACGATGATTCCTTAGGAAAAGAAATAAGAAAGAAGTTTTGGAGTAAAATGAAAGAAAAAAGCCCAAATTTAGAATCAGATTTATAATAATAATAATGGCCAGATGAATGGAAATATTTAGAGTATGAATCTTGCCTGAATTTGCAATTGATTAAACTATATGAACAGTATAGCGCTATAAGACTCTTTATTGCTTAAAAAGTAAATTAATATACATCAATCTAATGTGATATTGGACGAATGCCTCTATTAAGAGAAGAGAAGAAAATTAGAATTGACTTTTCCAAATCAACTTGGTTTCCTCCAATAGAAATCAATGGTCCTGATTTATTGGAGTAAATCTTTATTTCTGATAATTATTATTGTGAGTAAATGGCAAGATTCATAATAAGAATGAAGGATATCATTTTCCCAATTTTGGATTTCTTTAAAAAAGAGAATGAGAATGGGAAAACTATAAACATCTATGGTAGGAAATATGAGTTCATATTGGATGTTGTCTATTCTTTAAAAGCATGCTGTGGACCTAAGATTAATTTTACATCAGGATCTTTGAGAATGAGAAAAAATTTTAAATGTTCTAACTCATATTTTGTTAATGAAGCTACTTGCAGTGTTATGCTAACTGCATTGCAAAAGGAAGATATTACAAAGGATGTGATTGCTGATATCCATCTAAATAGTCAAGTAGGATACTCAGCATTCGTATAGACTGCATATGAACTATAAGAAATTGGATAAAATGAAAGAATGAAAAGGTTGGTTCTCATCTTCAGCCATGAAAAATTAAATTTTAAGGAAGTTAAAAAAAAAGTTATATATTATCAACTCCCTGACAAAGATATTGAAAATTTAATAGATAGTTTGGATTATGAATTCCTTTAATATTATGCTAATTTATTATTTAACAAATGTATGATAGTTTAATAAAATTGCAGCTCTAGAAAACCCTTTTATTAGATTATGATTTGTATGTGGACTTATGTATTGTGCATTTACTTTTAAGATGAATTACCAACTTTAGTCGATAATGAAGTATTTAATTATGTTAACTAAAAACTTTAATAAGATGTTGAAATAGATTTAGGATTGAGTCCAGAAAGAGAAAATAAAATAACTATTTAATTTGATTAACCTTAAATAGTTTATCATGAAATTGGGGAACCAATTATTGTAGAAAGTGATAGCATAGAAGATGATGATTGTATCATAATTGATAAACCTTAAAAATATACTAAATTATGATATTATACTATTTAAATTGATATGAATAATTAAATCATATGCTTATCTATTATTTCTCAGTTGATAAATATAATAAATAAAAGAAAGAAATTAGAATATCAAACGATTGAATTTTGTAATAATAAATATCATACTTAATAATTATATAATGAGTTCAAACTTTTACTTTCATGAGAGTTTTTTTCTAAACATTCCTTAACACTTTTTTGAAATCATCCCAACTTGGTTCTTAATCTGAGTTTATAATTGTGTCAACATTTTAATATAAGTTCAAACTTAGATCCAGATCTCTCTACACTTTTTTTTCATAAAATTATGGCTAGAATACGCCTGAATTTTAAGGAGTAAAAACAGGAATTGTAGGGATATAAATTAATCCTATAAAAGCAAAGCCAAGATATGTGTATATTCTCATTCTTCGAATTCTATGATTTGCATTATATACCCCATATTTTTCATTTGCTAATATTCTTCCAATGATATATGAGGCTGGGATTGTTACTAAAAAATAGCCTGAAATAAATTCCCATTATCTTCTAGCTCCTAAAATATTTACAGATGCTCTAGGTAGATCTTAGTAATGATTAAATGATTTAAGGAAATTTTATTATTCATTGAGTTGAGCTTTGGCTAATAATTCATCAGAATTTTCAAAATAGTATTTCTTATTAGGTCTATAGGAATCGAAATTCTCTTTTCTCAATTTATATTTTTCAACCATCTGCTTTATTTCATCTTCATTCATTAAATTAAAATATTTTAGTTAATAATAATATAACAATTTATATTTCATATGGTACACAATATAACATTTCTTTAAATTATTTCTCACTTAAATGCTATATTTTGATATTATAACAATATATAATTATATTGAATAATTATACTCAAGTTGGATAATTAGAATTAAGTTTATAAAGAATTAAATTAATTAGTGAAAACAATTAATGTTAAGCACAGGATAAATAGAATTCATAAAAGGAGGAATCGCAGTAAATATAAGAAGTGATGGACGTAAAAATAATGAGGTGAGGGAAGTTAAATTGTTAAGATCTCATCTTATATGCACAAGTGGTTCATGCAAATATGAGGGAGAAATCACAATATATACTGGAATAAAGTTGGAGTTGGGTGATTAATCTTCGATCAAAATAAATGTAAGCTCAATGAAGAGAACAAACGATGAAAAACAGAAAGCCTTGTATCTTTAAGAGTTATTAGAATCTCTATATAAAACTGATATGAGTGAATTGAAGGTTGGTCAAAAAGGATGGGTATTAGTTGTCGAAGTGTTTCTATTATGTTAAATAGATATTGCCTACTTAGAAGCTATTTGTACATCTATATATGAGGCAATGGCAGATTTAAGAATTCCAACTATAAAAGTTACAAAGAATCTATTGACAGAAATAGAAGAATATGAATTATTACCTAATGAACCAACTAAATCATTTAAATGTGATAAAATTTATGTCGTTGGTAAGGTAGGAACAGAATTGGTGAAGGATATGAGTTTAGAGGAGTTTTATTCAGTTGATTAGAAATTGATATTGGCTTAGGGAAGAAATGGGTATAACAAATTAAGAACATTTGATAGCTGTGGATTTGATGCTGATGATTTATTGAGAGTGTTAATGTTTATAAAATGATAAATTAATTAATTATTTATGTCTGTATACTTTTATATTCCAAATCTAATTGGATATGCAAGAGTAATATGTGCTCTTGTCTTTTGTTACACAGGAAGCTTTGATCCAATTGTCTCTGCTGTTGCTTATTCAGTGAGTTAATTGGGAGATCTTTTTGATGGAATGGCTGCCAGAAAATTCAAACAATGCAGTGTTTTCGGAAGTGTCTTAGATATGGTATTTCATATGACTAATATTTCTAGGTTACTGATAGATTCTCTAATGCTTGTTTGTTGGCAGTACTCTATAAATTATATCCAACTATTGGATTTTTGTTTTTGTGGGCATTGGCCTTGGATTTATGTAGTCATTGGTATCAGATGTACTCAACTTTATATTGCAATGAAAAACATCACAAAACAGCAGTCTCTAAATACAAAATTCTAGAAATTTATTACAAAGTTCCATATATGCTATTCATCATGGTATTATTAAGCGAAGTAATTATAATTCATATATATAATTTAAGACAGCCATGGTTACTTTATATTTGAATGTATTTATTGATTGGTTTTTCATTTAAGCATTAATGTACGTTTCAGTTCCATTCTTATGTTTAAAACATGTACAATATATAATCATTATTAATTAGTATATCAATTTTATTCAATTGATCAGTGCTTCAGATAAAATTATTGAAAAAGAATCGAACAAAATTTGATTATATAATAAAAAAAAATGATTCATTCAAATGAATTTTTATTTAAATAATATTTTCAACTATTCAGTCTATTGTCTTTATGAGATAAGCTTTAATAATACCTAAATGCTTGTATTTTCAAGCTAACAGCTAGTTATCTATTTTACGATAATATTATTCCTGCTAAAAATGTTTGATTTTTATTTAAAAGTAATATTACTAAAACTATAATTATTTATCTGGTTATAATCTAGGGGATGCTATATTTAATGGAAAATTTAGAGTTTTTTAGAAATTGTAAAGCTTTTACCTTCACAGAGTTCTAAAAATTTTAATATTTTTCAAAAAATATAAGCCATTTTAATCTAATAAATATTCTTCTTATGGCATGTTCACTAAATTGACTCAAACTTATAATATACAATAATATGGTAGATATTATATCCAGATAAAATTAATTAAAAGGATTTCAAATTTATTTAATTCTTTTTTATCAAAAATTAGTAGAATATCAGAATGGCAACATTAAAATACAATATTCGCATTTAAATATTAGATTCTCTTTCAGTTTTATTCATCTTTCTAATCTTAAAAAAATACAATATAAATTCTGATAAATTGTTATTTATCATGAATTTAGTTCACTTAATAAAATTTATAAACTCAAACTAATTAACTTGGTAGGTAATAAATAATTATGGGTAGATGGCTAGAATAATTTAATGAAACTTGCAATTTAATTATTTAATAATGAAATCTAAACCCTCCAAAAATTACTATCAAAGAATGTTCATTGTCAGAAATGAATCAGCTTAATCAAGGAAATACTAACTATATTAATCAGCCCCTCAAACCTCTATATCATTTATGATTAATGGCTAATCTCTTACTAAAACAAAAATCAACACCTAAACCAATCTAACACCTAAAGAAATAAAGGTTAAGTAAGCCCTCAAATCTGTATATATTATAACATTATTGGTCTTAGATCAAATATAAATTGCAATCATTAAAATTCGAATAGTCTGAAATTAAGAAATAGGTAATGCAATAATCAGAAACTTTCAAATCTAATTTGAAATAAATCAAATCCAAAGAAGTATAAAATATTAATGCAATCCAATAATATTTTAATGAGCAAAATAAGTATCCCTTGATATATTTATATTTTCAAGGTTCTTCTAACAAGACATTTAGAAACTTCAACAACAAATAGAAGTTATAAACCTATTAAGTACAATTTTTGCAATGAAATTATATTGTTGTATGTGATGTCATTTTAACTACATCATTCATTTCTTTTTTATTATTAAAATTGTAATCCTAGTAGAGTATTTTATTGTATCTGACATTTAATCATTCTAATTCTAATGATACTAATGTTTCTAATTCTGTGGAAAAAATTTAGTAGACTTGATTATGATAATAAATTATTCTAATATAGCTAATCATCAAAAATAATAAAATTCAAAAAGTTAAATTGAGTCTTCTTGCTTAATTAAAAAATACATAATTGGATATTTAATAATGAGAATTTATTTGTATGATTTTTATTTTATGTTTTCATGATATTATAAATTAAACTCTTTGATTTCATTCCTACATGATGATTCTAAAAAATTAAGATTTCTGATAAATTATATCATAAGATTGACAGATAAGCTCTAAATCATAGATGAAATATTAAATCTTTAATATACTTTGATTTTCTTAAAGATTTTTAACCTTTTAGGATTTTACATCTATTCACAAGAATTTATAAGAATCACTTAATTAAGAAGAGCTATAAAATTAGTTAAAAATAATGGGAAATATTGGCATTACACTAATAATTTTTATATTTTTATTACAAAATTAAAATTAACTGATGGAATACTAATTGGAATTGGCAAATAAAACCATAGAAGAATTAAAGTAAAAGCTATTGGCTGCTGAATAACAGATTGTTTCCTAAGAAACTGATAAGATTTCTAAGATTGAGTTGTAAGAAAAACAAATCGAAAGGATGAGCGATGAAATTGCTTAACTGTATAGAAAATTAGAGTCCTAAGAGCATGAATTAAGAATAAAGGTTTAATTTTAATTTAGTCTAAGGACGATTAAGATTATAAATGTGGAGCGTATATAGAAAGATTAGAGTAATAGTTAAGAGAAGCATATTATTAAATCGATGATCAAAATGAATATATGAAATAGATGGAATAAAGAATAGATCCTTTAAATTTAGAAAATATAAACCTTATTAAATAAAATAAAACTCTACAATAGGAATTAGATTATTATAAGAGATCTGTATAAAGTTAAATAAATAAACTGAAAGCAGAATATGAAATGAAGATTATAGAGTAGTAAGATAAATTGATACAAATGACAAGGACTCCAAACAAAGAAAATATTGCAATATCTTAAAATACTTCTTTTATTGATTATGGAAAGGAAAGTAGAGCTAGCAGATAATCAACTTAAGATTAATTATTTGAATTACAATCAGAATTGAACAAAAACATAAAGCTACTAAATTCCAAACTTAAGCAATATAAATGATTTAATTTGTTATATATTTGATTCAGAAAATCTTGCAATCTTGATTTTTAGCATATCTTTTGCATATTTCTTATCTTATTTATATTCCATATGATTTACAACTCTTAATCTTTTTTATGGGAAATAATTCTCATTCACAAATTTAAATTGTATCAGATAATTCCAGATTAAATTAGATATGGAGTACGTATTTTCATAAATAATTAATTTATATTATCATATATCAATAACAATATACTTATTTTTTGTCTTTATACTAGTTTATTAATTAATTAATAAATAGTGACATCATTATGATTCACATTCTTTGTCTTTTGATTTCAACTACTATGGCTTATTAGTCTATATTGATAATGCGCCATGGAGCAAGAGATCCTCATACATGGACTGAGATGGATAGAAACTTTTTGTGGATTGTGGATCCAACCATTTTGACAGAGAAAGGAGTTAAATAACTAATATAACTTGGGTTGAACTAATAAAGGGAAGATATATTCGATGCTTCTGGAAATTGCATTTATGAAACTTTGGAACTACAGTCCTCAAAATCTGCCAGATGCACATCATCGATAGTCTGTTTTATCAAAGGTTTATGCCCAAAAAATTATGCAGATATTTTACATAGACTATTTTAAGAATATTATCAACCCTATGTAACAAATCAGACAGCATATGATGAAATAATGAATTCTAATTTTGAAGATCCTCTTGCATTGAATTTTGAAACATTTAATAAGCCATAAGATTATATGTTCCAGGGATAAAAGAAGAATACATGCCCCAAAGTGCAAACTGTTAATAAAGCTGTTTAATCTTCAGCAAAATATAAACAATAAGAAAAAGAACTATTAAGTAGATCAGAATTCGACAAAGTTTATTATTGGATCTAAGAAGCCAATCCAAGTACGAAAATTGACAAAAGTAAACTAACTCTTGCTGATGTTGATGAATTTTATGATGATTTCTTTTGTAATCGCTTTGAAGGATTTAATTTTCCTAATCCAGATTAAGATACTTAAAATTATATTAATGAAGTTGAACAGTTTTTAGTATATTTTGGAGCCAATTCTGAACCTTTATAACATTATGCAGGAGTATCAGAACCTTTCAGATGGATCATTTAATAATTAAGTTCAAGTCAATCTTTGAGTGTTTATTCAGGAACCGAGTCTAATTAAATGGCTATGCTTTCTGTTTTGACTGAGCAATAATATTTGACTCCATTTGCATCTTAACTTGAATTTGTAATTTAAGGGTAAAGAGTATATATATACTTTAATAAATAATTCTTAAAAGCCTCTTATTGCTAAAGCGATTTCTATTGTACGAAATAAGAACTAATAAATTATTTAAGCAAATACGTAGTAAACAACCTTTAAGAGCAATGTAATTCAAACGAAGAATGATAAATATAAATATAATAATATAGGCTATCATTGTTTTTTATATGTTAATTTCTTATACGGCATTCTATAGAATTAGAAGAAATTTCTTTAATTTATTGGTTTTTCAAGCCTTCCTTTGAAGCAAATCAATTAGCAAGTTATATATTTTAATATAAATATCATATTATCATAAATTTATAGTAATCTAAGAAAATAAAATAATTATAAAAAAACATATAGATAATAAATTTGATTATGTTTTATTATTTTAAATCAAATTGTTCTTTAGCCCACTAATTTATTAATAGTATATGCATCATTTTCTTTTAGAATGGCTTCAACTTGCATAAATGATTCATTTGAATCACCTAATAATAATTAATATTGAGAATTACTATCATCATATTGCAAACAGAAACAAACCCTTGATGGATTGATACCTAATTCTGGGACATGGCCAGAAGCTAACTATGCTAAATACTCTGAGATAGCACATAAAATATCTGCAGCATTTTCTTTAGTGACATCAATTGTTGCTTCACATCTAAAAATACATAAGTAATCGGTTATACTCTTTGACAACTGGAACTTGTGGTTCAGAAGGAGGAACTGGTACTGGGGCTGATTTAGGTGAGGGAGCAGGAGCAGCCTCAGGTTCTGGTTGAGGTTCAGGCTCAGGCAAAGGTTCTGGTTAAATTTCATCAGGAATAACTGGAGGACTAACAGGTGGTGGGACGAATTCTTATTCTTCCTCTCCCCAATATGGTTGTTCTTCCTCAGGGGATGCAAATCTTTGAGCAGGAGGAACAAACTCTTCCTCTTCTTCTGGCCAATATGGTTGTTCTTCTTCAGGGAAGACATTTGGAACAGCATCTGGTGTAACAGGAACAAATTCTTATTCTTCTTCTCCCCAATATGGTTGTTCTTCTTCAGGAGATGCAAAAGTTTCAATTTATGGAGCTGCACGACTTTCAGGAATTACAGGTTGAGGATTATATCCAAAAGGAATATCATCTGGTGTCAGTACAACATCACGAGCAGCGTCACCAATACAACGATTGACTCTCCAATTATAGAATTACCCATTGAAAGCAGGGTATAAACCATCATTACCAATATAGAGTCTCCTCCAAGGAACAAGATAATGGCGAGCATCAAGAAGTTAATTTGCTCCAATCAATTGGTCTTCCATTAAATAAAGTGTAAAAACTAGCTAATTCTTTAAAGTCTGTTGTATCCAAAGTAAATATGATGCCATTAACCCAATGTATTTGTATATTAAATATTATCCCATAAATTAGGATTACCAGATCCTGAATATGTGTAAGTAGAAAATTACTATATGCACCTCCGACCAATTCATTACCAAGAAAAACAGCCAAATCTCTGTCTCCTAATTTAATCTCTTCCAAATCAGCATCTGCATTTTCAGATAATCTGAAGACAGTGTGCCAAACATCTTGATCTTCTAAGGTTTCCCATTTCAACCAACCAGAAACAGCGTAACCAGCATCCCAAGTTGAAAACTCAAATATTTCATCAGATGTATCCTCAAATCCATAGAATTGATAATCCCCTAATTCATCAGTATATAATTCACAAAGTTCTACTTCAGGTGGACTATTGCATGAATCAACAAGTAAATTATATTATCTTTAACTGTTGAAGTGTAGATTTGATACTGAAGATGCAAACTGTCCATATACTTTTCCTTAGAATGATGGATGAGAATCTTATGGTCCACCAACCTTGAAGTCTAAACTAGTGTAAGTTGGATGGGAAGCAGGAGTTGATCTCAATGCTGGTAATTCTTCAAAGAACTTGACTGCACATCCAGTAACTCCTTAACCATGACTGATGAATACAAAGCTCCATTCACCTTCAAAGTCACTATTGGATACAGATGTAGATTAATGTGTAGATCCATCAACAGTAACACATTTAACACCTGTATTAGTTACAAATACTCCCAAAACTGTGTTTCCATTATCTTATAAACTGGCTAAATGGAATTCATCACCCTCAGCAAAGGCTGGATATTTTTACAATCTTTAGAAGTATAAACCAAAACCATATTCGCCTGCAATTGTAAGTGTGCTACTAAATCCAGGGTCAACCTAAGTAGCTGTCAACTCTATAATATCTGTAGATTCAGATGATTGGCAAATAATTGGGTCTTATTCTTCTTGTTCTTCCTCAAATACGATCTCTTCATGTTCTTCTGAGAATGGAAAACGCAAAGGAGAAATACGTGGATGTGGTGTTTCTTCAAAACCAAATGATTCTTCTTCTTCTTCTGGGAACACTAAAGGATCATGAGTAACAGGTGGAAGGGGTGTTTCTTCAAAACCGAATGATTCTTCCTCTTCCTCTGGAAATACTACAGCATCAGGTGTAACAGGTGGAAGGGGGGTTTCTTCAAAACCGAATGATTCTTCTTCTTCTGGTGGGAAAACTAAAGGATCAGGAGAAACCGGTGGAAGAGGAGTTTCTTCAAAACCAAATGATTCTTCTTCTTCCTCTGGGAATACTACAGCATCAGGTGAGACAGGTGGATTTGAAGATTCTTCTTGATCTTCCTCTGGTTAATCAGGTGTAGTTGGTACTGCTTTTGGTTCTTCTGGTTCTTCTCCTGGAATAGTCCATTCTTCTGTTCCCTCTTCTGCCACTGTGGGTTCTTCAGGTGATCCTTCAGTGCTTGGATTAACAGGTGGTTCATCAGTTGGACCTTCCTCATCTTAAGGTACTACAGGTTCATCTGGGGTTGGTTTATCATCTGGAGTAGGTTCATCATCAGGAGTGGGTTTATCATCTGGAGTTGGTTCATCATCAGGAGTTGTTGGAGGAACACCTTCTTCGACAGGCTCTTCACTAAATTCCTCGCTTGCAACTTCTGATGGAACTTCTGGTACAGGTTCATCTGGGCATGTTGGCTAACATGCTTATTAGCATCCAGATTGAATAATATTGAGATCCTCTATCTTACCTTTGACTTTAATGACTGTAACAGGTGATTGTTAACATTATTAGTGAACATTGTTCATTTATTTAATCAGATAAGCACACAATTTAGTTAATGTTTCTGTGCATTCTTCTCTTTCATGTTTATCTTAATAATAAAATAATAGATGTTACCATGAGATTGCAATCCTTGTAATTTGTTTTATAATTCAGAAAGCACAGGTGGGGATATGAGATCCAAGTCTTTGATCTTATCAACCAACTACTAATATTTCTTGTGTTTAATTAAGTGTTTCATTTCAGTTAATGTTTCAATATGTGAAGGGATACGCTCTTTATTTTCCAAGACATTCTACCATTGAGTCAAGGTTTGCTCCAAATCATCAAAATGTGATCGAGGAGTTTGGCAATTCAATTGGGAGGTGTCCAAAGCATCTACTTCAGCTAATGTATGGGACATCAAAGATGCCTCGAAATTCAATGCTGTTGCATACATCAATAGCACAAACATGGCATACATTCTCATTTTTTTATTAAATATAATAGTTATGCATTCAAAACGGATTATTACATATATTGAGTATTTAATATAAAGATCCCACATATCAAGCGAATCAAAAAGCAGCATGATAACAATACTCTACACTTAAAAGTAGCAAAGAATATGAATTTAATATAATATAGAAAATCTTTGATTAATTCAAAATAAGAGATTTTAATTAAACTTAAAAATGACACCTCATCAAAATTAGTACATGGCATGTTGATATAACTATTTTTTTTCTCAAATGCTACTATTAACTTCCACAAAATATTGATAGTGTGAGTTTTACTTAAGTTATCAAAAGTAGTTTTCAACAACAATTATGATCTTATTTGAATAATTATTTATAATAAGAGTACGTTCTCTCTAAATTTTTGCAACCATTGTTTAATCCTAAATTTTTCAAGTTGTTAAAAAAAAAAAAAAATTGCTGATTATAGATTTTCATTTGTAGATTAAATTTATTTTTCTGAAAGGGAAACATTTTATAAATTTTCTTACTCAAAATGCAAAAAAAATTAAATAGATCATTAGACCAAAATATACTTTACATTATCAATATCTATGTATTAAAAGCACATTAGTAATTTACTGAATATACACCTTACTTATCTTTTCTTGATATTTAAATAGATTAAATCCTCTCTAAATTTTTCTGAAAATCTCATCAATTTTCAATTAATATCTACCTTATGAAATTTAACAAATACAATAGAATTTTTAATCATATTTTAATTAAAATTTAGAATATTGCATCTCTAAAAATTCTATGAGATAGACATATATAAAATATGGATCATTTTTTTCACTTAGTTTGATTAAAAAATAATTCACACTATTTTAGTTAGGTTTGTGTAGCAAATATTCTTTGATAATTTAGACTTTAGAAATTTTATACATTTGGAGACCTTATCAATACCAGATATTTCTTATTATTGAAAATGATCAACCATTCCTTTTTATAATTTTCTGTTGAATCCATCTTATAATTGTTGTTGAGGTATAAATCAAAGAGTAAAATTGAAATAAAGTTAATCTTTTACTTCAATTTATTTCTTCTATCCATTCCTCAAAATTAATTCATAAGCAATATAAATACTTAACACAAGCTAACAGTAATATTTTTTGAGAATGAAAATAAAAACATAGATAAGAGCAAAGTATTAATATAAATACTTTTTGTTAACTTAAAACATTATTAAATTAGATTAATCAAGTTGTTAGTATATATTTTTTATTTTGCAAGACAACAATTATTCTACAGTTGTATCTTGTGTTATTAGGAATTATAATAATTATTTAGTTTATTAACTATTAGTAATATGTTAAATCAATAGTAAAATTTAATATAAGTTTTCTTAGATGATATAAGATATTTCTTCAAAAGACTATATATTTATAAAAAAAATATAGATTTTTGATTTAACAATAATTCTTCTACTCCACCAGAAAGTTTCATATGTAATTGATAGTTTTAGCTAACATAGTTACAATAACACAAGACTTTAAATTTAAGATATCTAAGATGATTCTATTTTCTATTCTATTTTTAGCATTTATATTAGATTATAAATGTATTAAATTTAACCTCTCAAAGGCCTTTAAAAGAATAATTGCAAAGACCTTAAATTTTATTACTTTATCGCTAATGTTAATAAATAACTCCATTTAATGATTAGAATTTTCATAGAGAGCTAACGTCATGTTTAAAAGAAGTACTATAATATAACAGCATAATTTCAAATTTATTTTGTATCTGGTAAATATACAATAAATTTATTATTGAAATGGCAGAACATGAAAGTGAATTTGAGGGCCACGAAGAGGAATTGGAGGCACCAAAAGATTCATTATGGAGAGATGAACACGAAATGGAAAAATCTGCAAATATCGTTTATTTTCTTACCTTGGGAATTGTTTCAGGGTTGATATTAAGAGAGATCAATAAAAAGACAAAGTAATCGAAGTGATATAAAGTTAGACTCCCGTATTCTCCCATGATTTTATCATTGGGCATATTATTGGGATTACTTTAAAAAAGTTTGGGATATGTTGGTGAAAGTGCAAGTATCTTGTCAAAAATGCATCCTCACTTGATTGTGTTTGTGTTTGTCCCTGTTTTGCTATTTGAGTCAGCATTTAATTGTGATTGGTATACTTTCAAATATCAAATGGTCAACATCTTACTATTAGCTGGTCCAGGTTGTGGTTGGGTATTTGATAATTCTATAATAGGGTGCCATTCTCCTTGGAGCTATATTTAAGTTGGTTTTACAATACGATGATAATGATATGACATGGTATTAAGCATTTACTCTTGGTTCTGTGTTATCGGCTACAGATCCTGTGGCTGTCGTTGCTTTATTAAAGGAGTTAGGGGCTAGTTTGGCATTCAATCATTTAATAGAGGGGTATTAATATTTATTTCATAATTAGAGAAGCTTTGCTGAATGATGGTGTGGCCATGGTGTTTTTTATATTTTTTAACAAATTTTCAAAAGCAGCTAGCGGAAAGGGAGAAGCGGTGACTGCAAGTTAGGTTGTTCTCAATTTTGTAAGGAATTCATTAGTAGGACCAGCTTTAGGATTAATATTAGGAATATTAGCTGCTTTGTGGACAAAGAGAATTTTGGGTGATGATATTGAAGTCACATGGTTAACATTTGTATTCACATATCTAACATTTTATTGGGCGGAGTTTTGCTTTTTTAAAACTAGTGGATTGCTTGCAGTAGTAGGTTTAGGTTTGTTTTGGAGTGCTTTTGGAAAAACTAGGATAAGATCATCAGTTGAACATTCTGTACATACTGTATGGGGATTTGTCTAATATTCTTGTGATACTTTAATATTCTTATTGGTTGGAATTATTGTTGGTACTCAAGTTATTGAAGAAACATTTATCCATAAATCTGATTATATTAGAATGATAGTGTTCTACTTTTTTATGATTTTGGCTCGATTTATAATGATATTGACATTCTGGCCATTTTTAAGATGTTTTGGATATCCCATCTCAAAGTCTGAATTCATAGTTCTTGTATATGGAGGTTTAAGAGGTGCCTTAGGTTTAACGTTATCTTTAATGGTTGGATGTGACGAAGAATTGCCAGCTAGATTTAGACATTTGTCTGTATTCTATGGGGCAGGAATGGCTGCAATAACAAATTTAATTAATGGTACTACTTGCAAGGCCTTGGTGCAATATCTAGAAATGATAGAAAATCCAGTTGTTAAGAAAAAGGTGTATAAAAAATACTTGGAAGAATTGATAGTAAATTCATAAGACAAAATGAGAGAGTTAGAGTCAGATTAATTTTACAGTATGGCTGATTGGAATTAAGTGAATTAATTAATTGGTTAACCTAAATTTATAGAGAAGATAGAGAAATTAGAAACTGAAATAAAATACATGTTAGGTAGTAATAAGGTGTAAACAAGTTCATCAAACTTATACGAAGGATTAACAGATCAAGAAATTTTTGGAGAAGTTAGATACAGAATCTATCGTATTTTGAAAGGTTTGTATTATGACAAATTTGAGTACGGATTATGTGAAGAAGACACAGTTCGTTTGTTGGTTGAATCAAGTGATATAGGTTTGGATCACACAAAGGCAATTTTAAATATTTGGGATTAATTATATAAGAATTTCTTAAATTTTAGCAGTGTGAACTTTTTCTTTAAAGTCAAGGAAATGCCATTAATAGGACCATTTGCAAGAGACTATATGATTAAACATTTAGGATTTGTTTATGATGTAACCACAACATTTTTATCTTGTGCAAGCGAGGCATTTCATTTGACTGGAACTTTCCCAATGAGTAAAGATGCAATTAGAGTTGTGATGGAAGAACTGAATAAGGAAATTGAAAAAGCAGAAGGATATTTGGGTATATTAAATGATACTTTTCCAGAGATTGTTAGAGCAATCTAAACTAAAAGGGCATCACATTCTATTTTAACACATTAAAGACATTATCTCGATGATACACAATAGAATGGATTAGTAGATGAAAAAGAATATTAATTGCTTAAAAAGGAAATCAATACAAGATTGGTTGATTTAGAAAATCATCAATTTGATATGGTTTTACCATCTTTCCATGTTTTGGCTATGGAATTTCCAATATTTTCTGGTCTTGTTTCAACCGATTTAGATAACATAATAAAAAGTGCTTATGAAAAGAAGTTTGGACCAGATGAAATTATATATGAATAAGGAATGACATGTTAGAACATATATATTGTAAGCAAAGGTAATGTTGTCGATGAATTTGCAGGAGGTACAATTAGGAAAGGTTTAGGAACCTTAATTACATATACTAATCTTATAGGTGATGGAACATGCATGAGTACAGCTAAAACCACGGCTGACTCTTTGCTTTATTCTTTAAATCTCAAAATTCTAAAAGATTTGATGAGCAAGAATCCTGATTTTGAATTCAAGATATATATTAATTCGCTTGGTAATTAACTCATTTATTCTTAGAATACTTAAGAAAGATGTTTGAAAATTAAGCTGGTCCACTTGCAAATGTAGAAATTAAGAGATTATTGGATTTCTTAAGAACTAAAAGTAAATTAAAAAAATTTACTACTAATTAAAAATGTGATTTTATTTTTGGCGGATATTTATTCAGGGGAGAATTGAAGGACATCAACAATTAAGTCTATTCTCAATATACGTAAATATCATATAATATGACTTAGTTATATACCTCCACAAGATACAGAGTGCTTGGTAACCAAAGATTGCCAGTGCTTGACCTTTGAAGATTCAGTAGATTCCTTCAATAATCAAATGTTGAAATAACTTGATTTAGATCCTCATAAAGACTAGTAGATTTAAGAAAGATATTCATAGATTAAACGTACTTCTATGATGGAAAAAAGTAAACTTAATTGATATTACATCATTTATATCTATCCCAAAATAGTTTAAATTATCTAACACTTTAATTTATTCAAAAATGTCCAATCAATCCCTTTTTTTCCTTATTTTCTTTCCATTTTTATATTTTCAAAAAATACTAAAATTCCTAAAAATTAAATTAATTTTAAATTTATTCCTTTGATACAATTGGGTTTGAATTGTTTATCTAATTTATCAACCAAATTTTTAATTATCATTATACCTTAGCCATCTAATAAGAATGTTTCTTGATATTTTTCTTTATTATCTTACAATTATAATCCTCTTTTTTATGTTATCTTTTTTAATAATTCAATTAGAATCCATATAAAGTTTATTAGACATATATTAATTGAATAAATGGGAGCAGCTTTTGTTAAATGTGTCAAGCACAAAACTATGTATCTTGATATATTTTTAGACCTTTTTGATTTTTTATCTGTTGACAAATAAAAAAACCACATATATTAAGATAATGGAATAAATAAAGAGACTAACTAAATTGAATATGAATTTTGTTAAGAAATATCAATCTTTGATTACATTTAAAATTGTAATAATTAAAATTATCAGAATTTAAATCTCGTATGAAAATTAAGGAATAATCTTCTAGTGTCATTTATTAATTTTTTAATCATTAAATCAGTATTTAAAATAATTTACTTGAATGGGGTCATGTTAGATTTGTAATGGATTCTAAATAAAAGAGATTAAAATACAATTAACACCAGAGATCATGAAAAAAGAACCAACACTGAAATAGATTATATTGATTTAGGCTAGATTTAGAGGAATGTCAACAAGAAAGAGAGTCCAGATTAAAAAATAAAAGGAAAATATTAACTAGCCACATTAAAATTCATTGAATGAAGACCCAATTTGTTATGAATAGGCCTAACACATTATAACAGACAGATCTACTGTTGCTTAATAATAGGAAGATCATGTTGTTATATCGATAGCACCAACAATACGGAATAGTTAGTTTCAATTTGGATCAACGACAGGGTTTGATAGATTGGTGATGGAGGACGGGTATTAGAATAAAATAATCATAGTTGTTACTTGGAAGGCATGGTATAGAATTATAATTAAAAATAAGTGGTTGGATGGGTTCATGAATGGAGAAGGACTTTACAGTGCACCTGACGGAACATACTACAGGGGATAATGGAAGGATAGTTATATGAATGGATAAGGTACCTATTTTAATTCAACTTAAAATATCAGATATGAAGGTAAAATCTTTTGTAATTTAAATTAGGAGAATGGTAATATAATTTATAACATGGTGAAGGGATTGAAACATATGCAGATAAATCAGTCTATAAAGGAACATTTAAAAATGGCTTAAAGGATGGGCATGGACAATTCGTTTTTAATGATGGCTCTTTCTATGAAGGACAATTTTAAGAGGATAAGTTTGATGGATTAGGAAAATTTGTATAAAATTTTTAATAAATTATAGGTTTGGGATTCTGGTTAAAAAGTTTATTATGGAGAATGGTTCAAAGGAAAAAAATAAGGCTTTGGTTAGTTGGAAGTCAAGGGAACATATACTTTTGAAGGTCAATTCAAAAATGGACTAAAAAATGGTATTGGTAAAATAATTTGGAGCGATGGTAGAAAATACAATGGTGAATGGTAAGAAGGAAAACAACATGGAATTGGTACATTTTAAAACAGAAATGGAGAAATCTTCAGTGGAGTTTGGAAATTCGGATTAATCCAATCTCATTGATCTCATAATTAAATCATTATGTTTTTTTTATTTTATGTAAACAAATATGACGAATACATAATATGTATTGATTGGGATTATTAAAATTTGTTTTTAAAACGATGATCAAAATTTTAAAGTAGCCTGAATAATCATATTAATATATCTAGTACACTTAATAAATTCATTTTACATTCTTATTTCTTCATCCATATATATTATCTAAATATAGGATTAGTTGAAATAATAGAATTAAGTACTTAGATATTAAATTTAAAAGCTTTTATCTAAAATTATATAAAAATCTTTTATTGAAGTTACAGCAATATTTACATTAAGTACCAAGTTATGGCTAAATAGGATTCTCTAAAATTGAAACCGGCTTAATTTTCGATAGAAATAAATGGCTTATTTTGTTGAGTTTTGGACATTATTAAATATGTTGGATTTTGAGTAGGATTTTTATAAATTTGTCAAAGGCCAATTAGACAAAAAAAGAGGAATCAAACAATTAGTTGAAAATGAGGAGCTTAATAATGAGGATACAGTTTAAAGTACAAAATCATCATTTTATAAAGGAAACAGGTTATTGAGTGAGAACATACAAAAAGTCTTATAAAATGAAAGAAAAAAGATGAAAATTAGTAAAATCACAAAAGAACAGCATTTTGAAAATAAGATGAAAGATTTTACATAAATGGACACTTTTATTGATGTTAAATTCTTTCTGAAGAATCTAAATGATTAGTAGATGAAAAAGAATCAGAAAAAAATACCAAAATCCATTAAAAGATCAAAATCACATACTGATAACGAGGATCTTTTTGATTATGCAGAAATTGTGTAAAAAAGTAAGAAATTCATAGAAAACTCACGGCATTACAGATCTAAACCTAAAATCGAACTTTATTTCTAATCCGATAATGAAAATAGTTAAAGATCCAAAGTCATTGAAGATGGAAGGACAACAAGTGAAAAATTCTATACAGGAATTGACTAGTTAATAATTGATATTAATCACAAAACTGTTTTATCTGAAATGGATAGGAAATATGAGAGAGAGAGAAAGAAACATAGAGATACGATGAGTTCTGAATAGATCTTCAAGTCATTTATTCCATTAGATTTTGGGAAAGATGAAATTGCAATTGAAGCCGGAAAAAATTTCAAAGAGTAATCACAAAAAGTTTTATAACTGTTAGAAAGAACAACTAGAATGCTTTACAAAAATAAATTGCCATAGCCCCCTAATTAAAAGTTATTAAAGCAATAATAAGAATAGCTTAAAGAACTTAAATAGTATTAACCATATACCTTTGATGCTCGGAGTTAAAAATAAATTCTAGTAAAAAGTCGAAGTGAAAGTAATGATATGAGGTGCCCTCAAGTAAATGGTAAATTAATAAATCCTCTTGTAAGGAGGATAGTCCCATTACAATAAGCAAGCCATGCCTCTCTTCCTGAGATTTAACCATGTTCGTTTTTATCTTCAAGAGAGGACAAGAAATACGAAAATCTTCATTATTTTAAAAGTCCATAAAATTAATCTAAACGGGATGATAATCATAATAATTCTAGTCATCGATCTGTTAGTCCGGATATAAAAAGTTAAATTGGAGAATTTATATCATAGGTAAACTATTTAATAAATGAAGCTTGATGATGCAAAATTGAAATTTAAAAAATTGTATCCTTCTGATTCTCAGATATAAAAAATTTAGCATAATATGAGCAAGAGAATGATGCAGATTGGTAAAATCCCTATGGATAGTTTTAATTATTTAACAAAGAAGAAAGTGTATATACCTAAAAAGTATGAACTAAGAGGAAAGAAAAACAAAGTTCTTCAAATGATATGATCGTGAATTTGAAAAAAATAGTCAATTCATTTTGAGTATCATCTTTTTTAATAAATTCAATCTAAATATTAAAAATAAATTTATGTATTTAAGGTAATATTCAAAACTTCCTTTTTACGATGGATTTGAAATGTTCCGTAGGCTTAAAATGCTTAATCCTAAATAACATAATCCTCTTGTTTATGCAATTAGACCACCTGAAACTAATCTCGGATATCCTTTGAGAGAGGAAATAAATGATGCTGAGAATCAAAAAGTGCTTAACAAATTAATGCATCGATATCCAGACCTTAAATATGCTCCATTAGTAAAGGAAGGACTTGCAGAAAATTAAAATGAAGGATCATTATTTCGCTTTTTGAAGATGTTTAATACATTGAGAAAAAAGGGATATCATTTTGATAAGGTATATAAATGTAATATGATTAGGCATTTGAAAAGTCTGAAATGGCATTTTAGGCAAAAATGCAAAGAAAAATCGATTAAACTAAAATAGCAAATAATTTAGCAATAACAAATTAAGCAAGATCATTTATGACATTAGCCTAATAAGAGATAGAGTTTGAATAGAGACTAAAAAGAGATAGACTATTGAGAGATTTAAAAATCTAAGAGTTTGAAAAAAACTCACCTTTGGACCCTGAAACTCAAGCTTTGATGGATAACTACAAAAAATCCCTAATAAAAGTAGTTCATCATGATGATAAGCCAGTGGAGACAACGCATATAGAAGATGAAGAAACATTTGCAGAGAGAGCAACAAATGTCTTTAATTGTTATTATAACAGAGTAGCAACACAAGATAAATTGAATGGTCTAAGTGATAAATAGATTCTGTAAAATATTAGACAATCACCATCTAAAATAAAGAATAGATTAAGGAAATATTTAAAAGTCATTAAGCATTACAATATTACCTTGGATGAAGAAGGTGAAATCGTTATACCTGAAGATCTACCAGAGAATCTTCAAAATTAAATTGGAAAGGGAATATTTTATATAACAAAACTATATGATGATCTTGATTTTGAATACTCACACCATGAACACTTAGATTCACTGTAATAAGAACTTTAGGAAAGACTTTAAGAATAAAAATACAATATGAAAAAATTATAATGAGGATGCAGAATTTGCCATTAAAAAAGTGTTATAGGATGCAAACATCAAAGCTTAAAATACATATTCACTATTTGAGTCACCATAGGAAAGATTGTCCAGATTGCAAATTAAGTGGTTATATAGAAAAATAGATGAATATACATTGTTTAAGCTTAAAAAAGAAGATTAAAGTGGGGAATCTTAATAATTAATTGATGAAAAAATAGAGAAGTTAGGCAATTAAGCACAAAAATTAGTAGATAATTTAAGAAGAATGAAATTAGAATTAGAATATGAATCCTTTGCTAAAACAGGTAAACAGTTGTTTTAAGAACATGCTGTCTTACTTAAAGATAAAGAGTTGTTTGTTGATGCCAATAAGTTATAAATGAATGATATTGATATCTATTTCAAAATTCCTGTTGATTAAAGAAGATTAACATAAGCAGGATAAGTTAATGATGACATCATTCATAATCTTATCAAAGTGTAACATCTCTTATTTAAATTAGATAAAACTTAAAATCTCATGTAGCCAGATTAAATCATGATGATTTAGAGAACAGAGTAGGTGATTCTTCTTTGAAAGACGAAACCGCTGAGATTTTGAAGAAAAAAATATTGGCTTAATATAAGTTATTGTATTTGGCTAAGAAGTAATAATTAAAAGGAATGACTGAAGAAGATAAATTTAAAGAATCATAAGAAGAAGAAATCTCTCTTGATGATGAAGCATTTAGTGAAAATATTGTAAAGATATATTATTAATTTTTAGGCTGATAATTTAGACGAATTGCGAAGGAAATAAAGAGAAGCAAGACTTGAATTTGAGAAAGAAAAAGCCCTTGAAGCTAAATAGAAAGAAGATGAATTAAAAAGTTAATAAGCAATTAAGGGATAAAAAGGATCAAAGAAGAAAAAGGCAAAAAAATGATCTGTTTTAAGAGTGCTAAAATTATATTATTTATTTATTATCTTTATATTCTCATTAAATAAGAGAGATTATGTGTATAGAATTAACATTATTATAGTTTTATTTATAAATTAGTTTTGATAATAATTAAATTAGATAATTAAAGTGAGACACACATGTCATCCATTTTGAATAAATTTAAGAAGTAAACGCCATCAGAGACTCCTAGCGCAATCAAATTGGAAAACACATCGTTTGGTTAATAAGCTGGGACTTATTAGCCTCCAGTCATCCCTGCGATTTAATTACCCTAATCCAATCAACCGAGATAAAAAGGAAGACCAGGCGGAGGTAAGAATTAATGAATTACAAAAAGGTTGGGATGATGAACCTTAGCCCTAGCCAGAACAAATTAATGTATCAAATAATAAGGCAACCAACTCAATTAATTTATTGAATAATACTCCACCAAAATAGAATGAATAATAAATTCACAACGACGTACTCCTGCCACCTTAACCTGCCATCGGAAACATTTAATTGAGCAGAATCACGGATTATAGAAAAGGATAGCTGTTAACTTATGAAGAATTGGAATTAGGAGGATTGTAAGATATATCTTGAAATTAGTGATTATGAATTTCATCTGGTCAATGAAGTCATTAAATTGGGTGGCATCAAATTGAAGCAAAGTGACAATGTTCTCAAAGATTTTGCCAGAGCTATATCAACTATTTAAGATTAACTTATAGGTAGCATACTTTTAAATAAGTTGCATAGTGAGGACAACTGGAAAGTTTAAATTGTAAGATATTCACTTAATTTTTAGAGATGCATATATGCTATTCAATACGTGTGTCAATAGTATTAAAACTATAGAGAATTCTTCTAAATTAATTAATAATATCTGAGAGTTGAAACTGATTAATAGCTACTATCAGGAGCTATAGATTAGACATTAGCAGAAGTAAATGGCTATTAAGTTTCAAAGTAAAAGGTAATACATAATTAAATAATTAAAAGGAATTTTAATTTGAATTTAGAGAACCACCTAAGCCACAAACACAATCATAATCCCAATCACAATCACAATCTACTTCATAAAGCCAATAGTCAAATTTAATTGATATTTTGGATGCTTCTTAAAATGACACATAATAAAAACAATAGCAATAAAAACTTAATCTAAAATAATTGAAAATTAAACAACCTACTGTTTAAGCATAATAATAATAATAACCATTAGTATAATAATAGCAAGTACCATAGCAATAACAATAAGTTCAATAGAAAAATACATAATAACTAAATTTATTAGATGCATTTAGTGATATGTCTTTAGAAAATTATAATTAATAATAATTCTAGCCACCCTAATAATAAATAAATCAACAGCAATAATAATAATATTAACAACAATAATAATTTTAACAACCATATTAATAATAACAATAACAATAATAATAATAGTAACAATAACAATAAAAATAATAATCAAATGGTATAAGTTTTGATGATTTACTTAATTCATAGAGTACCAATCAATAGTAAACATAACCAAAAAAGAATGCTTTTGGATTCTTAAAAAAAGATCAATAATAGACAGTGTAGACTAATTAATAGCCAATAAATTTACTTAATTCTCCTCCACAATAATATCAATAATAGCCTTAAAATTATAATTAAGTTCCATAATTGCAACCATATAATTTTTATAATCAATCTCAAAGCAATTAAAATCAATAGATTTATTAACAAACCCAAGCACAAAATAACAATCAATAGTAATCATAAAATAATAAAAAGGATTTAATTGATTTTCTAAATTTGTGATTATTATTATAATATATCATAATATAAAGATCAATATAAATGTTAAAAAGTAATTCTTATCATCTAAAAACCAATAAGAAACATAAATCATCTCCATTAGCTTCCATAGAGCTACTACAAAAGTTATTGGATTTTAAATAAACGTAAACTTCCATGAATTGTTCCTAAGAAAACAAAACTCTAGTCATGAATGGGAATTTAGCAAAACAAATCTCGAAATCAATTTCAATTGGCAGTCAAAGTTGGAAGGATATAGCACCTCCAATTCATGAATCTGATAATTTGCTTAGAAAAAAGGAGGAAATCCTCAATACATTGAAGAAATCAAAGCATGTCAGACATATAAGTTAGATTTGGTCAATGAGAAATAGAACTGATAGTAATGTCCATACTCCAAGAAAAGAAGGGGTAAACGATTTTATTTAAAATGCAAGAATCTTTTTGAAAGAGAAACTATTAGAAAATAAGTTAGATAAGCTCTGCTATTAGGTTTAATAATTAAAAAATAAATCCGATATTTTGGAAATCTAAAATAAATTGCTTTTCGAGAACCTTAAGCAACATCATAATGACCATAATAACGTGCACGTATGAAAAGTTATATAATAAGGAAAGAAAGGTTTTGATGGGAAAGCTCGATTAAATGATAACGATGCAAAAGAAATAAGAATAAAGCTTAAATTATTTTAAGCAATTATTCCAAGAGAATGACGAAGGAAGGAGAGTGAAAACCTAAACCTCCTATCCCAAGCTGAGACCTGCCCTATACTCTGGCTACGTCGGATTAAAAATGTGAAAGTTATTTATTGTTATTATGTAATAATATATTTGATGTAAAAAACCTATAATAAAGTGCAGATAGAAGAATGCAATTAAGTAGAGAAAGAAACCAAAAGTTCTACATTATTGGGATCTAAAATTTATTCGCAACACACTTATAGATGGATCATTTTAACATGTTATCTTGTAGTCGTATTTATAAATGGTATTTCATATCAAACCTTTATTCCGAATGCAAAATAAGTAATACCTTATACTCTAATCGTAGTTTGTATAATTATACAATGTAGACGAATAAATCATAACTCTAACTGGTACAATATACCTAATTATGTAGCCTGTATTCACTTTTTTCGCATCTTCAGGTATTTAATCTACATATACTGAGTTATTGTTAAGAAGGGTTTTGCAGTATCAATGAGTGTAGGTGTAATCTTAACAATTATTGGTTATGGCATTAGACTCTTAATTAATAAATACTCTTTTATTTTTGCCATTTTAGGTTAACTATTTTTGGGAATTTCAAGGCCTTTTATCTTAAATGGTTAGACGACAATGGCATAAAATTGGTTTTTCCCTTCAAATCGTATGGCAGTCTTGGCTGCATGCAACGCATTTCAAACATTTTCAATGGTTATTAGCGTATTATGGCCAGCAAATTGGATTTTTAAAGACTATTCTTATAATGACTAAAACAAATAGGAGGGTTTGGATCTATCTATTTAATTGTAATATCAGCAATTCTTTTTGAGCCTTACTCTTATACCTGTGGTTTTTCTTATAAAAAATAACCCAAAAACTCCACCATCTGGATTTGCTAACTCTGATCATGATGTAGGATTCTACGATTCAATAAGAAAGCTTTTAAAAAACAAAAACTTTATTTTGATTCTTTGTACTTTTAGTCTATACTTTGGAACACTCAAAGGATTTGGTTTAAGTGTACCTTATCTAATGTCTCCTTTTGGGTTTGTTGATACCGACTATTCGATAGCTTCTTCGTTGCTAATTATAGGAGGATTTTTATCAGCTGGATTTGTGTCTAAATTGGTGTTAAAATTTAAGAAATACAAGGCCATTGGAATTGTTTTATTTATCATCTCACTTGTCTTAACATTACTCACATACCCGATACTTATGATTGAATTACTGATCCCTTTGTGCATTTAACAATTTCTCTTAGGATTCTTTCTAATTCCTATGGTGCCAGTCTTAATAGAGTACAGTTGTGAATCTATTTATCCTTTGAATGGTAGTTTCTCTGTTGGAGTGATGGTTTCAGGGGCTACCACAACTGCCATGTTGAGTAGTATATTGCTAACTTATACATCAAAAGGGAAGGATAGTGATAAGACAAGTGCATTAGTCACATATATTATATTGTGTTGCATCTATTTGATAGGGTTCATTTTGTTTTTGTTCACGAAGGAAATATTGAATAGAAGCAAAGAAGTTGAATAAAGAGCTTCATCAAAATAAAGTGTATTTTACTGCTAATAGCAATTGAAAACTTCGATGATCAACCCAGATGCAGTATAGAACGAATAAATTGTAGGTGATTATCCCACTGAGCATCCGATACTGGATTCTCATCAGTTCATCTAGCATCCTGAAGTTTTAAATCCTGATTTTTTAGAACAAATGTAGAATGATGAATAGACTTGAATATTCTTGTGTTATGAATATTAAATATTATATAATTTATGATTTGTCCTCTCATTTGTGATTAAAACTGCATCAATCACTTGTTTGAAAAAGGATAGATTATATCAATAGTAAGTGTGATGTTCGCAGTTACAATCAGCTGGTTCTTGATTAGGAAACATTTAAATTATTTCAATTTCCCCTATTTTCAAAGCAAAATTATAAGTATGGAATTTTCATGATATTAGTAATATTAATGATGTCTCCTTTTTATGCTGTCATTTCAATACTATCACTAGAGATATCAGTATTATATTATTTTAAAAGAATTTAGCATAATACTTTGAATTGATAAGAGACATTTACTTAGCATTTTTATTGTTTACATTCTTTTATTTGATGTTTTCTTATATGGCATACGATGAGGAATTAGACAAGATAACAGATGAGAAAGTGTATGGGACGATGATTTAAAATGAAGAATATATAGAGCATTTGTGGCCATTCAATCATTGTTCAAGGAAATACTATTTAACAACTGAGTCTAAGGCTAAATACTTCACATATAGATGTAAGAAATTTGTACTCCAATATTGCATCGTTAAACCAGTTTTTACTTTTTTTTTGATCTTTTCATAACCCTTCCATTCAAACTTTATTACCTATTTGGAATTGGCCTCCGAAATCATTATTGTTTTGAGTGAATCCTTTTCTCTGTATTATTTAATCCTCTTCTATGTAGCCCTTAAGAAACCTTTAAGTCCTTATAAGTATGATTATTGTATTTAAATTACTAGACCACTACTGAAATTCTTGATAATAAAAATAACTCTATTCTTTACATTTTGGTAATCCCTTGTGTTGTCTGTATTCAAAAAATAAATTGGAGAATGCTTCGAACCAGACGATATTCACTTTACAGATGAAAGAATCATTAGCAGTATAGAGAATACCTTGGTGTGTTTGGAGATGTTCATCATGACAATTGCTTGCATATTTGCTTTCAGTTACGCTGAATTTAAGAAGGATTAAAATACTTAGGGATCGCTTAGGAAGGCTATAAGCGATAATTGGAAGGCCTTCAAACATGACTTTAGATTAATAAGGCCGAAGAAGTTTGGGTATTTAAATGATATTTATCACTATTATTAGATACACGCCAAAGGTACATCATATAGAATTGAAGGAGAGATTGAATTTATCAAATGAAGTTGATATTCAATTTGAGAGAATGAATGTGAAATAAGAATATTTATGAAATAATATTTATATATTGTAATTAATGGAAATATTACACTTGGCATTACTTGTAGTAATTTCTATCATCTGCTTTAAAATTGGTCAAGGAGTAGGACAGAAGGAAGTAGAAAAGCAATAGTCACAATACATCCAAGTAGATATAGGATTAAAATTGATTAGTTACAAGAGAATGAATAATTGATTGAAGAAATTGATGAAGAATATGTTAAATAAGTTGATCAATAAGAATAAGATTTAAAAGAAGCGATTAAAAAGTTTAATTAGATTAATCAAAGAGATAAGTAGTTATAGAAATAATTAAACGATTTAAAAAATACATAAACGAATAATGCTAAACCCAAAGTTTAATAAAATGGTAGATAATTAAATGAAATTTTTAGAATTACTAAGTGATAAGGATTTTGATAATTTATTGGATGAAGGTTTTGTTGTAGATTAGGAAATCAATGAAACACAATTAGATTAAGATTTAATTGAAGCTAGTAAATGATTTGGCAATTGTTGTTTTTATTAAGTTTATTTCTTCATGCATTCTCTATAAATTTCAGTATCCCATTTTCTATTTTGAGTTCTACTTGATAAAATAATTTAACATATATAATTATTTTTTATATTACTCATTACAACCCTTTTTCTGCCTATGACTTACTCCAAGCTTAAGCTATAGTTCGCTTCATATCGTCATCTCCATTCTAATACATCTCTTTCATCATATTCATTAATGATGCCTATGGATCTTATTTGTCTAATTTAGATGGGTCTGTATCAATCTGCATATTTATCATTATTTACTAATTTCTCCTTAAAATTCAATTAGTCCCAATTCTTTTAATCTTTCTTAATTAAGTTAATCACGATTGAGTTGTTGGTTGTTTTGATTGAACACTCCTTTTCTTTAAGCTCATCAAATGTTTTCTTAATTGAAAATCTAAAATAATTTTATCATCATTAACCTGTGATTAAGACCTTTAAAGCCTTTCACTTTCACATCAACACTTGTCGATGTGAATTCTGAACTAATATTTTCTTTAGGCAATTATCCAATTCCCTCCATATTCAAAAACACTTTGACTTTATTCCCCTCTTAATCCCAGGCATACTTTGTAATGCCTTGATAGATGAGAGTGTCCTAGTCTTTCTATTGTTATTGTTGTTATTGTTATTGTGGTTATTCAACTTTTTATGGTGTCAGTATTTTAATGGAGTTCTCTAGATATTTGATTCTATTGTTTAAGTAATCAATATTGGATTTGCGTTTCAGAGTTGAAATAACCGATTATATTTCCGCTAAATCTTTTTAGAGCTCTTCTAATTCAGACATTAAATTTAATAATATATTATTAACATAATTTGCATTAGATACAAATTATATATAAGAGTGCTAGAACAATCTATTTTTATGAAATATTTGAAATTTAAACGTATTATAGCATCATTCGTTTAAGCAATCGCATTCGGGATGTCTTTATGAAAAGTTCATTAAGCACTCCACTGCTCTGAGGTTAGTGGATTATAAGCATTCAACTTAGAAATCAGCAACACATTATTCAACATTGCATCCTTAAAGGATAAGATTCCAATATCCAGTGTTGGGGCAGTATTTAAGACCGCATTCATATCTAATAATTTATATATTAAGTACAAGTCAATCAATTTCTTATTTTTGGATTCGTAAGCACAGTCATGATAGCATGGGTCTGCCTCTCCGCATTTGTTCTTGCAGTTTAAGGCCTTAGAAGCACAGCCAAAGACTTCAGCAACACAAGCATTATATTGATTTGGGCATTTTTCTTTAACACATGCTTCATCAGCGATGACAGCAATAACAAGAAGAGCAATAAGGATTGATTTCATTGATAATATTATATCGACAAATATCTAGGATTTAAATTCGCCTTATAAACTTACAAACTACCCCCTTAAAATCGAATTACGTAATGTAGCGATTACAATACTAATATTATTAAGATGTATCTTATAATTAATACTAGTTATAATATTATAAACTATTCAAATTATTATTAAAACTTTGATCAGAATGAGTAGAAGTGAAGAGTTAGAGATTAGAAAATTTATAATAAATTTAAAACTGTTATTAAGTGAATAATACATCGTTTTCTTTACTAACTTAAATCATACTGTCATTTGTAAAAGGACGAAGTTTATTTTGATGATCAATCATACTAATGTTGTAGTGGTGTAATCCTTATTCTTAATATTATATGATTTATTAATTTTTGATATCATGCATATACTTTGATATATTTTCATACTTCATTTGAAAATTTTTAGCATAAAAATCATGATTTGAGAAACTTAGAAATTAGGAATAATTTTTAATATTACATGCATTTTTATTAAATAATATTTTAGAGAATTTTCATTTAAATTGGATATTAAGAGAAGCATCTTTATTCATTTAATCATATTAAAGTACTTTGTTTGATTAATTCTAAAAATACATGCACAAAAACTAAATCATAATTTTCTCAAATTTACTAAACATTAAATTTAATATATATGACGTATTAATTAAAAGAATCTATCTACTACAATTGTCAAATAAATTTCAACGATAGAGGGACTTGTATCATTCATTAATGATGTTTATTTTTTGGAGTAAAAATACAATATTATTTTCTTTTGTTAGTTAAATATAAATCAAAGCCAAAATATATCATTCAAGTTAAATTAAGACTGGAAGAACAGAAACTTGGAATCGTTCAAAATCTTATACAAATATCTGTAAGTTTAGGACGTATAAGCTATTTGACAAAAATATACAACCACACATCAAAAGCATCTTGATATATATTATCACCGTATTTCTTTTATAATTTATTTGCCTCAAAATATGGTATAAGCTAATTCTTAACAGGGTAAGATTAAAATGTTATTGAGGATAAATAATAATAAAGTTTTCAAATGATAAAGATAATAATTCTTATATAAAATCTCATCTCACCTTCGATATTAATCCTAATCGACACTTAATCTTTCGAATACGCTGATGTAGCTCAGTCGGCAGAGCGGTTGGCTGTTAACCAACAGGTCGAAGGTTCAAACCCTTCCATTAGCGCTTTTTTATTTTTTCTCACCTTTTTAAATATAATTATAATTATATTAATATTTAGTATTTAATTATGCTTTTAATTTATAATTATCAAATTAACCTGAGATAGTTTTCATACAAAAAGATCATCAATAGAGACCATTGTATTGAGTTGAATACTCCATTTACATGTGATATATGGATTGAAACTTGTATTCAATGAATTGCATCATTCTGACATAGATTTTCGATAATCTAAGAGTTTGTATACTACCAGGGTTTTTGGCACTGATTATATGACGGAATGGAAGTGTTATGATAATTGTTTAATAGAGATTCTACATTAAGTAGTCGAATCATTTATATGGAATATAATTTATATGATTTATCTTAGGAAATTGTTTCGTAATGATATTTTAATATAAATAACAAACTAATAATTTTATTGATGTCATCATTAGCTTAATAATTTGAACTCTAGCACCGGGATTCAATTTAAGAATCTTTGTTGAATGATTCATCCATAAATATTTAAGATGAATATAATTTGGAAAGCTCACATAGCATTTCAAATGGAAAATAATTTTAGAATAAAGCCAAATTGGCTATGGAAGAAAGAGCAGAGAAGGAATAGCAACAATCGCAATAATATATTTTAGAGAAAATCCGGTAACTATACAATGACAGTTTAGAAGGTGTATCATAAAAATTAAGTACACTTAATAAATTTATTTTAGACATTTTGTATTAATTACCAATTTTGAGACCAAAACAAGTAATCTTATGGAAGTTATTTATCAATCTCTTAACTTTGTTTGTTTTTTTTGAGGTACCCGTTTACATCGCATTTGGATAAGGCTTTTGGTAGGTAATATAGCTTATTTATTTCAAGGAATTGAAAACAGATAAGCAAGTGGCTGCATTGTATTATTCAATATCCCTTTTTCTTGTAATAGATATGGGGATGGATTTTATAACTGCTTATTATAAACATGGAGTAGTGATTACAGACAGTCGGAAAATAGCAATAAACTACCTCTATGGGAACTTCTTTTTTGATCTTTCAGCAGTAAAGCTTTATTCAATATAATTAGTTAATAATATCAATTGCTAGATTATCTCTATTTACATCTAAATTTAGATTTATATTTTTAATGTTTTACTTTAAGTTACCTTCATTTTTAAGGTTTGATGATCAGTTAAATGAAATGGTATTACTGTATAGAAGGACGAGAGTATTTTATGAAGTGGGAAAGAGAGTTATTTTTATGTTTTTTGCATTTAATGTGTTTTTGTGTGTGTTTTATATTATTGGATTACATAGCGTAGAATCGAATTATAATTCGTGGTTAACAAATTCTGGTAATTTTGGAATTATTTTGGATCGACCATTGCATGAAATATACTTTTTTGGATTCTACTTTTCTTTAGGAACAGTCTCAACTACCATGGGTTATGGTGATATAGTAATATATTTTATTGAAAGATTAGTCTCCTATGAATATTATAGAGTGTTCTTGGTCACTTTTGGGAGTTATGTTCGGACTCATTATTTTTGCAAACAATATCAACTCTTTCTAAAAAATGATGGAAGAATACAATTTAAATGACCTTAAGCAATTTAAGTATAAGGTGAGCATCAATAAATTCATGGAATAAAAATAAGTACCTTCTGATTTACAGGAAATAATTAGGTAATATCTCAATGAATATTGGCATCAATAAGGACTCAGGGATTAAGAGCAAGAAGTACTGGTTTTTCAAATGTTGGCTCCTGAGTTAAAATAAGAATTAATGTATTAATCTTATGGACAGTTTTTGTAAACTACCTTTTTTTCAAAATATTTTTCAAAGCCTTTTTTAAAAGATCTCTCAGAAAAGATACAAGAAGTTAATTATTCAACTGGAAATGTCATAATTGAAGCAGGTGATTCTAATGATGATTAAAGCTTTTATTTTATACAAAGTGGAACTGTAATTATCAAATGTGGTAATTCAGAGATAGTCAAAAAGAAGTTGCTAAAGGGAGACAGCTTTGGTGAATATGCCTTTATGACAGGTATTGAATATATTTATTTAATATATCAGGATAAGCAAGGACAGCCACAGCCTATTCTTAGGAATACAGTTAATTGCATAAAATATCTAGAAGTGATTTCTTAGATATCTTAAAACATTATCCTGATGATTATGAAATATTTTGTAAACTCCGAGATGAATTGATATTTTCATAAAATTTCCAATCTCTTGGATAATTTTGTTGGACTTGTCATAAAGTTGATCATTATGCATCGGCTTGTCCTTTCACTCATTACATTCCTGAGGTATGGGATTTAGTTGATAATGCCACTATTTTGTATTCAAATTAAGATAGAATCAAGATATAAAGATATGATAGAAAGCATTGGCCAACCAGAACCAATCAAAAGACTTTGGTCAACGGTTTGAATAAGTCCAAAATTAAGAAATTTGCTAATGTTATGGTACATTCTAATATAAATTGAATTAGTTTAGAACCGTAAAAAACATCAGTATGCAAAAACTATCTCCTCTCAAAAAGTAGTCAAGTATTCAGCAAAGTGTTCAATCGTTTGGATTAGACTCTGATTAAAAATTAGAAATTAATAAAACTGAATCAATATCGGATGATCCCTTTAAATTACAGGACGAATCTGACATGTCTTAGATTCAATAGGTGGAAAAGAAGGATGCTGAAAGGAACAACCTTTCATCATTATAGAGCAAACTTAATCAATACAGAGATTAATAACAATATTAAATCCATCAGGGATTAGATTATTTTGATGAGCCTTAGAACTTCAAATATTATCACAAAAAGTTCAATTATTCAAATTACAAAGTTTTCCAAGGATTTAAAGAATCGTAAATGAAAAAATAAATAAACATTAGAAAGTCATTTATGCCAGGAACCTATACTTGATTACTTATTTATTTTATAATTAAAAAAGTATATTAATTAAGTTAAAAATTAGATGGCAACTCTTCCTAAACAATTGAGAAATCTCTTAAAATAAATCGACTTATTCAGTATACCAGTTCCAGTGTTAACTGATGATGCAACATCTAAGTATTCAAGTCCAAGTAGTGGAATTATTTCAATTTTGGCTTCAGTATTAAGTTTAGCTTACTTTGCATATGTCTTATCAGAGTGGGCTAGTGGAAACATCCTTCCTACCATCACTAGCAATTAATCGGCGTAGGCTTATTCCGAACAAGAATTAGAAGATAACTTCATTTAGTTCAAATTAGCAGATCCAGCCAATTCGGATCCTTTTCAAAGGAACAATAATATTATAACTCCTTTATTATTTGTTGTTGACAATTATGAGATTGCAAGTCCTCCATTACCCTTATTTAGTGATGATGAAAATCCGTTCACAGTGGGATTAAATAAAGGGACATTAATTGTCAATAACTTAAATTAGAACATTGATGAATAATCATTTAAACCATAAAGAAATTATCTATTGGTATTTATTCAATGCTTAGACCAATACTTAGAAGAGAATAGCAACTGTGCTAGTTAAGAAGTGATTGATTAATACATGAAAGAGTATCATGGATTTCTGTCAATCATCATGAAATTGGAGCAATATAACTATAGAGAGGATCAAATAGAATATATAACAAAGTAAGCATATCAAGCACTTTCTCCAACCTATATTTAATATACTTAAATCGCAATTTAATAAAAAGCGATTAATCTTGATAATGGGTTATTATTTTAAAATTAGGTTACTTTTAAGTTAATCAATGATTTCTATCTAATTAATTAATCAATTGATAATCAGTATTTATAAAATATAGTATCAACATTTTCGAATTAAAATATAAAGTTAAATGCCATTATGGCTTATTAGATAAGGATTGATAATTTATAGATTTCAGATAGAATCATTATGCCCAAACTCAGTGCAGTTTTGGCTTATATAGGTTCTATCGTGTAGGTTATATTTATGTTGAAGTACCTAGCAGTCTTCATAAACAATCATAATTTAAAAGTAGAGATGCAAACTCAAATTCTGCAGATCTACTACCCAAATTTAAAAAACATAATTATCAAAAGAAACTATTTCGGCAAGATAATTCCAATCAATGATAACAATCAACAAGAAATCTACACCGAAACTTTTGTTAAACAATATGAAGAGCATCTAGATATTGCATTCAAGAAGCTACGGCTAATAAACATTATTTATGAATTATCCAGGATAGAGCTTCTATTGGAAAAACATTTTGGTCTTGAGAATGTAAGTGAATGCAATTAGATGGGATCTACATTTTAATTTAATAGCAATGATAAGAAAAATGAATCTGCAAGAGTTTCAATGTTGTCGACTGGAAATTCAGGACCTCAACCTACAGATGATATCTTTAAACTATTTAATAAGTCTTGATTAGATCAACTATTCATAATAATTAAGAAATATTAGTTATTTTATAATTTATTTTTATATGATCTCTATAATTTTCTTATTATTTGGCTTAATATAGGGTTAAGATGATGATGTTATAAATTATGTGGAAGAAGATAAACAAGATAGAAAAGATCTTATGCAAGAATGGGAATTGATGATGCAAGACTTTATTCCAGATGATATGATCGCATTTGAATTGAAGCAAGGCAACATGGAAATATTAGAAGAAGGAATTCATCATCCAACAACTATACGTGGAGCTTATTTCATCAGCATGACAACCAAGGAGAAAATTAATTTCTTGGTAAGAATCAATTAGTATGTTAGATTAAAGATCCAAAAGGGAATATCATAAGTAGTAAAGCAGCTAAAAAGGAAGCTGTATTTTCAGTCAATATTACTGAACCTGGAGATTACTAATTTTTGTTTGATAATGAAAGAGGCAGCAGTGATCAGATTGTAACATTTGCTCTAGATATTCACAATGCCACTTATGAGCATATTAAACATCATGACTTAGATCCGTTAATGAAGTAGATTCAGCATCTATAAAATGGAATCAATGATATAATGTTTGAAACTAAATTTTCCTAATAGAGAAGAGAAAGTGGTTATGAATCAATGCAATCAACTCATTCAAGATTATTTTACTTTTCAATTTTTGAAACTATAATCATTATTTTAGTGAGTGTATGGTAGGTGTATTATATCAAAAGTATTATTGATAATCGTAGATTGATTTGATTTATTGATAAATTCTATATATTAATTAGTGTGGTATAATAAATTTGTTAATAGTTATTTCAAAAATAAATTAAATTCTATGTGTTGGTTTAGAACTAAAATATATTGTTCATAACTCTTAAATATTTCGAGAGTTTCTTAGTATTTTTCAATCAATCAAAAGTTGAACTCTTAAATAAAAATAACTTTGTTAATTAATTTGTTATTTGTTATTATTTTTCAATTAAATTAGGTGACATTTAAGATCTCCGGGGAACATTTGTAACTAAACTTAATTGAAATTGGAAGTATAATTAAAATATGACTTAACAGAAGTAGGCGTTTTCCATTGGTGAATCTTTTAAAGATAGTTTAAAATTAAGGCTTTATTTTAATATATATGAAAGGTTTTTGAGAAAGAGTTCCATTGCTTGAGGATATATGGATATTAATATAATGTAACATAATTATAAACCTTTTGTATTAATGATAATTCATCTAACCCTCACTACATCTCAAAGCTATCAAAATAGATTAGGAGGAGAAATAAGAGATTACTGCTTAAATACTTTATTTTAAAGATTGGTTATGTATGAAACATGGAAATGGAATGATTTAATTTGAGTGGTAATAAGGGGAACTAGAAGAATGCTAGTAGCTCTACAATTTATAATGGAGAAGAATAGAGATATGGAATAGAAGTGACAGTTATTTTGTACATAAATTAAGATGACAGCTTAAATACATATAAGAATATTGATGATGATATAAAAAATCTTAGATTGGGATTCTAAGTTTTTATATATTATAATTAGTATTATTTTAAATTATAAAAATCAAATATGCGCAGCTTGAGTAGATTTCTATTCCGTCGTCCTTAATTATGGGTGAATCGATTTGCACTCCCTTTACAAAAGAAATGTGTTTATGGGTTCAGCAATGGTAACTTGTGATTGAATAATAATAAATTAGGTGCTTACAATAACTCTAACATTAAGTTGAAAACTATACCTCTTCAGAATTACGCTTGTGATCCTGAAGAGATTGACTCTAAAATAGGAGCAACTGATTTCTGTCTTTTTAGTTCAGTCCAGCCTATCTTTCCTAATAATCCTATGAATTGTTAAATAAAGATAGGGAATCTAAAACGAATCACGAGGCCACTTCTCTACACTATCATTTCGCCCGACAATGGGGAAATCTTTACAATTGGAATAGCTTTGAGTAAATCAGTTGAAAAGAGTTTAAATTCTGAACTCAAAGTATTGGAATAGAGAGATGCCAATGGAAATATATTGATCAATGATCCGATGAACAATACATTTAATTTGGATATTATTTCAAAGTCTGTAAGTGATTTAAAATAATAAGATAGAGAAATTACAGATTCAAAATAACCAAAATTGAAATGACTCCAGATGGTATATTTGCCCAAGGAATACCTTATAAGGATCGACCTCTCACTTAAGCAGAATTATAGATTGATATAAAAAATGAAGTTAAACAGATAAGTTCTCTTGTATCTTAAATCAGAAAATTGGCTTAAATCGATAGGATAGAGGCATTTACAGAAGTCAAATATTCTCTACTTGACTCAAGTGAAAAATTGACAGCCACTCAAATAGATGAAATTGTTTATTAAGTAGCTGCCGGACTTTCAAAATTGTAGACAAATAATTTGAAATTGAATACATCTCAATTTGTGTAATAACTATTAGAGAGTTAAACATATATTGAAAGATTATTCATTTTGAGAAAGCAACTCGAAAACATGCAAGGAGTATTAGATTTAGTAAACAAACATTTCAAAGAATCGGATTCCTCATTATTGAAATTGCATCAATAAACCTTAGCCAAATTAGCAACTGAATATATTAGATAGAATTACCTGAAGGATGCTCCTAACTCATAATCCTATGGAGGATCAGTTGGATCTCAATCCTAAGTTGGAGAAAAAGTATGTAATTCCACTAATTTAGCAAAAGCAATCGGTTTTAGTGAAGAAATATTAAGATAAACTCTCACTAATTACAGATGAATCATCACGAGAAAAAGTCAAAAGAGAAATTGAGAGATTCAGTCTGCTCGATAAGTAAAGTTCAGAATTTCATAAAATTAATTCCTATTTAGACGAAGTGTTTAGTATTCCATTTGCTAAATTCACAGTAATAAAGTATTGAAATATTTTAGCCTGTTCAATGGGATATTTAATATGCAAAAGATGTCCTAAACAAAGAAATTGAGGGATTAGAAAAAGTCAAGGAAAGAATAATTGAAATGATTTCAGTCAACAAATTGAAGAATTCAGGTTAAAAAGCTAAAGGATTTATTCTCCTTTTGAATGGTCCACCAGGAACTGGTAAAACATCTATTGCAAAGAGTATTGCCAAGGCATTAAAAAGAACATCAAGATTCATCTCTTGCGCAGGTGTGGCTGATCCAACATTCTTTAAAGGTCATAAAAGAACTTATGTTGATTCAATGCCAGGTGTATTTATAAGAGAATTAATAAAATCAAATACAATGAACCCTGTATTTATTTTAGATGAATTGGATAAAGTTTCAAAACATCATGCTGGTGGTGCTGATCCATATTATACCTTATTGGAGATTCTAAATCCTGAAGAGAACCATAACTTTACAGATCACTACATGGATATCAGTGTTGATTTTTCAAATGTGATATTCATTTTAACATCAAATGACACACTCTAAATGTTAGAACCACTTAAAAATAGATTAGAAACTATCGATATTTAAGCATACATTCAGGAAGAGAAATTACAAATAGCTAATAATTTTCTTGTAACCAAAAGTATAGAAAGTAATGGAATAAAACAATAAATGATTAAATATGATAATGAAACTCTGACTAAAATAATTAAAGCATGGTGTTATTAGGAGTCTGGAGTTAGAGAATTAAAGAGATGTTTGGAAAAGATTGCCAGAAAGCATGCGACTAATTTATTAACTGCTAATCCTAATCTATGTGATAAAGTTGATGAATTGAATTAAGTTGTATTTGATCCCACAATTTCAAGCCTAGATTTAACCAAGGATAAAAACTTAGAACTTATATCATAATATTTAGGACCCCCTAGTTTTGATATTTAATTAGAATAGAGATCTATTAAAAAGTTTCCACCTGGCTAAGTTAACATTCTGACTGTTGGCGGTATGATAGGGACATGTTTTAACAGTTGAAAGTTGTCTTTGATGATAGTGAAACAGAAAAGAAAGGATAAATTGTAGCATCTGGAAACATTAAATTAGTGCTTTAAGAATTCATTGAAGTTAGCCAAAATTAATGCTTACAAATATCTTAATGAAGAATAAAAATTACTATTATTCGAAATCAGCCATCCATATGCATTTTACTGAAGGAGCTACACCTAAGGATGGACCTTCTGCAGGCACAGCTATCACAACAGCTTTAATAAGTTTAGTTACTAATTTTACTGTTCCTAGCAACTTAGCTATGACTGGAGAAATCTCTTTAAATGGTCAGGTCTGCAAAATTGGTATTTCTTATTCTTATCTAAGGTGGTATTTAATAAAAGCTTATAGCTGCCAAAACTCTTGATATTGTTGACATCATTTTGCCATATGCAAATTTAGGAGATGCTTTGAACCTGCCATCATAATTATTAAAGGGACTAAATCTATATTTCGTAACAGACTACCAATAAATTTATGATTTGATTTTTGATCAATAGATGGGAAACGTTAATTATACATTAAATACAATTAAGGACGGAATTTATGAAACAATTTAAAATGGATCAAAGGAGTAAATATAATAATCAATTAATTGTTGAATATGTAACTGAATCATTATTATTATTAAAATTCTTGTAAAATTTGTTAGTTTTATTCTATAATCTTTTTCATATAATCGTCATCTATTTCTTGATTAACATCTATCATTTGATACTACTTGTCGATATCCTCAAAATTGTTCTCTTAAGTATAACTATGTATGTTGTTCTCTTCAGTTCCAATAAACAATGCTTTATCCAAATAGGCTATACATTTAAATGTTTCTGGTTTTGTAAATTTAGAAATGACCTTTTTATTCGGATAATCCCAAGTTAAAAGTAACCCAGTTCCTATGCTAACTAAATATCCAGTTTCTGGAATGACTAACAATTTTTAAATGGGATGATCTAATCCTGAAAAATAAGTAAGTGCTTAATTATTATTGAGATTCCATAATCTTATTGTTTTATCATGAGAACCACTAAATAAGATTTTGCCATCCAGAGCCAAACAAGTAATGCTGTCCTGATGTCCAACAAATGAATCATCATGTTCATAAGTGAACATATTAATAAGATAAATAGTAAATTTATTTCCAGCTGCAATAATTCTTTTAGTTGTCTTATCAAATAAGAGACACAGAATTTCATTTCCTAATGAATCTGCTGTTGCTTTAGGATTGGCTAACAATGACTATTTTAATTAGGGCATTATATAACTAGCCATTAATCGTTGTTTACGTTCAAAGATTTCCCAAACATTTATTCTACCATCATAACCACTACTAAACATGTATTCTTCACTATCAAATGTGCAACTTGTTAATGCACAAACAGTGTTATTATGTCTAGATTTAGCTTTACTTTAATCAATAATCAAAAATGATCCTATTTCTATGTTCCACAATCTGATTTCACCATTATCATGTCCAGTTGCTACTAGATTAGCATTTGTTAGATAATGCATACTTGAAACTTCATTCTTCTCACCAGTTTCAATTGTAGAAATACAAGACATATCTTTTGAGTCCCAAACTCTTATGGTATTGTCCAAAGAAGCTGATACCAATTTCTTTGGTTCAAATTCTTAAGGACAATCTATACCTAATATTTCAATCACTGGTCCTTTGTGTTAATCTAGAAGATTTCCAGTTCTAACACCCCTCTTGATTCTCAAAACATCAATAAACTATTCTGTATATACAACCAATGCTTCCAAATGGTCTATAATAATAAGATTTGAAATGTACCTATAAGATCGATTCCTAAGATTTTGCATTCGTATAATTTGAATTCTAGAACCTATTTATCACTAGAGATGTTCATAAAATATACTCTGCCTTATTCATCAGATGCAATCAATTCTTAATGGGTTTGACTCCATCTGATTGATGTAAATAGACACTTATGTGGGTTCTTATAACTAAAGAATTTACCGCCTGATTCCCCATAACCTAATATTTTTTAATCATAAGCTATTGAGAATATCGCGTTATCTTTTTCTACTTCTATAATTTAAATCACATGCAAACGATGGAAAGAAAAGAAGCTTTTTTCTAATTTTACATAAGTCTACTATTATTGAAGAGTAGGTTGCGAATTCATAAATAAATGTAATGAGCCATCAGTGTCACCAGCATAAAGTTAAAATTGAGGCATCTTTACTAAAAATGCAGTTATATAGGATTGCTGATTCAAAGATTTCTTCATAGAGAAATCATAAATTATTTACACAGTCACGAACCATGGATGATACATGAATTCTCTTCCACTCTCTTATTTCCAAATCCTAAGTACTTTATCATTGCTAGCTGAAAACAAACTATCTTAAGCAAATGCAATTGCCATTATGGATCCAGTGTGCCCAAATAAAGTTTGTATGCACCCTTTTTTGATATCATTTTCCCATAGTTTTATAGTACGATCAGCACTTCCTGTAAATATATAATAACTGTCAGAAAATTTCTCAATTATTAAACATCTGATTTCTCCTTTGTGATTATTTTTATTTTCTACAGGCTTTAAGATTTCGTAATCCTTTGATTGTAAGAAATGTTTGGTATCAAATCCTTTTTTTCGAAATTGCATCATTTATCCATTGCTTAATCCAAGTGTTATTGCTTAATCAGAGTAATGGTAGGCAGTAATTCTTGTTTGAGGATCCTCCTTAAATTTTGATTTTTTCTCATAAAACAAAGGGTCTGTAAACTTTTTGACTCTAATAAATTCCATTATTTTATTGCAATGAAAATTAATATTATATTTTTGTTATTCATATTTTATATATCATGCAAAGAGGCCTAACAAATCTCTTGGTGTTACATATTTGAGCTTATCTCCATCCTCAACAAAGACTACTTCGTGTCTTTCTACAATTCTCTCTAATTAATTTAAATCAAGTGTATTTGGAACAATGACAAATTCTTTAGAGTGTACTTTTTTAGCAAGATCAGCCTATCATAATATATTTATAAAAATACGTGATTCAATTTCTTATTAACGATTCCAGCCAATATCTTCTTCTAGAAAACAACTGACAATAATTTGCCATTTTCTTGGAGTGGAACAGCAGGATGTGTTTTTAAGACTTCCAAGCATTATGCAACTGTAGCTGTTGCCACATCCAAGGCTTGAATTTCATGCAAATTCAAATCAGTAATTGGTCTTCCAGCTAATGGATGTTCAGGCTCTTTCAATTCATCATAAGAAATGAACTTATTTTCAATCATCCAAGTCTTGCTCAAGTGTTTGGTCATATAATTTCTAATGTTATCAGGTAGAATGATGACAATCTAAAATTAGTTTATATCTAATATTACTCTTTAATTCTCTGTGAAATTTTAAGTCTTGGCCCATTCCAAAGCTCCCCAAACTGTAGCACCTGAAGAACCACCGCATAATAATCCTTCTTGAGATAATAATTTTCTTGCTGTGAGTAGACTGTCATTATCAACTGTCTTAATCCAGCCGTCAATTTCTGTCTATAATAATGGTTTATGATTTTACTCTATCTAAGACCTTGGGAATAAAGTCATATCCAATGCCTTCAACTTTATATGTTTTGATGTCAGTCTTATTAACCTCTTAAGGCAAAGCCAAATCAGATCCATAGGGATCCACAGCGATGACTTTGCATCCTGGAACCCTTTCATGAATTTTTCTACCAACTCCAGTGATTGTACCACCAGTGCCTGTTGAAATAATGACGGCATCCAATTTATCATCACAAGCCCACAAGATTTCCTCAGCTGTGCCTTCATAATGAGCCAAAGGATTGGATGGATTGGAGTATTGATCTAATAATATGACATTGGGATCATCTGTTGCCATCTTCTTAGCCACTTGAATCAATGATTCAGGTTCATACCAAGCAGCCTCTGTTGGTGTTCTAATGACCTTAGCACCTAGACCTGTGAGGACATCTTGTTTTTCTTGGGACATCTTCTCAGGCATGGTAATGACTAATGGATATCCTCTAACAGCACAAGCCAAAGCTAATCCTACTCCGGTGTTTCCAGAAGTGGCTTCGACAAGGGATTTGCCTGGTCCAAGACGACCTTATTTTTCAGCATCCAAAACCATTCTAACACCAATTCTATCCTTTAGTGAGCCACCCACATTCAAAAATTCACATTTAACAAGCACTTCGCATTTTAAGCCATACTCTTTTGGGATTTTATTTAAACGAATCATAGGAGTATGACCCACAGCATCGAGTGCGTCGTTGTAGATCTTCTTAAATGGAACAAATTCTATGTTTGAATGTGGAGTTTGGGGTTATTCTTTTGCTCCTCTTTTGTAGGTGCATTGGATTGTGTCTTTTGATAAGTCTTGAATCATAATTTAAAAATGAATTAGTATTAATCAAATATAGAAGATTATGAATAAATGGGTATTAAAAATAATATTACTCTAAATATCAAATCCGAACTAAAGGATAATCAAAAATATCCTTTTGATTGTCTTTGCTGAATGGAAACCAAAATTTATCAAGGTTCTTATTTTAGTTTGTAGAAATTTAGATATCACTTTCATTATGAAATAAATTGGGAATAAAAGAAGAGAGTGACTTTTGATCCATAAATTATGCTTTCAATTACAAAATGAACTCGAGAAGAATGCTTATTAATCTCTTTTGAATAAATCGAAGATAGACTAATTCGAGACCATGAATATTTATAAATCATCTGTAAACATGCAATCTATTATTTCTTAATATCATGTTCTTTATGTAATCGATCATGATTGCTAAATATATGATCATTCTTTGATTATATCGTAGACCTCTTATTAAAAGGAGTTAGAATCATGTGGATGAATTTATATAACTCAAGTTTATTGGTAATCTTCAACTTATTTAGGATTTCACATTATCATTATTTTAATAAATATTTCTAAATTTTCTTTATTATAAGCTGTTATTTTTTGATTAGGCAACATTAGAATTTTAGAATTTTGGAATCATAAGAATCGGATTTTTAATCTTCTAATTTAACAAATTTAGACTTATTTTTATTGTGTTCTTAAATAAAGACAAAAATATTAAATTTTTTATCTGATTTCAGAATTCTATGACCACAAATTAACTCTGAATTTTAAAATTATTTCACACATAATATTTATATATATTTGATGTATATACATAGCTTTAATTATTAATAATTTAATCAAAAAAGATCTTATTATAATTCATTTGTTAGGCAATATGTTTTTTAATTATAACATTAGAATTTTTGGTTTTAGAGTCTTTTAAATTCTTGAAAATTCCTAATATAATTATTATGTCAAATTAAGATATCAATGAGCTTCCAACTTTAAAAGTTAATGTGCCATCATTCCTTTTAAAAACATATGAAATTCTAGAAGTAATAATTTGATTCTACTTTGAGAATTCGTCGCTCTCTCACATCATTGGCTGGAATCAAGAAGGCAATGCGTTCATCGTATTCAATACCAATGAATTAGCTTCCAAAGTACTCGCCAATTACTTCAAGCACAAAAATTACCCAAGCTTTTTGAGGTTATATTACTTTTCACAATAGATAGTTGAATATGTATAACTTTAAGAAAACTAAAAACCAATATGGATAGAGCGAATTCAGACATAAGTGGTTTAGACGAGGTCTCAAGTATGAAATCTGCGCTATTCCTTTTAATAGAAGTATGCTCCAGTACATTCGTAGAAGAAATTAAGAAGAATCTGAGCAGAAAATGGAAACAAAGGACAACAATTAAGAACTTGACAACTATAAAAGAGAACACGAGGAGATGAGGCTATTGGTGAGAGATATTTAAAATACTTAATCAAAAATGCAAGCTGACTTTGTGGCTTCTGCTGAATCAAATGCCACTGTCAGAAGTTCAAATAACTCAATTCAATAAGTAATGAGAATCATCGATAATTAAAGTGTTTAAATCAAATGCAACAACAGTTCAATAAAAAATTTGATACAATATCCATTCTTCTGGCAAAAATAGTTTCAAATCTCCCCCAAATTTGTAACGAATTTCATTAATCCTCCCATTATAGCCATTTAGATTGGAGATATTCTCAAAAATTCTTATGAAGAGCCCTCTCCTGGTAGATCCGAATCAAATTACATCGTTCCTTATAACGAAAACAACCAATACAATACAATGGGGTCACCCTACTCACATTATTAGTATAATAGTCCAATTCATTATCTTTTCGCTAGATAGAATTAATGTAAAAAATAATAACTATGCCAAAGAATTCTAAGATTTCTGCTTTTAGTTTGATCCTAATGTTTTTTCATACAATCGCCAACACCAGCAATAATAATTGGCTTTACCTGCTCCGAATATAAATTCCTATTTACGTAAAATGCAATCTCCAATTTATGATAGCCAGCAACAATTACTCCTTGTAGTCAAGTGCTCAGAATTCCCCCTATAGAATAGCTAGTCCATCTCATACATCCACAACAGATTCTAAAGATCCAGAAAAAGTAATAACTTAATTAAAACTCAATAGTTTAGTCTCTATTAACCTGCATGAAAAATTTTATCGTGTTTCTGAATGTTTAATTATAAATAAATGTGGTTCTTAATATTTAATAAATTAATAATATCCTTTTGTACTCAAAAAGCTATTCTCAAGTTGAGATTATTCTTAAAGGAATTAAACTTTTTAAATTATAAATTATTATGCCACTAAGTGATTTCTAATAAACATTAACATACCCATAGACAACAAAGAATTAAATTACTATTACCTACCATAAATATTGGATGAGTTCATAATTTTCATTTAAAATCCTTAATTATATTATTAAAATAGAGAATATCTTTAAAAATAGAAATATGAATATATCAGATAAGGGATTATATTATTCATTTGCAAAAATTAAATTAAAAAAATGAATCAAATTTCCCAAAATATCCTTGTTCAAAAACTGGTTGACTATAAGTTAAGGTAAATAAGATTGTATGTTAATTTACAGAAAGAACAAAAACAAGAGAAAGTCGAGCCCTTAGTTTTCACCTCCTAAGATGCCAATTTCTCAGAGATAGACATCATTTCCAAATGGTCATGCATATTCCGTTCATTAAAAATTGAAATCAATTCAAAGTGAAGAGAAAGTATTCATTCCTCAGGCTATACCACAGTCCCTGATTTGCTTGATCTATTAAGCCAAATGTTCCAAATCATATAATCATATGAACAATAGGCAAGTCATCTCTGGGCCAAGAATCTAGATATGTTGAAACAAATTAAGATTCCCATCCTTAAAGAAAATGAAGATCTCAAGTAGGCATTAGAAACTTTAAAACAAAATGATATTCAAAATAGTGTGTATGGCCAATTAAAGGAGTATGACTAAGTTCAAAAGCCAAAGCCTAAGCTCATTGATTTAAAACACATCAATAGAGATTCAAATTTTTAAGAAGAATTCCTATCAAAAGTAGATGAATTTAGTCTATCCTGGCGACAAGAAGTACAACAGCTTAAATAATTATGAAAATATTAGATATCTAATTATATTTACAATATCTAGAATCCAATATTATTATAATAACTTGACATTTGACCTTCTTATCTTGTTGATATGAGAACACTTGATTTTTAATTAAGTTTTGCTCATAATTTATTTAATTAAGAAAACAAAAATAAAATAGCAGTAGATAATGATTATTTGTATGCTCTCTTTATAATTAACTCACATAAATGGTAACCTCTTAATAAAATCCTTGAAATCAATATGATATTCTGGAAATTGAGGGATTTAGATGAACATTCCATTCTCAACATATGGATTTCCAATAATTGTGCTGAATTTATTTCCTTATCTCTATTTATGACGTGGGTCGGATTTGCATCTCACATACACCTTTTTTCCTTTTCTTTAGAAATAGCAATGCTCACACATCTTTTTCAAAGCACTCTTCACTTTCATTATTTAATTATATTAATGATAATTTTATTTTCATTGATACCAACATTGATTTGCTTCGATTACAAAGGTATTCTTAATCGAGATCTCCATCATATCAGAAATGAGTTGATAAATGGCTCTTTAATTGAAGGGAGGTTATCGATAAAAGATGTAGAAAATTTGTTCACAGAACTGGAAAAAACTACTAGTCTTGTTCATTCTTAGTAGATTGGATAGTCCTATCTCAATAAAACTATTTATTCATATTCATTATGCTCTAATTTTACCCAATAAAAGCCAATGATGCTCATAACTAGTTTACATCATTCTAGAGAAGTTGCTAGCCTACAAATGAATATTTATTTGTTTCTCTATATCTTATGGGAAGTAGAACATGAAAAAAATCCATTTTATATAAATATGATTACTCATAATTGCATTCTGTATTTATTTTATCTTAAGTAGGATTGTCCCTTTTGTAAACATTGATGGATACTCTGAAATTGAGGCTGAATTTAATAAACGCAATCTACTTCCTAAAACAAGAAAAAATCTAAATCGAACTATTCTTTGTTCTGAAGAAGGTGAATTAGCAGGGGTAGATATAAATAGAAATTATGGATATCAATTTGCCTATGATAATATTGGTAGTTCTGATGATCCTTGCGATGAGGCCTATAGAGGAAGTGTCGCATTTTCTGAAAAGGAGACTTAAGCCATCAAATACGTTGTTGAAAACTATAATGTTAAAATGGCTATGAATCTACATAGCTTTGGAAATAAGTGGCTTTTACCTTACAGTTATGGTAAGGAAGAACTTGATAAAGATGGAATTCCGTATAAGATTTATGAAGACTTCAAGCAAAATGGGCGATTCTAAGGACATTACAAAATTGGCCATGCTCAAGAATTAATCTAGTATACTGCCAATGGAGAAGCTGCTGATTGGATGCTCTCTAAAGGTAAATATAAATTCATAACCTTATAAATTAATTAGGCATTATTGCTATATGTCCGGAATTAGGAGAACAAACTTACTCTAATATTTTAGCTAACTTTTTCCCAGATTAAGAAAAAACACTTTAATTATTTCAAACCGAATTTCCTCCTTTAATTGATTTTATTAATTACTTACCTTTTAAACCAGTTATTAAAAATTTTTATTAATACAGTTAAGATGACGTTTAGAGACTCACTAAGACATTATCTGAAAATTAATACCTTGTTGATATTGAATGTGTGAATCAGGGTGTGTCGAGTGGATCTGATCATTATTTTGTTGTTTCTGATACTGTCTAACTTATTGAAGCATATTATATTGAAATGAAATATGATCGAATATACGACAGAGATAAAATTCAGTTTAATATACTAAATAAAATAGAGTTTGAAAATAACACTATCTCAACTTTTTAGTTCTCACCAAGAAGCAAAATCATTTACTTTTTAATTCTCTAAGAAATATAAAATGAAAACGAAATGAAGTTTTATTTTGATCTTAATGGAATTGATCATGAAAATAGTAAAAAAAATATTAAATGTTAGCCTTTACACTAAAAGATTTTCATTAAATGTAGAACAAATAAAAGATGCACTTTAATTATATATTTTATATAGGCCTTATGATACTCTTGGCGATGGTTATAGCAATTCTACTCAAGATTGGATTTAGAAAATAAATCATTAAGAAACATTAAAATATCACAGAATTAATTGAATAAAAGCCTGAATAAATAGAATTACATGTATAAATGATGAAGTGAATTTATAAATCAGTAATTTCCTTCTAAAATATATTCGTAAAGTCTATTGATTTTTTATTAATTTGTAACTTCCTACTTTCCTTAGGTGTGTGCACGATTTCCCTTTGATGATTTACAGCTTTATTTTGTTTTATGTTTCTCATTGCTTAAGGACCTCACTTTTTTATTTTATAACCCTACTTAAAAAAAATTTATTTACTCTCATCTGCATTTACCAAGGAAAAATAACAATGTTTTATTGGTATATACTAGGAATTAAGATTACTCTGAACTTCTGCTGACTAGTTTTATTTACTAATCTCTTTTTTTTCAGGATGGCAAGCTTACTGTCTACTGACATTGACTTTAAAAAGATCCTAAGAATTATTTTATTGATGATGAATTTGGGCTTATGTACTCTTTTGGTCTTATTGGTAATCTAATTAGTGCTTTTAAGTTTTCTTAATCAAAGATGAAATAGGCATCAATATTGATGGATCCGAGGATCGCTTTTGAATTAAGATATTATGACCCAAAATTAGCTTTGTTTATTTTTATGAATAATTGATAGTAGGATTTTGGTTCTTTTGAACTACTTTTGTCCCTTTATTTTCAGAATCTCTCAAATTGTATAGTCTATTTTTATATTGTCTTATACCTATCATATACTGATTCTTGTCTGATTCTCTAACTGTTTGATTCTGGTCTTTCTTGTTGTTTATATTATGAGCTTGTAATATTTTCTTTATCTTTATTCTTTATTACAGTATCCCTCTTGATATTTAATTTCATGTCAAAATTATCAATCTTTGGAATGAGAACCTTCATTTAAGTTTTTATTACCTTTTAAGATTAATAGGTTGATAAGGTTGATTATTTAACTTCGTTAGTTTTGAATTGATGATATTTTTTCATTAGGTCTTGTCTTGATTATTTGATATCATCCCATTTATTAGAATCGTTTACTTGCTGTATAGATTCAAAATTTCCTAATGAACTGAAACATTGTTGGGAACTTTATTTCTTGTCATAGAAAATATTTTTACGCTTAAAACACATAACTCTTTTGCCATTTATTCGTTGAAATTAGAAAACAATAATAATATAATTAACAACTAAATATTATTTAATTTTTATTATAGGCTAAAACATTCCAAACCAAATTAAGCCTCCTAAACTTTTCATGTTTCACTCAGAATAATCTCTATGAAAAATATCACTAAATATACTTATAAATAATTTTTCTGTTAAATATTTATTTTATTTTGTAATAAATTTGCTTTAATTTGAAATTTTGATGCATAATATATTGTTTAAGATATTATATGAATTTTTATTAGAATAATTTTACAAATTTAGCCTAGCTCTAAATTATGTATAAGATTCATATATTAAATATTTAAATAAAAATATTTGAATTATCTAATGAAAAATTAGATTTATAGGCTAAGCAAAGATATGATAAATGAACTGATTTAAAGTAGAATTAAAGTAGTTGATAGAATAGAAGTATCTTACAAGTTTAACCTTGCTCTTTAATAAGACTTTTAACATATTGTGAAAAATTAGAATAAAGAATGATATATAACATTTAAGCAGAAAAAATGTTGAACAATCATATGTATTAATTTATTTGATACTAAATAATATTGTTGAATATATAGATTAAAATGATAGCAAAATATATTATCATCATAATTACTTTACTTAATTGTAACTAGTGCTCCTTATTTATTGACAATTTTGATGCAAATTTTTATAATCAAGCATTGTCGAAAACAGGCTGGCTGTAAAAAGGGCTGATTAATTCATTTTTTTTATACATCTGCTCTACCTCTTTTTTAGATTTATTTATTAAAACCGATCTAGCACTAGATGATGTCTTCAACTAATTTTCAGTTAATATTAATACAGGTATTTATGTTTCAAGATTATTCACAACATTAAATCCCCTATCACTTAAATAAGTATTTAACTATCGAGAGGTATCATTGCTGTCATCTTAAACTAAAATTGGATCCTACTTAGCTATTTCTGTCTCTGGAGTTCCAAATAAATTTTATTTTTTCTAAGATTTCTATAGTTTCATTTAAGCTTTCTGTAGAGCTATATTCTATTGAGTTAGTTTTTCAATCAGTTAATCTTTCTCATATAACTATTTTTAATATTTTTTAATTTCTGCTTATATGTGTATGATCTTTTTTGAACAAATACAATTTTTCTCGAAATTTGGAAGAGAAGTACCTGAAACCCCTTAAGCTGTTTATGTTTGTTCTGCTTCATTTAGTAAATAATCAAAAGATAGCCTAGAACTTCCTTTTCTTTCACAACTTAATGGATTGGTCATCAAAGATTCGATTTAATCTTTCAGCTGTTTGTTGTCAATTTATAATTTAACAATGGTGTCTTTGAGCTAATTTCTATACAACTAATACTTTAACAGCAGCCAATTTCAACTATGTATTTTCATTCTGAAATAACGTATTTATTTCTTATAGTTGTTTCATGTCAAATTAGTTAAACTCGTTTTTTTCAACTTAATTTTGTATCTCTTTTTGAAGGTACTTTTTCTCCTCCTCTACCTTAGTAAAAGCAGTTTTTAGTTCTTCAAACTTTTGTTGCTATTAAAAAAATGCTGTAGCTAACTATTAATAACTAAGTTCCTTTATTTTTATTTGTTTTTGTAATTCTAATATTTGTTGTTTAAAAGTTTCTGACTGATCAAATATGTGAGAATGAAACATGGGATCTTTAGAATCCTACTTTGTTGTTACTTTCTTATATTAATAGTCATCATAAACACTAACTAAATTTTAAATTATCATTTACAATTCTGAACAGACCTATTTGGACAAGAATGCTATGGGATAGATTACTTTTCTATGTTGAAATTAGGTGTGCTGTTTTTTGGATGCATTATTTCGAAATAATTATTTTATTTAATTGTTAACAAAATATAAGATAAATACATGTATATATAAAAGTGTTTATATAAGTATTCAGAATCTTATCTCTTTTTTTCTCTCCTTTAAAAAAATAAAAATTGTATATATTTCTATTAAAAAGATTAATATTTATTTAATTCTCTATCTATACAAGAAAATGATAAATATTTTATTACAAAATATATTATATAGAATTAGCGGATAAAGAATACATAATTAATTATTTTGATATTTATATTAAATGAGTGGAGAATAATAAAATAGAAAGTCTAAAATTGCACCATTAACACTTTAATTTTTTGAGGTCTTAACAAAATTAGAAGAAGGATTTCATATCAAAGTACTGGATAAGTCTAAAATCAATACTTTGATATAAAAATATGGTATATCCTGCTTTAATAATGTAGCTCAATTGGTTGAGTATTATGATTTCTACAAAGACCCCATCAAAAACTATTTCCTCGATAAAATATAATTTGTTCTCTCAAGACCTGATACAATCAAATCCATGGTTTAACAAGACACCATATAAGAGGAGAATGAATAAGAGAGCTACAATCACTTCTAGGTCCCAAAATAAATGACTGTTTCTAGAGCACCTTCTATAGCCGAATAAATAGATCGCAAGAACGTGCTTAAAGGACTTGAACTTAATGAAAACCATTAGAAATCGAGAGGATAATAAATGAACTTGACTTTATAAATTTAGATGCTTAAAAAAGAGCAAGAACCTTCTTTAGATAAATTAATGAATGTAATCATAATTATTAAATTAGGATTATAAATCAGAGACTGAAAAAATGGATCAATATATATAATCAGAAATGAAAATATAAACTGATGCTGTTTAACTGAAGTTAGAATAAAGAAAGAAGAAATTAGTGAACTAATAGAACAAATTATTTCGAACTGAAGCCTCTGATGATGAATCAACTCCTTAACTTTAACCATTTGAATGAAATATATATATAATTAACAAATTATATACAATTAAATTTATTTTTATTATCTCACTTTAATTAATCTTTAAGTAAGTGTGAATAGATATTAAGAAATCATTTACATTTAATCTAAAATCTTACTTTTTTATATATTTATTTGATGGTTTGTTAATAGAAAGATTTTTGTTTAAAGATATAAAAAAAACTATAAGATAGTATAATTCAAAATTAATTTAATGTCATAGTTTTACTCTAAACTTGATAATTATTTAGTTTTTCTACTGAAAACAAATAAAAAGAATTTAGAAAAAGGGGAAAATCAATGTGCATCTTTAGAATATAGGATAAAATATTATTCATGTAAAAAATAAATTAATCATTTCAACTTGTTTATCTCAAAAAATTAATTTACAGAACAAGCATCCTCTTGCAACTAATCTAATATAGGTTCTTATTATCTCATTGTTATTGATAATAAATGTGAATCTTCATCATTCAAAGTAAGATGATTCATTCCTAATTTATTAGAAAGATAAGAATAGATGCCCTGAATCAAAATAATTTTCGTTGACTTATGGTAATAACAGTTTTATCCCTACTGAATGAGATTTCTTTAGATCTGATCTTCAAATTAGATGATCGAATAATGAAATACATTCTTGATATTTCATATAACATATTTAAATAACTTAATTTGACTTCCATCTAATTCCTTATTTTTTTATAAAACCGTTTGTATTCTTTTATATCTAACTCTTTTTCTTTCAAAGTAATCTTTGTTATTTTCTATTTCCAATTTTTAATTATTGAAATATTCTTAAATTCTGGGTAATAAAATGATATCACTTCTTTTAGTATTTTTTGTTTAAGTTAATACCCATTAATTAAAATAATTGCATGTTTTATCATGAAAAGAACTGATACAATAGATCCTATATTAGCTAATAGATCACCAGCAGTGGGATATTGAAAAATTGTTTTTGTTTAACTTCCTTTCATCAATATATAAAATAATGTTAAAACTTCATCACCATAAGTTTGTCTACAATATTCTATCGTATTAGTTTAAGATTGTATCGAAGATCCTACAATATATTCAACTTACTTAGGATTCCCAAATAAAAAAGCATCTTGAACTTCGTATAAATTACTTGATAAAAAAGTGCTTAAAGTGTAACAGTATTTCATTTCAATCTATGCATAAAACTCTTATAAACTTGTCTATTCGGATCCATCCTTTGAATCTAAAGTTTTATAGTGAACTTACATCACTACAGTATTTAAAGCCTACTTAAAAAATTCATCAACTAATTCTTAAGAGGCGCATTTTTCATTTGGCTAAAGATATTTCTCAGAACATAAAACTATTTAAATATACATTTCTGATGTTGTATATATCTCTCCATTTATAGTCTAAAATGCCAAATTCATTTTAGGTATGAGATATTTACTTGACCCATCAACCGTTGTTTCATTCGACATATTTATAACTTAAAGCTCAGTAAAGCTAAAATTTGTTGTATACATAACTAATGGTAATAGTATTTTGGATTCAAAGGGATCGATATAATTTTCATTGATTTTCCAATAGTACAATTTGATAACATCATAATTTAAATCCAGCAAAGAAAAATCAGATACATGCATTGAGTTGGATATCTTTGGGCTTAGTTAATTGGTTTACCATTAGTATAGCACCCAAATAGCATATGCCAAGCTGGCTGAACATATAAGTAAAGTAATTAATCCTCCAATTGCACTTTTATATATAGATTACTTTGGATCAATTTGTTGAATAAAGGGGACTCCAAAAAAATCAGCAGTTCGTAATACTTACATTGTGTATCTAATAAATTAAATTGACGAAAGAAAATAATATGAATTTTTGAAAATAGAAATAACATTTATATATTGATGTATTATTTATTTAAAACATTCTAGATCAAAAGGTTGACAAAAAAAACTATTCTTAAAGATTTCATATTATGTTATTATTAATTAATTTACGATATACATTTTTTTCTTTCGATATCAAACTTAAGCCTAACAAACTCTCAGTGAAAAATAGAATGAAGAATTTATATTTTTTCCGAAACATAATATAATTAAACCTCTCAATTTCCAGAATCATCTAATTTTCTAATAAGATAAGATGTGGGATATAAAGTATCAAGCTTTTTAATTCACCAATCTTTCGTGCTTTATGGAAATATCTGGCCAGAAAATCCTTTGATTTTTACCTTAATTGTCAAAACTGAACTGATATTTCAAATATAAATTATTTATTAAAATCAAGTGATAACAAAATAATATGTTGAATTACCATTTGGCAATGAATTTAAACAATGTAACTTTAAAAATATAAAGACAGCCATATAAATAGTAATAAAAATTATAAAATAATTCTTAAGTTGTGATCAGTAGTTGCATTGAAAAAAGAACGAACAAATTAAGTACCTTTGCGATGCTTGACTTTATAATGGTAATTCTTAAAATAGATATACATTATGAATTGTTAGAAAGTCGAAAAAAATGAAATCTTATAGCATCAAGATTTTGAAATTTGTGGAAATAATAAAATGTCTATTTCGAAAGAATAGGTAATCCTAAGGATTTCATTTGAAAAGTCTTTACTATACTTTTATATTAATACCAAATTAAATACGAAATTGAATGAAAAATTATAAGTCACTGTTCAAGATATTTTGTTATTTTCATAAAACTCATTTTCTATATAAATTTCATTTGGAATCTAAAGTTCAATATGCTGTTTAAAAGTATGAGAGAGTGATAACAAATCAGCATCTTCATCATTAAGATGTGAAACGGTTGCTGATAATCGATTTGTCCAATCACAGTTTTGATTAGAATCAACAATAATTTTAGATTAAGCTAAATTAAGTTTGATTCCTATTTAATGAGACTTTTTTAATTCTTCCCTTTATTTAAATGATCTTATGATGAAATAAACCCTTGACATTTCATATAATAAATTCAAGTAACTTAATTTATTTTCCATTTACTATTTTACTTTTTTATGAAATAGCTTAAATTCCTTCAGATCTAATTCTTAATGATTGAGAAATACTTTTGTAGTTTTAAATCTCCAGTTTTTATATATAATAATATTTTTAAAGTCAGGATAATAAAATTGGATTAATTTTTTTATTATCTTGTTATTGAGATTGTATTGGTTAAAGATGATAATTACATGTTTGATCATAAAGAGAACAGAAACAATTGAACCAATATTAGCTAATAAATCACCAGCGTGCGGATATTCAAAAATAGTTTTTATTTAATTTCCCTTCATCGCTATGAAAATTACTCCTAGTATATCATTTCCATAAGCTAGTTTACAAAATTCGACTGAATTTGTTTAGGATTATATAAGTGCTCCATTAATAAATTCAAGTTAAGTTGGATATCCAAATAAGAAGGAATTTTAAAGTTCATAAAAGTTGCTTTAAAGAAAAGTACTTAGAGTGTAACAATTTTATTTTTCAATCTATATGTAAAACTCTTATAAACTATCTTAAACACTACCATCTAGTGAGTTCAATTATTTTTATTGTACTTACAAAACAATCGTATTCAAGGGTTAAGAAAAAAATTGTTCAATTAATTCATCAGATGCACATTTTTCATCCTCTTTTAAATAAATTTATTAACATTTCACTATTTATATGTACATTTCAGATGAGGTATAAATTACACCACTAATATTTTAAAACGCTAAGCTTATTTTTGGTAAGTAAAATTATGTTCCATCAGTAGCAGTCTCATTTGATTTATTTATCACCTAAAGCTCAGTAAAGCTAAAATTTGTTGTATACATAACTAATGGTAATAGTATTTTGGATTCAAAGGGATCGATGTAGTTTTCTTCAATTTTCCAATAATACATTTTAATAACATCATAATCCAGGTCCAGCAAAGAAAAATCAGATACATATATAGAACTAGATATCTTCGGGCTTAGTTTATTGTTTTGCCATAAGTAGAGCACCCAAATAGCATATGCCAAACTGGCTGAGCATATAAGCAAAGTAACGAGTCCTCCTAAAGCGCTTTTATATATAGATTGTTTTGAATCGATTTGTTGAATGAAGGGAACTCCAAAAAAATCAGCCGTTCGTAATAATTACATTGAGTATCTAATAAATTAATTTGATTAAAAAAATACAATAAAATTTTATGATAGAAAGGATATTGATATATATTAAAAAAATTATCATTTAACACAACCTAGATCATAAGGTCGAACAACAAGATATTTAGGTTAAATTTTATATTACTTAATTATTTACTAATTTACAATATACATCTTTGATCTCAATTTGTTCAGTTTAAAATTTATTATGCACTCTAATTATTAATCTTCATCTGTAGTAGAAAAATAGTATGAAAATGAAATTATTTTTATGAGAAAAAACTGATAAATATATTTAAACTGATCTTTGGGAAAGTATCAGGGATTTTATTTACCATGCATACTGAGTATGTTCATTTAAGATCAAAGTCCTTTTATTTTCAGACTAATTATCTCCAATAAATTTTTCAAGCAAAAAGGAGTTTAATATCAATAAAAATAAATAAAATAAACAAGTACTAATTTTCTTTTTCCAATTTAAAAAAATTAAGCTTCATCATAATATAGAATAAATAAAGAATCAAATGAAATTCGATACAAAAATAGAAATCAAGATAAATTGAATTGTCAGAAAAAGTAAATAATTAAGAATAGAAATAAACTAAAAAAAGCAAAAGTAAAATCAGAATAGAATCAATCAATCATATTAAGATTTAGTAACTGGACATAATATTAGATAAGAATTCAAAAAGAAAACAATTATAATAAGAAGCTTATTTCAAAGATCAACATTAATATGGATTTAATACAAATTCAATTCAAAAATTACAAGTCATTGTTCATGATATTTTATTACTTTCATAAAAGTCGTTTTCTAATTCAATTTCATTTGGAATTTAAAGATGATTGTGATCTTTAGGATTATAAGAAAGGGATAATAAATCAGCATCTTCATCATTAAGATGTGAAACGGTTGCTGATAATCGATTTGTCCAATCACAGTTTTGATTAGAATCAACAATAATTTTAGATTAAGCTAAATTAAGTTTGATTCCTATTTAATGAGACTTTTTTAATTCTTCCCTTTATTTAAATGATCTTATGATGAAATAAACCCTTGACATTTCATATAATAAATTCAAGTAACTTAATTTATTTTCCATTTACTATTTTACTTTTTTATGAAATAGCTTAAATTCCTTCAGATCTAATTCTTAATGATTGAGAAATACTTTTGCAGTTTTAAATCTCCAATTTTTTTATATAATAATATTTTTAAAGTCAGGATAATAAAATTGGATTAATTTTTTTATTATCTTTTTATTAAGATAGTATTGGTTAAAAATGATAATTACATGTTTGATCATAAAGAGAACAGAAACAATTGAACCAATATTAGCTAATCAAATCACCAGCGTGCGGATATTCAAAAATAGTTTTTATTTAATTTCCCTTCATCACTATGTAAATTAAACCTAGAATATCATTTCCATAAGCTAGTCTACAAAATTCGGCTGAATTTGTTTAAGATTATATAAATGCTCCATTAATATATTCAAGGTAAGTTGGATATCCAAATAAGAAGGAATTTTAAAGTTCATAAAAGTTGCTTTAAAGAAAAGTATTTAGAGTGTAACAATTTTATTTTTCAATCTATATGTAAAACTCTTATAAACTATTTTAAACACTACCATCTAGTGAGTTCAATTATTTTTATTGTACTTACAAAACAATCGTATTCAAGGGTTAAGAAAAAAATTGTTCGATTAATTCATCAGATGCACATTTTTCATTCTCTTTTAAATAAATTTATTAACATTTCACAATTTATATGTACATTTCAGATGTGGTATAAATTACACCACTAATATTTTAAAACGCTAAGCTCATTTTTGGTAAATAATATTACGTCCCGTCAGCAGAGGTTTCATTTGACCTATTTATAACTTAAAGTTCAGAGAAGCTAAAATTTGTTGTATACATAACTAATGGTAATAGTATTTTGGATTCAAAAGGATCAAGGTAATTTTCTTCAATTTTCCAATAATACAATTTAATAACATCATAATCCAGATCCAGCAAAGAAAAATCAGAAACATACACAGAATTAGAAATCTTTGGGCTTAGTTAATTGTTTTGCCATTTGAAAAGCACCCAAATGGCATATGCAAAACTGGCTGAACTTATAAGCAAAGTAATTAATCCTCCAAAAGCACTTTTATATATTGATTGTTTTGGATCTATTTGTTAGACAAAAGGAGCTCCAAAAAAATCAGCAGCCCTTAAAATTTTTATCATTTTGAGATTAATATATCAATAATAAATGATTTAACTTTATTTTGGTTAAATATTATAATCTTGGTATTAAGCAATACTAAAGCTTGAATTAGTAATAAGATTTACAATAATGGCTTACTAATTCTTGTTCATAGTAATTTCAAATAATTTTTAGAAATTTTGGAGAAAACAGTAATTAATTCAAAATTTTTTTTTAAATAACTTATTTCATAAATTTTTCTTAAATAATATTGTAATGCATAAATAATAAAGTACATGTATAAATGTCAGTAATTTATGAAAGACATACTTTTGATTTGCATTTAATCTTATGAAACCTTATATCAAGATCTTTATTTTTCACATTTAATTTATCTAAATTAGTATTTGTTTTACAACAGTTTAGCTCATTTCTTCCAAATTAAAATTTTTTTGAATGATAATCGGTCTATATTTTATATTTTCTTAATTTATTGATAGTAGGTTCTAAGTTCTTTTCCTATATTCAAAAATATTATATTTAATTCAACCTTAGTAAAATTATATTATTATAAATATATATAAATGCAAGAAAATAGAAAATAAATGCTAAAATCTTAAGATTCTGATAGAAGTATAAAGAATGCAGCTGATAATATTACTAAAATAACGAACAAAAAAATTCAACAGTTGGCCTTTTTAACATAATTTCCATAATAAAGAAAATTTACAGTAGTTGATAAAGTGAATAAGCTGATTGATAAGACACAAAGTAAACTGAAGCATCAATAAATACCAAAGGATGTTCAATTTTATTAAAGAAATATAAAAAAGTTTGAGAATTTGTCATCATTTATTAATTCAAAGGGATTACTGTCAGCTAATTTTAGTATGCCTAAATTAAGAGTAAAGGAGTAAGTAGATGATTAGGAACAGGAATATGTTGATTATTTGCTTGCAAAAAATTGTAAAATTATATTTTATTGTAGATAAGCTTTAATAAGAAAGACAAAGAAGAAAAAGTAAATAAGTGAAAGAGAACTATGAATAATGTTGGGAGTTAGATAACTCAGACTATGATTTTGAGTCTCCAATAAACGTAGGTAAGGAGCTAAAATTGGCCCATTAAGATCAAATAAAAGGGGAAATAGAAGCAAAAGCGAAACTGTGGGAATTATAACAAATTAGGAAATATTAAAGAAAGCCAAACAACTTTGACTTTAAGAGTTCTTAAAGATCTTCGTAACACAAATTATAGGAAGAAGATGAAGTTGTAGTGGATTAAGGGCAATTAAATGCTTAGCACTATAAAGAGTAATCAGATAAGGTGATTAAAATGATTTGGAATGCAGCAAAAAAAATATACAATAAAAAGGAAGATCAGATAAAAAAAGAGATATTAATGCATTAAATAGAAAAAAATTACAGATAAAAATAGAGGGAGATGGCAAAAGAAGAAATCAATAAAATTTTACTTAGTATAATCATATGTTATATTTGAGCGGGTCAAAAACAGCATTTGATATTTGCTAAAACTGTCAGACATTTACCAGAGAATGGTGATTCAAAATAAAATACAGAGCACTTTTTCAGAAAAAAAGGGCAAACCTCACGCAAAATATAAGCCCCATACTCATTGTCACCACCAAGTTAGAACGAAGAACTGAAATCGAATAGAAAAATATCATATATTAATTCTAGACTGCATGATATTGTTCATCAAATTGATAAAATACCAGTAGGAGATTAAGCTTAAACAATAAGGAAAATGTAGAGTGAATAAATACTGTACTAAACATTGAGAGAAACTCTTTAACCTGATTAAATAAAAGATACATTAAAGGGTCTGTTTCTTCCAACAGATCATTTATATAAAAGGCCCTTACAATTCAACAAGAAGCACTTCTAAAATTAAATCTTATGACTCTTCTATTTATATTGTAAATTTAAATATAATTTATTGATTTTCACTATTAAATTAATTGATAAAAAAATGTCCTCAGGAGAATTGCCTCAAGATAAGAAAACCTTATTTTTATCCCTCGTTTAGAAGAAGCATGCTGAAACAGATGCATAAAAAATTTAGAATCGTATATTGTAATTGAAAATGGAACATGAAAAAGTGATGAAACGCGTTCAATAAGATGAAGAAAGAGCTGATGAAATTTACAGACATAGAGTTGAGATATAACTAAAGGTTATCTATTCTTTATATTAATTTATAGAAGGAAAATAAGTTAAAACAAAAATAAGCACAACCTCCTCCATTCTCACTGGCTGTATCTCATCATCAAAGACAGGTTCTGAAAAAAATTAAGGAAGATGATTTATTAAAAAAGAAATCAGAAGCAAAACTCTTTAGAGAGCAGTTAAAAAAAGATTTTTAGGGCGTTTAAATGCAAAAAAGTCTGGAGTAGGAAGTTTATCGAATAAAAGCAATATAAGTAAAAGAAGAAGAAAGGCAATCTACTGAGGTGGCTGTGTTGAAAATGAAATAAAAAAGGGAAAAGGTTAGATACCAAATAGAAAATGAAAAGGATTAGATAATTAAAGAAAAGAAGTTATATGATTTTAAAATATCAGAATTAGAGCAATAAGAACAATTAGCAATGATGGAGTTATAAAATTCATTAGCCCATCAATAATTTGTTTAAAAGAAAATAGAACAAGCATAGAAATTATCACCTAGTGATTATGAGAAACAATATCAAAATAATAATAAAAACGCTGAGACCACATAATGATAATTATTAATATTTTTATATGCTAAACGAAAGTTTGGAATCTGATCAAGAAATAGACCCAGAAAGGGAAAGACAAAAGCTTATGCTAAAGAGGCAAAAGTCAATTGAGGAAAGTCTCTAATTAAATGTTAAGGATCATATTGCAAAATTAGAGGTATTGAGTAAAATATTCGAAGAATTATTTGGCTGAGCTTAAAAAGGACTTAGAAATTAGCAAAAAGGAAATGTCTAACTTAAGAATGGATATAGCGACAGTAAAAAATAACCACGGTAAATCAAGCGATGATCTATGTACTTTTATATAAAATGATGTATAACTGATTGTAATAAACAAAGGCAAAAAGATAACTAAATGAGGCTTTAAAGAAATCTTAGGATGCTAAACATGATGCTGAATTTTTAGATGCACAATTAAATGTTTTAAAAAGTGATAAAGAAAAATTGTAGGATGTTAAAGATACATTAGAAAAGAGAATAATATCTTGTGAAACAGATGTTGGTTTTAAACATGTGTATGATTGAATATTAACAATATCACTTATTTAATCTAGATTTGACTTCTTCAATAATCCTTAAGCTTTCATCATAGGAATAGGCTTATTTTGGTTTTTAATAAACAAGCTCCTATAGTTTTTCCATTTATAAGGTTTACTCACTTATAAAGGCTTAACTCAAATAGTAGGTGGGGATTTTCTCAATATTAGACTATAATTTAAAATAGAGAAATTATTTTACTTTGATTTTATTAAATTCTTCGACAAACTCTCCGTCTTTAGCCTCAATTTCTTTTTTAATTTCTTATTTTAGTATTTATTCATCTCTCATCACTTAAAATTTGACATCATTTCCATTGAATCTATAATTTCTTGTATCTTCTTCTTCTTTGGTCAATTTGATGCCTTATTATTCTAATTCTTTCTTCTTCAGTTTTTCTGCATAAACTATACCTTTGATAATATTCAAATTATTTGGTCTAGCTTAACCTGGATTTATTTCTTAATCATCCTCAGTCATAGTTTAGCTCTCCAATGATCTCTCCCTTTTTTGTAATGGGGTTTCTGTATATACTTAACCTGTAGCCAGATTAACCTTTCTTCTTGAAAATTCTTAAATGTCATCTTCAATGCTAGTAAGTGATTTTTTATGATAAGGTTGAATAATTGAATTTGAGGGTAAGAGAACTAGAATTAACATGTTAAAATACGCATATGTTTTGCTGTTTTAATAGACCTTGTAACTTTCTTATGTTAAACTTCTGCTAAACTGGTTTGATGTCTATTCTTAATCTTGCCACTTTTGTTCAAAAATTAAACCAAGAATTCTGTATTTCTCCAATGAATATCGTAATTGTTTACTCTTCTGATTGGTCTTTTAGGTTAGGGATGATGATGATAAACAACTTCATCACTAACCAATTCGTTTACATGTTCTAAATGATCTTTGGTGTTTATTAAAATGTCTTTCTACTTATCATGGTTTTTTAATTTCATATTATTTGGATATTTATTAATTGGAACATTAAATTAATCCTTGCCAATATCTTATCTCAAAGCTATGTCCACTATCTTTTAAACAGTAAATTCCTCTCCGGGTGCCATATAAACTAAACGAGCTTACTCATTATTTTTTAACAACTAGAAAAATGCATCATAACTTAATGGAATGCCTTTCTAATTTTTTAATTATTTAAATACTTCTACACCATTTGTCAAAATCTCTTCTCTTGATAGTCCAGTGTCTTCTAATTCTTACAATTTCTTTGTAACTTGAGTTTGTATTTATTTCATTTATTCCTCTGATAAGTTCTTCAATGCTCCTTTTGGACTGATCTGACCTTCAACAAATGTTTTAAACTTGCTTAATAACATTATGATATTACATTTTGATGTAAAGCATTTTCAAATGTTGGTACAGCAATATCTTTATATCTCAAAAGGGACTTAATATAAGGCACTTCTTTAGACTATCTATGTAATGTAGTAGGTGGTTTATGATCTAAAAATTAAGGATGGATTTTATCAAATTCAGGGTTGGTTAATAAGTCCTTCTTGATTTTTGAGAAGTGACGAGAGAGTCTTATAATTATCATATTTAAATAAATTAGAAAATTTATTTTTGTTTATTAATCTCAATATTAAAGAGAGAATATTGACATCAATTAGGAGACCCTTGAAGTTGACTTCAAATTAAATTCAGTTATCATGTCCATATGAATATTTTACCTTGACAATTAGAGGATCAATTTAACCACTCATTATAATATTATAAATCATATATATGGATTTTCAATTTCTACCATTCCATCAATTGCAAAACTATTTATCAAAGCTCCTCTGCAAATTACAAGTCCTAATATTCTTTGTGATGGCAATTCTCTCACTTCATCCAATACTAGATTGAGTTGATTATCAAATGATAACAAGGTTCCTTTGACTTATCTTCCTCCTTAAAATTATATAACAACTTCTTTGTTTATGTGTGATTACAACTTTATAATCGACTCTTTTGGTAATTAATTCATAAATTTTTTATTTATTATTATGTCAACCATTAAACCATTTCAAATTTTCGATATTTTGGATTACAACAACATAAATTTAGACATCCTGACTGAGACAGTAACTATTAAACTAAATTCAGTTCAATGTTGGCTTTTATGGAAAGTATATTGCTAAATGGCCAGAATTTTGCATTTCCATCAAAAACCACTTTGGCAATTTCTAAGGATATTGTAATATTTCTATTTATATTTAAGTATTGGGAAAGATTGAGGGAGAAAAAGCTAATAACAATAAGCAGAATTGGCATGGTCATATTAGTGTATAAAAAATACTACTTTATTAAGGCAATTACTGTAGCACCAGAATATAGAAGGTAGGGAGTAGCAAGGTTTTTGATGAATTATATTGAAGATGTAACTAATAGTTAAAATGGATGGTATGTGGATTTATTTGTTCGACCTTCAAATAAAATTGCTGTTTTGATGTATTAAAATTTTGGATATGAAATATATCAGACAGTGTACTAGTACTATAGCGGTCAAAATGGTAAATGTGAGGATGCATATGGTAATTGCCCTTTAATTCAAATTAGATATGAGAAAGTCTATGTTGAGAGATAAATAAAAACTAAAATAGAAACCAACTGGAAAAGTAATCAAACCAGAAGATTTAGAATTTAATTGAGTTTGTAAAATATTATACATTAATAATTATTTCTTAGAGTTCTGTTTAATTTTAACCAATTATTCTTGATACTAAAATATATTAAATCAGATTTTACAAATAGCTATCTACTTTATTAAATTATTTATCATAAAAAGAAAAATCTTTTGGATTCTTTTCGTCATAAATGTTTTCCTCTAAGTATAGGATTCTATAGAAACTTATTACTCTACATTTATTTATAATTCAATCAGGCTTAAAGAGAGTGAAATAGTTATCAATACCCATTAAATCATTTTAATAACATTTTAGATGCTTAATAACTTCTAAAAATGCATAAAAGGCTTGAGAATATCATATATGCAAAAGTTAAAGATCTTAAGATTATTAATGTTGGATCGAGAATACTTAAGTAAAGGAGTATCCGATCTTTAATTTATAAAAAACAGCTAAAGTCAAAATTCTTAAACATATCTATTATTTGTTTTCATTTCTAGCATGGAATTTTTTATAGCATCTAGCAAAAATTATATATGTGTTTATCCAATACAAATTTATTAAAATATAAGATTGATTAGTTCACATATAGATTTAATGATAAACGACACTAAAGAGTTAAATCCAGATTAATTTGAATTAACTATAAAATTAGATCGCTATAATTTATATGAACAAATTTAAAATAAATATCATTAATTAAATCAATAGGAAATTATGGGCTTAGAGAATTAAAATTTCGAAAATTATTACTATTTAATATCATTATAAGAAATAGCAATGCACAATTATTTAATTCTCTCTTTTTAGTCATATAAAAGAACACTTAATTTATTATGCATTTATTGAAAAGAGAATTCACAATCAAATAAACTAAGAAAATTGTTAAATTACTACAATACTAATCTAGGTTAAATCAAAAGTGTAATTCAAATTTATATATGGAGCCTTGAGATTTGACTAAATAAATTCTCAAAAAATTTAATAAAATAATAGATAAAAATAATTGGAATTATTTATACAGTTAAGAGACTTGATATTGGAATATGATTTAAGATGAATATCAAAAGTTGGGTGATTTAAATATCTACTATGTATCCTTAACTTTTTTGTCCTTTAGAAATCTGTTTTTATGAAGTCAGTTACAAATTACGTTCTATTAGTTTAGGTTTTTGATCATGAATAATTCAAAATGATATACATTTGCTTGGAATGAGGTTTGGATTTTAGAATCGATATAAACAATAGAAATAAATGGAACAAAAAATTAATTATTTTTTTGGATATTGATAATTATATTTATGATAATAATATTTAATGTTTCTAAAGCGAATAGCATCTTCTTTTTCAAAAAGTCATCACTTAGTGATACCATATTATAATAAGGGTATAATAGTTATAGTTATTGATAGGCTATCAAAATCCCATTTATAATGAATTAGTGGCAAACTTGGTTAGGGATGGTTTGAAAATCAAAGATGTTGATGGATTTATCTATGCTTTTAATAATGTTATCGCTTCAGTCAAGCATGAAGATTTCAAAGAGTTCGCTAATAAGACTTGTGATTCTGAATTGGTGAAAGGGTTTGAAACAGGATTAAAAAGACTCCAAGATAATAATCAATTTATTGAACCAATCTATGATCCTGAAATTGAGGAAGAAATTATTATTTCTGATATAACTTTTGGCTTTGAATTGAATGATTAAGTAAGTTACTATCTTTAAGTATGAAAATTAATAAATTAGAAACCATTTTTTAAATTAGAATTTTCTTAAAACAAATTGGAATTTTACAATAGCTTAGTCAGGATGCTGAAGGATCCTATTAATTAATTGAGATTTGGTCCGAAACTTACACTTATTTTGGATTGCTATATAAAATGTAAGACTAGTATTAAAATATAAAACTTCGATGTATGTTATTAATTTAATCTATTAGTTACATCCTTATGCCTATCATGCAGTAAAATTCTAAGCGATCAAACACGAAAGCCAAAACAAAAATATTTTTTAGAGTTTAATTGGGTTGAGTATTGATTAAATGGTCTTAGGATAGAATTATAATTGGAGAATAATTAATATCGATAATTTTCTGAAAAGATGAATTATTTGTTGTTTTTAGGCTTATAGTAATGAAAATTAATTATATCCAACATGTATTAGATTGCAATGAATTCAAACATTTAAAATTTAACATGATTTGTTATAACAAATACTCACTTAATCAACTTTAGTCAAAGACCATGATATATTACTAATTTCATTTTCTGCCTTGTACTCCAGTAGAGGATCTACATAAATATATAGGAATACCGATTGAATTTTAATCATTTTATTTGTTCTGAAGTTCTGAGAAGTCCCAGATCAAGGCTGACTAATCATCTGCAACGCTACATAAATGAGTGGTTGACTCTGGTGCCCATGCAATAGCATTAACATAGTCTTTGTGATTTTTTAATTTAGCCAAAGGTAGAAGTGGTTATCTATTGTAAAAATGAGTATGTACCTTGTATCCAGCAATGTAACATAGTTAACATCCATTTCTATGATTGCTAAGTAATTGGTATCCATTTTATTCCATGCTAATCTTACAATTGGGTTATTGTTCTCTGTCTCAAATAACACTGTTGAATGATCCAAGGCTCTAAGAATTTACTAAAATTTAACCTTAAATCAAATTGTCTGCAACTACCATCTGCCCCTACAGATGCAAAAATTTAATGATCAACACTAAAACAAATATCATAGACTTCCTTATCATGGGCAATGAGTTGAGTAACTACTGTTTATTTTTCAATATCCCAAAGTGTGCATGTTGTATCTATTGAAGCAGTTCCAATATAATTTTGTTATTTACAACTCCAATCAAATGAGGTCAATGGGGCATTAAAATCACTTGTCTATGTTTGGTTAGGATGTGTATTAAATACATTTTTTAAGTCCCACTTAATCTTAACTTGAGAATTTTGATCATCATATTCCCAAATCTTTAAATTTTCTCCACTAGTTGCCAGCAAATCAGGGTACTTGCCCTCGATGTCAGGTATCCATAACACTTTAGTTGGGGCATACCTATGATTGAATTTAGCCTTTTTGCTAAATGTTTCTTGTTCTTTATCCAATTATAGTATGAAAACCTATAAAAGATGAAAAAGTGCGTACTTCATTCTAAACATCTTCAATCATACTACAAATTGCAATACGAGATTGAGGACTGGGTTTCTATTGAAATCCCATGGCGTAAATCAACCAAGGGGCTTTGTAGGTGAAAATCTAGTTTGAACTTTCTAATTGCATGGAGGTAGGCATTTCAGTAGATTGCATGACTTGGCTTTAATTTTTAGTTGTTTAATTTTCTTGTTCACTCATTACTTAAAAAATATATATATATATATGAAATTTAATTGATTATATATTTTATTTTGGATATTGCTATATTCTATTGCTTCAAGAAAATAGTTCATAGCCTATAAAGAATTGAAAAAAATGATTGTCTTTATGTATTAAATAATCTCTATTTCACAAGAGTTCACGAAGCTCATCATAATTTTGTGAATTGAAAAGCTAAGTGTATTCTTCTGTTAATTGACATCCCATTACTTTGGATAACAAAATCAATGGAACTAAGAAACTAGGATCACCGATGATGGTGATATCATATAATTTCTTATATTCTTCCAATTAACTAACATATAAATGAAATATATATACTTAAAATGATCCTATGCTAAAAATCCTATACTCACCTAATTTGGAATATTAAGGAATTTAGTCATATAAAAATCACTTGGCAAATCTCCTAATAAAATTGTATTGTTTCTGAATTTAATTCCTGAAGTTTCTAATATTTTGGCTTTAGTTGTAGCTGTTACCAACATCTCCATCTTTTCTAGAGTATCATCTTAAAAAATCATTTCATTAGTATGCAATGTCATTTCCTCATAAGTGTCAATCTCATGAATAGATGCCAAAATTGTGTTTATCACTCTATCTAGTCCACCACTCACGATGTGAAATGGAACATGTTCTTCTACACATTTATTAAAGAATGGTTCGAAAAGATATCTCAAATAAATGTGTGAAGTATTTAATATCTAACACGATAAAGACTTTGTGAATTTAGCTTCATGAAAGGCTTCTGATACTTTCTAATACCATTCGTGCATATGCTTATTCTTTTCCTCAATTTTTATGCTCTAATCCTTTTCGATAGGCACATAGTAATCATAATAAGATTGCATCTTATTTTTGAAATCCTAAGGAGATAATTCTGACATTCTACAATATTATTATTATTGTCAACCTAAACAAGCTAAAAGTAGCCGGGCTGAGGAAAGAAGATATCGTTTAGTCGAAATCAGTCACTATTTGAATCTACTGAGCACCTTCAGATATCATCTTTCCAATTTTAGATTTTAATTCTTCTGGATTTCGAATAACCAGCTTTTCTTCTACAAATGAATTTGTTTTCTAAGAATATATGATATTTATAAACTTTTTCAGTCCAGTCACCAAGAGCAGGAAATCTCTATTTTTACATGTGTTATATTAATATATGTATAATTAAAATATTTAGAAATATCAGAATTTCTGAAAGGCATTTATAGTGTTTCACTAAAAAATTAATTTTTTTTCAATTGTTTCATCACATTATTGTATGGATCAAGGAAACCTTACTTGAATAATATGATTATTATATGAAATTATAACTTTTGACTCTTGGCTTGGTATGCTATTTTTGTTGAATATTTGAAGATAATATTTACTTCTTTAAATATTCAAAGAGGCAAACAATAGAAAATTTTCAGTTAATATATTATAATAAATGTTGTAAAACGAACTTAAGAGCGTTTTCTCAGTGATATTTAAGTAAATTATAAGAAAAAAGAGTGAGATCTTAATTAAGAAATTATTTTAGTTACCATATTGCTATTTTATTTGTTATTTCTTTTGGTTACCTCAATTATATATATGGTAAGGAGGGCATTCCCAAAGGAAAAAATCAAAAATGAAAGGCTATTGGAGAAACATTCGTTATTTCTATTTTTTGTGATCCAAAAAATTGAAATGATTCTGAAGTCAATAATCAGATTTTGATGAATTTGTTGAATAGAGATTAAGCTTTTTTAATTATCAGAATTATTATATAATCAGTCCTTTTGAAAAAATTTTGATGGTTTTCTAAATTTGACTTTTTTCTTTTAAATAGTAATTGTAGGCAATTGGTTATCTTCACAAAAATTTCCGAGATCTTGTTATGGTTAGAAATTATGCTTCAAAATACCTCTCAATTAAGGACTTGCTACGTTCTTAGAAGTATCTGTTTCAGGTTATTATTGTTGTTGTTCTTGAGGCATAGAAATTTCAGCAATTTCTTAAAGATATGCACACTCAAATGTAATTTATTACACCTAAGGGAAAGCTTGCATATCCGATTCTTCAGTTTTTATGGTGCAATTTACACATAGAGAAGAACCCATATAGTTATGAAATTAATTAAAAAAAACAAATAACACTTATCAAAATTTCATTTCAAAAGCTACAATTCCTCTTCTATTAAAATTCTCTACCAAAAGTGTAAGACCACCAATTAATGATCCTCCAACTATTCCTCCAACGAAAAATGGAACAATTCCTAAGATATCAATATTCGTTTTGTGTACCTAGTGTAGATTTGTATACAGCTCCTGAAATAGCGCCGCAAAGCATATTTTTTTTAAGTTAGTTGATATCAGCTAATTCATCTTCAAACAAGAGATTCATTCCTGCACCCACAAAATAATAAAGCATGCTGGCACTAGCAGCAGCTTAACCATATGTTGATGTGCGTTTTCCAACAGCATTAAAGAAATTATTTAGAATCAATTTTTTGGGCATATTGAATTATCTTGGGAATCCCTCTATTGCCCCCTTCATTAATCCAATTGATGAGGCTAAATTTATAAAATTCAATTTACCTAACATGTAACTGACACCAACGGTAAAGCTAATCTTATCACCAAAGTCTTATCCTGAATATTATTCAATTTAATTCTCGGCCTTGCTTCCCATAAATTAAAATTTATTATTAATTAACTTATTTTCATACCTCAAATAAGGGATTATATCTATAATAAATTTAATTCTAAGCAAAATACACCAACATTGTAAGTGAATTTCTCAAATTGAAAATTTATTATTAATATATTTAATAAATTCGTTTTGATAAAATTATGATCTCATTTGATGATCTCTTAGAGCAGAAAATATAGACTGGTACCCATCAGTTTAAAACCTTGGGTATCATTGGCTTGGTCGAATTTTGTGATGGCATTGAATATGCATACATGTCAATTTTGATAGCAATAGTCTAAAAAGAATGGGATTTGAATAAATAACAAACAGCTTCATTGGGATCAATATTTTTGTTAGGCATAGTAATAGGAAACTGTTTATGTGCATTTATTGCCGATTTAATAGGACGAAAAACTACATTTACAATTTTCACCGGATTATCAGTTGTTTTGATATTACACAAGTATATGCAACTCTTTTAAAGAGATGATGATATTAAGACTATTTTTTGGAGTTGTTTTTGGAACTAGTTATCCTTTGGGGTATGTTTTCATCACTGAAGTTTCTGAACCTAAATATAGAGGAAGATTTGCATATACTATGGGGTTATTATTTGTAATAGGCAAGATTTATTTGGCTATTCTATGTTTCTTTTATCTTGAAGATTATACATCTGGAAATTGGAGAGGTTTGATAAGAGTGAATGGAATTCCAGTGGCATTAACATTCTTATTTTCTTTATTGTTTCTTAAGGAAACTGTCAGATATTATCTCAATAGAGGAAAATATTAGATCGCATATTAAGAAATTGAAAAGATACTTAAAGAGAACACTGGAATTGAAGAAACCTTAACAGAGGAAGAGGTATGAAAAACATATAATTTAGAAAAATGGATTAGTGATATGGCAAGAAAAGCAGAATAAACTCAATTTAGAATAATAAATAAACAAATATGGAATATTATCAAAAGAATATAGATTTATCACCATAAAAATTTGGATCCTCTATATTTTAACCAATATGCAAAATATGAGTATTTATTTACTAATGCCTTTTCTATTTACAGAAAATAATTCAGGTTTAAGCTCAATGTTGTATATGTTTATTGTTGAGCTAATTTTTGCTATATCATTATACTATTTCATAGATGACCCTTATATAGGAGGGAGAAAGAAAGTTATTGGTTATTCAGCCATCTTACTTATTATAGCAAATTCCCTTCTATATATTCTCAGATAACGGTTCTTATTTATAGGGTTGCTCTTAATCAAGCTTGCTACGAGAGCCCTATACTCAACTCTTGGATTGGTATGCTGTGAGAGCTATCCTTTATCATTAAGGTCACAAGGCACGGCAATCGCATATGGAATAGGTAAATCTTCTGCCATTCCATCTCCATTTTTTTTATTTCCATTATTTTACATAGATCCCTATCTACCATTTGCTTTGATGTGTCTCTTCTCTATAATTATGTTGATCGTAGATTGCTTTATTGAGAACGATAAAACAATGAAGCCATTGGAATCTTTGAAGTAGGATTGAATTATTGATTGAATATGTAAGTATATAGAAAATTCTAGTGATATTAAATCTATCCCAAAAATAATTAATTTATAATAAATTAATTAATCAATTCAATCTAATTATATTGATGCTTGAATAATCTAACCTTATATATTCAATTCAATTTAAAATTCTTATTAATAGAAAGAATATCCATCCTATTAAAGAATATTCATAAATATTAAATCAAATCAGACACAACATTAAAAATAGTTTTCCGATCAGAGTTATTTTATTTAGTTCCAGGTTATCAAATATTTATATCTTTTTTCAAAATTAATAATCATTATAAAGATTTTCATTCTAAAATAAGTTTAAAAATTGTATAGATAAAAAGATTGATATGATATACAAAGAAATGATTCATACATTCTGTCCAAATGATTCCTTTTTATATTCCATTCTAGCTCTATCTTAATTAAATTTAATAATATTAGATTCTCTTTAATAATTTTTTACCAATAACCTTTTTTAGCCTATCTTTTGATTATTCACATAACAGCCATCAAATTATAAAGCAAAATATCATTTTTCCATGTTGCATTCCATAGATAAATCCTTCAACATTCACTATTAAGGCTTATTCCAATATAAAATCTTATTGTTTTGATTTTCTATATAACCTATTTAGGAAATAGATCTTCTTAAAGATATATATGAACTGCTTTATAGAAATCTAGACGCTTTAAAATATGAATAAATATAAAATAAATATAATACCCTTTTTGAGAATTAATAAGAATTGCGAAAATAAAAATTGTCTTTAAAGATTTTCCTTCTATAATCATCTTAAAAATTTTCCCAAACTTAATTTTAAGAATAACAACATAATGTTAATTGGAATTACAACTTTATCCAGTTATCTTAGTTTGAATATTAGCTTCAATAATATATTTCAAATGCGAAAAAAAGATGATGATAGTTAAATTCAATTGAAAATAGATTTGATAGCAAGAATTAGATAAACGTAAACTTGTGACCTAGTATTTAATTGAAAAATATAAAATTTAAGAGTGAAATGTAATGTTGATGTAGATGAATAAAAATATTTAAATTATTGATCATCCTTATTTTTAGATGGGTAAGAATAATTTAAATTCAGGTGGCAATTCCTCTTCACTATATAAACGATCACTGAAATAGATTCTTCTAATTCTGCAATTGGCATGTATTTGAACTCTATTATATTTGCATCTATATGTACCGTAATGTTTCTATGTAGTTAGTACCATATGCTCTTCTAGTGAAATCAGATAAATTGAACTGAATTTAATTCCATCCTTCATCCAGTCTCATAGGCATAGTACAGATAAATGGTTTGACTCTGGTTGTCGACTAATAATGTGTTTTAAGATGTACTTGATAATTAGATGCTCTGAATCTTCTTCTGACATTTTTGTCATCCAGGACTTGCACTTCAAATGTAAAGTATTTTTTAAGCTAGATATTAAATATGACGATTTTACATTCTTAATAATCATTACTAAGAAAGGTAATTTGATTCCCAAAGTTTCTTTTGGATCAGCAGGAGCAGTAATGAAATTGGTACTTACATTTGTACCCATGATTTCTAGGACTGATGATTGAATATCTTAGTCTGTAATTCGCTTGATATGTCCATTCTTAACTTTCATATTCGAACTAAAAAATACTTTGTTTATCCCAAATCTACAAGGGCTTTGATCCTATTGAATATAAAATTGAAAGAAATCCACTTTGGAATGAGTTCTTGAACATCAGTTATTTTTTTATTTAATTAAACAGATATATATATATCACATGCCATCCAGCAATTTAATAATTATACTCAAATTAAATTACCAACAAAAGTAGCTCTTTTGTATTTCTTACTCAAAGATTCCCAATTCACCACAAACTTATCACTAACCCAATATAATAGTTTTCCACTTAAAGATAAATTTTCCACTCTGCACCAACTCTCTATAAACAAAATCTTGCATCTTTTTCGAATGAATAGTAACTAAAATTATATTATGTATTACATATTGTGCAAATAAAACAATAACAACTGGAATACATGTCCCTGGACCATTTGTGATAAAGATATCCAGGTCTCTGAATCTCAATAATATCAAAAAGGTATGCAGTGTTGCCTTGATTGTTGTGATTATTGAAGACAGATATGATTATTTGACTTTCCTACTTCTGTGAATAGTAATCCATTCCAATTTTGGCAAAGCAATCTTTTATTTTATTGAGTCTGAATACCTTATTGTCTTCAATAAACTTAGCCACTCTTCCTGGTTCCTATGTATCAGCGAAGGAATGCATAAAATATAAATTCTGACATTTCCTTTGGAAATCATAATTCTTCAAACTCATCAGCATTTCATAAGTGTGTCCACCAGATCCAAATAAAACAAGCATATTGTATTTTTTGTTGTATTTCGAACGAATGCAGAATCTAAATCCAACATATACGAGCAGTAATATTATAATTGATAATATTAACATAAATAAATAAATCTATTTTTATTAGAACATCTATTAAATATTTTCCATTGAAGTCGAACTAGATGTGATTGTAAAATATTATTCTTTCTTTTATAAATATTTAATTTCATGATGAATAAATCATTTACTTAATATCCTTGAGCTTATTATTCAGTTCTTGAATTTGCTATTGATTTGTCATAAGCAATTATTTCAACAATTGATTTTATTGATTCTTAGTATCGATAAGGAGTTTGTAATCTTCATTATCATTTTTTGTGCTTCTCTCTAAAGGAGGTTTGAGTGACAATTCTATAACATTAGTATTGATAGTCATAGAGCTGATGTAATCAACAACTCTTTGGTTCAGTTGCTTTTATGAATCTATAATACGTTGAAGTTAGGCTTTATTTTGTTCTAAAGATTGAATTTAATCCAATAGTTGTCTTTTTTCATCTTCATGTTTCTATTTTAAATCTTGCACTTCCTTGCCAGACATAATACTCTAAGCACTGGTAGCCAATGACATTGACATTGCTCTATTTTCAAAAGAAGTATCTTTGAGTTTAGTCTTTAAGCGTTCTATCTGTTATTGGTTATTCTTAAATAATCTTCTATTATTCTGCTTAAATAGAACTTTAATTTGAATAATTAGATTCTTTCTTAGATAACTACTTATTTTCCAAGGTCAAAGCATCAACTCTAGCTAGTAAAATGGCAATTTCTTCATTTTTTTATTGTATATACTTGTCTTTCTTTGAGTCATCAGGTGTTTGCATTTATTGCAATTAAAACTTAAAGCTTTCAATTTCATTCTCTTTCAATGCAAGCTGTAATTTTAGATTGGATATTTCAGCTTTCATTTCATTATATTATGATTGATCCTATTATTCGATCATAGAAAATGCAACACTTCTAATTGACTAGGATGTGTCTCTAATTTCTACTTCCTGCCTAGGTGCAGGCATTTGCATCAGGTTTAATTTACTTTCTGCATCTTTTCTTCTCACATTCCTTAATATCCATAATTCAAGATCTTCATGGTTAGTATTCTTCAAATAAGTGCTGGCCAACATAAATATTGCAGACAATCCTTTAATGAATGAATCGTATTTTTTTATTAATTGTGTGATTAGAAATAGAGTGGTATCGAAATTGAACATGTTGATTGCAAATGTTATTAAATATCTCTTCAATCTACTTTGTAGGAATTATTTCAACAATGATTTTTCATCTTCTCCTAGACCATATCCTTTTACACAATAAGTTAATATGCTTACGATGCATTCATCAGGGGGTTTCTATTTGTAGATTATGCTTAATAATTGAAAAGTGGATGCCTCTGATGAAAAACATAATAGAAAATTGGCCAAACATACTAATTCTGCTGAAAATTGCACTTCTGGATTCTTTGAACAAAATGTCAAACAAACATTCTACAGTTTTGCATTGTCTTTGCCCACAAGATAATAAAATTCTTTCAAAGAATAGTTAATATTGTCAAAACCACTTATTTCTGTTTTATCGAATCTTATTTTAGCACTCTCACGAGCATTCTTGTATTCTTGTTGACTTAGTGAACCTCCCAGCCATTACTTCGATAAAGTATCCACGCCATAAGCAATATGATTCTACTCCACAAAATTCTTTATCTGCTCTGATTCCTTGAATTAGACTTCCATATACCTCTTTACAGATTTTGCACATTCTATGCGGTTTAGTGGATTCCTTTGCCATCTTTTTTAACATGGTTAATCTTGAATGGAGAGCATCCCTCACATACAGCTCTTAAACATCTGCAATATGTTTTATTCATACCTTTTGCATTGATGTTCCCTTGTTGTGAAACTGAAACTTTTCTGACAGATTTGACATTTTGGAATTTTTCCACGCACTTCAGGAATATTGATATAGGTTATAAATTATTTCATTTTTTTATTAGCAGTTCAAGTAATTTTTATTTATAATACTCGTATTTTCTTGATAATCTAAAATATCGATTATTCTATGATCTCATGCTTTCATATATCCATAAGGATAATAATATGATTATTTTATTATTACTTAATTCTGTAATCGCCAACAAACCAGAAGTCAAATTAAATGTTGAGAACAACCAACACACTTCCTTTACTGCTATCGTAGATTAATCTAAAATTTTATATGAAGATCCATCATGCTTCTAAATTGTCTTATGGAAACGAACCTCCTCCGATTCTCATAAATATAAATTCACAGATCAAGATTATGACATATTAGAATAAGAAGAGCATAAGTTGTAAGGAACGTCGGGATGTGTTCCTATTTAAAAATCATTCCACGTTTCCCAACACCTGAGAATGGGATTGCCAAGCAATGAACAAATCTTTTATACAGATTTAATAGTGCTGTAGAACAGAGCTCTGATAATCAGAAACGACTTCACCTTACAAGAAGTTAATGTCGCACACTCTTAATTCACTAAAACTATAACTTAATAAAAATTGAAAATCCCTCACTCTGATATATCTCATCCAATCTTCTTATGGAATAGTCACAATAAGAGAGTTTACATAATATCCGAGAATGGAGGTGTCAGTATACCTGATTGGATGTATTAATATCATTTTCATATCTTTCTAGATCAATTGGCGAGAACACTTTTTTTACCACCCCAGAACCCTTTAAATAAAGAAAAATCGTTTATGATGCCTATCTTAAAGATAACACAATCTATGTTGCGTGTGGCAATGAGGGAGTCGATGTATACAATTATTAGGACGGTCGACTGATGTATCTTAAAAATATAGACAGAATTGAAGAGAAACACTTGATAGCCAAAGACGTAAGCGGAGATGATGAGAGTAAAATTACTTAATTTAAATTAGACATTTACATTCTCGATCATTCATAGGGTCTATTAATTTGTGATTATGATTTTAAATTCAAATTCAGAGTTCCAATATTGATGGGAAGTGATTTCAGTCATTACAATAATACATTTATTGTTATTGCAGAGTCACAAAGAAGATAAGATTATGCTTTAGAAATCTTTTTAAATTTTACAGATAATTCCTATTATTTAAATCACTATTATATTGATGAGATGTAATTTTATGATGTGAAAGTATATGAAAAATATGCTGTTTTGATTGGATATGAGGCACATAAAATTATATAGCATTCCATCTTTTCGCAGTTTATTAAATTTTCAAGTAACAATTATTTTGAATTCCCTTAAATGTTGTAACTCAAGCAATGGAATGACTCATTTGTTGGATTATCAAAAAGAGAATTAAGATTATTTAGTATTGACCAGTTAGCAGCTCACATTGAATGCCAATCTTAAGAACACTTTTAGGAAAGCTACTTAGTTGCATAATACTTCTTAAATTCCTCATCTCCTTTCATTGCAACTAAATCTCAATAAGTCTTTTAAATTGTATTCTCAGACACTAGAGTACTATCTAAAAAGAATGTTACACTATTTGGGATTGCTCTCTTCCTTATATTTTTATGTTTATGGCTTGCTGTGCTTGGTTTAGCTTGTTTCAAAAGATTCAGAGATAGAATAAACAAGTTGGAAGATGACAAAAAAGCCTTGACTTAATAAGCAGATTAAGATAAAGAAGATGGGCCAGGACAGGAGTTATCAGCGATATGATTTATTAAATGTGTATAATAATATTAATTTACTTATTTAATTCAATTCATGGATTAAATCATAATCAATATCTAGAGTAAATCTTAATTAAGGAACAGGAAATGTGTTCATTAGTCATGCATCAATAATCTGTTACTTTTCGATATCAGACATATATTTAGTAATTATTTTATATAAATAAATGTTATAGTTTAATAATTTTTATTATAATGAACTCTTAGTAATATCAATAAGAAATTTGGAATATGAGATTAGCTGTTAAAGTAAGTCTTCTAAATAGCAATATACCACCTTTGTACTTAATGATTTATAGATAACATTATTTACTCTTCTACTACTAACAGATCTATGATGTACAAATATATGAATTAACCATTAGCATTTCAATTCCTACTCACCTTAAATTAATAAGATAAATCAAATTACTTTTCAATATAAAAATACTATATTAACTTACTAAATACCTTTTGGAGTACTCATTGATTAATATAAAAGTGAGGATACATTCACTCCTATTGAATTAATATTAATCTATTAGAAATAAGCCCAATTTTTTACTTTAGAGGATGAAATCAAGAACCAAATCAAATTTAATCTCAAATGGGCATGCTTTGGCCGTTATAACCATGAAGGTTATGGAGATCCAATTAAAAATTTAACTTAAAATGTTTCAATTAATGATGAAATATAAGCATTCAAACGAATCAAGTCATTTGAAGGTAAGGAAGACCTCTTTTAATATTATATGAAAATATTTGAAAAACCTAACACAGGAAAAATACAACTACCTATAAGAATTTATTTCAAAAAAGGAGGTCACTTTTAAACAATAATTGAAATAACAGATCAACAATAAACAATAGGATAAGCTCTAAATACCAAAATATAAGGGATTAATTTCATATTTAATGGATTACCTTTAAATACTAAAATTTCAGCTCAAGACTTCTATGATTACCTATATTCAATTGATGGTTTTTGTTATTTTGTGTGTTGATATATCATTGAATATTAATGCTTGAAAAATGTAAATGAAATTGAGATTTTTATATTAAAATATCATAATATTCATATTGATCAACATAGTTTCCTTTTGATTTCAAGAGTCATTTAATTTAGTCACTGAGAATTTGAAAGAGTGTCATTAAACAATCCAAGTTTATTGTCAATTTGTTTATATATTTATAAGTTGCTATATGAATAAATTTAATGCATACCTAATAATTAAATTATAAATCCATAATTTTGATTCTTCTTTGAAATTTATGGCTGATCCATTCAAAAGTAACATTTTGCCAATCAACTTAAGTAAAATGCTTATGAATTCTTGAATATCAGTTGATACTTTATCTAATAACTTAATAATTAGGCTAATTATGTTAAAAATTTCATAAATTTAAATTTATTAAATAATCATTCATTAATCTTATAAAATACATATATATGTTAGAAATTACTTGCATCTGCTAAAGCTATATAAATGTCTAATTATTAAATGAGGGATCATAAACTCTATAAAATTCTTTTTGATTTTTTTGGAAATCTTTTACAATTTCAATTCTGATCTCTTTGGATAACAGAAAAATACTTTTTGATTAATGAGTTTCACTGCAACTTTTCGATTGTCATTTATAAATATTTATCAATTAATTATGGTTAAGTCTAAATTAAATCTTAAGTTTTTTCATCGCTCAATGTCACTGAAAGACATTCAAACTTTCTTTATTAAGTAATAATTTTCTATTTGTATCTTAGATGGCTAAAATAATTCTAATTTCTAATATTATGATATTTCTTATTAAATTACATATAATGTTAAGGAGATTTAGATTGAAAAAGAAATTGTTAATATTAGATATCTATTAAGTTGATTAATCATATCTGACACTGTTTTGAATGTTAAACTCCAATAAAATAAGAAGATGTATACTATCAATAATGTTAAGTTACTGAAAAACGGGAACCACTATTTACAGTCATTATGAATTCCAAATCTCTGAGTTTAGGAGAACAGTTGATGTATTATGATTTAGATGAGATTGATATCCTTGTTCTTAACAAATGTGTATATTATATTAATTATTATTCAAAATTATCTCGGTCACTTGGTGTTTTTTGGGCTGCACAATTTCAAAGTTAATTGTCTCTATTGACTAGAATAGTGAGAATGGTTAATACCTTTGCAACTGTCTTGATTTTAAGACTTGTCTCTTTGTCGTGTAGGATGTTCTACGAAGGAAATCATTTTATAACGGTTCTTCAGGCACTTTGTTGTACGACCGCAAATTTAATAGATAATTGAACTTTCTTTGATTCTGCAACTGCCCACCTTCATTGCATCTGTGTTTTATAATAAATATCTACGTAATGTAAAAATCCCTTCCTGAACCATCATTGGGATAATGTTAGAATTTGGGGGTTATACTAGGCAAACTGACTTGGACTTCCTTCTTTGCTAATCCTGCTCTTTCGTAAACTCCTTCAAAATGAGTTTGACTATCCTTTAATAGACCACCATTGGAATATTGAACATAGTAGTCTCTGCCTTCATGTTAAATTGACTTGCATACCTGTGCCATTAGCATGGTACCTTGTAAAGTAACGAGGATCGACACATGATGCTGTAGTCATATTAATATTATTATTAATTATGGGATGCATTAGTGCCAAAGATGTCCAGTAATCCATCAACAAAAACATCTATAATAATATGAAACAAACGCATATCATAGCCTTTGATCAAGTAATTTGAGTGTTCATTTCGCAATAGCTGTTTTTGTTGCAATCCCAATGTCTAAGAGACCTCGATCTATTACAGAATAAGGTGATTTCTAGGCGGATCAATATGATCAACATCACGAAGGCTCATCTTCTCAACAACCCCAAATTGACTGACGCCTATAAGTTGTGGACTTGGGGGGTTTCGCTTTGCAACAAGGGAAATTCAAAAGGAATGAATGTACACTACAGTTTCAATAATCCTAACGAGTCCGTCGACAAGACTACTGCTTTCAATTACAATCTGGGGTCCTGCAAAGAACTCAGGTTTCATTGGTTTGCTATCATCCTCAAGGAATATGTTGAATATGTATAAAATGCGAAATAATAATATCCAGAAGATCGTCTCAAGGCCAAAGACATTTATGAAAAATTAAAAACCATGAAGGAACAATCATCAATTTATTTAAACACTTTATCTCTAGCTGAGAGAACTGAGGCCTTTACCAACATAGAATATAACATGAGTAAAATCAACAAGGGGTTGTTCAATGCTGATTAGTTCTATAACAATTTAAAGGATTTAGACATAGAATTGGAAGCGTTGATCCAAAAGAGTTATCAATATGAAAGTGAAGCAGATCAATGGGGTAGAAAATTGTATCGTGATCTTGATGTGATTCCAATTGGCAACGATTCCTATAGAATGAGAGCCAAAATGAACAGTTTGGTGTTATTGTATCATCCAGGCAAAAAGAGAACCTAAGAAGAGGAGGATTACTATTACAACATCAAATTGGAAAGGTCGAAAATAAAGCCTAAGGTTTTGTTTAACGACGAGGATGACAAACAAAAGATATTTCTATTCAAAATAAGATGGACAGGGTGTTCTGAAGTGGATGAGAAATGGAGTGAAATTGCATTCATTTTAGAGAAACACAGTGAATAAATTAAGTCAATCAAGTAGATTAGAAACAAAATTAGATATGAATTATAAACCTATAAGTATGTGGATGACAATTTAATTGAGGCCTGGAAGATTTATTGTCTCTCCTTATTGACTGAGTTGAAGGATGTAAAGATTACATTAAACATAAGTGATTAGGAATCAGCAACTAAGATTCTTAAAAATTAATAAGTTTTGAATGAGAATTTGGAATTACAAACCAAATTGTTTAGTGAATACTTCTTCACAATTAGACCCTCGTAATAGAAGAAATTGAAAGAATATTGGAGGAAATTGGACTTTGACAAATAATGGATTCAGGGATCGTTCATGAAATCTGATCAATTCAAAATGATGCATCACCAAAATCAATACAACATGATGACAAATCAGGCCAAGAACATCTATGAATTCACTACTTAGAATCCTTTGTATCAAGCCATCTATCAGAAGAGTGAGTTTATTATTAATATTTAGAATACTTGAAATTGGAGAAGGAGGCCGAAGATTTGTTCACCAAAGGGATAGCTATATTCGAGGAGATGGAGAGACTTTATGAGCAGTATAAGATAGACAAGGATGTAGACAAATTAATGAAACAAGAATTAAGGAGCAATGATGTTATTTTAAAGAAATAATCTAAACTTTCCAAATATAATTGATAATTTATTATATATTTAGTACCTAATCAAAACATAGATAAAATTAAATTTGATGGGGCAGACATGCAGTAAGAAACGTGAGGCCAATAAGTGCCATTAGACTCAGCCATCAAAGGTGGTTCTTGGGGATTCACATCAAAATATACATACTAATCCAACTCTTTATCACCCTCAACAAGCGTTGAAGCAATTCAAATAGCTTAGCATGCTATTGTCATTGGTAGGGAGTTTGGATCAATTAAAATAAAAGACCAGAGAACAGTTCAGATAGTTGTTCGCATAAAAAAACAATTGCTAAATAATCATTTAAAACACCATAAGAAGAGAATTAAGAATAAAAGGCTTAATTCGACCGCCTCAGCAAGATGACGAGGCTTTATTACTTCAGGACAAAAAGTTCAATAAATCGTTACAGACACAATTAATAATAGCAGCTGAAATCATTAGAACATTGTAATAAGATCAAGACTTTTAAGATATGTTCCCTACAATGTGTATATCCTTTATGGAATTGGCAGACAGTATTCAATCCGACAATTAATGATTTGTTACAAATTAAGTGATAAATGATTCACTACTTATTTTAAATATTTATATTTTCAAATTTTGTTATACAGCTTTATATTCTAAATGTATAATTCAAATTAAATTCTGATATTCAAAAGAGAATACCCTCACATTTAAATCAGTTCCAACTCCAAATTGCATTTAACCTCTCAAGTGTCTCTGTACAAAAATAATTACTATTTATGATGATACATAAGATTGACTAAGAATTAACCTCATAATATGTATCTTGTCATTTGATAGTTTATTTCCGAAGGTAGCAACTGATTGCTAAGCCTTTTTTATCTAAATTTGAATAAAATGTTATATCAAGTAGAAAAATCATTATAAATTATAAATGTAAGTTCATTAATGAACGTGATGCCGAAGAATTGCATTGGGTTTATTAATTTGATATTTGGTTCTTCTACTGTGTTTCTGTGAGAGTGTCGATGTTGTAGTGTGATAAGATTTCATTTTAGATTTAAGAATGCGATTATATGGAATAAATTTATATAATTTAAGAATGGAACGTAAACTCTACTTCGGGACTACACAACAATTGTAAAATAAGCAATACTAATATCCAACTAATTTTATACGGACAAGCAGGTATTCATTAATTCATATTTGAGGTACAATATGATAACCTTCCTACCATATTCCTTAGCATTGCAATTCTAAAGGATGGCAAACATCTATTTTCTTATTATTGCTATCTTGTCTTTTTTTAAATCCATTTCCCCATTTAGCCCTATAAATTCTATTGCACCTTTGCTCTTTGTGGTGTCCTTGTCCATGTTAAGAGATGGATATGAAGATTATCAAAAACATCTTAGTGACAATGAATTGAATTCATCTCCCACTACCATTTGGACTAGTGGGGGTTTTGTGAAGAAAACATGGAAAGATGTACTCATGGGAGATATAATAAAAATTGATGAATTGGAAATAATCTCTGCTGACATAGTGGTGTTATAAACCTCTTAAGACGGGATCTGTTTTATCGAAACCTCCTCTTTGGATGGGGAGAAGAATTTGAAACCGAAACAAGCAGTCAAAGAGACCTAAACTATGGAATGCAGAGAAGGAGTTATTGAATGTATAAATCCGAATGCTTTGCTTTACAATTTCGATGGAACACTCTTTTTGGAGAGCAAGAAAATTCAATTAACACATAAGAACTTTTTATTGAGAGGATCAAAATTGAAAAATGTTAAATGGGCCATAGGAGTTGTGGTTTATACTGGAATAGACACAAAAGTAATGAGGAATTCCGAGAAGCAGAAAAACAAAATGAGCAACATAGACAGATTGATTAATGTCAGAATTATTTATATCTTGATTATGCAGACATTTTCTTGCCTAATTTTAGCAATTATCTATGGAATTAATTGCGACATTCATAACATAAATTTTGATTACTTTAGTAGAAGCTTTGCTGGCTATACATCTTATAATGGAGATGATGATATCTATGATCCAGACATCCCTAATTGTGCTTTGGCTTCATTGATGACCTTTGCAGCCTATTTCCTACTTTTAAACACTCTTATACCAATAAGTCTAATAGTATCTTTGGAATTTGTAAAAGTAGGTTAGGGAATATTTATGTAAAAGGATAGGGAAATGTACACTGCTGAAAATGATAAGTATGTCAAAGTGTTTAGTACGACTATTAACGAGGAATTGGGGTAGGTTCAATATGTATTTTCAGATAAAACAGGTACTTTAACTTGTAACAAAATGGAATTCAAATTATCTGTCTGTGGAAATGAAACTTATGGAGATGTATCCATGTTTGATAAGCATGAAATGAGCACTTTTGTAGGTAATTAGATCATAAGAAGACAGAGCACTTTGCATTCTAGAAGATCCACAGTTGTTAATGAAAAAGCTGGCATTGAATATACATTCTCTGGTGCAGTCATTTAATCGATCATTACTGAAACTGATCCTATGAAGAATCCTAATATAGGTCTTAATGTGGATACCTATTTGATCAGAAATCAAGGAGATTTAGTCAAGGAAAACCTTATGTTGCTAGCCACTTGTCATGAGTGTGTTCTTGAATTTTAAGATGATGGCACATTTAATTATCAAGGACCATCTCCAGATGAAATAGCATTAGTGGATGCTGCTAGAAGGTTAAACATAGTCTATAGAGGGATTACAATGGGTATGATGGAAGTAGATGTGCTTGGGGTTAAGGAAAAGGTTGAACTTCTGTTTTCCTTTGAATTTAATAGTGATAGAAAGAGAATGTCTGTAATCATTAAGCACAAGGGTGTGATTAAACTATATACTAAAGGCGCTGATGCAATTATCAAATAAAGATTGGGTCCGAATCAACCATTTCTAGCTGGGATTGATAAAAAATTGGATATGTTCTCAAGGAAGGGATTGAGAACTCTATGCTTAGCTATGAGAGTTCTTGATGAGAAATAATTCAATGAATTTTCATAAGCTATGAATGATACTCTCGGTGGGAATGACGCTGAAAAATAGTAAACTGAATTAATTAATAAAATTGAACAGAATCTTACACTCATTGGAGCTACGGCTGTTGAGGATAAATTATAAGACGATGTTCCAGAAACATTAGCAGATTTTCTTAAAGCAAATATTAATGTGTGGATGTTGACTGGAGATAAGTTGGAAACAGCTGAAAATATTGGCAGATCCTGTAATTTGCTATAAGAGTAAATGGATGTTTTCTTTTTAACTCCTGGTTGTGATATCCTATAAATATTTAATAGAATCGCAGATCATGTTATATAGAAACCTACTACTAAAAGAGCTATGATTATAGAAGGTATTGTATTGGCTGTTCTGAGTGAAAATGAAAATCTAACTAAATATTTAGTTTTGTTAGCTCCTCATCTTCATACAGTTATTTGTTGTAGGGTAACTCCAAAACAAAAAGCAGATATGGTTAGATTAGTTAAGAATGAATTAGGAAAGATTACTCTGGCAGTTGGAGATGGTGCTAATGATGTTAATATGATTTAGGAGGCACATATTGGTATTGGGATTTATGGTCAAGAAGGTATGAGAGCTGTTTAAGCTAGTAATTATGCTATTGGTGAATTTAAATGTCTTTGGAAATTAGTGTTATTTCATGGAAGATAGAACTACATTCGTATTTCTGAAATGATTTTATACTTCTTTTACAAAAATATCATATTCACTGTCCCTCAATTCTATTTTGCCTTCTTTTGTGGATTAACTGGAACCAGTGTGTTTGATGAATTGTATTATTTCTTATCATTTAACCTAGCTTTGTCTCATTTTACAACACAGTGTTTACATTCCTACCTGTGGTCATAAGAGCCATTTTTGATGAAGATGTTTTCTATACACAATAAAGAAAGGAAACATTATTAGGCAGCAAAAGAATTACATAAGGAGTAGAGGAGAATGACATACTCAAATAAAGTTATCCATTGCTTTATTACATTGGACAAAAAAACACTATATTTACAAACGAAAAGTAATTAATGGGTTTATTATATATAGATTTTTTAAATGGTTTTCAATTGGAATTTTCTAAGGATTGGCATGCTTCTTTTCGTTTTACCTAGAATTAAATGATACTACTTTCATTAAACAATCTGGATATAACAATGATTTATGGTTCTTTAGTATGTCAATGTCTACTGCCATCATGATAGTAATCAATTAATTAATTATTAGCTAGTCACATTAAAACTAGCTTTGAATACTCAATTTTGGACAATCATAACATGGATTGCCTATTTAGGAACCAGTCTAGGTACTTACTTTGCTTATATGTGGATATCCAACATTATACCTTCAGCTGCCATCTTTGGAACTACTTAGATGCTATTTTCAAGCTATGCGTTTTATCTTAGTCTGGCATTATCTGTATTATCAATGTTTATTCTTGATTTATTGATGTTCACTATCAAGACATCAAAGGACACTTTACTTAACTATATGAAAAGATAAGCTAGATAAAATTAACAATTAGATATCGCTAAAATATCCAAGTTAGAGAAAAAACTATAAGAACAAATTTCAGAAATGGAAATGCCTGGATTTGAATTGTTTCAAAAAAGAAGTTTGGTTGATTCTAGTTTCTCATTAAGTGATAATACTTCAAAAGATGGAGATAGAAAGGATAATTAATGAATTCATTTAAAGTTTATTATATTTTAATTCAATAAATTATATCTTGAAATCGTTTTATATGTTATCTTCTAGACACCTGAACTATTTATGATAAAAATTTAAATTCATCAATTATAATTAAAATAAACCAAACAGAAATGGGAATATGTAAATCAAAATCAAGTGGTTCAATAGAATCCCAATTACAAGGGTCCTTTGCATAAATTCTACATTAAGGACAAGAGAAAACTAAGATTGAAACTTTGATTAGAGAGAAAACACAATCTCAAGATTTATTCAATCCGTACCGAAACCCGATTCTTAACCGAAGGCTTAGACAGGCTCTAATTTGATTGATTTTATTTATACAATGTTTATTGTTTACTTTTTGACAAGTTTGATAAAGTTTGCTCTTTATGGAGATAATATTCATATTTTCGAGCTTTCATGTCGTATTATATTTATTTAGTATCTTCCGCATTTAATTAATTGGGAAAATAAGGGATCTCAAAATTATATTAATCAAAGGTGTGGAGTACTAACTTTAAGAAATACTTATTATGGACATTTCACTAGTATTTCAAGCAATTTTGAGAGAAGAATAAAATTAATGTAAATCTATAAAATTATTCAATAATCAAAAGATTATTAGATGGCTCTTCCATTCTAATTGAGAATTCTTTAACTTCTTCAATGATTGAAGTGTTCAATAAAAAGAACTTAACCATTTGTTTTTTTATTTAAATTAATTATATTACAGTATATTATCTACTGTTTTTGTTTCAAACTATATTATTTATTAAATATCTTGTTTCTCCTAAGTACTTCGTCTTATTGATCTTCGATTTTGCTTAATTTTCTTTGTCTTAAACAGTTTTCTATAGATTTTAGAATAATATATAATATATTTCAGATACATCAAATTATTATAATATAAAAACTCCATTATAGGCAGCTATTTTTTATTCTTAAATTGAATTCGTCTCGAAGTATTTTGGTTGAGTATAAAGTCACTCCTTGTTGGGATTTTTGAATTGACAATTGATGAATTCTGGAATTCTTAAGAAATTCATTTCACAATTTTTCATTTTAACAATTAATAATTGAAATCAATGATTGTGTTTTTAAATAAATAAATAAAAAGAAATAAAAATCAAATATTCAAGGATGAGCTTGAGAAGGTTTCGAAGTGGAGGTATGCATGCAAATTCAGAAGAAGATTACTTAAGTGTATGATTTTTAGGAATTTCTTTTAGAAAATTGCCAAGGTGGAAAAAAAATAAAAGCAATTAAGCAATTGCTAAGTAGACGAATACTTTGAGGATTTCATTGTAAATTCGTCATTTAGTTTTGATTGCATCCAGCAGCCTCAACTACCATAGATCACTTAAAAATCTCATTTCATTTTAATTATGATTGACGACCTATAATTAAGTCCAAGAAGACTTTAAAATATGATAGAATACAGTAAATTTATGTTTAGAATATTTGTAGCAGACAACTGTGACACAATAACCCAAAGTACAAATGACGACTCCTCAACATGGAGTCCTTAAATTATGAACTATGATTGCATAGTTCATACTTATACATAGGATTATGTGAATCACCTTTTTAACATATGGATAATAAATACTCCCATTATCAATTCAACATTTAAAGGTATATTAATAATCAATATTAGATTGCTATTTCCAGTTATTTGAAGCATTTATTTGTGTCAATAACGTTAGGAGTCTTGAATTTAAGGAATTATTTGAAAAAATTAAAGAGTTAAATAGCAAAGTTCAACAATTCCATCTGAAGGAATACGATGATGTAAGCATTTTTGTTATTGTTAGGCTTCTCCAGAGAGAAAACAAATCAGTAATATTTAATAGATTTTAAAAACCTTGATCGACACAAGGACTTAATGATGAAAGCAAGTTAAAATGATCTTTGTTTATTGTTTATGTTTCTATTTTACAACTGTTTATATATAAAATATACTATCAAATAATAAATTAATTATTTTAATAAACTAAAATGGCAGATCAATCATAGGCAGAATATTTGAACTTAAAAGTGAAATCCTAAGATGGTGAAGAGGTTTTCTTTAAAATCAAAAAATAAACTCAATTTAAGAAGTTGATGGATGCCTATTGTTCTAGGCAAAATGTATTATGAAGTGATTAATTTAGCTCCAAATCTAAAATGTTAGATTTTTATTTGATGGAGAAAGAATTTTGGAGACCTAAACACCAGCAGATGTATAATGTATTCCGTTATCTATTAGATTGGAATGGAAACTGGAGATGAGATTGATGTTGTAATTGAATAAGTTGGTGGATATAAAATAATGTGAAATTATCATTATATTTTATAATATATAATTTATGCTTACCATCTTTCTCTTCCTAGTTTTTTAGGTTAATTGTGGAGATATTTAATTGTATAACTAATACGGATCCATCCTTTAGGATAAAATTTTAGTACACTCAATATACATATAATAGATTATTACTAAAAATGGATAGATTTACAATTATGATCTAAAGTTCTAATAGATTCTTTGGGTATCATAATTAGGGATCTCTCTTCAATCCGAGAATGTCAAAAACTCTACACACTACTTACAAACTTATAGAGATGGCACATACTTACTTTACGATGATTTCCTATATGTAATTCTACAAACTAACTTAGGAAATAGAACAAGATGATATTAATCTATTGTTTAGCACTTGTAACATGTTTAAAAATTCCCTTGTTTTCAATAATAATCTGGCATTTTTTATGGATATAACAACAGGAAATTTAAAAAAACTAAATCAATTCGATGTGCAGTAGATTTTAAAGAAACCTAAACTTTACCAATAAGGAGTTCTAATCAATGTATAACAATAGTATATTTCTCATTTGGAATATGAATTCTCTCAGTTTTATAATTCTAGAGTCTATATTAATTTCTTATTGCAATAAATTCGAAGTAACTAAACATTTAAATCACATTCGAATACTACTCAAATATGGAAAACTTAGAATGGAATTTACGTCAAATGGAACAACAAAACCTTTGATTTATATTTAGATAATGAGGTGTTTCAAGTCTTTGCATATGATAATTTAGATGGATTATAATCTTTACCAATATACAGAGATCAAATAGAATCAAAAAGTTTAGCAATAATATCAATTTCAAATAGCAACTTTTAATGCGAACAAGATGGATAATGTTTGCAAACTGATTTTAAACCTACAACGGCTCTAGGTATCTACAAAGAGACAGAATTAAAATAGTGTTTAAATGAATTCTATTATGCAAAGGCCTCAAAATTACCTATGGTTTATCAATAAAATACTCCTTAAACCATAGAATAATGCTTTGAGATTCACAATGATGATGGATCTTTCGCGATGATATTGCTGACTATAATTGTTATTGGGTCTGCTTTATTGACAAGATTTAAATTTAAAAAGCAAAAGCAGAACTTTTAGATAAATGTTAAGGAATCAAATATAGAATTAAAATATATTTAATAGAATTAAATCTAATTCAATGAATTGGAAATCATAGGATAAGGTTCGAATGGAACCAATATTCACGAGGGTTTTTTTTAAAACAAAACAGTTGCTGTTAAAGATATAAATTTATTGAATATATCCTAAAGTATGCTCAGTGGTGAATTAGAGAAATCATTTGCTCAATAAATGTCTTTAACTTCTGAAAAATTTATAAAACTATATTTCTATGAAAAAAGAAATAATCACTTATATTTAGCTATGGAAAAAGGTTTAATTAATTTAAAAGATTTTGTAAAATATGATTCTTGTAATAAATTAAATGATTCACTCAAAATCAAAATAAAATAAAACCTTTTAGACCCTAATTTTTATAAGTCGTTTATACATAATTTATTAATTGGACTTTAAGAACTAGAAGAAAAACAAATTAAACATCATGGATTAGATCAAGAAAATATCATATTTAATCAAGACCTGCAAGTGTACTTTGCTGATCTTGGAATGTCTTAGAGAGCTGATTATTATAGAAGTAAGACTAAATCAACTAACTCTCATTTCTTCCATAGTTATAATTTGAAGTAATAATTAGGAGCAATATTTTACTATTTACTATCAAGAGGAGATGATCTTAAAAATTTATCCTAAATAAATCTTAAGGCTATTTTGAATAAATTTAAGAAATACAACATCAAAGAATTAGATATTAGAGACTTGACTCTGAAATTGCTTTTTGATGGGCCAATAATTGATTATGATAATCTACTTTCGCACCCTTACTTTTGGACAAAAGAAAGAAAACTAAAGTTTATTTGTGAATTTAGCGATTATATCGAAACCTTCCCATAAAAACCAGGTTAAATTACTTTATAGGAGATCTGCATTTAAAACTAAGTTTTTAAAGATAATTGGGGCAATAAATGCGAAATACTTTTAAAAGAACAAATTCGAGGATATGATAAGACCTAAGCCTTATAGTTGATAAGAGTATAAAATTAATATTATAATTAATAGCTTATTCGTAATACTAAGAATCATTACCATTAGCTTACAAAGAATAGTAAATAGTTATTAGGAAATTCTGATAGAGACTTATTTGATTATTGGAATAAAAACTTTCCAAATTTATTCTTTACTCTTTACTAATATTCATGTGAAAATAACTTCAACTTATTAAGTATTAAATAAAATTGAAATGATAATGTAATTTTTCATCAATCTCAAATTTTATATGTATGATATGACTGAATTAATTTTTAGAAATATATAATTACATTACCAACATAAAATTGGTTTCTACCAAATAAATCTTTATTATTGTTTAAATAGCTTGAAGAATGATAAAAAATAAAGAGAATTTTAAAAATAGAAAAGCATAAATTTCACTAAATAACAATCTCCAAATGCTTAGAAAACTATCAATTCATCTGTTATGAAATACAACAGAATTAGTTTCTCAGATGCAAAATAATTAAGTTCTAATTAGTATTCATTTCTTTAAAAAAAGAGAAAATTAAAATACAATAAGTTTAAACTTTATTTAATATAACTAATAGTTTTTTTGTTTAAATAGTGATTATTTATAATTTTATCAAAGTTGAATTATATAAAATTTATCTTTTTTGAATATTTATCAAAATAACGTAGATATAATGCTTTCATAATTTCCATATTTCTACTGACAATAAAAAGGTCAAAATGTATACCAATACCATATATAAAATTATTATAAGGTTTGTTCCTATTGTTATACACCTTTTTTTATCTTTGATTATTGTTTCTATGATGATTATCACAAGAAAAATTAACAATTAATCAAAAAATTAAAATAATAATTATTTATCGACTTACTTCCTAATATTGTATTTTTTAAATGGCCGCAAACAACATGAAATAATAAAAATAACAATTCTTTATGATGTGATTGAATATATACATTTAAGCTGCCCCATCAATAATTAAATATTAAGAGTAATAACGTATTGTTTTAATGATAATGATGCATTCGTCAGGTGAATTTTCTTAAGAGGAAGTCATTCCGGATAAAAAAAAACCACCTATTAAGGCACTCATCCCACATGTGATTAATAAGCAATAGCTCCAAGAATCAATATCCTCATCCCTCTATATATCTATGTTTTAATCCTAATTTCCATTTAATTATATCTAGGGAATAAAATGGTATTCTTCATCATTTTGATTATTCTCCATTAAAGGAAAAAAAGTTAATTTAATATTAAGAATTTATTTATTTTATAAATAATTTCAAGAATTATTATTTTTGAAAACAATAAATAAATGGCCTTATAATAAATCTTTTAAAGAGTAATTGTATAATAAAATAATAAGTTCAAATCAATGTGATAAGGATTGAATGATGTTTTTCAATATACACATAATAACTAATACAATTCTATTAAAAAAGTTCAGCCAAAAAAATTAAAGAATTATTTGTGTTGATTAATCATGATATCTCTGTCAATAATAAGGAGGTCTAATTGATTTATAGTATTAAATTTTTTAAATAATTAACCATTCTTTTTTAATGTGTTCTATATTATCATTCTATTTTCATTATATTATACTTATCAGATCTTTTAACAATATCTAATATTTAATTTATTTTTGAATGTTTATCAAGAACTTGTTTATTGATATATCAAATAATATAAAGAAATTATGTAATTTTTTTATTATTTTAATGTTAGAAAGAGCCCTTACATATTGCTTATAAGAAGAAACACCTATTTCAATAGCTGATGTAATGCAAATATAACAGAACCAACAAATAAACAATAAATAACAAAAGATTTAAGCTTAACCTACTAAAATAGAAATTCAATAATTTCCATAAAAATTTATAAAACAGTCCTCAATTAAGGAATTGATCAATTAAGCAAGTTAAGATTTCAAATAGGTACCTAAAATTGTCCAAGATTTTACTCCATACCAAAGTGGGTGGTAAAAAAATATACTTAACAAATATTATAACATCAAAACAGGAAATAATAGCATTTTTTGCAACAGTATAAATTTATATACAATAGAAACAAGAAGGAGAGCATTTTCGATATAAATGAATTCCAAAAAAGTTAATTTAAGAATACGGGATATGTCGATGATTACTACGAGAAATTTTTAATAGGAAAATAATTGTTAGTTCTGATTTTTTAAATATCATAATAATTATAGATTTAATGACTTTTATTCTATAATGATTTTGAGCACAAAACCGACTCTCTTATTTGAGATAAATTAAATTTATAATTTATAATTAGATTTCTTTAAATTTATACCTCTATGAAGTATCAAGATATATAAGAGAACTCTTAAACTAAGTAGTAAAAAAGTTAAAAATTGCTATTTTGGGTGAGAGATAATACCAAAAATGATAAAAACAAAGACATACCTATATTTTCATAATAATTTTTAATAAATAATTTCTATTACAATAAATCAGAATAAGTGTCAGTATTAAAACATTCTATAAAAGAGAAATCGACAAGATGAGGAATATTTATGGAGAATTTTTATGATATTATAAAATTAACACTTATGTGATAATGTAAAATAACAGTAATTATTTCTACCAATAAATTGGTTTTAATATCTCTTTTATAATTGCTAAATCAAATATTCCCTATGGCCTTATTGGATTCTCTTTCTATTTCTTCAATCGATTTTAATGTAAGTCTAATTTTTTCTTTATCTTTCTTCTTTAAAAACTCTGCCAAAGCTTTTTCTCCTTCAACTTTTTCAAATTCAGGCCATTCTTTTTCATCCTAAAAGAATTTTTCATTTAGAATAGGATGCATAAGATCATTAGTATCTTCAAACTAAGAATTTAATTGCATTTACGTTATCTTTTAAATTGTCATATTCCCTTAATTTTCTTAATTATTCAGGATTCATTTCATAAGATGTTCTTGTATTCAAAAATGTCAAATCTTTATGTCTAATTTCAGGTGGATGCCATACGATAGCAGGTCTTCTGCTAAACCTTTGGGCTCTCCTTGAGTATTTGTGAGGCCTAGCCTTTAAAACGTGAGGAATCTAAATGTTTAGGAAAATATAAAACTTCATAAGATGGATCATTAATTTTAGTGAGCATCAATTATCTTAAATATTCACCATAAATAGAATCTAAATCTTAAGGTTTAGTCAATAAAATATAATTATCGAAACTACCAGCTTTTCGAATGCATTTCATTGTCTTAGCTGTTACTTTCACATGAATTCTTCTGCCTAATATTAGAGATTCATATGTTTATTTTTGAACATTAGGCATCCAAGATCGTCGAGTTCTATTTATGAATAGATATGCTCACTTTTTTTCTGAAAAACAAGTTTGATTTCCTGATTTTGGTTATTTGCCATGCCAAAGACAAAATTGACTCATAATAGTATGTTTTGGGATTTGCTTTTGGCAGATTCTTTTAATTAAGGCTGTGTCTAATAATTATCTAGGACTTAATTAGGATATGCTTTTGGTAGTTGGATGAGCCGAAAGCCAATAATTGAATGTAGGGCGGTGACATAATTATTTCATACCTTTGAGTAGGACATTCATTATTTCTAAATAAATTAAATATCAAATTTAAGTTAATTTAGTAAAACAATCAATTAATTGTTCCATGTATATATTAATATCGTAATAACTTCAAGAAAATCTAGAATTTGTATGAGGAATAATTATATATGTTTGTAAAATATTCAAATAATTCATTAATTTATAATTTGAAGAGAATCGATGAATAAGTACATGATTGATCAAACTTAGTTTGTAGAAAGTAGATAAACTTTGAATGGAGTTTTAGTATTTTTTCTGATATTGTGCTACTTTTTGAGAGAAGGTCAAGTAATTTGTGAAGTAGAATTCTGAACTGAGTATTTTATAATTAACAACTTCATAAATTTTGATTATATTTGAAGTAAAGTTATTCGAATTGATCATTGAAAAAATGATTTGTCTGCTTCCATTTTTGAGTCATATTTTATAAACACACCTTCAAATAAATTGTTCTACTTATTATTAATATTTATTGATTAATGAAATATCAATAATATTAATTATGGACTTATATTAACATTCTTACACCCTCCCACCAAAACGATTGTGCAAAGAGCCAAAGTTGGCTATCTCTATTTTGAAAAGGAAATTCATAGAACCAATTTAAGACTTTGCTGGCGCTAGAAGAACTAGAACAAGTTTTTCACCTCAAAGGAGAATGAAATCGATTTAAATTAGATAAAAATCTGCAATACAAACATTTAATTTTGAAGTTGGATAGATAATTGTCCCAAAAAGAAATTCTAGAGTAACACGCTTCTAAGGTCCTAATTTTCCATTTAATCTCAATTACTTGATAAAGTAAATGAATGCTTTAAAATGATTTATTTATTAATTTATAATATGTAAAATAACTTTGGAGTATAGAGGATTATTAGAACCGAAGGAGATTAGGAGGACAATCTAATTAAGAAAAACAGTTTGGCAAGGGGCCTTTTACCTAAAAAATAATCATTAACGAATATGCAAAAAGTTAGTTTTAGTACTCATTCTAAAGTGAAATCCAAAGAATCCATTATTATATCAATAAATAAAATGAGCTAAGAAAAACTGCTAGATTTACTATGTTTATCCACTCAGGATTTAAAAAAGAGATTTTTGAAACCGTCAACAAAACATGAAAAAATAAAAATAGTCAATACCAAACATTTACCAAGGGATTTTCTTAACCTGTAAAGTGAAATAAAGTATTGATTTTTATTGATTTTATATATTATATTAATTCAAATTTTAACTCCAATTTAGTATGTCTGTGCAAAAAAGTAATAAAGAAAATTCTAAAAACAAGAAAGTTACAATATCAATAGAAGAAGGGATTGAAAATAGTTTTATGATTTTGAGTCCTATTAAAGAACTCTCACCTATAAAGGAGAAAATTAAAGAAGAACAAAAATGTATAGAAGTCATTGAATTCGGATGGCAAAGACACAAAATAGGGAGTGAAATACGATATTTGGACATATTTTATAATGCAAATCCAAATATATAAAAATCTGATATCTAGCGCCTAGATTTGAATAGTTGCCTTGATGAATAAGGATAACCTGTATATCGTAAGACAACTTAGGCATTAATGTAAAATATGGCATTAAAAATCTAATCTCGTATATCAATGGCAGGAGAGTAAATTTATTCTTCGATTCCATTACAATAGGCCTGTTTGAGTGATTATCATTGTTTCAAAGGTGATTACGGTAAGGATTGGAAGGGGCATTAGATTATCAAGAGCAAAACCTTGAGTGGAGTAAAAAAAGGTTAGACATCAAGCAAAAAAATAATATAATAATGATTATAATTAAAATGGGTTTATTATTGTTTTAATTTATACTCATAATTTTTGAAGTGCAGATTTCTGCTTTGAATTGGTAGAATTGATTGGTGGCTATCCATAACATATTGATTTAAGCTAAGAAAGATATATGATTTCAAAGTGAGATACGATTCTCTGTAAAAACTAATAAATAAAAAATGGACAGTCTAAAGGAGGGACAGGATTATTTTGGAATGAATTCAATTTCCTATGGTTCCATTTAGAATGGAGCTTAATTAATTTTATGAGAGAAATCTCAAGAAAATATAATATAAACATATGTCAAAGCAAATTAAAAGAAGGAAGTAAAAGCAAACTCAAATACCAAAAACCATTTATTTAACAATAATAATAGAAGGAGATAAAAATTATGCTATTCATTAAAATTTAATATTAGTAACAAAAAAAACATGAATCTAGAACTATTCATAGAAGAAAACAATATGAATTCTTTAAAGAAATCAATAATTTAAAAGTAGATTCTATTGAATTTGATTAATCAAAAGATAATTGTGATTCTAAAGATATTGAAAATTAGAATATTCCATAAACTGATATATTAGAGGTTTAATAGAATGGAATGAGCTTTTAAGCATTTTCAGAATGTGATTTCTTAGGCATTTCTTATCAAATTTGGGGACCAAATCAGAGTATCCCAAAAGAGTTGTGGAATTTAATCTAATCTATAATAATACCTAAATAGATGAGAATTGCATTCTATAAAAAATAACAATCGAAATCCTCATTAAAGGAGATTAAGAATGCTTGCAAAGGCCATTTGATAATGATTGATCTTAGAAACAGCTGTTGAGTCATTAATGATAATGCATAATTAGATAAAACTTTTTTATTAAATCATTTAATAAATTATATATCATAATGGCTGAAGGAAGAGAGAACTGGGCTGTAGACGAATTACTAAAAGCTGAGGAGGAAGCTAATAATATTATAAAGATAGCTTAAAAGGAAAGAGAGAAAAAAATCAAAGAAGCTAAAGTGGCAGCTGATTAGGAAATTGCTGTATTCCGAAGAGAGGAAGAAACCAAATATAATCAAGAAATACTTAGAGTAATATTAAATAATAACTTAAGCGTTTTGGATCAACCAAGGAGGAAGAAGAATTAGAAAGAAAAACAAAGGCAGAAATTGATAAGATATATTAAGATTATGAAGCTAATAAATTGGCAGTTGTGGATATGTTAATTAAAAGGGTAATTGAAGTGAAATTGGAAGTTCCAAGAGTCGTAAAGGGATAATTTGAATAACCATAACAAAATTAATGAGATAAGATGATGAATTCATATAATTATAAATAATGAGTGGTGTAAAGATTTCTCATAATTTCTTTCTAACAAAGACAATTAATCAATCTAAGAGAGTGTTAAAAAGAGCATAGATCCCAATCTATTTATCAATGAACAAACCCTTAAATAAATAGAGGCAGAAACCAACAAACATTTTTGGATCAATTACCTGACTCATTCCATAGTTACAACATTGGTTGCTCTTTTAACTACCTATAACTATCAGTTATACCCCATTAAAATAAATATGGTGATAAATAAAAGATGAATCAGGCTCTAAAAACTTTGACATAATTGGTCAAAGCAAAAAGACACATTTAGCCTCATGAAAAAAGGAAATTTGAGTTACTGATTAAGAGTGGTGCTGTTTGAAGCAACAATCTAATTAGAGCTAGGCATTTTACAAAGGCAATTTGATTGGCATTATACATTTATTGGCTAATTGTCATTTGAAGATTAATTTGTTATCTGACTTTGATTTTAGATTAGTGGCAACTGTTTCTATTATTGCCAGTAATCCATGTATGTTATTTTCAATCAAGATTTATATTGTAAAATAGATTACCAAATTTTATTTGTATAAGAATTTATTTAGTGCTTTTAAAAAGTATGTTAGACATAAGAAAGAATACTTTCAAGGGTCTACTACTTATTTTTATAAAAATAGTGTTGTCTTTTTGTTTCAAGTGGCGATATAATTCTCTTAAAATTAGAGTAATTCTAGATGCTATATTTGTACCTTCCCTACAATCTAATATATCATCCTTTTCTACCATTGTAAGAAGATTGCATATTTTAAGTATGTTAGAGTATTATTTTGAAATTAGTCGACATTGCCCGGGTATGATACCTACAAGGTACTTAGGACCTTGGCATGGATTGAGATTGATAGCCCAAGAAGAAGGAGTCAAGGGTCTGGATAGAGGATTCGGCTTGTATTTTATAGGGAGTGGTCTATTGCAGTACATCATGTTCGGAACTAAAATAGATTAGGGAGATTTTTGAAATAATTTGTTTATAATTTATGGCATAGTCATTTGCAATCTTATAAAATTCGTTCAAACATTTTGGAGAAGGACATTACAAAGAATCTATGGAGTAATCTACAATTTAAGTCTAGGGAATTGCAGAAGTTTAAACAGCTTAAAGAGTAGTCTGATCAAAATCAATCTATGGTGCAAATTAATGAAAATATCATACTTTGTGAATACAATATAACTAGGGATGCTAATGCTTGTTATTTAAAAATTAGATGAAATCATTGATGAAATTAGAAAACCCTAACTACAAAAAAGTAATAATTATAGCAAGTTTATCATTTTAGAAAAGAAATAAGATGATGATAGTATTTTGCAATACAATAAAGCAATCATGCTATTCTTGAGCGGGAAGATTAGACAGGCTCATAACCTCTTGAAATAGTTGAAGGACAACTATAACCTTGACATTTACTTAAACATTAAAGTAAATCTCCTTCTAGTGGAAACCTCATTTCAATTACAAGAATATGTTTATGCAAGCGAATTGTACAAGAAGTTATCCTCAGATGAAACCCTAAAATCACTGTAACAAAAACATCTTAAGCCCAATCAAATTGATGATTAACAATAACAACAATCCCAATAAAACTATACATCGCTTTTAATTGGGTCTGATTTGCCTTATCCAGATTCACACCCCAATACATTTAGCAAGGAGGAATTCCTTTTTCTATTGAATGTTATTAAATGTCGATTTTATATTTTGTCCAACTAAAAAGATTAGAAAAAATAATTAAATCCTCTAGAATCGTCATTTAAAAACTATATGACCCAATTAGAGTAATCAAATGGAATATCATAAAACTCAGGGCCTTCTTTTTCATAAGACATACAACCTTATTTGAAATTGCATGCTCAAATGATTTTTAAGTTAATGAAAGCCTAAAGGAATTTAACACTTAATGAGTCGGTTCATAAGTGTATTAAGATGATGACTCCATAATCTGAAATATAAAACCAACAAAATGCAGAATTCGCTCAATCCAAACAATTCCTTTATTTGGCATAAATTTATAATAATCTTGGGTGTGTTCATGCCAAAGTGGGCAAATATGCACTCGCTGCTGTTTATTTTCATAAAGCTATATCCTAAACCAAATTAGTCTAATAATAGTAGAATCTATATGAAGGAATCATTATGAATAATGTGAACAAAGATTGTATGCCATGTATTAAAATTTAGCAGATGCTTTGTTTATGGATCAGTAATACTAGAAGGCACTCAATGTTTATAATCAACTATAGGATTTGTGTAATCAGAGTGCTAAGTTTTGGTACAATAGAGGAGTATGTTTCATTCAAATTTATCATGAATCTATGCCTGACAAAAATGAATTATATGAAATTTCAGAGGATCAATCTTAATTGCATGCTCAAGATGAAGGCAAGAAGATCATTCTTCAAAGTAGAGAAATTTACAGTGATGCCGATGAGGAAGTTTAAGATTAGTTCTACAAAATTGATTAGAAGAATGAAGATAGTAAATTTGTGCAATCTAAGGCTAATAAGGAGTTACTAAACAATGCCATAAAGTAAGATAAATAAAATCTATTAGAGATCTTTTCGTAATGCAATAATCTTATCCAAAAAAGAAAAAAGAGAGGAAACCATTCATCTAGATCAAGAATAATTAATAATTTAAGGTACTTAGATATTTGAGTCTTCTATTGTATTTTTAACATATTCATTACTATGTAGAGGAGATTATAACTTAGCATTATCTCAAGGTAAGGAAGCACTAGAATACAATCTATCAGATAATAATAAATACATTATTATACAATATGTTTTGGAAGCATACATTTAAATTTCAAAACTCAAGGATGCTATTAATTTTATCAACAGCAGCAGTGTCACTTAATTTTTAAATAGAATTAATAATAATAATAATAATAGCAATTTATAATTTTAATGTAGAAACTTAGTAGGAATTCAGACAACTTGTATTTCAAATTATAACTCCAAAGCGATTTATCATTTTAATTTGTCAGCCCTTCATCTCCATAACAATAATTTGACTTAGGCTTGGAATTCAATTTAAACTATGATGAATTGCTGTGATATAAATATTAATGCAATCGATGCAGATATTCCAGTTCCAATTTTAAATTTATTAATATGGTATTACTTAAAATCAGGTAACAAAGATTTCTAATATAGATAATGTTTAACTTGCAGTCCATTTAATAAAGAGAAGAAGATTATTAACAGGATAGATTGGGAAAAATAAAATATCTCTGTTAAATATTACAAAATGATATAAATAGTAAATAATAATTAAATCATTCTTTATATATTTCTAATATATGTTTAAATTCATAAATATTTAAAAATTATAAAAAATACTGAATAGTAAGGTTGTTGCACATTCTAAAGTTCATATCTCAAATTAATCTTAGGCTCCTGTTGGAATCTTGGATTTACCCTGGAGCAATGAAAATTAATGTTGGATTTATAAATATTAAATACAAGTCATTGATAAACTATCCTTGAATCAAGTAATGAGAAGGAACAAAAATTAATTAACATTATATACATAATATCTAATACTCATTATATCGTATCAGCAATTTAGATAATTAAAGGTGGAAATCCTTTTAAATTGTAAAAATTCTCTAATTCTTATGCTGATTACAGCATCCTGTTACAAGTAAAACATATTTTGTTGTAATATTTTGTATTGGCTCTTAAATAATTGATCAATTACTAAGACATTAATTAGATAGACTTACTTAATTTGAATTATCTAAAGTTTCTACTTCAAGACGATTATAAACTTGGTCTCTTATTTCCAAACATAATGGACAATGGCTTTGTTACTAAAGAGGTTTTATGGTAACTTTTTCTGCAGAACTCAAAACTGTGAAGGTAGTGGAAGGGAACCCTTCTTACAGTTTATCAATAAATTGTTCAAGCAAATGATCAATATTACCTTGAGCTGGTTTCTAGTTTTTTATTATTGTAATATTACATTTTTGACAATGTTACTTAAATGTTGTCCTAAGATAAAATTTGGGAAGTTTATATTGGATTTTAATCTAAGGTAGTATAAAATATCCTTATTGAGCAATTCTTTAAGAGGATGCAATATTTGTAATTTGTTTTAATTGAGAGGATAGGTAAATTAAAAATTGTATTTGGTTGCTGATTATAGACTAAGTCCTCTTCCCTTGGATAATTAGGAAAATAGATCAGCTGCTAATCTTTGTCCATTTTAGCCAAAGCATATCTAAATTAAAGGATTGAACTTACATTTTAGTATCCATTTTTAATTGCATAGTCATAGATGATATGTTGTTTGATCAAACGAACAAAATCTTCCCTTGCTGATCCGCTTTCTGATAAATTATGAAGTTATTTAAGTAAAATTTAAGGATCTGGGTATATAGATTGAATATCAACAATTTGGAAAGGTAATTTGCACTCATTAGTTACAAAGTTGGTGTAATCTTGGGGTTGCTTTTAATTTCATAATGTATAATTACATATTCTTATATAAATTCTTTCATAATAAAACTTTCATTTATGTACAAAACATGAACTTCAATAAACATCTTGCTTTTGTTGTGGGCACAAGTTGAGTGCACAACGTCACTAGCCATTTTGGCTAGAGCTGTTGAATTTCTTGAGTTAGATGAATAATTACTATCCTCCAGAGAAGCAAACCAATAACTTTTCATTTTTCTAGGTTATGTTACATTTAAGTCTCAAAGACATTTTGAACATATGTTCGACATATCCAATAAAGCATTCTTTACAGACAGGGTCTTTTTGTATGATAATGTTTGGATTGTTGGTTTTACACTTCTTGCAAAGCTTGGGTTCTTTTTATTACATAAATAAATATTAAAAAATGAAGGGAAAGAAATTGTTGGATGATGATGAGGAATTTTCAAGATCGAAATCACAGATGGTAATATAATAAAATATAGGATAGGACGTATTTCCTAAATGGCAGGAATTGAAACCTTTGGGTAAAAATATTCATAGAAGATCATATCATTCATGTGTGGCTCATGAGAACTAGTAAATATAAAACGAATAATATTAGTCTTTATGTATATGGAGGATATGAAACAAACGAAGGAATTTTGAGTGATTTTTGCAGAATTCCATCTCCTGTTTCTCCAAAGCCCTTTTGTTGGACAAACTTAATGAAGAAAGCTCCAGAAGATAATGCATAAGATTAAGTTCCAGGACCATTAAGAAATCATACAGCAGTAGTTCATTAGAATAAAATGTACATGTTTGGAGGGAAGGAAAACTTGATGTCACCAACTGCAAGATTGTGGATCTATGACTTTTAGGAGGAAGTATTTGTTGAGGGAAAGGAATGCATAATTGATGGCAAGAAGATGGCAGTGGAAGGACATTAAAGTTGTTTATGGAGTGAATAAGTAGAAATGCATACAAATTATTTTTAGTAATAGATGGTTGTCTTTGGAGGATTTTACAGTGATACTGGATATAGATCATCAATATTATTTTATGATTTATAGAAGGAAATTTGGTCAATGGTATTCAAAGGAGATAATAATTCGGCATAATTTCCAAAAGGGGAGAGCAGAAGCAGGAGTTACATTAATTGGAAACACATTGTATGTATATGGAGGATGCAATTATGAATCAAGATTTGGGGATTTTTTGGAAATTTGACTTGGAAAATAGATAATATGGGGGATTAATTGTAACTGAAAAATCACCAGGAGTATATAATTTAATTAATAACTTATAGACAAGATCATCTACATCATTGCTAGTTCATCCATAAGGGATTATGTTATTTGGAGGAATTCATGATATAACTCATGAGAAAAACGACTTGTGGTTATACAGAGGGAATGAGTGGATTTAATTGGAAGAAGATACAAGTAGGAGACAAGTTGCTGATGAAATGTTAAATGAGTCTGCCTTTGACAAAGCTAGTCAGGCAAGACCACAAAAGAAGGAGAAAGGTAAAAATGAACCTAGATCCTTTTTATTGTTGGATGATGAACCTAAGAATTCTCTTCATTAAAGAAGAAACTCTGTGAAAAATCTAGATTAAAAGTAACCCACTGATACTAACAATAATTTCTAATTAAACAGTATGGATGAATTGAAGAAGAAACGATTGCAACAAAAGAAAAACTAAATGCTGTATTGAAAACATTGTATAAAAATAGGGCTGAATTCGAAATGAATGAAGAAGAAAAATCAAAGTTTAGAAGTTCATCACCCACAACAGATTAAATTAAAAATTCAATAAGTGTGATCACTAATTAAGAAAAACAAGGAGGATAAAGAAAAATCCAATCACCAACAGGCAAAAAGAATGCAATCTAGGCATCTCTTAGTGGCAAGAAACCATGTGCTAGGGATGGTCATAGTGCGATTGTAATGGGTGACATAATGATCGTATTTGGAGGAGACAGAAATTTAATGTCCTTTAATGACATCTATATGTACTCGTTCAATTAGAAATGATAATCTTAAATAACTTTAATATTCGAAATACAAAGTACGTATTAAATAAATTATTATGTTAAAAATTCTTAAATACTTTGGCACCATCAAACATTTTAAGTTGCCTGACTTGGGAGAAAGTAAAACCATTAATAATTACTAGAGATTAAGGAAGCCACTATTGTGAAATGGCATGTCAAAGAAGGTGATAAAATCTCAGAAGTACAATATGTCTCTCAGATAGTTTGATCCTGTCGCAGATGTATCCACTGACAAAATGTTCACTCAAATCCCTAGTAGCTTCACTGGAGTCATTCATAAGAGATATCACAAAGAATAAGATCAATGCCAAGTTGGAGAGTTGTTTGTAGATATCGATGTTGACGAAGCCTCATCACTTTCCAACCACACAACTCAAACAACCCAATAACCATCACCAATACCAATACCAAAACCTTAAATTGCCTCGAAACCTACTCCCTAAAGAGAATCATTACTTTAAAGGATTTCACCATCTGCTAAATATTTGGCTTAATTACATAATATTGATATTAACGATGTTAAAGGTACTGGTATCTATGGGACAATCACCAAAGATGATATTTCAAATTATCAAAACCAACCTAAATAATAATAATAAACTACTTCGACATCATAATCATAAACTATTAAAATGAGTGACTTTTAAAAGGGCATGTAAAAATCTATGACTGAATCAAATACCATCCCACATTTGTATTTACAAGAAGAAATCGATGTCACGTCTTTAGTAATTCTTAATCCTCATATCATAGAGTTCATTTAGAGAAGAATTAAAGAAATAATAAAATATTACTTTTATGACCCTCTTTATTAAATCTTTTTCTCTCGCCTTACTTTAGTTCCCAATATTAAATTCAACGTATGATCCCAGTGCCCCTTTTCAATTTATCACTCATCAGGATCATAACATTTCCATTGCCATGGATTCACCTAAAGGTTTAGTCGTACCAAACATTAAATAAGTCTAAAATCTCTCAATTTTAGAAGTTCAATAATAATTAAACAAGTATCAAAGAATTTAGATAACCTTAGATTAAAAAAATTAGGAGATGAAAGTAAATTAGGTCCCAATGAGTTGAATAATGGAACAATTTGTATTAGCAACATCGGAACTATCGCAGGTACATACGTAGGACCTCTAATTTTACCTCCTTAAGTATGTATCGTAGGAATTGGAAGAGTTGTTTTATAACCTAGATTTATTGCTGGATCTTATCAACCCAGAAAAATTGTAATCATTTCATTTATATATTACTTCAGATTTACACAAGCTTCGGTTGTGATCATAGAATATTAGATGGTGCTACGATTGCTAGATTTTAAAATACTTGGAAATAGTATTTAGAATAACCAGAATAAATGATGGTTAAATTAAAATGAAGAATTATAGTATATTGTAAGGTAATATCATTTAATTTATTTTAAATTATCTTTAAGACAAGAAATTTGGTCTAATTTATATTGTAGCTATCTCTCTCCCTTTTTATTAGTAATTGATCTCTGTTTTCTGCCTTTGAGTAATTAAACTCTAATTCTACTTACTATTCTTCTTTTGGATTCTATTCAAATTTATATCTTATGAGATTTCTATTCTATTTCCTAAATGATATTTATCTAGTTTTATTAAATTCTAGATTCAACCTTTTTCAAATTATTATTTTTTAATATTAATTCTAAATTTTCATTTCTATTTCTTAATTTTAATAGAAGTTTTCTGTTATGTATATTTGTATAGTTTGTCTCTTAGAAAAACCATTTCATTCAGATTTTCCTGTTTTATTTCTTTGATAGTCTTCATTTTCTAGGTCTGCCATACATGTTTCAAAAAAAGTTATCGTCTAGGAATTTAAAATAAGCAATGATATTGCATACTACTAAGAATAAACCCAATCCTTATGTTATTGAGAATAGATCTTTGATCGAAGATTCTTTCAAAGAGTTCCTTATTTTGAAGCGTGTTCTTAACAAAAGTTATGAAATTAATGACTTTTAATAATTAAAATGAATATTAAATACTTGATTATATTAATCGTTTTGCTATTTAATGGTGGTAAGCAATTTAAAGTAACTATAGTTCTGGCCAGCAAAATCAAAGAATGTTAAGCCAAATGTGATTCATAAATAAATATCTGCATTTATACATGTGCATAATCTTAACTGAGATAATCATTAGAAAGTTAAGCTAAATGCAAGAAGATGTGTGATGGAGTAAACAAGGAGTGCAAGACTTCTAAATGTTACTTGGAAAGTTGATTGAACAAAGCTATGAAATATCAATATGATTTAAATAAATCAATAAAACTTCCTTGCTTCAATTCTTAAGCAAAATTTTTCGGTAGTCTCAAAAAAATGTCACAACCAAGAGACAATTTTTCATACATTCAGTTAATGTGACTTTTTGAATTATCCAATTAAACAGAACTAGTCTCAGAAATTCCAGCAAAAACAACTTTGAATAAGATTTAAATCAACTTATATTAAGCAAAACTATTTTAATATTAATTGCAGTTTCTTTAAACACAGCTTTTCAATTACCTTTTCATAATTACCCGATAAATTTCCATTACATCATAATTTCAGATAGAAATGTTTTCTCTCTAATCTTGAAGATAAGAAGGCGGAACCAAAAAGCTTACTCATTGATCAACATTAATAATAGAAGAGTTTTCTAGTTTTCCTATTTATGTCAAAATTTGAGTTAAATTTATTAAAAAGGCATTTCGGAGAATATTTATTGATATTTTGAGTCAGTTTTCTTCGAACTCAGATAGTATATATACAAATATCATATATTTATATTAGTTTTAAACAAAATTGGGGATTATTTGAAAAATTATACATTTCAACAATCCCATAAAATTGTGTTCTTTATCATTTCAGACTATTTCAAAGCCTTACTTTCACATAGTTTGAATAAATCCTATTCTAATGCTTGTTTGCAACTCAAACGGTTATTAGGATTGACCTCTAAAAGTTAGTTGATTAAGTTAATAAGTTATGTGTCGCCATTAATTATTTAACCAATTTTTGGTAGTTTTCCAAATAGTAACTCATGCAAAAGAACTCCAATACTATAGCAATCCACCTTATTATTATATTTCTAATTTTCCATTATTTCTGGAGCCATGTATCCAGGAGTTCCACAATATTAATTTGTTTCAGTTGCCTTAACACAAATTCCTAAGTCTGCTAGCTTTATTATCCCATTTTGCAATAAGATATTTTCAGGCTTGATATCTCTATGAATGATTCCGTTCTAATGCAAAAAATTGACTCCTTTTAAAACTTGATATACGATATCAATTATCAATTTTTCATTTAACTTTTTTTCCTTTCGATAATTAAATAATGTTATCTCTCCTAATTCCAAAACCAATGCAATCTCTTATAATAAATTATTATACTTATTTCTCATCTTTGATTACCCCATAACACTTAAGTATATTTTGATGACTTATAACACTTTAAATAATTATTTCCGTTTTTATTAACTCTTAAATGCCTTTACTAGTTATCAATGATTTCTATATAGTTTTTAATGCTGCTATCATTCCAGTTGTTGTATCTCTAAAGTAAATAAATATTAGGATAATACATAACTGAATAAACATCACTTATATTGCCTCTCCCTAAATATTTAATCTTTTTAAATCTATTTAATGGAGATTTATGATTTTTGGACATTTGCATGTAACTAAACTATTTATCATTACTAGAACTCCTTAATGGGGTTGTTTAATTGGTTGTGAAAGATTGCCTGCTATCACTGGAAAAATTGGAAACATTGCGAATAGGTTTTGGTATTTCAATTATCATTTTCTATTCGTTTTTACTTTACTCTTTAACAAAGTTCTTCTTTATTTATATTGGGTTCGATTTTCTTGAAGTTAAGATCAATTGTTTAATTTCTTAAATTTTTTCTTTGTTTTTTTTCAATAAACTTTCATATTGTGTACAAATCTTTGGTTACACATATAGATTATCGTTGCGAATAGTATCATTACAAACGGATTGCATTTAGGGGATTATATTTTTAGAATTAGAGAAATCTGTAGATTAATGATGGTATCTGATGAATTAACTATTATTTGATTAATGATGTATTAAATACCAATTCTTTTTTTATGGTAAACGAGAAGTCATGCAACCATTTTAGACTGTTTACCACTAAAGCTCCATTTGTCTTCAATAACAAAAAATTAATTATTTTATTTTTAATCAATAATGTGATACTGACTAAACTGTATTAAATTTCTAAAGCAATGTTGATGAGTTTTAAAAAGGATTAAGACCATACCAGTATTAATTCTAATGTTCTAGATGAATATATATGTATTTATTTTTAAGATATATATTAACTATTAATGATATGGGGATATCAATTCCTATTACAGTTATCATTATTTGGAATCACTATTTGTGTGAAAGAACATCACTAATTTCAAATAGGTGTTTTCCTTTCTTATTATAATAATAATTTAAATAAGGATATATTTATTGTTTTAAAAAAACTATTCGCAATTTCTATAACTTTGAATCTTCTAGTTTATTTTGATGTTTGAAAAACATCTTTTGGATAACAAAAACATTGATGACAAAATTAAGAAAATAAGTTTTTAAATCAAAATTAATTTTTTTTGGAATTGCAAATTATTTTTGTTAAAGATTGAATTAGCTAATAATAATAACTTTTATTTATGTTAAGAATAAATCAAGCAGTTTATTTTATATTAAAACACTTTGGATCATCAATATATAACTTTATGAATTAAATCTTAAGGCAATTTTAAAATAATTATCTTTGTTTTATTTTTTTTTAAAGAAGTTAAATAAATTATGATATAATTTGCAATCCTTTCAGAGATATCACCTTAAAATTAATTAATTTAAAGAATCTATAATTTTTCATAACCCAAAGACTTATTAAGACCTATTTAATTCTAAATATTTCATTCTTAGAAAAATATTAAAATGATCAAGTTTGCTATAAGTAACTACTCAAGGTTCACAGTTGCACTCTATTTACAAATTCTCCAACCTATAACATAAATTTTACGCAAATAATGTTTTCAATTTTCTCACTTTTATATATAATAGGAATAATTATATTAAATATTTTAAAAAAGATGCAATTTTTGGTAAAATCTTCAGGAAGAGTGGGATTCTTCGGATTTGCTACAGCAGCTGCTACTCACAAGGATATTGCAGGAAAGAATTTCTTAAAATTCCAAAGCAAGTATGCAGAGTATGTCACTCAATTCAATCAAAAGCTGTAAGAGCATATTCTTAATCATGTTAGTGAAGCTATTGAGAAAGAGAATAAAGCACCAAATGTTGCACCTTAAGGCAAAGCATTCGAGCATCCATACAATAATCCACACAATCCAGTGAACATGAGTGGTGTAAGTGTTGAATACTATTTCGTAGATTAAATCATCTGAATTGTTTTACAACTTCATTGGACCAGAATAAGTCTCTCCACATTATGAAAATTTCCTTGTTGCAAGAAAATATCTGCTTCTCACTTATGGAGGATTGATTGTTATTGGATTTGCAGCAGGCACTACAAACCTTCATTGGATTGCTAAGTCATCCTTCTTGCCATTCTTATTCTGGATGCAAATCATGTACTTCTACTTGGAAGGTCGTAAATCATTTATGAAACCATTGCTTGCTAGATTTTACAGAAGAGTTGCTGGAAATGAATGTTTCTAATTAGATCAATATTATCATGAGAATATGTAACTCAAAATTAGAACACTCCTTGAAGCAGCCAAAGGATAGATTGAATATGGGTAATTACACAAGGAATTCAAAGATGTTAAAGCAGAATTAATTAATACTGTAAAATAATATAAATAATCTTTAGTTTCTTATGAATGAATAATTAAATCTATAGAGACACGTTGCTGAGAGATCTCAAAACATCCTTAAATCAGTTTAATAAGCAGAACAAGTAATATTATTTAAAGATAATAACTTAGATTAATTAAAATAGATTATTATAAGAAATTATTGAAGCTGCTTAGAAGTCCTTGGAAACTAATTTAAATAGTAACCTTCCAGAAATCTAAAAGGCATTGTTTAAGTCTGCTCTTAAAGGGTTAGCATAAGGAAAAATGACTTATGAAAGCGATCCTTTAATTGAGATGATTCTTAAAACAATTAAAGAACATGTTAGCAAAATTTAAAATTTATCTCCTGCTGAGTAAAATATTGATTAAGGTTATTTAGATAGAAGAAGTTGATTTCACTTAGCAAAGATTAATTAACAGCCATCTAAGCAAATGACAAAAAGTAACTAATATGATTGATTAATATAATAGAGCAAAGGAAGATTTCTTGAGAGCTGAACCTAAGATCGATTAAACCTTAAAAAACTATGAAAATGTGAAGAGATAAATTGCTTCATGGGGACAATGAAAGTGAGTATTTATTCATGATATCAGAATAAATATAATATTATTCAGAATAAAGATTTCATAACTATAGATTTATACTATATTTAAATATTCATACTTTTAATACATAATTTCATATCAATATGTGATAAAATCAGAGTTTAATTCATCTACTTGTTTTTGGAACTCCTAAATTTTAACTGCCATTTCCTTATTTATTTGGTTAAGCTTTATTAGTTCAATCTTGAAAATTTCCTCTAAATCAGTGTATTTCTACAGTCATAAATAAATCAATACTTATTTAATGTTTATAAACTAGCATATTAAATTAAATTGCTCGTAATTTTCATGCAATTGTTGCCTTAATTCAATGTGCTAATTATCAACATTTGCAATTGAGTCTTGTATTTTCAGACAGATATCAAAAATTACTGTGCTTAATTCTTTTAATTTTAATTTTAAATTTCCATGGATGTTTTTTTCAGCCAATTTTTCTTTTAAAACCTATAATTAATCAACTTCAAAATCTTTGAACTAATAATTATTGTTCAAAAATACTTAATGAAACTCTCCAAATGAATAGTAATCATCTGTGTGCTATCTAACTTTATCTAAGTCAGGTACTGGAAAGCTTTTTGAACTTGTAAACTATTTGTAATAATAAGGAGGAGGAATAAACATTTGATGTCTAATTTTTATAAATAATTTCTTATTTTATAAGTGATTATATTTTTAGTTAGTTACATATTACATTGTAAGTGAATGCGAGCATTAGATCAATAAATAAAAGAGGTAAAGGATATTAGTAATTAAACTTAAATTGAAGCAAATGAAATTAGTTTGTTATAATTAATTTTTGATTTAATATTAAGCTATGCTTTAAAATAAACCATCTAGGTCACTGTCTCATCATACTAAAATCACAGATTATATGAAAAAATTTATTGAAACTAATTATCGAGTATCGATCCCATCGTCCATGAAATAGAGTAGATAAAATAAGCAGAATAGATCGATTGATAAAACATCCAATGTTTTTAAAGTATTTGAATGGTTAAAATAGGTAGACCTTCCAAATGTCTAGCAGAATGTTTGTCTGAAACAAAGTTAACACAACAAATAAGAGAAAGAAAGAGAGTTATTGATTCTAAAAGCACTCCAAAAGTATCATCATCCTTGCATTATAGAACTGAGACATCATTTTATGAATAATAATCAAACAAATATGCTCTTTGATTTTATGCCCCTAAATCTCACTTAAGTAATTTAGGGACACAGGTAGAGAAATAAAGAAATTCCTCTAATATTAATTAAATCATTCGCATTTTAACTTCTAAGAGCAATTACTTAATTACACGAATGCCAAATCTGTCATAGGAATATACAGCCAGATAATATCCTAATTAATAATAATACCTTTGAATTAAGATTGGCAGACTTTTCACAAGCGAAGTTTTTAATTGAAGGAGAAGATTCCATTAACAACGTTAATAATGTAAAATACAGAGCTCCAGAATTGTTACTTGGAACCACCAAGTACAATAACTCAATTGATTTATGGGCTTATGGCTGTGTAATTTATGAGATGTGGACATTGAATGCTGTTTTTGAAGGCAACACACCAGAGGAAGTTATCGCAGAGATAATCAAGATTCTAGGAGTGCCAAAGAAGCATGAATTATAATCAATGAAGAGTTAATTTGAGGATATTAAGATGCCTCAAATAAAGAAAAAGGAATGGGAATTCAGTGAAACAATGGAATTCATAAAACAGTTTATTAAATACAATCCAACTTATAGAGGAAAGGCTCAATAATATCTGAATCATTCATTCTTTAAGGATGTTCTATCTGGTTAGATTCGTCTAAATGGAAGGGAATTGCCAAATATAAAAAACCTTAAACCTTATGAGTTAGAAATATTAAGGCTAGAATGAAAATCATGAATATGATACTATTAAAAATAATTTAATGAGTGAAGAATTAATTAATTTACTAAATCCTACATTTTGAGTTAAACTATATTTTATCTGTTAATTGTTTTTTTGGTTTGTCTCTTTATTTCGCATTAAATTTAAAAATAATAATGCAATCTAATGTTTAAACATATGCTTTCAAAAAGATTTCAAGTGAAGTAGCCGTAAGATCAAGGGGAACGTCAATTGAGAGATTTCAAACATAGGATAATGCTTAATTGTTGTTTTAAAACTAGAGACTACGCACCTAATTAGTAGTCAGTAAATAAGGCAGTGATAGTAATATTGGACTAATGAATGGAGCTTAAAATAAAAAAACCACTTTAAAAATAACTACTCGCATTTACAATAATTATTTACTTAATGGTTGTAGACCAAATAAGAAGAAATCACTTCCCATACTTCACATTTCACCAAAACCTTTACCATTATTTTTATTACCAAACAGCAAATCCTCTTCGTAAAAGGCTTGTACCACAAGAACTTGTTCTTAAGCTGATATAAAGAAATTTTAATTCAAAACGCTATTTAATGATATATGATAAATAATTTTATTAATAAAATAATGTCTTCATCAAAGATTTTATACTCTCCATCAAGATCAAAAGTTACCGTTGGAGGTGCTGACAGAGCACTTTCACCTAGTAGAGCCAAGATTTCATAACTATCAGAAAAATTATCAAATCTTTAGCACTAAGTTGATGAGGATTAGGCTGTAAAATAAAATTATAATTCAGTTTAAAAAAGAGACTTTTGAAAATAGAGTAAAGATTTTGGAAGACAAGGCTACTAAATAAAGTTAAGCTGATGATTCAAAATTTCAATTATTAAGAGAATAACTCTCGAAAATTGATGAAGGAGCTTAAAATGAAAAAATAATTAGAGAGGTAATCTTTTGAAAGAGATGATAGGCTGGCGATGAGAAGTTAAGATCCAAAGATTTGAAGTTATTAGAAGGGTTCTTAGGAAAGGAATTGCAAAATGAAAAAATAAATAGAAAGGATTTCGAAGTTAAGATTATTAAAAATACTGACGATAAAGTCTACAGCTTAAGATTGGATTTAGCAAGATAGAAGAAATATAGAGAAGAAACTGAGGAGAAAAATTCTTAAGAAATTGGAGATAGAGTATTGTAATTATAAGAAGAGGTTGAAGAAGAAAGAAGATAAAGGTATATCTTATATTTATAATATTAGGGAGGAGTAAAATCAAAATACTATAAAAAGACTAGGAGATTCTATTCTTAAATTATAGGAAATTTTAACGAATGAAAAGAAATAAAGAGAATAAGCTCAAGGTTAAATGTTTAGGATGTTGGATGAGATGAATAATTATTTAAATCATGAACTGTAAGATGAGAAAAATGAGAGAGATGCCACTGAAGAAAGTATAATTAATTTAATTGACCAAACTTGCAATAGAGTTGAAAACTCACTTAGAAAATGAATATGATTATATTTAAAACCCTAATTTTGCAATTATTAATGTTGCTAATTTTTTCATATAATTATGAAAAATTTATTTATTTTTGGGGTACTAATTGGAGTATTCTATTTCATTGATAAACAATTGAACATCAAATTTATCGAATCAGAAATACTTAAACGAAACTGTCAATATAGCTAATAAGGGGACAATGAAAATATAGAATATTGTGTTTTCATTTGGAATTCTAATGAAACATTGGCAACATTTTATTTTTTATATTCATTACCAGTCGACATAACATAAAACATCAAGATTTACTATTAGCAATTTCAAACTTCAAAATAATTAACTTTTTCGAATGTATTTTTAGAAGATCAAAAAAACTCAACATTCCCATTTATTGATTCTGAAAGCATTAAATAAGAAATCTAGAGTTCGCATAATTTAAATATGCTCGATTTTACATTGAAATTAGGCAATATCAACAATAATGAATATTATATTATGACTACTTAACTATCTGCTGTTTGCACTTATGCAATCTTCACAAAAAGTTTAAATTTAGAAATTACAGCATATTTTAAAAATAATCTGAAGTATTTAGAAGATGGTTTTGTTGCATTTCTTTGCCTTGTTATTATGTTTCTAGCGAATTAGTTGAACAAACTAGAGAGTGCTACTATGATCCCTTTAGGAAACTATATCAAACAAAACAAACCCCATATGCTTTTAATCATAATTTTAATTGCTTAACCTTTAAGACCCTTATGTTATTTCCCTGAATTTGAAGCAATAGAATGGCTAATTGGGTAGACATGCTATGCAATAGGAGAGTTTTTGTTTTTAAGGTATTTCTTATAGATTCTATCCTACTTATAAGGATAAAATAATAAAACTAACAAACTTAGGAATACTCTTGTTTCTATATTTGTAATCATACCAATCAGTATTGATAGATGGTTGATTTCATTTGAAAATCAAAGCTTTGTAATTAAAGATTTGGAGAATCAAGTCGATAATATTAATAACCTTTTGAAAATATGCTGGATATGCTATCTATTGTATGCTAGTATTTTTGCTTATGAGATTATGATTAGTTTGCAATCACATTTGATAAGTATATATATCTCTATATTCAGGGTTGGATTTATTCATAATAGATATTTTATTTTTTATGGTCTATTCTTTTTAGAAAAGTTCTTTTTATTTATATTATGAAAACTATGATCATCATCTTTTTAATCCTATCAATATGCTTATGATGACCTCCTATATTGCTCTACTACTACATACAAATTTTAATAAGGAAATAGAATAAACCTAGGAATTAACTAATGTTAGACATCAGATTGATTAGGAAGATGAAAATGGGGAGAATATAGAATCCACTATAGCTGAATATTATATGGAAAAATCTTCTGATGATCAAACATTAATTTGAAGAGTTATGTGAAACCTTTTTAGTATAAATAAATGATATAAAATTATTTGTTAATTAATTTATTCATGTTTACAACCTTATTATATGAAGAATTAATATGAGCGTATAAGATGAATATTTATCAATTAATTTGGAAATGATATTGATGTTCACAAATAGATAAAGATTATTTGGATCGAATACACAATTAAAAAATGGCGCAAGACCTTTTTTGTGTATGAAATTGCAAAAATCTATAGGTTTTTAAAATAAAGTAAAGTAAAATATATGTATATTAGTCTTTACTAGATATTAAAATTTCGTAATACTAAGTTTAATTTATTTGAATAATAGACAAAACTTAACTATCAAAGTTCATCAACAATAATATCAGAGGCTATTTCGATTAAATCTTCTTATTTAATGTTTGGATAGGAATTCAATATCATTTCAATAAGAGTAGCAAAATCATATTCTTTTTTTATGTTCATTTTTTTTGCAAACGATTAAATGAACTAATGTAGATTGATCTTATAAAATTCTTTCCCGAATTTGTTAATTTCCTTTTCAACAACATTCCAATCTATAATTTTTATATCCGTGTCATATTTTTTTTATTGCTAATTCTTAGGAAATGATAATGGCTTTTTGTAAAGTAGTTCTTTATATTTTTGGTAATTGCTAGTAGGTATTCTCCGAAAAAAGAAAGATGGCTTGTTTTATCCTTGCCTATCTGTGTAGCATCCTTAACGAGGAGTATGCATTTTTGTTTAGATTGGAGATGCTGCAGATTTATCATCCATTATATTAAGGGAGAGTCGATGATTCCAAACCATATTACAAATAATTTGTCTTCCTCCCAAATTTCGTTAATCCGGAATAAACATAATATAAAATTATTAATCCTCAACAACAATCAGATAAATTCAAAATTTGAAACTAACTACGAAATTCAATCTGATTTCTATCCAAAACTTCACCCAAATCACCCTCAATGCAGAAGAATTAAAACAAATTAGAAAGTTAGCTAAATAACAATTATTGAAAGACTCATAAAATCTTCACACATCATACGAATTTAAATGGTCATTGTGTAATAATAAAAGAATTTTGAACTAAATATAGGAACTGAGGTTATCAAAATAAAATGTATATTGCGCATTATCTGCCAATAATGTAATAAACTTTCGAAGATTTATGAATAATCCTGATTTATAGATTATTTATAATTAGACAATTGCTTTTACAATATCTAAGAGAAAATACTCTACTCTTGTATAAGAAAAGAAATAAGATTTTCAAAGAAATTAAGGGATATTATAAAATTTAATTGATAAATTGAAAATTTATTCTTTAAATTTATTTAATAAATATGCAAGGGAATACTATTAAGTATTATAAATCATTAACAGCTAATTATTTAATTAGATGATAATTAATTTTACAATATACTTCATTTTTGTTTGATATTTTGATTCAATATTTAAGTAAAAAACATTGCAAAATAAATGGTTAATCTCTATCTAAAAGAAGGCTATGAGTATAATTTTAATAACATCTAGAAATAGTGTGCCGCGATCTTGTTCTAGACTTTTAAGGAAGTTAAACAAAAGTATTTTAACACATATTCAAATTAAGAACAAATCAAAAATAGGCTATAATAATTTACATGTTCAATCACAAAGGTCTATATGTAAAATGAATAAATCTTAACATTAAACAGATAGTATATTTAAGTGTGGCTAATAGATGTAATATTGTAATGAGGAAGTATTTATCTAAGAAAATGATGTTTTTCTTGTATCTTATATTGATATTATATTTTAATTTCATTATTAAGAATAGCTAATATCAAGTCTACTAATTATTCGGTTGATTCTTTATTCTCTAATGATTCTTAATTCTCTATGATTAATTTCTTCATTTTCTTTCAGAAAAATGTGTATAATTTTAGGTATTCAATATCTTAATTATAAAAGTGTTCAAAAATGAAAAGATTCATTGTTTCTGGTTTACAACTAAATATTATTGTAATTAGTAACCAAATTATTATCCTAAAAAATTTCAAAGATGATTCTTTTAACTATTTTAATTGGGTTTGGTAGTGCTTTGATGATTAAATAAACTCATACCACTAGAGGTATAAATGTAATAGAAATTGATTTGAACAATTATGACGAATTTACTATTGGTCAATCAACTCTAGTAATTAGTTTGACATATAACTCTATTATTTCGTACCCTATACTTTCATATTGCTCTATAACGAATTTAAACATTATAAAAAGTATAATAAGCTCGATATCTCAAGTTAAAACTTAAATAGAATCAAATAAGTATATTGTTTACAATACTTAGGAAATAGTGTATTTTTGATAACAATGCTATATTAAATTAATAGAGCTAGCAATAAATCATATTATATGATTATAATGAAGAGCAGTCTGAGTGGATTTACAACAAATTTAGTATTTTTGGTATTAAGGAAAGAAAATTCTCAATTTACATTTTTTCAAGTGAAGACGCAGAATATTAAATAACAATTGCCGATTAAGCGCCGTTAACGTGCTTTTCTAAGTATAAGGTTAATTATTGATAGAAGTTGTAACAATGTTGGGATATGCTCATAAAGTCAACCTTCGTTTTGTGTATGCAATGGGAATTTATTTGGAACTAATTGTTAAATTTCATCACTTCCCTACAAGGCAAATGAATAATAAATCGTAATATATGTGATAATAATTAGGTAACTCTCGAAAGCCAAAAAGAGGTTTTAATTTCAATACCACTGAACTTGAATAATACGAATTCATTAGACATAAACATAAATGCTAATTAAAAAATCGATTGTTTTTTGGCATGCCAATTTGAGAAAGATTACCTTCCATTTCATGATAGTTAATTTTATGATTTGAATAAGATAGATAATGGAAAGATCCCATACTCAAGTGAGAAAGTTTAGGAATGTTTAAGTCTATTTGATGAAATTAATTAAGAACTAGGCTAATAAATGGCTCCACTACTTTTATTATTGTTTTATAATAAATAAGCAACGAATGTTTTAATAACACTGAGTGTTGACACAAAAAAAAATGATCACTCAGATGATAGAGTTATATATTACATTCTTGCTGGTGCATTTGCATCCTTGATATTGGCTTTTGTATTGATAGGTTGCGCACTTATTTACAAAAGGAGGAACAATAAATAATTTGAGCAATATTCATCAGATCGAAGAAATAGCACAGAAAAATCACAAAAAGAGGGGAAATTTCATGAAAGATAATTCTCTGGAGATTTTATCCCTGTTGAATTATATGAATAAGTGATACAAGAGTATCCAGGATTGAATATGATCACAGAATGTTAGATCTGTTTAGTTGAATTTGATAATCAGGATTTAGTGAAACTGACTTATTGTTTGCATCTATTTCATTAATCTTGTTTAGACGAATGGAGAAAGAAATTGTAGGTACAATGTTCTGTAATTTAGATATGTCCTGTTTGTAGAGGAGACTTGACCAAATAAAAGTATAAGGAGAGATAAAAGGATTAGGAAATATTTTAATTTGGAGTAATTGCTGGAGATGACATCTAAATTGATAATAAAAAGATAGAAGAAATCATCAAAAGGGAATAGAGAATTAAACAATTGTAAATAACTATATTTAAAATTAGACAACTTGCTCAATCATCCTCTGTAATAAATACTCTGAAAGAAAGTTCTCCATCACCATCATCAGGAGAACCTTTGAAATTAAAATTTTAATAAAAATAATAAAAGTGAATAATCTTATTTAAATAATCAATATAGAATCATATATGAGTGTGATCAAGTATTCTTGTAAATAAATAAAATTATAAAAATTGATTTACTGGCTCATAGTATGATTCAATCAGAATAATTTATTAAAGCTAATTTGGTTGACACTTTTATTATTATTAATAATTTTATATGAAAATGAAGAAAATTTTTCCTTCAAATACTTAAAACTATAACTCAGTTCCTCAATTCGAATAAGATAATGCTACTGTGCTAAGGATGTATCAATCAACGATTTCTAAACCTCCCCTTTCCGTTGTTCCTAGCGAGGCCAGTCAAACTTATTACTAAATCATCGAAAAAAATAAATTGTAATACCTTGAATACTACAATCAATTCAACGAAATGAGATTCATGGAAAACATGGCAGGTTTTTTGAATTAATAACTTAAGGCTTAAAATCAAGATAGCAAAAATAAGTTCTTTTAGAAAATTTTCTCAATATGTTTGATGATATGATCTCTTGCCTCGTCGTTATCTAAAATACTCTGCTTCTCATTAACTTTGATCAACCCGATTTTCAATAAATTTATAATATTACTCCAAGCACAATGGCTGACATATTATTTAAAGACATTAAGGTAAGAGAATCCTTATTCATTATTATTAGACTTTAGAAGGGCTTCATTTGGAAATACAATTCTCTTCGTCTCTTCGATTTTTAGAAACAGTGTTGGAGGCTCTTGAATTCAACCCAGAGCACTCCAACAAAATACATTAATTGGATGTAAAATAATGGTCTCAAAAGTGTTATAATCATCTCAATAATTTCATGATTGCTCAATAACAAATTAAAAATTCTTAACGATCCTGTTGTTGCTTTAAATGAAATAAGATTATTTATATATATTTAAAATAAGTAATTATGTAATTCCCCAAGAATCCCAATCAAAAGTAATTGCAGCCTCACTTTCGAAGTCAGTCTTTGAATAAATCTTAATCCTAAAGAAATCCTCCTCAATTTATACCCCAACTACTCCAATAACAATAAACTCTCTAAAAATCAATAAACTATGATGAAAAAGAATTACAAATAACAAATAAAAGATTACACATTTTTGGTGATTTAGTCCTTCCTTCAACTAAATTTACAAAATAACAAAATCAATCCATTGCTGACGAACTCTGCGATAAGGTATCATCCCTAAGAAAATACGCTAATGTAAATATGACCAGATAAAAAGGTCGAGGAAGACTAAAAACTTAGATTAATGATTTTGAAAATTCGATTGTAAGTTGTTAACGATTAATTACAGATCCTGGCATTATTTCATAGAAAACACCTAATTAATAACTATTGATTGACAAAGAACAAGTGATTTAAAATGGTGTTAAATATCCATATCAAATATACTTAATCAACGACTAAAGGAAGAAATTTATTTCCGATCTTTTAAAGAGCACCAATCTAATTGATATTTAAGATGGGTTCAATTTAACCCAGATAAAGCAAGATTTAGGCTAAAGACTAAGAACTTAAGTTCGGTCTAATTAAATAGAAAAAACTAAAAAAGAATTAACATCAAAGAAATGCATGAACAACGCATTGTATTCCTTATTAGCATTAAATAAACAATCTCAAGAGACAGTCAAAATGAAATATAGATAGAATCTTCCAAAGGATTCTAGATTCTATATTATATGAATTATGTTTGTATCTAACTTATTTTTACATTTGTTAAACTATTTCGTTGTATAAAATCTATACTAATTATTATCAAAAAATATTTGAATTTATTTAATATTTGAAATAGGCTAATATAATAATTATTATTTACTTACAATTTCATGTATTTTGACATTTATTATAGAATGAGATTTTGAGGAGTAATAAAAAGAGTTATTTCTAAATATTAACATAGATCAGCAATATTAATATTTTAAGATTCCTAAATCATAAAGAATTATAATATTAAGTTTAAAGAACTCATAATTTTAATTTAATAAATTGAATTATCTTTTAATTTTGATATTATTAAATAAATATTAATCTTTTTCAATCTATTATTGATTCTATCAACAAATGTGATAAATTTATTAGGGTGGAGGGATTAATTTTGAGCACATAATAAAAAACAAACTTTTATATTCTTTCTAATTTTTAATGAACTTGATTAAATTTTTCAGCTGAACACTCGTATATTCATCAAACCATTACTATTATTAGATCTATCAGTGTGTATGATGGTATTATAATAAACAAAACTAACTTATCGTAATTCGATATTTTATTTTACTTATTTTCATTATTTTAATACTTTCAAACTTGAATTTTAATCCTATAGCTCATCCAGTTTGGTTTATATTCTCCTTTACTTCAAACTTCTAGTATTTAAATAAATTCTATTTTTGTATAATCAATACAATTATATGAAGTCATACAAATTAAAAGAACTAACAAAGCTGTGAAATATTTATTATTTTTCTTCAAATTAAATCAATTTTCACTGAAATAGTTTAAAGTATCTATAGTAGTGAATATAACGTATATTAGTTTATGAATAATAATTAATCATAACAATCATTAATTAAAATTCAAATGAGAAAAGAAGATCAAATACATCTCTCGTCCTTACAGATTTGGAATGGTATGGACACTCCTGTTCATTAGAGCTCTAACATTTTTAGTGAAAAGTTTAAATAGAGTTCAGAATTTCATTATAATTGCAATCAACCATTTTGTTTACAGCATCCTGAAAAAAAAGTAAGAAATCTTTAATTAAATAAAGGCTAAATACGTCTTACTGAATGCTGAAGGACCAAATGAAAAGCTTTGTACTAAATGCGCTGTTGTTTTTGCATAATAAGGACATAAAATTTAATTAATTGAGGAGGGTACATTAATGGTTCTAAATATCTTGTAGATAATGCTAAGAAGAAATAAACTGACTCATTTATAGATTAACTACTCCAGACCAAAAGCGAAATCGACAACATCCATTCAAATTTCCTGTGCACTGAGGCAAATTTAAAAAAATTTTATAATGACCAATATACTTAGGTAGTTAAAACATTCGGAAACATTGAAAAGTAACTACATCTTGTAATCGATTTTATTTATTTTTAGTGTAAATCTGAGTTACTTTTTGCTTTGTCACAATAACTCTGGTCAGGAATATAGTAAACAAATTAACTAAAAGTATAAGCTAAATAAATAGATCATCAAATAGCAACATATATTAATGATATTAAGAATCATTACGAAAAAATAGTGTAGATGAGTCCTCTCCCCTTCAATTAAATCATGGGGGGATACAGCAGCAAACTCTTTAAACTTTAATAGTGCCTTAAAGAAATCTAAGAAAACAAGATGACTTATCTTCATTATGAAGGTAAATTGGTTGGCTTTGATCAATTCCTAAAAGACTTAAGCTTTTTGAACGAAAAGGATTAGCCATACAATATGAGAAATCACGAAAGTACCAGATCTAGTTCAGAACAGAAAACCTGCAAAAGTGTAGAGAAGGAGAAGAGACACTTAAGTCAACCTACTAGTAAGGAAGTGAAATGCTTTGAGAATTCTGATAAGAAAATGACATAAAATTTTAAAATAACTGAATAATCAATTGAGGAATGGATGGAAAATTCAAATTCAAAGTAGAGGAAAACAGAGCCTACTGAGAAATTAGCAAGTCCTAATATTTTGGCTATTAAATTTGTCAAAAAGCAAATGCCTCCCAATAGAGCATCTATGAAGTAAGAAACAAATCAAGCTATGCTTAATAAACTAATTTCTGAATTTTCATAGATCAAGAAGGATAGAGTTAAGAAAATGTAATCGAAAACACCTGAATTAGGAAAAACTGTTTAATAGACAATTCCTAATAAATTTTCCCCAAAGTTTCTTTATAAAAATTATTATAAATGATTAATTAATAACTCATTAGCAAATTTTGTGAGTCAATTTTTAATAAATTATGATTTATCATTATGAAAGAGATTCTCTAAATTATATTCTTTATTAAACTTATGAATGTCCTTGTATTATTCCACTAGCAATTTTATCTTTTAGTAATTATGATTTCATACTTCGTAACTTTAGAATGTATCAAAGCGAAGAGGCTCTTTAAAATTTTCGAAATTAAATATAACTTAGCTAGGATAAGATATAACCCAATTAAATTTACTGTAATCCAATTCTCTGAATTTTATTTTCTTCTATGGGTTTAAAAAGTAAATCTTTTTAGCTGAAAATCCCAAATACATCGTAGCATGTACCTCCATTCCTGTTTATTTGAAATATGTTTAAGTTTATTCATAGGTTTACACCTAAAAAATGGCCATACTACCCTAAGTAAAAGTTTATGAAGCATTGATGATGATCAAAGCAGCCAAACATCTTTTGTCAGTAAATTTAAATTATGAATTATCCTTTTTTTACAGTCTCTCAACTCTATTTAATTACTAGAATGATAAAACACATAATTTTTACACTAATTTTATCTAATTATTCATTCAATGAAACTATGCATTCCTTTGTGAATTCCTTCCATTCAGAATCAGATTTCCCTGAATATACATCCTGAGGTATAACTTTGGTGATTTTGTCTAGTTACAGATTGTTGAGAGAAACTTCAATTTTGTCTTGATACTGAAACATATGAGAATTGAGATTACCTTTATATGATAATACAGTGCAGCAAATAGACAATAGTCTTTGAATCCTAAGTAATACTTACCATCATAAACATCTTCCAAGATAGAGAATCCAAGATATATTAATCGAGTAGGGTCTTCTCTGTAATCAAACTCTTCTAGTTCTTGTGGCATATACAAATATTTCCTCATCTTAATGACAACACTCCTCTATAAATAAATTAGTACTCTGTGTTAGATGCAGTTATTAATTATTCTAATTTATTGAGCCATCTATGGTTATTTTAGTATTCGTCATCGTAAGCCTTACTAATTATTTCATCATCATCAAGAATTCTTTACTTTTTCAACTAATCAACCAAATACAACCGAAAATCTTTATAGTATATTAATTGATTGTATCCAGCGACAAATGGAAGTACCTCACTTACTCTGGCCTTATCATCTACTCCTATCTCAGTAATAGTTCCATCAGGCATAGTAATAATGACTCGCTTCATATTTGGTTCTGTTGAATATTTTTATTGCCAAATTACAACTCTGTTTGGTTATACTTGAGCAATGCTTTTCTTTCTGCTTTCCTTTTCTATACAGACTGCCTTTAAGATCTCTCCAGCACTCATCTTCAATCTATCTACCAATACTCCTTAGATTTTCAATTCATCTAATCCATCCAAAGTAGTGTTATATTTACTAAAAATTGATTTCTATTGTTCAATTACTATTTAAGGTAACTCGAAAAAATTAAATGGCAACTCTAAAATCGATGTTAAACATACTTAAATCATTGAGTATCTATGTATCCCCTTAGGCTTCTTTAGATTAGAGTAATGTTTATAAAAATCCTTCGATTACAAATTTACGTTCTTCAATTGATTTTGTCTTTTAATAAGTAAGCCAACTTTAATTAGGGAATTTTGGAAATTCAATCATTGGATACTTTTTTGAATATTTCTAATACATTGCTTCAACTTCACTATATCTAACGAATATCTTGGATTAAATAACAAATTTACATTTTAATAAACTTTGTTTATGGAGATCTCGGTTATGTATTAAGTATGTTTTTAGAAAGACTGGAAATTTCTTTCCTCAGTTCCCACAATTACAACTTAAACTGGATATCTCATAAATGTCAATTTTCCTGACTTCAATTCCCTTTAGCATTCTTATTCTCTATTAAATTAAATGAGCTTTTCAAATTGTTCAATTGCTTTTTTCTTAATTGATAAGGACTCTGCAAAACACTATAACACTTCTCCAACACCTACAATTTAAAACAAATTGTTAAAATATTTAGTGTCTGGCTGATCTTTGACAAAAGACAGTGAATCCAATTTGACTTAATTAAATAATTTATTCTCATGAATCACAATTAAAAGATCGGTTAAAGCATGTACTTAAACAATTAACTCTTTATTTGCTTAAATAATGTTTAATTTCTCTTCAAATTTATAGATTCTCAATGGATCTGAGAGTAAATCCATTTTATTTAATTTAAATTGATCACACAATTCACTAATTTACAGTCTTCCAATATAGATATCAATAGATTTATTGTTCTCTTCATTGATGTCCCTAAAGTATTTATGTAAAAATTTAATATTCTTCATGTCTGGATGATCGTCTTCTGTGTGTTTTTCCAAGTCTTTGAATAATAAAATGTATTTAGGCAATCTTTAGACTGGTTTGACTAAGAAACTAGACAAATCCATCCCTCTTAATTCTGGACTTATGAGAGTTAAAAACTATTTGAACTTTTAATCACTTTGCTTTAACTTATCAACAAGTTAATTAGATTTGCTGAATTAACTACAATAATCGAAATAGCATCTGAATCCTTTAGAACTCACATTCATCAACTGTTTTGTGTTTCCTTCGAAAACAACCTTAGAATTAATACAACTAATTACCCAATATGGTTTATAAATGTCCTTTGCATTTCCAATATATCCTTGATAACTAAATTCTAAGGCTCTTAGGAATTCCTAATTCCATTACGATATTTGGTTGCAATTCATAAATATAGTTTTGATATTCTCTTAATTGATGTATTACTAGGCCAACACCAACACTTTCTCACTCAATATTTTGATATCATTGCAATATTGTTTTTCCGTGTTATAAATTTCAGCAATCACATTCTTTCTATATCTGTGATTCTTTTTGAGTTTTTGATATGCCTTGACATCTTGTTTACCTTTAAACCATCTTTATAATTTGGCTGCTGCTCTCTTGACTTTCACTGGAATGTTCTATGAACCAAGAGCCTGATTAGGTTAGTTATTAGATTATATCATTAATATTAAAAAAATAGAAGCATAATTATCTGTTTTGTTTGAAAATTCACTTATTAGGAATCATATCGATATTTTTATTAGAAGATGTTGATTATTTGAATTTAAATTGCTTGAATTAATTATTTCTGCTTAAATTGGTGTTTGTGTATATTCTAAGAATTATGTATTGATTATAAAAAGGTGAAAGGATGGGTTTTGTATTGGAATCCAGGATTGAAAAAATATTATATAATAATTATATTATTTATGGAAGAACAGTTGTTATAACCTGTTACTTATGGATCCGTGATCTATTTATCGACAGAGAGCAATCTGAATAGTTTCATGTTCAGCGATGGATTCATGGATAAGAGTGTGAAACTTAAGAGCTTTGAATCCATTTGCTAAGTGGTAACTTATGATTACTTAAGTAGGATTATTATGATTTTTCTTTCAGCTTATTCATGGTACTTCCTTTTTCAAGCATTCAATCATTCGAGCATCAGGCCAATGTGATTCAGGAATGGAGAAAGAAATTGATTGATAATAATGAGAATAGTAATTATAGTTAAATATTTTAGAGCTGGAAAAAAGAAGAGAAGCAATCTAAGAGATGTGGAATAAATTAGAATCAGAATATTAATTCAATTTGGGTGTTATTCAGAAAAGTTATAATGCTTCTATATGCTTTGCGAGTAGTAACTTCATGTTGTTGCACATAAACTCCCTCAAATTCCTCACTTTGTATCAGGATGACAACAACAATCTATTGTAACATATGAAGTAATCCTAATAGTCTTCAATTAACCGAGAATCCTGATGAGTGTTGTTTCTTCAACTTTGATCCCTCCTTGAAATTGCAAAGAGGTAGGTCTGACAATTTCGTATACGAGGATGAGATTGTATATATAGCATGTGCAAAAAAATACAGCGGCAAGTCCCCCTACTTGAGCATAATTTAAAATGACACTATTATTGGTTTGATAGATTCAAAAGAGAATTGGAAAGTCAATATCTACGAACAACCATTCAAAGAGTCCACCTACATGAGGGTTGGCTCCTGCGTTTGGATCTTAAGTTCCGAAATGCCTTTATTCTTCACCTGCTAAAGACCTGATGATCCCTATTATCAAATGTATATGACCTCCAAGAACCCCAATTTCGCCAAGGAGAAAAAAGGCATCTTGTATGAGTGGCAGCAAAATGACAAAAAGGATTTGAAGGAACAATTCCTTAATTAGCCTCGAGAATTGTTATTGGATGGATTGCAAATTCTATTGACCCTAATCAAAACACCTAAAATTGGGTAGTCGGATGAATTAAGTCCTTTTGGCTTATGGAAAATAGAATCCAATAATGTTAAGCTTGGAGGAGAGTTGAAATGGGATCAGACTTACAGATTAAAGAACATCATTACAGGATGTTATTTGTCCGTCTAAGGGAGTCCCACCAATGCCAGATTAATGCCATATAATAGAGCGAATACTAGTTCGAAAAATGCTGATTTTTCATGCACTGAATTTCGATTCGTGCCCATTGACAATCTAATTCAATATAAGGGAAAAACCAAGTCGATTTAGAAGATATCGAAGGATGCCTTTTTCATGATTCAACATGCAAAAACTGGATTGTGGGTGTCACTCAATTAAAATGAAGGCATTCAACAGCCCAATCTATTAGATTATGTTAAGGATATCAATACCTATAGATTTAGAGAAGCCTCCCTACAGTAAGTTTGGGAGACCTATTGTATTACTGCAAGTTAGAAGCTATTAATAAAATTCGCAGAATATCCTAAATCTGATATAGAGAGACAATAATTTGATTTTCTGTTTGAAAGAGTTAAGGAGATGATTCAATTTCTGAGTGAATTCTTAACAAACAGTCAGGTTGCCAATATGAGTTTAGATCAAGAGCCATTATAAGTGTGTAGAGGAAGATAGGATAGATTCAAAGAATAGTACTCCTTGGGTTTGCTTTGTTGGTTGCTGATTGAGATATTCCCGACATTGGATGAATTTGAACTTTATCAGATCAATCCAGATGATGGATCCAAATGGACTCTTAAAAGAAGGAAAGGCCATTCTAAGATATGTATAATCATATAATATTTCAATAGAAAACACATCCATCAAACAGGAAACAGAAATCATCAAGAAAAGATATGAAATATGTTAGTTAGGATATCAATTGTTAAGTATTGCTGCAACCAGGAATTAGGATAACTAGCAATTCATTCTTAAATTCCTAACCAATTTGAGTAACCATATAGGATTTGGTTCATTTGTGACTTAATCATTAAAACAATGTTTCAGGGACAACAAAGAAATCCTGGAAGATTTGCATCGTCAAAAGATCAATGAAGTTGCACAGAGCTAATATCAAGACATCTTTCAAGCCATGGCTCATCGACTGAAACAATTTGAACCTTATTACAAGGTGGAAATCTTGGAATTGCTGTCGGCATTCACATCTCAAGAACATTAATCAATATACATAAACTAGGAGAAGATCTTTTAGGCTATTGTTGAAAATAAGAATTTCCTCTTTGGCCATCTAATGAGAATTGATTACTTAGACAACAATCTTCTGGTTGAGTACAGAGTTTTTGTTGAACGGGAATATGAGAGCAAATAACTGTAAATTCAGGAGTTCTTCTTAAAACCTCAAGAATAATAACAAAGACAGATTTTCGATAACAAATTTATCGATTTTAGAATTTAACAATATTTTCTAGAACAACTAAGATTATATGGAAAGCTATGTCAAAATAGAAATTATGCATGTGTTAAGAATCTTTAGGAGTTATTGCCAAGAAAGGCCTTGTTGTATTATTTGGGAACTTCAATAGATGATGAAATTAAGGCCATTTTATGTTAGTTAATATTAAATCTGTACATTGATCAAGAGCCAAGGAGTATCATAAACAAGCCAAGTTTCGTGAGAGTGTTGAATACCTCTAATTACAGTGGGAAGGATGACATTACCGATAGATTTATAGAAATCAATCTTACAAATGACATTCAAGGAACCTATTAGATCAGAAAATGGTTATTAGAGTATTTGAGGGCCAAAATTGAATATTTGGATGATCCTAATGTCAATGAAGATAAAACAACAAGCATTTACAATGAATTAACATATGAAGTAATTAGATGTTTAAGTTTGATGGTCAAATTTGGATTGTTTTCTAAACATGCAAATTAGTTGCTGTAAACTACATTGAAATTGAATAATCAAAATATAGATTTGAATAATTTGTTTAACGATTTGAAGAATTTAGTTTGTTATTTAGCAAAACTATTGGAGTACGATCACAATTACTTTTAGGAATTGAAGGTAAATCAAATTAAAAGATCATATATGGAAGAGAAGGAAGATTTGAAATACATGATAAATTTAAATATTTTTCAGAAGGCTAAAGTCGAGGAAGAGGAAGAAGAACAAGGAACTTTGCACAAAGAATAAGACCTTTCGTAGTCCTTCCCATTTTTGAAGAGATACACAAGTTTATTCAAATTAATCAAATACTTTACTACAAAAACATGTAAATTTTAGAAGCAAAGCAAATTCTTTATCTTGATTAAAAAAGAAATATGTGGCATTTTCCAAACTCTTTTAGAATGGCGAGAAGATATTCAAATTGGAAAAGCAATCAATTGGTTTCAGAAGAAGTAAAGTGATTACTCAAACATAGAGGATGAAGAAATAGCGAATGAAATTATGCCCAGTTTTAGTATTGAACCTGGCAAATACAATAAGGATGATGAAGAGGATAACATCCATCAAGAAGAAGAAATACAAGACTTTGATCACATTCTTGAAAGACCCTTTGTTGAAGTCCTGATTTTGGCATTCTATTTTGCCTAGGATCCCGATTTACAGAATTCAGTTGTCAATTTGCTTTACAAAAGATTTACATAAAGGAAGAAGCTGTTGTTAAATTTAAAAAAGGTGTCGCTTGTTTAGCCTGATAACAATTCCTATAAGCTCTTATCTACATTAGTGAATGATATTAAGAATCAGATCAGTTACAGTCAGTCTTGGTTATAAATAATAGAATCTAATGTGTATGATGAGAAGGCAGAAGAAGCCTTGAATTAGACTGTTGAAAAGTTTAATTCAATATTGAAGGAATTTGAACAAAAGTGCGATGCTGAATAATTTAATATCAAATAGAAAATATTTAAACACTTGGGAGGACATAAGTTAATATTGAAGTTTTTAGAATCAGGGATCAGAGTCATCTACTCCAAAATCAAGTACTTCCACATATCCGCAGAAGAGGAGAAGGAGTTGGCTAACTTTGCCATTACTCCCGGGTTGAATAGGATTAAAAATTTACCTCCCTTAAGTTTGGAATAGAAGAAGCCTGAACCTGCAGCTATTGAGAATTCAGATCAATATTCATACAGAAAATAATTCATTCAGTATGTTATTAAGGTTTTTACAACTTCTCATTAAATTTTAAGTAAATTTGCAGAGGGGAATAAAAGTAATCAAAATTCAATTTACAAGATCTACGTAACATTGCTAGATAAGCCTGTTAGAATTAATATTGGGTAGGTAGCTTTCCTCAAATCCCTTTATACTAATAATGTAGATTTGTGTTTAAAACCCTAAGATTAATGCTTTGATTATGTTTAGCATTTAATAAATGATCATGGTCATCAATATGAATTCTTGGAAGTGATGCTTGTGTTTTTAAAGGCATCGAAGGAGACAGATTCATAAAAAATATAAGTAGCCATAATGTCCAAGATTCTATCAAATTACAATTATTTTGATCCAACTAAATAAATCATCCCAAAAAGGGATTTGCCACTGTTTTATGAAGACAAACGCCAAGAAGAAAGACAACTGATGTTTAGGAAGAAATTTATCTAATTGGTTAGCGGATGCATTGAAAGTGAAATAAGTGTTAACTTTATTGTTTAACTCCAAGAGAATCTTTCAGTTAGATAATTGTTATAAATGCTATTGTATGACACGAAATCTCCAACTGGGTCTTTGGAAATGAAGGAACAAATATTTTCGATATTGAAGATCTATTTTGAAAAAATAGACAAGGCCTTACATGAATTCTAAAGTTGCTGTGCTGAGTTTACTAAATTGTTACAAACTGTATCATAAAAGATGCAATAGCCCAGGATTTCAAAGGAAGATCAGTCCTTCATCGCATTACAGATAGTTAAATTGGTTAATGTGTATTTTATGAACTTTCTTAAAGATATTGGAATGATTTCATTAAAAATGTTAGCCTAAGACTAAAGTATTCAAAAGGAGAAATTCATATTTTAATTTGCTTAGTAATTGGTTACTGCTTTGCCTAAATTTGATAAATTACCTGCATACAAGGCAGGATTCATGGAATTATCCAATAATTTTAGTCTGCATCTATCTGATGATTATTTCTCATAATTTGAGAATAATCATTAGGAAATTTAAATTAATAATAATCAACCAACATAGTTAATTTAATAATAAGATTCCGAATAATTTGATAAGTCATCTTCTTATGAATCTTGGAATGCGTTTGTCAAAAAAATATTAAAAAGTTCATCAATCAAGAAAGCAGTATTGAGTGAAAGAATGAAATTCAAAGAGGTCATCTTAAATGTTTAAGACATATTTGAAAAGCCTAAGGAGACTATGGATATTAGACTTAAGGATCTCATCATATCAAGGGATGACATAATTGTTAAGCTGTTAAATTACATAGAACATTGGAAAGTCAGGAATGCCAGCAGACACACTGTAATTTTCATAATAAAATCGATAAGAGCATTGTTGTAGATAAAGAATGAGAAATAACTAATAAAGATGTAAATTCATTTGGATTCACTTAAAGCAACGCAAATAGCTTTAAGACTCTATTGGAGTGATAAGGTAACTGAGGATCTATATATTTATCAATTAATCAAGTGGATTATTTCTTTGTTAGAAGGTGGGAACAAAGTAATTTAGATGAGCATTTTAAATTTGATGAAAATGAACTCAGATAGCGAAGCCTTTTTCTTAAAGATATACACAATCCTAACAGAATATATGACTTCAATGAGAAAAATGAGAAAGAAGGACGATCAGAAGAAAATTAGAAAGAGGAAATTCATCGCAAAGACATTGTAGGTGATACAATTGTTATGTGAGGGTCATAATAATGATCTTTAAAACTATCTTAGACAACAAGCTAATTCAAAAGTGTCATATGATATAGTGTCATTAATGGTTAAATTGGTTATTTCAAATAGAATATCTGATGCAACATATGAATCTCTAGTGTAGTGTTTAGACACTTTAACTGAAGTAGTTTAAGGTCCTTGCAAAGAAAATTAAGTTGTTATTGTAACTAGTAAATTTGTTTCTTGGAGTGTGGATTTGTTAAAGGAAGATCCCAAATTATTTGAATATAATAAGATAGATATTCAATAGGTTAAATTAAAAAGATTGAAATTTAAGTGTACTAACACTTTGCTTAGTTTAATGGAGCTTTAGGAGGAAAATGATGAAATTATGAATCTTTTAATTCGAAGCATCCCGATCACTATTTTAGTTAATGAATTAGCTAAGTTTTATTTGTTATACACTTCATTCTATAAGAAAGAATATGTGGTTGAGTGTTTTAAAACATACCTGGATGAGGGGGATGATTACGAATTGAAGAAAAAGAATGAATGTATTATCGAGTACGGATTCAACTTGTTCATCATAATCAATATTTTAATGTTGAAGAATAAAAAGTCTTAAGAGGCGGATCTGGAAGAAATTCGTAAATTAATTGACGAGTATTAATTTGTCAACAAAAAATCTAATTAGGGGTTAGAAGGACTATTAGATCTTAAAATAAATATAGATCTGAATATCAAAATCAATCTGCCTTCTTTTGGTTAAGTGGAGGATGAGGAATCAAATGAATTGAAGAAGGCATAGGAGATGAAAAAGGCTTAAAAAGACGCATACAAGTTCTTCTCAGAAAATACAGTCTTTATAGAGATAGCAAGGGATGATTAACTCCATAGGATTTACTTCCCTTTATTGCCGTAATGTAAAATGTTATCCAAGGAATCCAGAAAGGATTTCTGTGAATAGGTTGATCATTCATCAATTCGAGACAAATTAGTGTATTTGATGACTTCTGCCGATCAGATGAGAAAAGTAATGGAACATGAGGAATTATTAAGAAATTTATTCAAGAGATTGAAAGTTGTAGAGCTGATTGCTACTCATAAATTATTATGGGAATAATTAGCATTTGTTACAAATGTTATTATTAATTTAGTGATTTTATGCTCTTATGGTAATTATGCATATACAGATGAGCTTCCAACACCCTTCCCAGTGAGTTTTAATGGTATTAAATTTTCACTAGAATGGGTTCTGTAAAATCAGCTATACTATGATTCCACTCAACCTGATTCTGACTTGTTGTGGGATGCAAGATTAAATTAACCTCGTCTATTTTATGTATCTGACTTTACTTGGACTAACACTCTCATAGTAATTTTAGGATATCTCAATTTGGGATTCTCTTTGTTAGTCATTACGTTTTTTGCAATAAAGAAGGCTCCACTTTTGATTACTGACATGTGGGTTGAATTTCTTGGCAAACCTATGGGGTGCATAGAGAGAACTATCATGAGTTTTGTTATGATAGTTAGATCATTTATTAATTGTTTAGTTGACTTTGATTTTGCTTACTTTTGTGGATATATGGCATGCATTGTTGTTGGATTAGTTATCCATCCCTTTGCATTTGTATTGTTATTGGCTGACTTTCTGAGAATATCAACATTGAAAATTGTGATAAAAGCAATTTGGATCAGTAAAATTTAGATGGGGTTATCGTTTTTGGTGTTCTTGTTGGTTGAGTATTATTTTGCAGTTATTGGCTATTTATTCTTTTGGGATCAATATCAAAATCAATCCTGTTAAATTATGTGGAGGTGTTTCTTGTAGACATTTGATTAAACATTCAAAAATGGAGGAGCCATCGGAGATTATTTAGCTGATACACAACTGTAAGATCCAACGGGATCTTAATTGCCTATTAATTATTCATTAACTCCATATCAATAGGATAGATTTATCTATAGATTTGTTTTTGATGTTCTCTTCAAATTTATCTTAGTGTTCTTGATCATCAATATGGTTGCTGGTATTATCATTGATACTTTTGGTGCCTTGAAGGATGAGATGCTTGAAAAACAATCAAATCTAGAAGACTATTGCTTTATCTGTGGAATTCAGAGTGAGAAATTGGATAAGAGTACTCAATATGGGCATTATTCACACATCAAGAAGAATCATCATATGTGGAATTACGTTTACTATAAAGTTTACCTATTTTTCAAACCTAAAAATGATTTATCAGGAAATGAAACCTATGTCAAAAGACTTATGATTAATAATGAAATTGATTGGTTCCCAGTAAAAAAGGCAATTGGGTTTACAGACGAGGACGAGGAAGACGAAGAGTAAAATGAGGACAATCTGTAGATAATTGAAGAAACCTACCAAGAGGTATTTATTTCAGTAATTATTTTACTAGGTCTAAGAACTTGAATAATTGGCTCTATCCACAAATCAGAAATTAAAAATATTCATTTGAAATAATCAGATTATAAGTATTTGATTTTTCTATTTCCAATCTAAATATATATTCTATATAATAAAAATTCACTTGGAAAAGGTATTCGGTTCATTTATTTTATATTGTTTTTTTAATGACTGATATTGAAGATTTTTCTGACAATAGAGTTTCATCTTATCAGCGATTGTAACCAGAGAGATAGAAAAACACACTGCCTAGGTGGAGAATGTGGCTACATCAAATGGATATATTTTCAGTTATCCCTACTCCTAAAACATATCCTGTGAGTACTAGAAGAAGTATAATTGGAACTTGCCTATTTATCTTTGTATTTGCTACTTACGTGATATCTAGCTTTGTGTGTAAATATTTAATCAATTTAGTTTTCGTAATTGACAATGTGCCAAGATTGAATGAATTTTCGTAATTGGATGATTCTGTCTCCTTAACTGTCGGCCCTGAAATCGCCATGCAATTTCTGTACGGCAAGGATGTCTTGAATGAGTCCATCACTAATACTAGCATATTTAGCATCACAATGCAGCAGGTTATTAAATATTTGGATCCAGCAAAATAAGATAATTCTTCAACCTAAATACCTCTAAAGATTTGTTACAGCAACGATATTGATTGGATGCCTTAGAATGCTTCCAAATAAGCCTTTCTGTGTCCTCAAGTTCAACTTAATTTATCGGGTCAATTATATAGATCAGAAGAATTCATCTATCCAAGAATACAGATAGATTACTGTCCATATAAGCATCCGGAGAAGAAGTTGCAATGCGAAACTGAATAATAGATTAGAAAAGTAGAACTAACAGTTAATTAACATAGGTTGTTGCGGGAGGAAGATTGTTCCTCTATATCAAGAATCAAGCACCAGAAGTCAATTTTGTAGGGAAGAAGACTGAAGGCTTAAAATATCAGGTTTTTCAATACTTTTTAGTGCCTGGACTCTACAATAGAGCTGAGATTGTTTTATAGAAACAACTAGTATCAAGGACTGGCGATTACTTGACTTAATTTTCAACTAAGCATGATGATTATCTCTTAGTTAATAGATAATATTTGTATGTTACTAATGTAACCTAAAATGATGATGGTCGGGCAGACACTGACAGCTTATCGATTTATAAAGGGTATTAGATATTTTTACGATTGGATCAAGAAGTGAGAATTATATAGGTTGTCAAAGATACTATTATTGATGTAATTGCCTAATGGGGAGCATTTTATGGAGTTTTAGTTGGTGCTTTTGCACTTTACTTCCTAAAATATAATTAAAACCAATTTTATAAAAAGAATAAATAATGGTAATTAATTTATCTAGTCCTAGGGCTAATTTTGACTAAAATGAAGCCTTGTTTGAAAGTAAGCAATTAAATGAAACAGAAGGAAAATCCCCCATAGATTGACAAAATTGCAAATCTGATTTTTTTATTTATTAAAATGAACACATTAAGGTTCAGAGAATTAATTAATTTATACATTATCTGTAATAATAAGTATTCATATTCTTTTGAGCCACTTCTTCTAATCGTTTTCTTTTTTCTGTTAGGTTTAAGTTACTTTATTTTTTTTATCAGCTTCATCAATAACGATCTGAAAATTCTAGATAGATAATATACTTGATTATTTCCTTTTAAAATGTTTGCCTCCTACTTCAATGCATATATATTTGTTAGTAATTTGGCTCTTTTGAAATATTCGTCATAGTTTTCCATAAATAGTTTTCCGGCTTCTTCATTTAAGGAACTTTCTGGAAAGGGAACAATTAACAAACACTTAATAACTTCAAAGATGTTTTTTAATGACCATTAAAGAGGATTCCAATCTTTCTTCAAAGTATTGACACATATCTCTCCCTTTTCTGACACATTGGGATGGAAGATTTTGGTGTTAAATAAGCCTAACTTAAATAGATGGTCTACCTTTGGGTGCCATTTAGGGGAATTGGGGTGGCAAAATCAATTTGCATCTAAAAACACCTCCTTGGAATGGAGTGTCAACTAAAATTAAGATGATGTATTTACCTGGACCATCAATATCTGCTTAAATATCAAAAACATCTTATTCATTGAAAATTACATGGACTCCTGAGGGGGGAATAAGAAATAAATTTACCATCAATTGGTTATTTGATGATCATTTGCAATTGCTTAGCAATGACTGGAGCTAATTGAGGATTAATTTATGGCTCTTGATTCTACATTGTTTATAGGGATGAAATAGGCTTACCATTTTCACTAGTGGCTTGGTTGACTTTATGAAAAATTTATTTAAATTATTTATGCTTAATCGTTAACAAAAGAGTTTTTAAGTATATATGAAATTCGTATTAATATCGTTTTTCATTATTTTTAAGATATTCCCAATAATCTTGTTAGATAGTTAATATTGGTATTGAATTTAAATGATTTATATACTCATAGTTGTTACAGATTGAAGATCGATTTTCGAATGGCTTTTCCTTTGTGTTAGAGAGGTGTAACAGGAGTGATAGGAGAATTTGGAGTATTATCATCAGTACGAGTCAAACTATGGGGACTGAGGTTGTTGAATGAATTTTTGGGACTTAAGAAATTAGAAGTGGGAATAGGAGAACCATCAAGATGTGGTAATCTCTTTACATTGCTCTGTCTTCGAATTTTAAATTGGCATGTCTTGGCTAGCTTTTCCTATACAAACCATTGATGATTGAGTGCATCTGAAGCACTCAACCTTTTGACAGGATTCTTGTTCATGAGTCCGAGCAAGAGACTCATGCCATGCTCACTTAATTTGCAATCTTCGAATTTAACTTTTGCATAGTAATTCCTCATTACTACATCATCATAGTCTTTGCCTTCGAAGGGCGACTTGCCAGCGATAAGAATGAACATCAAAATTCCTATGCTGTATACGTCTACTTTGTAATCATAGATTTTATCCTACAATAATTCTGGAGCGACATAACCTGGAGTGCCGCATCTTGTAAATAAGTATTTGCCACTTGGATTGTAATGATCAGCCAATCCAAAATCGCAGATGCAGATGTCTTCTATGTCGTCTTTTTTTCTTAACATGATATTTTCAGGCTTAATATCTCGGTGTAATATTCCTTATTCGTGAATAAATTGGCAAGTTTTTAATAATTTGTAAATTAATTTCGAACATTTTTCTTCGGAAAAGGGTGGAGACTTCTTCATGTACTTGTGCAGCTCTCCGCCCTTCAAATACTCAAGAACTAAGTACAAGTATTCTTCTCCTTCGAAGACTTCGTACATTTTTATTACTGACTCATTTTAAAGTTTTCTCATGATAGAAGTTTCTTTAATAATCGATAATTTATCGACCTCTTCCTTTAGATCGGATTTCCTGAAGCATTTGATAGCGTACTCGTGTCCATCAGTCTTACACACAGCCTTGAAAACCTGAGAATGAAATAATGAAGTACTTCAGCGAAATTCCCCTGACCAATTTTTTTAAGTAATGAGTATCTTTGAGAGAAGCCTCTCTAAATGCAATACTTTTTGAGGTAGTTGTACCAGGGTTCAACATCACCGTACATTTCAAAGCTTTGCTTGTTCTTTAGAAATCTAATCCCTTGGCCAGCTACTGGGCTTTTGATTAGCTCCATGGTAACGTTGATCAAATTCATCCACTTGCGTACTTCCTAAAATGGTGTTACTCTTTCGATAATACTTATTCCTTAAAAAGTAGCAGATAATGGGACATAATCCCAACTTTACGTTTCACGAGTTCTCGTTCCTCGTGAATCAACATGTTGTCTTGCAATTCGGTTTGGATGACTTTGGCAGGGAACTGAGTTTAGGTCCAGAAGGACTTTTCCTCAGAGTCATCAAAGAAGGAATCTTTAATAGTGTAGTCCATAAATGTATAAATAATCGATATAACAATCTAATTAAAATTATATCAGACATGAAATTCGCTTAAGTTACTGCAAATTCTTTTTAGTCGAGTAAAATAGTGAAGTTCGAACATTATAGTTACAGTGTCAATGATCAGATCGGATCAGGCTTCAGTAGTCAAGTGTTCAAAGGCAGAAATGAGAATACAAATGAGACCGTTGCGATTAAAGTATAAATATTATTTGAACTATCAGATTATTGATAGAAGTAAAATAACAAATGAGGTCGAGGAGTTCCTCTTGAATCAAGAAATCAAAGCCTTGTCATTGATGAATTCAGAAAATGTAATTAAAATGTACGATTACTATCACAAACCACAATGCACTTATATCATAACTGAGTATTGCAATTAAGGTACGCAATGAATCCATGATGGTAGGCAATGTGGGAGAACTAATTAAACGAAAGCAGAGAATCGACGAAATAGAGGCAATTAAAATAATGAAGCACATCGTCAATGGATTTAAGGAGTAGGTTGCTAAAGGAGTAATTCACAGAGATCTAAAACCAATAAATATTTTAATACGAAACGGAATTCCCAAAATAGCAGATTACGGATTTTCGAAGATGATGAATGCACCTCCAGAAACAATCTACTACAATGTAGGTACAGCATTATACATGTCTCCACAAACTATGATTAAAAATATTTATTCTGAAAAAACTGACATCTGGAGTTTGGGAGTCATATTCTATGAGATGTTGTATGGATAAGTGCCATTTTCAGCTTAGAGTGAAAAAGACCTAGCTTAAGTGATATTAAAAACATAGCCTTAATTTCCTCCAAATATTCCAGTATCAAAAGAAACGATAGAATTCATTTTAAAGTGCCTCTCAATTGATGAATCTAAAAGGTTCTCAAGCAGTGATTTGGAACACCATCCCATCTTCTACCGCAGACACACTATGACTGCCCCTCGACCCATAGCTGATAGAAATCCTTCTGTTAAAAACCGAGAACATTATTCTCCTCAAAGAACCACAGAATACAATCACAATCGCATTAATTTTATAGCCTAAACTGCCATGCCTCAATCTGCATTAAAAAGCAGAGAGAGTGTGAGACACTTGACTTAGAATGATGAAGTCATACAAGCATAATTCTAATTCATTGAATTGATGTTTAGAATATTAAGAATACTTGATAAATAAGTAGTACTCAATTAGGAGTTGTAGATCAAATTAAAGTTCTTGATTATCAAAAACATGTTCTTTAAAACCATTTTATTGAGAGAAGTTGTTGAAAAAAAGAAGAATGTTCTGCAGTTATATGAATTCGATATTTACATTGAGACAGTTGGAAAATACTAGACCCAAGTTCATGAACTCTATCAAATTGCCAAAGAGTATCACGATAAATAAGTAACACTCCTTATTATCTTAGTATTAAATGATCGAAAGTAATCACACACTCAAGCAATCTGTGTTGAGGGATCGGAGTTTTCAAAAAATATACGAAAACTACAAGTCAGTAACTGAGAGCTATGAATTTTATTTACTTTTCAGTACTTTACTCTAGAGATGCATAAGGGATTTATACAACAAATGCAATTCTAGATTGGCTGGAGCGAATGATTCACAATAATTGCAATTGCAAGATGAGACCATGGTTTATGTATTGGAATAGTTGACATTCTACTACAGTCTGTTAAGGTTGATAATAGAGAATAATAACAACATTTAAATATTTACTAAAAAGGCCTAGATCAGTAGAATTCTGTAGGCCTCTCCAGAACAAATTACTAAAAGCAACTTGATGAGCATTAGACAATCGATACAGGAAATGAAAATATGAAAAGAATAACTATTTATAAATAAATTATATAAAAGATTTAAAATGATTAGTGGAGCATTGAGAAGGTCATTTATTGGCAAGGCTCACTTTGGTCTAGTCTCAGAATACAATAGCAGAGTCAACTAAAAGTTATACAAAGGAGTTTAAGTCTCTGAAGCACCACAATTTTTCACAACTTCAGCTAGACCAGGCAATTTCGGCGATCATATTGATTTCAAAGTACAAATGGACAATTGGTTTGATGAAAACAGGTAATGAGTGCTTAACGAATTGATCATAGAGTGCATAACGAACATGAGACCGAGATTAAAAGAACATAAATATATGCATTAAATGCCGTCTATTATGGTGGATTGCTCTCCTTTGCAAGACTATTTGCAGTGGGGATAATAGGAAGATTGGATGGATGGAAGAGATATGACAGAGACACTTATCTCGAAATGGAGTAATAATTGAGCATCTAATTTGTTTAGTATTGGAGATTTACCCCCTGGAGAAGTCATGCAGATTGTATGGAATGGTACACCAGTATTCATTAGAAGATTGACATAATAAGAAATTAAAGATGAAGACAATTTGCCAAAAGAGACTATTTTGGATCCTAGGTAATTTAGATTTCTAGCTTCATAGCTCTGAGGTTGTCCTTACCAATTGTGGTAATACTAAGGTATTGGTTGTCAGTGCCTTGTGTACTCATTTAGGATGCATACCAATCCCATATTTAGGTGCCTATAATGTATTCAGCAAATGATTATGATAGGGTTGGGTTTGTATTTGCCATGGTTCAGTGTATGATAAATATGCAAGAGTGAGACAAGGACCAGCCTTGTAAGAATTTGCCATTCATCAATAACTCCATCTATGATGATGTGATCGTCTGTATAGAGGAAATGAAGTTCCCAAGAGAACCAAGTTAGAGATATTGGACTTGAATAGCAGTAATGTTTTTATCTATTATATAACATAAGTTATTTATAACAATATGCTTTTATTTATGTATATAATAATCAATTATAAACCATATATTTTTGAGTTGCTGAGAACTTCTGATATCCCTTAATGACCTTTTCAATAGCTTCTAATAAATCCTTTTCACTAATAGCCTTTCTTCTAGCTCTAATTGCAAACATGCCTGCCTCTGTGCAAACACTTCTGATATCAGCACCAGTTGTATTAGGACACAATCTAAATTATTCAAATTACAAATACCTTGCCAATAATTCGTACCTAATGTTTTTTTCCATACTCATTGTTCTGGCATGAATTTTAAATATGCCTGCTCTTCCTTCTAGATCTGGCAAAGCGAATTCCACTTTTCTATCCAATCTTCCAGGTCTCAAAAGTGCTGGATCCAATGTGTCTGGTCTATTTGTAGCCATCAACACTTTGATATTGCCTCTAGAATCGAATCCATCCAATTAATTAACTATTTCAAGCATTGTTCTTTAAACATCATTATCATTTCCATCATCATGTCTAGCTCCTCCAATGGCATCGATTTCATCAAAGAATATGATGCATGCCTTCTTAGTCCTTGCCATTTAAAACAACTCTCTAACCATTCTTGCTCCTTCTCCTACGTATTTCTAAACTAACTCTGATCCAATAACACGAATGAAACATGCCTTTTATACTATCAAATAATACTTCAGTTCTATTGGCCACTGCTCTTGCTGTCAATGTTTTGCCTGTTCCTGGTGGTCCATACATCAGTACACCTTTTGGAGGATCAATACCCAAAGTGATAAATTTTTCTGGATTCAATAAAGGCATTTCGACTACTTCCCTTAATTTCTTTAACTATTCTTTGCATCCTCCAATGTCATTGTATGTAACATCGGGCTTATCCTCCACAGTCATCATAGTGACAGAGGGATCAATCTTGGGTGGCAATGGCAATTAAATTGCATATTTCTATCTTTCAACTCCGACTCTCATTCCTTCCTCTATGTCTGTTGGGGCCACTTTCTCTCCCAAACCTACCACATACTTAGCAATATGCTTGATAGTGATCATATAAAGATCCTTTTGTTGAAGAGATGATTTGAATATCTTGGTGCATCTAGCCACTGTCAATGGATGTTCCTTAATAAATTATGTTATTCGATTACTGAAGCAAGTTTTTGATCAGCCACCAAATCCCATGTGCTTGGGATGCTCAACCCTGTGTCACTCTCTTTGATTCCGACCATCTTGTTTATTGTGGCAACCGAAGCCTTGTTTTCCTCCTCCAATTACTTTATTTTCTCAGCATATGGACCCATACCGTATTTCTTCAATAAGTTGATATCATTCTCATCAAGGGGGACTGTTTTTGTATCCTTTTCCCTAAAAATTTCATAACAAAATAATTTACTCTGCCATTACAAAATATTTAAATTAATCCTTATCTGAAATATATATTTAATATTTTCCACCCAAATATATCATCATCATTATAATTTACTAAAATAATCTCATCGTAGTTGAAATCTACTCGATGATTATATTCTATTCCCTATTATGCCTTACTTTTATTATTATTAATACGAAATGAATTTATTAAATGAGATCAACAGTCTTATTAAGACATCACAATACCTCAAAGCCTTGAAATTACTCATAAGATATGAATACTAAGATTCTGCAGAAATCTGCATTAAAATTGTCAGAAGATATTCATATGTTTGTAATAAGTTACTTTTCAAGTATTTACTGAAATATGATAAAAAATCACATAAAGTTAAGCCTATCCTTTACAGAGCTTTTGACGCACTCTATCTTTGGAGTCAGTATTTGCAAAAAGAAGAAACTATACACAAAGTTTTTACACCTAAACGTTTGAGTTGCATGTCACCTCAAGCATCTCAAAAGATCATCAATCAAAGGACTAAAGTTAATAGGAAATGGCTCTTTCAATAAAAACGATTATTTCTGTAATCCCTATAAGACACTTTAAAATATCACTATTATTACCTCAAGTTGAGGAAGGAAAATACTTTTGCTTTGCTAATCTTAAAAAAGTTTATCGTTGTTAGTTATTTCAGCGATTGCAATTTTTAACTCCATCAAAAGTCCATCAATAATAGACAAGAAATGCTCATGATCATTGGGTCAGCATACTTTGAAATTAATTCAATGTAACAAACCATAGATCATCTATACTTATCGATTATTTTAGGATTAGAAAAAACAGTTATTCCTCTTTTCTACTTAAAAGAACAATTGAGAATATCACAATCAGATAAGCAATTTTAAAAATAGATTATGAAGTCTACTTCCATTATTGTTGCCTCAATATCTCTATTAGCAAAAGCACATGAATTGAAAGGCGAAATTTAAGAAATGCAGACTTGTATTTCATTTTCCAAGTTTGTTTGCACCATTCTGATTTTCTTTGAAAAATGTTTTGAATTACAAAAGGTTATTGAATCAATTGATAACAATAAATTAGATACTTATTCCCTTTATCTATAAGAAAATGGAGAACTCATAAGATTTGCTAAATTTCTAACTGATTATTAAATCCAAAAAAGCAGCACTAGCTTCACTCCAAGAACATTGTAGGAAGAGTTACTTGAAAAAAGACTAAAAATAGCTGAATAACCATAAGTCATAGTTAGCAATCATCATTAAATTGAAATTGAAGAAACCAATCATTTTCATAAGAAAACCAACAGTGAATTAACTGATACAACCTTAGCGTCTGGAAGACCAAGCAAATGTGGAACTGAAATTTAGTTTTTTAATGATTCTTTAGGATTGACGAGTATTTCAATTTAACAACCCTCAGAATTCTAAAAATACAGGAAATTTACAAAGGTTCATAAATATAAAAAAAGTGGAAACAACTTTTTAGCAAAACTTCTATAATTAAGTGAACACAACAAACATGAGGAATATCAGTTATAAGCCAAGTAAATCAAAAAGGAAAGTTCCTTTAGAACTTTGGAATAAGAAATTAATAACATAATCGATAGAAGGCTACCAAGAAATCATGTGCCCTTTGAATAATCTTAACTCTTATGCACCAAATTAATTAAGTAAGAATCTGAGTAGAGAAAAGAATTTCCATTTGCTTATGATATGTTAAAATTCAAATAAGAATTTGGAAGTGGGCTATGCATTTTAGAGGAAAATATTTAAGAAGTAAATATTCTCAATTTCATATTTAGTTTAATAAACATTTTGAATTTAATGTGTTAATGTACTTTGATTACTTGACTTAAAGTAAGGAGAGTGCGATGAGTAATTTGAAATACAATTAAAACTTTTCTAAACTAAGATTGGCTGAATAAAAATTGATATAATCAAGGAATCTGGTTTTAAAAAAGCAAGTTGAGTCCATTCAATAAGAAAAGGAAGAGGAAAAAAAGAAAGATACAGAGAATGAAACTTAAGCAAACTTATTATTTGAAACCGTACAAAAGAGAAAGACTATGCTTTTTAACATTCTAGGGGCGAATGATACTCCGATAAAAACCCCATAAACAAATGAAAGCAAAGTGTAAAAATATGAAAAAAATGTGTTTAAATTCCCTTCTACAAATACAACACCAAAACACAATTCTCTAACTGAATAAATAAGACAATTTAGTGCCCAAAGAGAAAAACAAATATCATAACAATTTTTTAATAAAGCCTAAACAACAATCAAGGCTCAACTATTAGAGAGTGAATTTTTAATTGAATAAAAGTAGAATCTTAAAAACTATTCTGAACCTCCTGAATTATTATTAACCAAATTAGGGAATAATGATGAGTTGGCTAATTCGGTAAAACATTTGAAAGCATCAGGATTTTAAAAGATCTTATTAAAAAAAAGGAAGACAACAAAACTGGCTTCTACAAAGTTGTGACTTTGGAATTAAAAGTTGATTACAATATATTTCATATTTTATGTTATTTCTACAGATTACACTTAGGATATACTTTAGTATTGATTTAATTCAGAAAACCTTGAATACTTTCTTTTATATTTAGACTTTATAAGATATTATTCAAGATTTGGTTTAGCTAATATGCTTTATTGATTAGGATCTTGCAAATGATTTTCTCAATCTCTTTCGTTTTAGTTTTAATGGTAACTTTTTATTTACTTTTTTCAATTTCCCAACTACAATATCCAAATTAAATCGAGTGTCATAAAATTCCATTTACTTTTGTGTATCAACATCACATTCTTTAGATGCCATAATTTTAGCAATATCCATTTCAATCAATTGTACTTGATCCACATCAAATGTTCTTACAAGTTAAGCTGAATGATAGGCTTATGGTGTTTATTATCCTTATTATTAGGTCTATAATGTAAGAGCAATTGTCTATTAAAATTATGTTTGTAAAGGATCCTCATCTGCCCTTTCACTTTATTCAAGTTTCATCTAATTTAAGATTAAGGTGGCTCTTTTAGCACTGGATTTATATTTTCTTTCTTATTGGCCCTACTCTCTCTCAATTTATCCGGAGTTTCTATTTTATTAACCCACTTTTTAAATAGAAATTCTTGTTTGCTTTTTTTTTGATTTCATAGATTAATTATCTTTATTATTATTATCGGAGACTTTTCTTCTCGAATCTCTTCTAATTTGTAATTGATTTTAAGATTTAATTGGTTTATACTCCGATTCATTATCCGAATTAGTCAAACTAGGTTCCATATCTTCATAAGCTGAATCCTATTAGAAATTGAATTTGTTTGATGTAATAAATTCAGAATTGGGACCAATTTCATTTAATAATCCTTAATATGCACAATAGTTAAATGCTGTAGATTATAGGTTTCTTAATTATCCTAATGAGTTCTATTAAATAGTAATTAATTTACATTACATTATGAAGTCTCTCCTCTCTAGATCGCATTTAATACATTCTATGTTACTTTTCATCATGATCATTTTTTTTAAATAATCTTAAACTATTTGGTGTATAGAATACGAAAGGACACTTAATGAAATCATGATTCTGATGACACAATTCGCATCCACCCATTTTGACTCTTCCACCAAATTCTATTTGATGTTTAACCTAGTAGAAGTGTTCTCTATCTTCTTGATTATATTTGAGTAGATCTTGTAGATCATCATATGTGATGTAGGCTAATTTTGAAAATTTAATAGCTCTTGTCGAAAACAAAGCTGGGTGTTGAGAAACGAATGACTTTTCATCAATAGCTTAATTCCTTGAATAGATTTTAATGGTTTTATTGTTACTTATATAGGCTTCTACTTCTCCTTTGAGTATGAAGTAAATCTTGTCAACTTTTTATCTAATCATTAATTTTTAATTACCCTTCAACAGAGATAATTTCTTCTGGTACGAATGATTATTCTTTAACTAGAATGCACAACTTTTCAATGAATTGAGCAGAAAAGTTCTGCCTGATTAGTTTAGAAGCACATAACAAATTTTTGTAAAAATCAATCTTTACTTCCTTATTTAGGCTTCCAGATAGATGATACATTAATTTTTCACATTCTGATTCTTAATCTCTTTCTTATTTCAAAAAATATTCAAAGAATTTCTTTACTTTCACCTACAAATCCTTATTCAATCCTCTTTTCTTAAGGAAAGAATCAATCACTGTCATTCTATCTCTTAAATAGTTTTTATTCTCGCTCATTTAAGCAAAAATAGACCCTATGCTTGAAATTGTATATCCAAATATTATTGAACTTAAAAGAGTTACAAAAATTACAAATATCTTCTCGTATTGAGTAACCTATCGATAATTATGATAATTTATACTGGTATAATATCTCCATAACCGATAGTTAACGTTGTAATACAAGCCCAATAAAAACTTGTAATGTATCTGGCCTTCCAATTATCCTCATCCAAATTGGCTCTTTGAATCCATGTGTTCTCTTCAAATGCAGCTTCTTAGATTGCTATAAAATGCCAAATGCAGGCTATGATGTGTGATGCAAATAAGAAAGTTGACATTAAAGAGATTATATCAACCGCTGATGCAAAATTTACTCTGAGATTCATAGTTTCAACAATATTTTCGAAAATATACATAACCTTAGAGGATAATACAAATAAATACTCTGGATACTCTGAATAGCAACACAAATTCTATGTATGGAACATTAGATCGGCCTATCATAAAGGGTATGAGAACTATAAAATCAAGAGCAAATTTGCCTTTCAAATAGTGTTTGAAAATTTATCCTCTATTCAAAACTAACACTCCTCTTGAGTAGTAAGCCACATTAAAATTGAGCAGTATTTCAAAAACAAAGACATACTAAGGCAAAGTGTCTAACAATAAATTCGCTCCATCAACCACACTTATTTCAAATGAAATCTTTAGAGGTATATATATGATATTTATTAGAAGTATGAAAAAAACTAAAACATCCCAATAAAGCTTATATGAGTTATCAGGTTTTATGGGTTTAATAATTGACGAAAAAACTTGAAAAAAACCTAGGTACTATTTAATTTTTGTCTCTATTAATTCCTTAGAATAATTAGATAAATTACTAATGAACCTTTCTTAGACTTGCCTCTAATTAATTTTTGTGTTACATAAAAGTTAAAATCAGAAGCTTAATCTCCAATAACTTTGAATTGTCTGTGGTCTAAATAACGTAATTTAAATTTATCCGAATTAGTCAATAGATAAGTAACAAATCGAGCGACAAGAACTATAATATTCAATGCTCTATCCTTCCAAACTTTATTTTTAAATCCTTATTTGGCTTCAAAATCATCCGAATCTTAAGAAAGAATGCTCAATTCACTAACATCTCTGGAAAGCTTTATTTTATCGAGCATTGTGAGTTAAGATTGTTTCATCTTAAAGTTATTTAAGAATTCATCATCTTGAATGATACTGTCAAATTTTACTCATGTACACAATAGAGCTTGCCATGTTAGGGCTAGAAAGCGGTTCTTCGTACGCAGACATAAAAATTTAATAATTAAAATTGAATATTCATAACTTAATGGCAATGCCACTTTCATTATTAATAGCAGTACAAACACTATTAAAATATATAAATAGTAAATAAGTTGATTGGATTAATATAAATTTTATTTCTTAACAAATGATCAATACGACAACCAAAAGAGAGGAAAGCTTTCTGACCACAAAAGTATCTGATCGTGTGATTACAGTTGAAAATGAATAAAGATCGACTTACAACTTTGTTAGAAGAAATTATTTGACAACTACATTTGCCACACTTGCAGGCAGACAATCAAATGGAGTCTATAATGTTGCTTTCAATACCCCATGTTGCCAACCTTGTCCATAGCCTTGTCCACAACCTTAAGCAATGCCCATGCCAATTTATATTCCAATGCCATATCCATAATAATGTGAAAAGGAGTGCCATTGTGAAGAAGAAGAATAATATAAGGAGGAAGTTCTTATATTGAGACAAAGAGTGGCTGAATTATTAAACAGATAGCCATAAGTAAAAGTAGAAAAAGAGACAGTCAAAGTTGAAAATACAACTAGAGTATTCTAGCAATTTAAATTTTTAGATAGCAGATTTGTCTATGGAAATAGAGAGATTAAAAATCAATCTTAGAAATGAATAGGATAGATTGAGATAAAAAGAGGGAGAATATTTGGAATTGAGAAGTGACAATTCATCATAATCTTTGAAAGATAGGTTGGCAATCTTAGAAGTATTTTCATTTTAATAAAATAGAGTTAATTATACAATTCAAAATTGGATTTAGAAAAACTATAAGGCCTTCTTCAAGCAAAGCTTTAAGAATTAGATGAATGGGAATAAAGATATCACCATATGGAAAGCACTGTCACTGTAGAAAGTACTGAAACTGTGACTTTAACTAATGTAATCTCTTATTCACTATGAAGGAAGTTGAAGTTTGGAAGTCAAGATTTAAGAAATTAAACAATGACTTTTTTGAAACATAAGAAAAATTGATTATGGCATAAGCTGAATTAGAAGCACTTAAAAAGGGCGGTGTCACTGAAGTTAAATCTGTGACTGTCCAATAGAATGTGACTAGTTCCTCTGTAAACAGAGTAATTGAACAATCCTCAAGAGGATCTAGAATCGTTGATCCAAATCTGGTCGGAAAACTATATCCCTGAAAGCTTTTGAATCATAAGTGAAAAGACAATATAAAAAATATTAATATAAATAATTATAAAAATAAAAAAGGACCTACTTGGATTCGAACCAAGGTCTTGAGGGTTAAAGCCTCAGGTACTAACCACTATACGATAGATCCTGTAGTTATTCTTTTACTTATCCAAAACTATTTCAATATATCTATTTACAAAGAATACATAATTTATTATAAGAGAAGTAATAATTAATTTAGGTTACTAGTGACTCAATTTAATTTTAATTTGATCACAGTATTAACATACACAATAAAGACACTCGAAGAAATCATAATCGCATTACTTAATAATGATTAGTAAATATCATAAAATTTAACAAAAATCATTTTTTCGATAATTTCATAAATTGTATATATTACAGAAGTATAAAAATTTTGTTCTACTTTTAATAATAAAGACTTGAATTAGCTTTAGTATTGATAATTGTAGCCTAAATCACAATATATCTTTTAATAAAAACTTGATGAATTACTAAAATTAATCGTTTAGAATTATATACAAATATTTCTCCTTTAATCATCAACAATGTAATTATCTTAATCTGTATTAATCTTTGATAAATTTGATATATATAAAAATAATTGAGAATAAAATGATAAAATGTTTATAAATCTTGTAATACATCAAAAAAAAGAATTGTTAAATTATTCAATCAATCCTCAAATATTTGGACTTAAGCATTTCTTTAAAACACTATAACGTGGTTTTATAGAACTTGCTTTTTCATCTGATAATAATCTTGATGAAATGAAATTTTCAGTTTATGGACTTTAAGAATGATTTTATGAGATCTTAGAATCTGAAGAATCAGAGATTGTTGGTAGTTTGAGAATATATTGGAAATTAGAGATTATTTATTATTCCTTTATAGAACATTTAGGAGCAAATCTAGACGTACGCTTAAAATCATGGTTGAACTATTGAGGTATTCCCTAAATTTTAGATGCACGTCGAGCTGTTGCAAGCTTGAAGACGTCGAAATTTAATATTTCTGAGCACTTTAATGAATCCATTTAAGTCTTGCCTTTTAAGGTAAAGAAAATTTCAAAAAATTACAACAAAAGTGGATTTAAGTCCAAAAACTCTAGATCTGACATACTTTCATAGTTTTTCATTAATAATTCGTCTAAAATTTAGGTTTCTTGATAAAGTTTCTTTGAAAAGATACTGTAGATTATGATGCCTAAGGATAGTATATCCTTTTTTCTAATAAATTAAATGAGTGAAGTTTAATCATAAAAATTGAGATTTTTTGAGCTTACCATATTTTGTTATATAATTTCAGATTTTCCAAAGTTGATTATGCAGGCTGATGTTAAATCTTGCTAATCTCTAAGGAGAATATTGTCGAATCTAATATCTTAATGAAATATGTTTCTTTCGTGCATATAATTGAGTGATTTGAATAAGGTTTACATCAAGATTACTGTCTCTTATTCAGAATATCTGAATCTGAATATTGAATTTTTCAAATGTCCTCCTTCTAACAAATCTGAAACTATAAATATTTTGTCATCACTCTCAAATGTCTCATGTAATTTAAGTAAGTTATTGTGATTAATTTAACGAAGAATAGTAAGCTCGTTAATTAACTAATGCCTTTCACTAGCGTTATTTCTTTAAACTAAACTCTTATCAATTATTTTTACGGCTACCTTTTATCCATTTATGATTTTAAAAGCCTTAAATACCTAAGATAATTTTAAGAATTACTGAAGAGCTAAATCTCTCACTTAATTTTTAACCTAATTTGTACTTTAATGAGAAGTCAGTTTGGATTACAAATTTCTTTATTTATTTCCACATTTCTATTATCTCTCCAAAAAACTCAACAAATTATCCATTTTTGCTTATTCGTAACCCTAATTATTGTGTTTTTGGATGCAATGCCTTCTTAACGCAAACATTCTCAAGGTTAATATGTCTTTCTCCTTTCTTCCATGAACTAAATATATACTTCTTCAATTATTCTCATTATGAATTCGTGCAAAAATATCGTCACAGTATATTGTCGATTATTAGATTTCATGAGAAAAGTTCCAAATAATGTAAACTCCGTTTAGAATTGTGGAGTATTGCAAAACAATTCCTTCCCATCATTAAAGAAAGATGATTTAGAATAATCAGATTGCAGAGTAATCGTTTTTTTCATTAAAGAATGAAATATTTTCTTTCAATAATTATATTATCAATTCATACACTCATTACAAATTGAAATGATATATATAATGATAGATTTTAAAAGTTCATTTGATTTTGGTTTATTTTAGTAAATATTTGATAAATTTATTTTGAATCTGACCAAGTCATCATTATTTTCTGAAAATTCAAAATTTTGGTTAAATCAATTGTCGAAATTATATAAGATTCAAATGGATAGGTATATATCTATTTCCCTAATATTTTATATAAACTAATAAGAAATATTTATTAATTGGAGAATTTTCTTATCTCATAATTATAAAATACAAATTTACTTATAACATAGAATTCCATCAAATAAGATTTTATATAAATTCGTTTCAAGTTGGGTAATTTTATCGTTTAGGATAGAGCAGTACTTTGTAGAAATTTATGACATTATTCATTTTGGTTTTATATTCGAAATAAAATACAATTAGATTTTTTATCAATAATACTGAATAATTATAATTGGATAATAATTTTCTGAAGGAACAAAAGTAGAAACATCATTTTTATTTTCTCTTTAATAATTCTCCCAGTTACCTTTGTTAAGTGATACTGAATGGGATCGAAGAATCCACATTCTTAAATTTCACAGTTTTCGTTTGTTTAGAAGTGTTTTTCACATTTTTCTTAAGTATACTTCTACTAACATTTATTGAATTTTCATAGGATGAGTTCATATTATTAGAATCAAAATCAAGTAAGGAACCAAATATATTATTGGAATTAGTTTAAGCTTTCTCGTTTTTTTACAATGAGCCCTATACAAATTCTTGATCAGTGTGATTAGTTGAAGAGGCAGCTTGTTATCCTTTTGGTTATTCCTCTGTTATTCCTTTGTTTATCTCAAAATGAGAAATGAATTTTGTGTTTATTAAATAATAAGTGGCATATTGAGGACCAAAATAATCAGTATTATTTTGTTCAGAATAACTTTCAGAGAGTCTATCAGTTTACTATTTACAACAATTTGCACTCTATCCCATTTAATTATAATTAATTAGATATTTCTAAGGAATTAAAATTGGGTAAATTTGCTGGAGATATTTTATATAAAAAACAGATAATAAGAAAATCCTATCATTTATTGATTACAGAGAGGTATTAATAATAAATTTTTGCCTGTATTTGAAGAGGAAATATATTTTATTCATAAATAAAATTAAAATAAATCTTTTTCAAGATCAAAACCATGGCTTCTTTCAGACCGTTACCTGTAATCAATAAATTTTAATATTAAAGATTCACCCACCAAGAATTTAGTTGTAACCTGGAGCACCTTAATTTGCAACAGTAATCATTGAAACCCCTCCAAGAAAATAACCTGAACCTATCCAAATAGAGTTTGATGAAGGATTGATTACTAGAATGTAGGAAGAAATCGATGTGTGGAGAAATAAATTCTTTTAATTGGAATTATAGTTTTAAATTAATGCTGGAGAATTAAAGAAGGTAAGAATTTGATATAGTATTTAGATTGACTATTTAGAAGGGCGAATAAAAGTGCTTTAAGACGCAGTAAAGCAGTTAAATATAGAAAATAGATCATAAATAAACTAAAATGAAATTTTAAGAGTGAAATGTGACGAACTTGAATTAGAAAATTAGGATCTCAAAATGGCAAGATTAGAAAACAAACGCCTGAGAGAATTATTAGATGGGGCACATGATGAGCTCTCATAGGTATTATAGTTTTATTATCTTTTAGGCTAAATAAACCATTGCTAATTATGAAGATTAATTAGCTGATTTAGCAATTAAGGATTAAGTCATCAAAGAACAAAAAGATAAAATTAATCAATTGTTAGTGGAAATTGAGTTTTGGAAAAAGAGATACTAACAATTGGATACTGATAGAATCAAAGGGATTGAAGAATTTAAGAAGAGCAGTGAGACATTAAGAAATTCACAATTTAACGAATTGAGAAGAAGTGGATCTATGCAAGCTTAAGGATACTAAAATGAATTAAAAAACCTAAGAGTTCAATTAGAAAGATTATAATAAGAAAACAACGAGTTAAAGGACAATATTCATTAATTAGAAAGCTCTAAAAATGGATAAAATTCTCAATTCAAAGAAGTAAATACAAAACTTGAAAGTTCTACAAAAGAAATCAAAAGATTAAATGATATCCTACTTTAAAGAGGTTAATAAAATAAACAATTGGAATTGAGAATTAAAGAGCTTGAAAGATAAGTTAGTGAAAAAAATATCTTAAAAGAAGAAATTGATAAACTGAAATAACAATTAAATGATAAAAATAAATAATTGTAAGAGTAACACAATCAAATAACCTAATTGAATAATAGAATAGCAGAGTTAGAGCGACTCCTCTAAGAATCTAAATAATATAAAGAAAAAATACAATAATTATAAACAGAAATTGCATAATTGAAAGCAATTATCTAAGGCAAGGATGAGGAAATTGCAATCTTGAAATAGAAGATCGAAAATCTGACTGATCAACTCAAAGAAATTGATAAAATCATTTAGGAAAAATATGCTTTGGAAAATAAGGTGGCTATGCTTGCAACTGAAATTGAAAGAAAGGCAGCATAATTGAAAAACAAGGAGAAGACTATTGATGAATTAAGAGAAAATTTGGATTAAAATAATCATACACTTGCAGAAGTTGAATAACTTCAATAAGATATAGATGGATTACATCTTGAACTTAAAGGAAAAGATGATTTAATTAAAGAACTTGATCAAAAATATCATGAGGCACTTAAATATTAAGAATAAGTTTCTTAATTAGAGACTTAAGTCTTCGATTTATAAGGTAAAGTTGCTATGTTGTCATCTGAAATTGAAAGATAAAGAATAAAATTGGACAAATACAAAAAGGACTATGATGGCTAGTAAGTTAAAATAAATGATTTGAATGACATGAAGTTTGACTTCGATTCTATGTAAGACGCATTGTAGAGGTATAAAGCATAAGAAGACTAATAATAACAGGAATACGATAGTTGGAGAGATATCTTAAAAAAGGCTGATCTCGAATCTTCAGAACTATAAAAGACTTAAGAGACCTTGTCTAGTGAAAAACAGATTGCCTAAGATTAATATGAAAAACTTACCGAATAAATTAAGGAATTGAATAAATTGCTTTAAGAAGAAAGGGCTAAAATTGAAGGTTTACATAAAGAAATTGAGAAATATTAAGATTTAGAGAATAAAGTTTATGAAATGTAAAATAAAACAGCTATGCTTTCAGCTGAAATTGAAAGAAGAAGTGTGAAAGAGAAGACAAAATAATAATAATTTGATGAACTTTCACAACTTTCAAAGCAATAACAAGAGGATTTAGAAAAAATGGCTTAAATCGAATAAGAAAATGAAACCTTAAATGAATCAATAAAAAAAACACAGGATGAGATTGCATAAATGCAAAAATTATAAGATGAAACATAAGAAAAATTAGAAAAAGTCTTATCCGAGAGAGGAAATTTAGAAAATAAAGTGGCTATGTTGTCAACTGAAATTGAGAGATAATCTTATAGATTAAAAAATAAAACAGAGGAATGCTCATAATTGAACGAAAAGAATTAAGAATTACAAGGTGAAATATTGAAACTTTAGGATTTACCTGCTGAGGTTGAGGAATTGAGTTAATAGGTAGAAGAACTAAGACATTCATTAAATGAGGCTGATTTGAAATAAGTTAAATTAACCTAAGATTTAGATGCTGTTGCTCATGAAAAAGCATAAATTGAGGCTGAAATTTAGAAACACTAAGATGAAATTAAATTATAATAACAATTGACTGAGGAAGCCAAAAAACAATTAGCTAATTTCACAGAGAAATTCAAGAGTGTAGAAGAAGAAAATAGTTCACTAAGAGCATTGGAATCAAAATTGTCAGAATATCAAATGAAAACAGCTTTATTGGCATCTTAAATTGAAGCCTAAAATAAGAAGTATTAAGGCAAGCTTGATGAGATGTCTGCTTTACAATAAAATTTTGATGATCTCAAAGCTCATTAATTAGATGTAGAAGATATCTAAGGAGAATTAGAAAGAACTTTAACTATCTTAAATGAAAAGGATAAAGAGCATGGTTTATATGATAAGAAAATATAAGAATTGGAAGCTTAAATTAAATAATTAGAAGATGTGAAAGTATTTTGTAAATTAATAATGTTAGTATTAACTTGAAAGCAAAATGGCTATGGTCAGCAGTGAAGTTGAAAGAGTTAAATATAAATACGAAAAATTATAGAAGGAATATGAAGAAAATCACTAAAGATTATTAGAAGCTGAAGAAGAGTTAATATAAAATAGTAAAGAGGTTCAAGCTTTAGAGGATGTAAATATTATTTATTATTTCAAGGAATTACATCATACCTAATAAGAGTTAGCTCAATCTAGAAAATAAGGGTGAATAAGAGAATGAAAATTATCAATAATACAAATATAATAATAACATCAATTAAAGATTGTATTAATTTGATAAAAGATTGGAATACTCTTATCTTAATCTTCTATTTATTTCTTCAAGTGATGCATATGAGATAAAATAGTAAAATCTTCATCTGATAACATTTCAACTTACTTTAATGGCTCAATGGTTTCTGGTTGATTTTTGTTATTTTAAGGAACAGTAATTTCATTCTTCTCATCTTTACTTTTTTCAGATGATTTCAAAAATACTTTTGGGGCATTAATTGATCCTTCATTGAAATCAATTTAATACGATTGATTTAAGATATTATTATTCCCTAGCCGTATACCTACAAAATGACTCTGTCTAAAAGCTTATTTTGATTGAATAGATTATAAAATAAATTAAATCCTTGAGACTTCATATATTTAATTAAGTAGAGTTAATTTTTCTTTTGTAAAATCCTTTAATTGTTCATAAAACCTTATAAAAGAAGCTGTATCTAGTATTTACTTACCATTCTTGGAAGCACTAGTTATTTAACCAAAAAGGTTACTTTGAAATTAAATTTACTACAGTTCTGGGTAATAATAAGTAATTATTGTCTTTAATAGTGTATCTTCTAAAATTTTTGAGTTTACTTAGATGACTATCAATTTTAGCATCATAAGAGTGGACATGATAGAACCTACATCTGCAAGAATCTCACCTAATTTAGGATAGATAATTTATTGGGTTTCAGACAAACTATCTATTCCAATCAAGAACACTCCAAGATATTTATTTCCAAAACTTTATTGAAAGTTACTCTAAGGTAATTATTATGATGTGGTTTGAAAATCACTAATAAGTTTTTAATTCTTGATTGATTCTAAAAAGAAACCTGTATCAGTAATTGATGTTGTTATTTTGAATAATAATTAAGTGTACAAAGCAGTTTCTCTATCCAAAATAAAGTAGATTTATTTAGAAATCATTTCAAAATCTTTCAATTTTGTGTTGTATTACTGCATCTATATGGTTAAGAAAAATGTGTTTAAAGGCTGTTTGAAAAATTCTTCTTGTTTTTCCTAATTTGCACAATTATCATATTGAGAACTGTCACATTATTCAAATAAGATCATCAACTGCCTTTAACTTTTAGGAGTGTCTTGGCTCAAACCTTATTGATTAAGAACCAAAGTTATATCTTGAGGAGTAATGGAAGTTGAAATTCCACTTCTTGTAGGAGGTACTCCAGAATCTAACATTAATTACTTTTTAGAAATCACAATGTCATCAACATAGGAAAAATAAGGTGTAATGATATTTTCAGTTTTGGAAAAAGGATCAATAAATTTATCTCCACTCATTCCTACAACTTAAAAAATAATCGGATTATATTCAAAAGATACGTCAGCATAATTTTGTGTTGTCTTTTGAATTGAAACTCTTGGTAAAATATCTCCATTTAACCAAAGAAACAATTTATAAAATAAATACACCATACTCAAGGTATACAATAAAAGAGATGTTATTCCGCCAAATACACTTTTAAATTGTTTTTCATTCTTAAATATCTCTTATTAATAAGACACTCCAAATTAATCAAACCTCTTCAAAAAGTTCATTTCCCTAGATTATTAAAATAATTTTTATTATAGTTATAGATTTTATATTTTAGTATAAATCATTTAATTGTATCTACTAAAAATAAAGAATCCCACTTATCACACATTTAGCTCATAAAACTTACTCAAATTTCATGTATCAAAAATGAAGTATCCACTCAAGATCACCAAAGTCATTAATATTTTGGTTATTCGAGAATATAAAGTCAACGTTAATATTTATAAATAAAAAGAAGAGTTTTTCTAGAATATTAGAGAATATTAGCTTTGTTAATTAAAATATCATAAAAATGGATGAAAAGGAATTTTAGAATAGAACATGCTAATAGCATTCACATCAAATAATTGCAGTGGATTTAAAATTGGCAAATACATAAAATGAAAAATATTTATGTGGCAAATGTTTGATTCTGAGGATAGAAGGGCAACAAATTCTATTACTTACCGAGTTAATTGAAATGATCAAATAGATGAAGAATGATTAGAAGAAGCAGTTCATGGAAAATAATTAGACCTAATTGAGTTATATGAAATAACTATAATAATCATTGAAAGAATGCAATCAACATGTTAAAGAAAAAATAGAATAAACACAAAATAATATTGAAATTCAGATTTAAGATAGTAATAAGGACATAAAAACAAAGGAGGAAGATTAAGAAGAAGTTGATCTGGATAAAGATATTGAATCCGTATCATACTATTACAATTCTAATAAAGAATATGAATTACCTTAAAGAGAATAAAACATTAATGCTATTTCATAATTAATAGAAAATGTATAAAATCAAATTGGTTCTATTTCAAACGCTTTTCAATACTAAAAGATTTTAGAATCATTATAAAATATCAAAACTCAATTCCAAATTGAAATGCCATCTGATAAGGACATCAAGGTAAAATTGAATGAATATTTAGATTTGTGAACAACATGGCTTAGAAATTATTATGGTCAATTTAGAATAAGGCCAATAAGAACACAAAAGGATAGCATGTTCAAAATGTATATAAGAGTTTTCTCAGAAATATACTACCCTTGATGATGCAGATGAAAATTGGACAAATTTTAAAATAAACTCCAAATAAATGATATCAAAGTATAGCAAGAATAGGGAGTCTAAATTTAATTAAGCTGTTACATTTATTACAAATTTAAGAGACAAATATTAAGGAACATTGACTGCAATCATTAATGATTTGGAAACTAACAGAGTAATCACAGAAAAACAATTGTCGCCTTTTCCATTATATTAGAAGAATATTTATTAATTAGACTAAAATCAATTACAAGAAATATTGGAAGCTCTGAGTTAAAAAGATCTATACAGACCATTAAAATTAAAGTTAGCACAATAAGATTAATTAGATTCAATCTTTTATCATAAGCTTAAAGAAACATTAGAAAATCTTGTAAAATACGATCTCCTAACTAAGGAGTAAATAATAATGATAGAAAAGAATTATGAAGGTATACTAAATTAAATATTTAGACTTTTTAATACTAAATGAAGATGAAAAATAGAACGTCTCTAATTGCAATGAAATTAAATAATTTTTGGAAAATACATCTTTGCTTTAATCCTATATGGCTATTGTTGAAGAATCAATTTAACTATATAACAATTTGTAAAATTAGGTTGATAGCTTAAAGGAAAAAGGAGAATTGACCAAATTATTGAATTAGAAATAACCCAGAAAGTCAATTAGGAAGGGTGAACAAACGGATCAAATTAAATAGTCGGATTTAGAATCACTATTTTAAAGATAATATTCATAATTTAATTAAATTTCAAAGAAGTACAAGGAATTGTTGATTTTATACAAAGATGAAAATTTAATCTCATAATTATAAGGAAGTTTGAAAAAAGAAATAAATGTTTAAAACTAATTAAAAGAGAAAATATAATAATTAGAAAATCAAATTTAAAATCTTAAGTAGGATTTTGAAAAACAGAAGTAATAATTAGAACAGTCTTTAGCTCAAAATAATGAATCAGAAAAACAATTATAAGCAAAGCTTGAATAAGAAACCTAAAAGCTAGAGCATCAAAAAAAGAAATCTGAAGAATAAGACTAAAAATTCATTTAATAAATTGAATTATTAAATAAAACAATAACTGATGTTAATGCATAGATTAAAAATAGTTTGCAATCCAAAGATCAATAAATAAGTTCAATTTAATCACAACTTTAAAATTCTCAAAATTCATTAAATAAGTTATAATAAACTTATAATGAAGTTATTAAAGAAACGAAAGCTAAGCCTAGTGTACTATAAGATGCTCATTATTAGAAGATATTATAAACTATAGAAGAAAAATCAAAATAAGTTATTAAATGCTCAATTCCTGTCTATTGTGGGTCTAAGGATGGATTAAACCATACCTCATTTTGGAATAAAGTATATGGCAGAAAGAATTTATTAATGGTTTTTAAATCAAACACAAATTATGTTTGTGGGGCGTTTTCCCCATGTTAATGGTTGTAGCACATAGGTAATTATGTTTTAGATGACACATTACAGTCGTTCTTATTTTCCTAAAATCATAATTAGATTTATCCTTTAAAAGCAGCTAATAAAGCGTATGCAATCTATTGTAATTCATCATACGGGCCTACTTTTGGTTCTGCGCACGATTTATATATACCTTCAAATTTTAATAGTGCTACCTCAAATTTAGGTTCAGCATATTAGTGTGATTAATATGGGAGCATTACAACCTCAACCCATTTGTTTGGTCAATCAAGTGTTTAAATAACTGAATGCGAAATATTCGAAATAGTATTTAAATGAATTTATCTTGTTAAAATTATGTAATATATTCAACATTATGTCTAGAAATCTTCATTATTTAACATTAAATTAAGAAAAAAAATAAATTTTATTTAATATATTTAACAAAAGAACAATTTAATTTTGATTATATTTTTATTTTATATTGAGAATATTATTCTTACTTAATGGCAATATTCATTCAATTATTGCAGTATTCTAAGGTTCTAGCAAGTTAATGTGCAATAAAATTAGTTATACTATATCTACTATTCTCATAAAATACTGAGCAATCATTATTAAATGTTAGATATCAATCTTGTTCATATTTCAATCAATTAATCTTTGCAATAAATTTTTTAGAATTTTGATTTGAGAAAGATTTTTGATTACATGATTTTTGAATAAAATTTATAGTATGTAATCATAACATGCTTAGAGTATTTCTACTGGATATCTCCTCCAAAAAAACTATATAAATAAACTTTATACGCTTTCAGATAGTGTCTGTTAATAAAGAAAGATTGTTATTCCAAAACAAATTAGTTTAGATAAGGAATAATTATATGAGGAGTTAATTCGAGAAAAATAACATCACAAGGCTTTGTAAAATGAAATAAACAAACTAAAAGCTAGACTATAATGTTATGAAAAAGATTTAGTTATTTAAGGCGAGGTGGATTATAAAAGGGAATTAAAATAAGCATTAATAAGACTGAAAAATAAAGAAGAAGAAGTTATTGAATTGACGTAGAGCACTAATTATAAAAAATTTATAGAGTTGGAGAGAACTATATAATCATTAAAATATGAATTAGAAAAATATTATGTATATGAAAAGTTTTAAGGAAGCACTGAGTCAATAATTAATGATAATATTGAATTATTCTAAAAATTATAATAATCCGCTTAACAAATCAAGGAATTAGAAAAAATTAAAATAGAGTATTTCTCAATAGCTAGAAAGCATTAATAGTTGTAACTTGTATTATAAGCAAAAGATTAATAATTATAAAAATTTAGAGAGAGAGATCATTTAAGTGAAATGAATGTAAAGCATTCTAATAAAAACGAATTTTAATTAAGGGAAGAGTTAATAACAAAGGATGAAGAAATATCTCATCTCAAAACCTAATTGGCAATTGCTAGAAAAACTAATGCGGAAGATAAAGCTCTTATAGATTAGACTCAATAAGAACTTCAATAAAAAATAAATTAGCATGAGTACGAAAGACAGAATTATAAAGAGAGGATCGAACATTTGTAAAAAGAAATTTAATAATTATCTGAAAAAGCAAGAAATTTTGATAGATATTTGACTGTCAATTAAAAGAGGAAAACTACCTATGTTGATGATCAACAGTCAAATTCTTAATACACATAAATTTAAGATAGTGATTAAATGGTGAAAAGCATATAAAAGAGCCAAGTAGAAGACATCGCAACTGAACTCAAATTGACGTTAAGAAAAAACAATATTTCTTTATAAGATGCAGAAAAAGTACTTTCTTAATTTATTGTAGCTATTATTTAAAGGAAATGAAATATCAATCTAAGAGTTGGAGTAACTATTAGGAAGAGAGCCATTTAAAGTATTAAGTTCAAATATGTTAGCTAGGTATATGATAGAGGATATTTAAGATAAGTATATCTTTATTACAATTATTAGAGAATTCGAGTATAATCCTGAATTAAAATCTCCTGTCCCTCACGTTAGAAGTGTATTTCGAACATTACTGTAACACTATTCAGTGAACTTTGATGATTAAACACTTTAAACAGTATCTAAGGCTTGTTTGTAAATATTCGAGTTTTGCACGAGAAAAAACATTTCAAAACTATACTAATAAGAATTGCTGGATTGCATTTCATAATTAGACTTACAATGGAATTCAAAATGCTTTGATTGTTTTCAGCAATTATATTTTAATAAATTTAAAGGATTCCTGCAATTTGATATCCAAAATATAAAAAAATTGTTTGAAGAATTTGAGATTTAGTGATTTTCGTTATTAATATTATATAATAATTTTATAATTTAATTTATATTCATTATTAAAATTGGTTTTAAAATTCTTTAATTGCTTATAAAATTGTATTATTTATAAAATAGCACATTTATAAAAATGGATACATTATATTCCTCATTCTTGTAAAATGTGAAATATATGATGTATTAATAATTGAATCTAAAAATACTATCTATACAAAACAGTACACTCTTACTCTTTGTTATTGGTTACTCTTTTAAATTAAATATAAAATAGCAATTAATTTATTATAAGTTTAACTTTATTTTATAAGAAAATAAAGCATTAAAGTTAAAATTTCGCTTATCAGTTAATAAATTCTCTTTTATTTAGTAATGATTTTAAAATTAGATAATAAATAAGGCTTTGTGAGAAAAAGAAATGCATAAAAATATAAAAATTAATATATTTATTTTCTCATTCGAATTGATTTCGTAATAAAAATTATTAAATAATTTTACTCATCTAAAAGTAAATCAAAATCGAACATAATTCTTTATATATATTTATTCAATATATTTATGATGCTTAGTATGTCTAAGAGTGCTGCAAAAATGGATTTTATAATTTTACCAAGCCAAAAATATTTTGTTTAAATTGATGAAAATATATACAACTATGAATTCAAAATTGTTCACTCATTCACTTCATTTGATGAAGTTGTATTCTTTTATAAAACTTCCTCATTAGAACACTTGCATCTACATTATTTAAAGATTATACTTTTTATATTACACTTCTTTAATGTCCAACATTGAAAGAAACACTTTCTTCTTCTATGGTTTATTTTGGTCATTCACTTGCTCCAATTATTTTTTAGGAGCTCTAATAATTTTTTTTTTCACAGGAATGCTGGCTTTTGCTTAAATCAAGGGAGTATCCTCATTTTTTGAAAGTTAAGAGTATAGAAATTCGGCTTAATTTGGTAATTAGTTATTGGCTGATTAGTAAAGTGAATTTTGAAAGGCTTAAGCACTATAATATTATAATCTTATAGTACTTTAACATTTGATTATACATGAGCATCTACTGTTGGATGTATTACTGCTAAAAATAAAGGTTTTGATGGAAATAGTTAAAGCAATGCATAATTAAATTATAAGGGTATTATTAAAAGAAAAAGATCTGGTTAACAGAGTTTTATATACAAAAATCATGCGTCATATTGTTACTTACATATGATCTTGCATAATAATAATAATTATTTTATCTTTATAATAATTATAATATTTATTTTACTATTAATATTGGAATTAATATTATAAAGAGAAAATTATGAAAATGACAATTAATGCTTGTGTGGTTTTTATGATTTTTTAAATTAAATTATTTTCTTATTATAATCATATCTTTGCTTTCGTAAATGAGATCTGAATATTTCTTCCATCAACTTCTTCATTGTGCATTAAAGCCATAATTTCTAATGCCTATTTCAAGCTTTCCATCTTGACTAAACACATAAATTTAAACTATGAATTCAACACTTTGACAGCCTAAATAGATCAAAGCAATACTTCCACTACGCCGTATTCAGAGAAGATGTCCCACATTGTTTCTGCATTGGAGGACACCTTTTTAAGATTTGAGATATGAAGAACTTAACTTGGAGGTAATAATATCATTTTATTATTTGCATTAAATCTGGATATAAATTTCTGAATACCTATCTGTATCTTCAGAGCCTATGTAATAATCTTGCTCTCTATAAAGAGTGTCTAGACCGACTAGTTTCTCAATAGAATCATCAGCTGCGAATGTGATTTATAAGTTGCTTTCGAAAAACTGGATATTTTGGCAGTGTTAATAAACGAAATAAGCCTAATCTTCTTTTAAATATTTCACCAAAGCGAAATTCTTCAGACTACAGTGATGATTAATAACAATATGTTACTTAATTAAAATAATTTTATCAATGTTACCAAAATTGCTAAAGATATTGTAAATTTTTAGTGCATCTAAGTCTTTGCCTTGGATGCCATTCAAACAGACTGTTTTTGTTGATTAAATGTTTTTTGAAGAGGGAATAAGTTTTTAGCTAATTGGCAGTACAGTTGCGCTTTAAGGTTTTGAATCAGCATCATTTATGACTACAATTCATATAACTTTAAAAATTACTTTCATTCAATGAAGTGGAATGCCTATTTTTGAACGTGCTGGATGTCGTATCCTCAATAGTCTCAAAGGATCCAACAGTAAACGAACCATGTAATTTGTCTTCTTAATAGTAGGAGCACTTTATAAAATTGGATGATAGCTGATCTAAAGCCTTTTTTGCATTTTTAGCTGCATCTGTATTAGCCATCTCAACTAAAACTTTACATTCCATTAATGACCGATTCAAAATTTTAACTTGTAGGACTGGTCCATACCTTGCTTATCAAAAATTAATTTTACTGATTCATCAAAGAGCTAAAGTATTCAGGGTTCAGATTTGATGGCGGAGCAGTTAGAGTTAGTAATAAAAAATGTGAATTATGGAGAGATTCTGGCAAATTTGGTGAAGAGTAGCTAAACATATATACTTATTTATTTAATAATTTTCATTTCCAGTTTTTATTTCAAATATTAATATCTTCCAAAGTCGGATCCTTATTTATAGATTTATTATTAATAAATTTCTATAGATCAGAGGGAGAGATCAATCATTTTCATAAAAAGTATTAATTAATATCAATGTCCAATATTTAACTGCGATTTTTAATTAAAACAATAAAATAGTATGTAGAAATTATTCAATTTTATAAGCAGATATTTAATTGTAGAACAGATTTACCCTTTAAATTTTATATATTGTTATTTTTTCTAAATTCTCTTGCATCAGAGAACTACTAAAACTAAAAATTAATTTATAAAAATGTTGAATATCTCATTCACAATTATGATTGACTTTTCGACTTGATCTAACTTTTAATAACTTATTCTTCTTTATTATATTTGTTCACTGGATTTTAGAGGGAATATGTTGTTGAAAAATTCACTTTCGCCTCATTATATGATGTAGTTTCATCCTACTCTTCTTATTTAAAACAACTTTCAACAAAATATTACATTGGTAAAACAGAACTTAAAAATGAAATGAGAATTGAGGCAATAGCCCAATAACTCGTACTTCCAGTTATTTAATAGTTAAAAATTAAGTATCCTGCTGCATAAATAATTGGTAGATATTCCATCATTTCTGTCATCAAAATTGATAATTGAACCGAAGGAGTATGCTTAACAGTCATTCTATTACAAATAACATACTAAAATTATTAATTAATAAAGTACTTTTTCTGCTCCATAATATAATGCCAAACCCACAAAACTAGTGATATACCCAGCAGGAGTCAATGGAGTATAGAAAAATGTAATAAATAGAGTTTTCATTATATCAGCATATTTCAACTCTATCATATGCTCACTATGTTCATATAAACTATTTAATTCTTTTTGAGTTACGGCTTTGTTGAACTTCTTAATCCACCATAATTTCAATGATTTTACTATTCTGTTTGGATCAACAAGAGTAACTATAGGTGGGATTATTGCATTTGTCATGAAAAAATATGTTTCTGTGTAAATGAGACCACCTGGCCCAAATAAATTACGAGTGTATATTGTGCTTGCTAAAAATGCAATAATAGCTGAATTAACAAACAACATCAATGATAATTTGGAAGCTAATGATACCGTATAAAGTGAATAGGTTTCATAACTTTCGAAACCCACTAGAAAATTAGAAAGGCGTCCAACAACAAAAGAATTTATAAAAGTAGTTAATAAGGCTGCTATCATTGAGCTCATATTCTTAGATTTTTATTGTGAAGGTAAAGAAACCTACACAACACCCTAATCAGTTTCTACATCAACTAAGGTGGCTGGAACATTTGAGGCATCCTTTGCTTAAATTTTAGCCAATTCTAGCAATGTAATTAAGAACAAAGCTATTACAATTTAAGAAAAAGTGAAACCAAGCAATCTAACCCAAAACCTTCTATTATCATTGTGAACAATATTGTCCCAAATAACATCTCCAGGTTCAGGAGCTTGATCAACTTTTATAAAGGTATCATTAAGCTCTAGGCTCTTTGCTTCTTAAATGATACATCCAAAAAATATATTAGAGATGACTTATTTCGTTCTATAATTTGAAGATTTTAAAATTATTTATTTGTGATCCTCATATTTCAAAGATAAAAAAGCTGTTCCAGAAAATAAATCGAAGTCAGATTAGATTCTTAATGCTTCAGCGGTGATCTAATTTTGCTTTTGCTTTTTCTATTCATTTAAATTTAATAATTGATCATTATCATTCTTTTCTAGAGCAATTTTCTGTAATTTGACTATTTCTTCCAATTCTAATTCCATATCCTTTAGAGTATTAGCATAGAAGATATAATCTATTTCCATAACTTCTACCTCAAATTTCTTTTCAAAAAATTCTTTTAATTATTATTGTTTGCAGTCCTTTGGAATGTCTTTAACAATCAAAGTGTAATCAGAAGGTGTATTTTCTTTAATATCACAGTCATTGTCTATAATTAATTAAGATTTTCTAAAGAAGAATATTATGACTAAAATGAAGATGACACTGGAAAAATTAAAATAATGTGGCAACTAAGTTAAAATTGTTTAAAATCTTTTATTCGCTAATGATGATCGTGCAATCCAATCATTTAAACAATAATTATGTACTTATTCTTTCCATGAATCTTGTTTTTGCACTTCTTTATATTGATGTTGCACTTAAACAACTAAATCTTCACAATCGTTGCTAGTTAAGTTTGAAACAAGTTAGTATTGTCCAGATGTTAAGAACAGTACTCCCACTATCATAAGACAACATTTTATGAAATTAAAATAGAGTGGATAGCCTGAACCTAGGAAAGAAAAGGCCATCTCATCCCTCTGTAAGTCAATTTGTGTTTTGTGCTAAATTAATAGTGGTATAATATTACGATTTGTTGTTTGCAACAAGGGCAAATATTTACTGTTTCACCCTCCTTATAGGGGTTAGGAATACCTACTTTACAGGCGAGCTAGAAATTTATTGTGAAATTACTTAATGTTGCTAAGCGATTGTGTAGTTTGGAGGAATCATATGTTCATCATATTAATCAGATGTATAAAACTCTAACTATCCATTTTTCAAAGTTGCTGTCATTAAGAGTTGTTGTGTCTGCTGGTCGCATCACTTGCATTAAGAATATTTGAAATTTTAGAAATTATTGATTGATATATATTTAAATTGATTTTTCAATTTATTTCATAGTTTATATATACTTTATCGAATAAAAATGATTTGCTTTCAAATAAAAAAAAAGTGTTTTGTTATGAATTCATTTAAATAGTTTTTGAATTCAAAACACACTAATAAAATAAATGAATTTTATATCTCAAATTAATTCTGATTGCTTCTTATTAAACCGAAAGTGATTTGATTTTGATCTTTTTTTTTGTCTAATTCTTTTGATTATTTTAAGTTTGGAAATATTTTAGTATTCGTTGAAATAAAAGAATAGCAATATCTACTTATTTATAATTTAATATTCATTATATATTCATAATGAACTTTTATTAGAAGAAGCTTTTGTGGTCATTTAGCAAATAATGACCTTTTTTGGATTAAACCTCCTTAAAATAAATTAGACATATAGCTCGAAGGGTTTTTCATTATTTTAAGATAGAATAATCTGAAAATGAAGAAATTAAAAATTGCTGATCATGTGATATTTTATTCTAAATCAGTAAACATATTTCTAATACAAGAAATCCATAAATTGCTCGAATTGCTAACTAGAAAGAGTTAAAAATTCTTTAGTTATTTAATCAGGTTTAAAAATTAGCAAATAGGGAAAATACCTTGAAATATTTGGAGAAATAGATTAATTATATGATCATTTAAAGAAATATTGTGTGTAAATCAATTTTTTACAGATTTACAAATTGTGTTCTGTCAATGTTGAAAAAGAAAAAAAGAAGGTTTAATATATTAAAATTTTAGATTTATAAGATCCGCCAACGAGTAACCAATGACGAAAAAATAGCAAAGGTTTACGAACTAGATGGAGGAGATATTTAATAGATAAATAAAGAAATATAGATTTTACGATTATTGAAGCATAAAAATATTGTACAAATGGAAGAAGTATACTAAGAAGATAATCGGCTTATTTTAGTTTTTGATAATCTTGAAGGAGGTGACTTAGCTAAAATAATGCTCCTTAAACAATTTTGTGAGGACACTATTAGAATAATAATTAAACAAATTTTACAAGGCATAGTCTACTTACATGATTTGGGCATATTTCACAGAGATCTAAAACCAGAAAACATTTTGTTTAAAAATTAAGAGCAAATCGAATAATTATAAATAATTGATTTTGCTCTTGCTGACTTTTATTGTGGTGAAAACAAGTATATTTTTACCCGATGTGGAACTCCAGGGTATGTAGCCCCAGAAATTCTTTAAGATAAAAGATACACTTTGAATGTAGATGTTTTTAGCGTTGGAGTTATCTTATTTATGCTGCTAACTCAGAAGAATCCATTTATTAAGGAATAATTTAACTATGAATAAATAATTACTGCCAATTATGATTGTTAAATTGATTATTCTGAGGTCAAATGTTCGACGGAGTGCCTTGATCTATTAAAGAAATGTCTTAAAGTAGATTAACATAAAAGAATTTCTGCAAGGGATGCATTAAGTCACCCTTTTATCTTAGGAACTTTCTCAACAGAGTAGATATAGTTTAGGATTAAAACTTAAAGTTAACTCTAAAAACAAAAATCGAATGGATCTCTTCGAAAAATTATTCATATTGGAAGTCTAGATAGTCCAAGGTTTTCTTAAAAATAGAGTATTAAATCACTTCACACTGAAAGCCCTATCGACACTACATCAGATAGTCCAGGAACGCCAAAATCGGCAAGAACTGAAAATAGATTTTCTAATTTTAAATTCTCAAAATAACAATAATGGAATTCATTTCGTGTGTCAAAATTTAAAAAATGATACAAATAATCAAATTACATTGTATTTAAATTTATAATAAAATCAATTTATATCTTAATTGACTTCTCCTTGATTCGTTCAACTTTATATCTTTCAATAAAAAGGCTTATAAATAAACTTCCTGAATTTTCCTCCCATCAGAAATTGAAATATTGTATGAGTTAGGTTCAGAAATGAATTTAAACTAATAGTTATTTTTTGAATATCATTTGAAAGTCCGAATATCCATAGCTAAAGAGAGTAATTTAGGATATTAAATGTATTAAAATTTGCAACTAACTATTTTGTCAATACAATTTTAATTTGCAAATTTCGTACTAATTTTTACTATCTGAATGCAGTATTGTATTCACAAATGCTAAGAGCACGTCTCTAGATGCTATCATTTGTAAATATTAATTACATTAATAGTAATTACATTTTCTGAATAAGGAGAGGATCAACAAACAAGAATAAAAAAGTTGTCCTAAAGGGATCTTGAAAACAATTACTTGAAATCAATTTTAATTTTAAATCAGCAAATACATATTACTAATAATGCATAATGTTTAAATTAAATTAATCAATTTTATTTTATTAATAATTCTAAAGGTTCTATGTGAACCACTTTATTTTACGTCTATTCAAATGAATCAAAAGGATAGACCATCATTTAATTAGATTCTTTCATATTTATAGTTTCAAACAGATTCTCAGAAATCAACCCTCCAAAAGTATGACAAAATTAAAATGCTTAATTCCCTAATTGCTATTGAAAAACAAATTATAATCTAGATATCTCATATAATATATTGTTTAACCTACATTTTTATTTAGCCCCTTTTTATAACATTTTATAAGCTGAACTTACACTTTATTTTGGAGATTTAGTTTTTTCTTTATGATTGAACTTTATTTGATTAAATCGATCTAATTGTAATTCTTTAAATTCTGGATAATACATCGTTATGATATCATGAGTTTATTAATTTTCAAATAATTATTTATTATAGTACACAGCAAAATATTATAAGATAAAAATCAATTAAACTATCGATCCTATTTAAGCTAATATTTAACCTAATTTAGGCATAATTACATTTTCAACTATAGAAATATTGTCAATTCTAAATAAATAAGAATTTATTGCACTTACTTTATACTATCCTTTAGACATAAAATAAATTTAGGATGTCATAAAATCAATATCTACTGATTAATTTGTAATTTCATAATTATTCAAGAAAAAATAATGTCTGAGCTTATCGAAAAGAATTCCATCATCAATTATAGTTTCCTATTATTTTAACATAACCTAAGAATAAATTGTTCTTCTTGGATCAAAAGCAGAATAGAATTATTTTTCAAACGATTCTAGTTCTCTTGTAACATAATTTAATTGATGTAGCTTAATTGTGATAAACAGAAATCCATGATCATTTTATATGTATTGTTATATTTCATTAGCATCTGCACAAGTTATCCCTTTTATATTTAATTCATCTGAACACATCACAAAAGTTAGCAAATATTGTTTCATTTCTTTATGTATTTCATCCTTTCCATATACATTATTCAAAATTAGTGATCCTTCCTCAACTTAAAACTATCTGGGGTGGTCTTCTGTGCTATACAATAACATAGGTTAATCTTCGATCCTGCTATCAAGAATGGTAAATAATAAGGGAGTAATAAAGTTCTTTTCTTTTCTAAAAGGATCAATATCTGAGGAAAAGTCATATAAACTAAATGTGATTAATGGTTCAGACCATGCAAATTCTGAATATCCAGTTGTTTGTTACTTTGCACTTACATTTGGAGGGACCTAATTATTTATCCATAAGATCATGATATAGAAAAAATAAGCCAAACTTGTGCTTCCTACTATTAGTGAAATAAATCCTCCTAATTTGCTTTTGAACTTTGGTTCATTTTCGTTTGTTAATAAAGCTACAGGTACACCGAAGATATCTAATTTTTCTATTGAATCAATAATTTTATTCATTTTATAATTTTAATTGATATTAAACCTTTAAATTTGTTTAATTAATCAATCTTAAAATCAGGAAAAACGAAAAGATATTAGAAGCTCAAAAATAAATAAAATAATAAACATTCAATTAAAATCAAGTTTGTTACTTTTCAGATAATAGGAAGTACTTTTCTTAAGCTTTTGGGCAACTTACTCAACGATTTAATCTTCAAACTCTAAAAACTTCATAATTTTTATTGCTTAGTAAATTGGGGTTAGATTATAAAATATTGTAATGCCTGAGAAATCATCGAAATCATTAAAATCATTGATTTCATTTTATATCAATAAATCTTGTTCCTATTTGGAAAATGTTTGAGGGATTTTTTGTAAACAATTTATTCTATCAAATATATTCATCTAGGTTTCAATAATGATTTATTCATTGCATTAAATATCTAGCATATAATCCTGATAGATCTTTCTAGAAACCAGCCCAAAAGTATTTATATCAAATAAACATAATTATTCAAGTTCCTCTTCGTTTTAAGAAGATATTTTACAACAAATGTATAAATCATTTACAAATAAGATTTGTTCAATACTTATAATATAATTAAAATAATTGATTTCAAAAATTCTTATTGATTCATTTTACTCATTAATAAACTCTATGAAGGAATTTAAATCAGTTTTAGGAGTAAAAGCCAATAATATTTATTTATTTGATTAAGCACATCCATTTAAAGAATTCCTATCATTTAGAAATTTCGATTATAAGTTTTATTGAACTCCTTATGAATTTATTTCACAGAGTGTTTATTCCAAATCATTTTCTAAATATAATGCGATAAAATAGTTATGCTAATTTAATTAATAAATGGATTTCAAGAGTTAATTTTGTTTTTTATCTATGAGATTAAATTAAGACTAAATTTCCAAATTGCTATTTAAAAAGTAACAAATAATAGAACCGAATTCATATTGAATTAATAACATAGTTAATTTGGTTATTCTAAAATAAAAGGTTGTATAGCTTTGATAAGTTTGAGGAAGCTTGAATTTTGTTTATACTTTATTCATTTTGAGGAAGTCAAATGACTCAATCATAAAAGCATCACTTTGATCATAATGAGCCAAGGCTAAGCTGGATTCTCCACATAAAAAAGCAAAAAAAGGAATGTAGTCAATCTTTCTAATCTATAATAGTAAATATTACATCAATTTTCGGGTATCTTTTAGTTCAAGTTCTATTACATCATAATAATAGTCTTTATTAAAATTTATAAGCATTACAACCAGACCACAATTTAAATAATACGTTTAATGAAGTTCGCTCTGCTTTCTTAATTGAACATTCTCTAATTAATTAAATTCAAACATTATTATTAATAATATAAAAGAAAATAAATGTCAGACGATCCCAGATTCAAAATTGTTGAAGGAATAGATGGAGATTATGTGATCATAGGGTTTCCTCATCATATAGGAGCCAAAAGAGACAATGTTCGAATTGGATAGGACCATGGACCTGATTCTTTAAGAAGATTCTTGCCTAGAATTGGTCCATTAAGGAATGCTGAATATATGAAAGATATTAGTAATTTTATAGTTTCGGATTATGGAAATATACATGTTGACGATGATTAAAATTTAGAAAAACTTTTGGAAAAATTGAATCAGAAAGTGAAAATTGTACACAATAAGAATCACATTCCAATTGTAATAGGAGGATCCAAGGATTGTGTTTTTGGTGTTCTTAGTGATGATTTGCATGTGATTTCAATTAATCATATTCCTGATATTCAAGTACCATATGATGGCAATAAACCAAGTATTAACTCAGGATTAAGAGCATCGACAAGTAAAATATCAATTACCTATTTTGGGTATGATAATAGCAAATTAAATTAAGAATAAGAAAATTATATAAATGAAAAATGTAATGGAATTAGCTTATAGAAGATTAGGTAAGCATAGAAGGCATTTCATCAAGATCTGGAATAATAAGTTACACAGGCTGGAATTTTATTTAAATAAATACTTACAAATCTTTAAGGGAAAAGAATTCATATTTCTATTTCTTTAGAAGCCATAGATGTATATCTTAATAATTATTATAGTCGGCTTTTTGTCCTGGAGTAAGCAGGCCTTGTGTGTAAGGCTTATAAGTAGAAGAAATATTTGAAATAGTTTATTTGGCAGGTAAATTTTGTGTTGGTTTGGATATTACTGATTATAATCCAACAATTGAGGATTATCGTACAGGGTTTTTATTAGGAAATCTAATTTATTATTTTATTTTATCAAAAGGAAAGGATATTAAGTGATATTAATTTTTTGGTATAAATTTCCCATAAATTATTCCAAATTAATTTATATATTAAAGAATTAAAATAATGATTTAAAAGCATCCTCAAGTAATAACAGTTCTTTTAATTTCTGAAAACGAAGAAAAAGTCTAGAATTTCATGAAACGAATAAATTCAAATAAGCTAGAAAATCAAGAGAGAACTATTAATCTTTATTATTAACCAATTGATTTAAATAATGATCATAAATGCTTACAATAATTATCAATGTTTGAATATGCAATTCTCTTTTTGAAGGATTTAGAATTTCATTAATTCACTATGGACAACTATAATTTTAGAATGCTCAAATTACTGCAGTTTTATAAGTACATAATAAAAATTTAACTTTAGATATAAATAAATCTTTATTATTTATGATGAAAATGATAGTAATTCAAGTATTGCATAATTATAGAATCTATACTCTTGGATTGATCAAGAAGTTAATTCGATCTTCTATGACGAAAGATTTAACGATTAGCAAGAAGAAAACTAGCTAGGGTTTTCAATCCCTAAAATTAAAATCTTAAGTGAACCAACTCAGAATGATTTCATGGAATTTTTCAACGATGAAGCAGATATTAAAGATTCTGATTTAATCTTAGCAATCATTAATGAAACAGAGGTGAACAAAGGCATAGCATAAGTGATAGATGGATTCATTTTGAATGGATAAACTGTGCTTTATCAAGAATAAGTTGCATTATAAAAAGTATAAATTAAAAACTTTGTTGATTACTTTTCAAAATAAGAAAAGAATTTTGCATAAAAAGGAGATATTATTGAATTTTAATTTGATTTAAAAAAGAAAATAAATGGGCTTCTAATAGGATTAAGGTAAGATAAATATCTACTCCAACCTAAAGAAATCAAAGGTGATTTTATATGTCCATAGATAGTGGGATAGGGTGGAATATAGAAAATCTAGAAATCAGATTCAAAGGCATTTTTTTATGGAATTGAATGTATATATTTTAATTACAATTAAAGGTTAGATTGAGAAGAAAAAAATATTTGGATAATTAGAGAATGGTACTTATAAAGATTTCAAGAATATAACATCAAAACCATTTGGAATGTCATTTAGGATTAGTAAACAACTTTACTTGACTCCAAACATACTTTAAAAGAATATAATTTTATCTATTCCCAAAAACAAGAATTTAACATAACAATAAATTTTTTGTGGAAAAATAAAGACTTAAGATATATTTTAAGTCACAAAAGTGCAGGTTCAAAAGAAAAAAGTAGTTTTAATTCCTGAATTGACAAGTATTCCATCAGAAAATATGATCAACAATGGGGTGGACTATAGATAAAGATGTAGAGTGTGCAGAACTGAAAGGGCTAGATATGTTCCTACTAATTGTGGGCATCTAAGATATTGCAACGATTGTAAAGATATATGTATGGAAGCAAAACAGTGCTTATATTGCGATAAACCTAGCAATAACACTCAAAGTTTCAATATTCATCTTACAAAATAACAACTTTAAAATCTCAAATCAATGACTGAATAACAAATTATTGAATATTTTGCAAACCATCCTGATAAAGAAATGCTGCCTTTTATGAAAGTTTATAATGAAATTAACGATGAATAGAACATTTATTTCGAAGTAAACTGCGACAACTGCGATTCAAGAATTACTCAATACTCTATTTGTATTAATAATCATTAAACACTACTTTGTGATGAATGTTAAATAAAGGAATGTTAGGCATGCAAGGATCAATTACAAAATAAATAAAAAATTATCTTTACATTTCCAGATGATCCAACTGCATGAATTTATAATCAAAAGTTTTATTAAACAATATTCTGAAAAATAAAAAAGAATTAATCCTCTTAATTATTATTATATTATTATATATATTTGATACATTCAGATATTATAGGATAGAAAAAGAATTTATTTTTTTTTACATGATCATAAATATTCTTTTATGATCTTGAAGTATTTAATAATAATAATTTAAATGAATATAGTTCTTATAGCATTTTCAGAAGAATAACAAATATAAACAGCAGATAAATACCAATTTGCTTCCACATGCTATATAACATCTGATATTTACCAGCAATAAAAAGAATTATGGAAATTTGATAAAGCTGTTGTTGTTCTTGATTAATTTCCTATAAATTTATCTAAATTAAATAAAGATGAACACCTAACAAACAGTTTAGATCCTAATTTTTCACTATTTAAAACTCTCAAATTATTAGGGTAAAATTATTCTCTTATATTTTTAGTTATCAATAAGTTTTAGTTTCTTTGGAATAAATAAAATTATAAAAATACAAGCAGGCAATTTCATAATTAGAATAAACTATTATATCTATATTCAACGATTAAGAAAGAATAATTGAAGAAGAAAGAAATGTCTTTTCGCTTAAAAATCCAACCGTGAAAGTTGTGTAAAATTGTGAATAGAATGAAATTTAAAAATTCTTTCTTAATGAAATAAATTTAACTACAAATTAAATTGATTAAACAGAATGTATTGTAGTGAGACATGAAGAAGCATTTCATATTGTTAAGGTTCTTTAAGGAGCATTATATGTAGGATAGTTTTTAAAATCGACCACATGTTAAGCCTGGATATAATAAGTAAAGATTAGTCCAGGAGGTGAAGGTAAAAAATAAAATAAACATAGTGTTTGTTAAATTTGAAGAGAATAAAATATTATAAGGAATATTATGTAGCTATCAACATTGTCCTGAATAAATTAATGCATTCGATGTTGAAATATAATTAAGTGAATTACCAATATTGCTTCCAAAAGATGTGTTTAGAAAAATGGGTTAACTTAAGATGATATTTTACAATCAGGAATATTTGATATAGAACAGCCATAATAGTCCAATTTAATTTTAGGGCATTAAAGATAAAATAAATGGAAAAATAACTGAAAATCCAACAAAAGTTAATTTTGGTATATGCAAGTTAACACTAAAAATTATCCCAGAAGGGGAGAAAATACTGTTGAATATTAATTCAAAGCCCATTGTTTAGTATTTTTTAAATATTAAATTAGTTTTCTTAATAATTATAATACAGTTGTTTTTTATGGACAAATTACAAATATATTAGAAAGGAAAAATAGATAAATAGATTTAGCATAATATCTTCCTCTTCCAAAATTTGAAAGAACTAAAAATATGACTCTAATAAATAATGAGGATTTAAGATACTTGTGTAGAATTTGTAAGGCGAAATAAGTTAATCGAGTATTGAAAGAATGTGGTCATTTAAGATATTGTAGTGAATGTGTTGATTTATGTCTTGAATCTAAGGAATGTTTTTATTGCAATAGATCCCTAAGTAAGTGTTATGCTGTTTCTATAATATATTTGGACTAGATAACTTTTGATTAATTATCTAAAAAGAAAAACTAAATTTCTTAAATCAACCCTTCCAAGATAATTTAAGATGAAAACATTTCAACATATTTAAAACTTATCTATGAATAATAAAAGGGGGGAAAGATTAACTTTTAGACAATTTATTGCAAAATTTGTGATGATTTATTGGCATAAAGATTATTTTCTTGTTCAAATGAACACGTCACATTAACTTGTGAGGAATGCAATCCTAAAGATTGCAAGGAATGCAAAGCAGACATGATCTAAAAAGTTGAAATTTTATATAAATTTTAAGATGATTTATATTGAATATTGGTATAAAATGTATTTTAAAAATATTATTTATTTTATATCAACAGTGAATTATTATTACAAACCTTTTTGAAATTTTAACTCATTTATATTTGATTTAATATTATTGGAAAATGTGAGAGAAGTTACAGCCCAATTTCTACAGATTAACGATCCAATATTATTATTCTCAAAAAAAGTATTAGTCTGAATAATTTAAAAAGATTAAAATTTCATTTAAATTTCAGATGTTATGAGGATTTCATAATAAAATAAAAGGATGGAGGCAAAAATCAAAACTATATTGACAGAAAAATATTTACTTAATATATAAATAATAGTTCAATTTTGAATACAAGTTAAATTCACAATTAAGATGGAACTGTTTAGCATGTGTGTTATCTATTTCTTTCGCTAGTTTACAAAACTTATTTTAGAATTAATTTATTACATTTCCGTTAAGACTGCGATGAAGAAATCAACCTTCTTTAAAATTCTTATTATGCTAACACATTAAAATCATTGTAAGTTCCTTTATAATTTTAAAGATTACTTTTTGTTTTTTATAAATTTTCTCTATATTACTTTATTCTCTCATTATCCTTCTTGAGAAATTTGATAGGATATTATGAGTGGGCTGATTAAAGCCTTTTTAATAAAGTCTAATTTTCCAATATTATTTTTGTAGTTTCTTTTCTTCTTAAATGATCAATTGAATATGATGTTGGAGTCTTGAAACTAATTTTTTTTTTTTGTATTTCCTTCATTTTAGACATAAGTATAAGGTTTTGATTAACAATATCTAAGTCTTATACTAAAGGAAATTAGAGTTTATCAAATACAATGTGTATATTTATTGGCTAATTTTGACAATGAATGCGTTGATTACCAAGGAGGAGAAAGATGTAGGCATGACTTCGCTGTTTAAAGGGTTGTAATGTGTTTAAGTTGATCCTAATTTATTCTATATATACTTGAGCTGTTTTCTTTTTAAAACATATCGGATTTTAGTAAAGGAGATTCCACATTTTATGCTTTAATAAAAATATTAGTATAAATTATTTCTATAAGTTAATTCCTTTACGATAGTTAATAAATTGCTTTTAATGGACAGTAAAACAAATAATAATCTTAACTTGGTTTTGCATTTAATAATTATCAAACCATCAAAATTTTCTTTTAAAATTATTAATCTAGTTTAATTGAGGTATTAGAAGTATTTTTATCATTATGATGCATTAATAAAAAAATGTTAATAGGAAATGATTAAAACTTTTAGTGCAATTAATTACTTTAGAAGGATTCTATATTCAATGATGGAAAAGCTTTATGGATAAACTAAGATTATGATTCCTCAAAACCAATTGATTAACAGAGGTTTAAAATTGAGTTAGATTCAAAAAATAAAATAAAATAATTAACCCTATATGAAAAATACATAAGATATAGTTAACATGTAAAAAGTACATAGATAAATTAGAAAATTATTCTTTTTGAAAATAGTTTCTTGGACCTTGTTCATAATTAATAAAATAAATTAGTAGGCTTTAGATTAGTAAAATATGATGGAAGTTTGACAATTATAGGAGAATGCAAGCAATGGATTAAAATGTTGAAAAAATATGTGATTTAAAGTGATTTTTCTAGAAATTATAAAATAACAAAAAAAATAGGGAATGGAACTTTTGCAGATGTAAATTCTTTTGTAATTTAAGGTTTATTTAGTTAAGCATAAGCACACAAATAAGGAATATGCTGCTAAAATATTTTATAAGAAAAAAATAATTTTGGAGGATAAAGAACTTTTAATGATAACTAAAGAAGTCTAAATAACAAGACTCTTTTCTAATCCTAATATTTGTTAATTATATGAGGTTTTTGAATGTAAAGTGCACTTAACTTTAATAATGGATTTATTAGCCGGATCTGAATTAGTTTATTCTCTTAAATTGGGAGGATTATCGGAGATTTAATCAATTTTAATAATAAAACCTCTTTTTCAAGCTCTATAACTCTTACATAAGCAAGGAATCTTTCACAGAGATATTAAACCATAAAATATAATGCTTCATCAATCTGGTAAATTAGAAACCGCATGTTTAATTGATTTTGGCCTTGCTGATTTCTGGAATCATAAAAGCGAGTATTTATTCTCCCAATGTGGAACTCCAGGATATGTAGCTCCAGAAATCTTACTTGGGCATTCCTATGATTTCAAAGTTGATGTATATAGTCTAGGATTAGTATTGTATTTGATTCTAACAGGTAAAGAACCCTTCTAATCAAAAACAATTGAGGGTCTAATTGAAGAAAATACGTATGGGCATATTGCTTTATCACATTTAAATTTATCTCCAAATTGTCTTGATTTTTTATAAAAAGTTCTAGCAAAATCTCCAAATCAAAGATTGACTTCCTAAGAAGCTTTGATACATCCTTTTTTACTTTTTGGCCCAGGAAATCATTTAGATTTGATTCATAACAAAATGTAATCACCTGAACAATATATTTCTAAAAGTCAATAATTTCGTAAAAGCGTTGCTTCTCTCAGATTATAAACTGATACTTCGAATAATTAATTGAATTAAAGAGATATTTTTAAAAAGAATGAGTTAGAAAGAAAAGACATCAAAAAATAGTTTTCAATTCGAAAAGTAAAACTGTGAAAGAATAATTAATGATTTTTATTTAAATTTATTATCTTGTTGAAAAAATACAATCTTGAATGATAATCAAATCTTTTGAGATTCACAATTGTTCATTTTTATCAAATTTAATTTTAATTAATATTTACTTCTGGTTTTATCAGAATAGTAGAATGTGTCTAATAATAATGCAAGATTTACTAATTTATTTAGAAAAATATCCAATTTTCTAGAAATTAAAATAACATGTAATAATAATGTGTTTTAAAGGAAGAGGCTCATAAACTTTACTCGAATGCAGAAGAGATGGAATCTTCCTCTTTCAATTGATAAGGAAAAAAGGTTAAAATTTGAAATTAAGATGGTAGAGGCATTTGAGTCATTTGGAATTTTAGGAAAATATTATGGTTTGACTCCTGGTCATAAAAATTAAATAAGTGATAAAGCAGCAGATGAGTTGAGACATAAACATTTCTATCCAATCACATGATAACAGACAACTATTCAACTGCTTCTGGAGTCGCTTCAGATTGGTCTTATGGCAGAGGAATTTGGCTGAGTGAAGATTAAAGAAAATGATTTGGGTGGGAGAAGAAGATTTATTAAGAATAATTTCTATTGTATAAGGTAATGATTTAGGAAAGGTTGATAAATCATTGCATGATTTATTATTAGGAATTGAAAAAGTGGATTATAATTTGCAGAAGATCCAGTTGATGGTGTAATTACAACATGTCCAACTAATATGGGAACAGGCAAGAGACAATCAATTCTTGGAAAATTCCCAAATATTACTAAATAAGGAACTGATGAAAACAATTGAAAGAGATTGCCAAATAATTTGGACTCTAAGCAAGAGGATGCGGAGGAAAATATTCTGCAATGGACAAGGAAGGAACAGCTGATATTTCTCCCTCAGCTAGATTTTGAGTTACAGAAGCTAGTGTTACCAAGAGACTCTACGAGGGCTTGATTAAATTATATGAGATCGAAGTATAAGCAATAAAAGAATGATGAGAATGAGTTTATAAATAAAAATTATAGAATTCAATATCTTTTCTAATTAATCAGTAAAACACAATAAAGTGTAAAAAGTTTAAGGCGATTTATTAATATTTTTTGTTTTGCCAATTATGGATAAATAATAAATTGAAGAGAAATGGTTAATATGTGCAGATCCAGATAGTTGTCAGATTTATACTTTAAATATCAATACAAATGAATTCAAAATTGAATGTGAGGTCGATTAAGAATACAGATAAAAAGCTATTCAAGCTATTTAATAAATTGAACAAATGTTAAAATTGAAATCAGGTGACTTAATAAAACTAATATAGGTACTTGGCGAATGGCATCTAAACAAATTGAATAATATCGAAGGAGAAAAATTCCATCATATTTATTACATAAATAATCCTCCTCTATTCCAACTTATCTTTGTTAATCCACACTAAGTTAAGCTTTTGTTAAAGTGAACTCAATCAAACTTTAGGTGAAATTGAATCAATATAAAGAATTATTTATTAATATGCCACCAGAAGTTCAATTATTAGAGAAACCTAATATCGTCGAAATAGAAGCAGGATTAGTAACAGGTGCTGATGAAGTTATAAAAAATGTTTTAAGAGAAATCTATTAAAGATTTAAAGTGAAGCTTAAACCAAAAGATGAAAAAAATTAATTTATCTTACAAATTGCTGGATTCAAAGAATTTTTAACAGGCAATCACCCTATGTTATCTTATGATAGAGTGAGAGTGTAATTAAGAGGAATGAAGCACTTGGAAGTTATTCTTACTGAAGTTCCAAAATACACAGATTAATCATCTTTATTTCCTCCTATTGTTTAAAGAATAAAAGGAGCTGATTAATATCCTCCAATCGAATGGAAGAAATTTAAAGATGTTCCTATATTATTATGGTATGCACCTTCTACATTGCCAAAATATGAATTTGAAATAATCAACACTAGAATATCTTTTGGAATAGGAGCCACTTATTAAATGAAATTTGATAAACCTAGAGGTTCTAGCCAAGAAAATATTTCAAATTTGGATTGCAGCGAAAAGATTAAAAGATAATCTGTCGGAGATAATCCATAAAAACAATCAATTTAAGATTAAGGAAATAAAAAAGGAGTTGGATATATTAATGACTTGGTTTCTATGAGAAATGAATTGTTTAGATAAAATATTCTGTCAATCGATCAAAATATTCTTTACTCTGGGGAATGCGACTGGCCTTTTAGTGTCAGAATTTGTTCAATAGAAAATCTTGTTTAAGCTCTTGAATAGGACAATAAATTTGAAAAACCCTAATTAAGAGCAACCTACAATGGATTAATACCTCCACAATATATTACAAAAAAAACTAGTACAAAAGTTGAAGATGATAATCATAAAACAAAAAACAACAAATCTGAAAATAGAGAGTAAAACTAAGGTAGACAAGTACATTTAAAATTGCATAAAAGAACAGGTAGAGTCTTAGATCCTAGAAATCTTGATATTCGTAAATAAATTCCGTTTGGAGGATAAGATTTTTTGGATGAATTAGAGACTTTTTAAGAAAGATACGAACTTGACTTTCTACCCTTTTTAATATCAGTTCAGGTTTGTTTATATCATGGTTGTAAGCTATTGACACCATGGTGTTAAGCTGAAACAAAGAAATAGCCTTTCAGTCATTCTCCCAAATTTTATCAATCAATTACTTTTCCCGGAATCAAGATTTCATAACTACCTTAAGAAGCAAGACTTTGCTTCAATATTATAGCTCATAGTGCTATAGGGTAGCAATAAATTATTGGTTGCACAACTATGTATATTTTTTCTGAAGAAAAGAGATTTCGAGCTCATATGAATTAGTTGAATGTATGGCCTTTTTATAAAATTGATCCTAGATTACTTTGCGTAGGTCAATATTTTGGTTGGGTTAATTCATAATAGTAAGCAGCAATTACTTCTGATGTAATTACAAATTCTTATGGAAGATTAATAATTTAATTAGATCAATTCAATTTACCAATGAAATGGAGTTTAAGAGATGAAAAACAATTAGAAGAACTTGGATTTTCAAAATCAGCAAGAAGTTAAAGGTACTATGAAATGAGAAATACACTTATTCCAAATTCTGATTATTCAACATATTAGTAGATGCAATCATCAACTTTGGCCTCCGAATAATTTGGAACCCTATATCAAAGTAATTATTCAACAACATCAAACTCGTTTAGTTCTGCAAGCAATTTTAATGGTGGATCCCACATCTTTAGTAAAAAATAAAGAGGAGTTGTAGCAGGAAGTTCTTTATTTGCAGCAACTAATATTCATTAAAGATAACATTCAAACCCTTATGAACAATATTCTCAGGTTGGATTTACATCTCAAGAATAGGGTACAATTTTGAGGTTTGGAGAATTTAATGAGAGAAACACTCACCTAGCCCCTTCGGTAATGCATATGGGATAAGGAAGTTCCTTCAATATTCATGAGCAATCCAGTTCTTAATTTAGTTCCTACAAACTAAGCCATTAATTCTCGTCATAAAATATCTCTTAAAATTAACCTGTGAGTGAGAGTTACAATTAAATTGTCACTTTTAAAAATTGGTCAACTACTCCACGAACCGAAGATCTAGCTATCCTACAGGCTTTACTAAAGTACAATCCACTAAACAGACCATATTTTACTGACCAGCATAAATATATTCTAATGATTTGTAGGAATCACTATAAGACTTTACCATATGCACTTTAAATATTTTTAATGGCTATAGAATGGGATGATCCTGAGTAAGTAAGGGAAGCACATAATATGATAAAATTATGGACTCCTTTACCTCCAGAAGATGCACTGCCATTACTGGATGCCCCATTTGCTGATGAAACTGTCAGGTTGTATGCAGTTGAGAGAGTAAGTATATTGTCTGATGATGAATTGTAATTGTATATGTTAGAATTGACTTAGTGTTTGATGTTTGAGAAACATCTTTTCAATCCGTTAGCAGAAATGTTGCTAGAAAGAAGTCTGTAAAATCCATGGGTTGTGGGTCATGAATTATTTTGGTTGTTGAAAGCTTAATTGCATGTTAGACCATCTTATGAAAGATATTCTCTTTTATTAGAATAATTACTTATGCTTTGCGGGGAATTCAGATAATAATTAATGAACGAGGTTCTCGTTGACAATGAGCTTTATAATATTGCATAAAAAGTCAAAGAAGAAAATATACCAAAAGATAATAGAGTTTCATTCTTATAAGCAGAACTGCAATAACTTTTTCCTAAACTACCTAAACCCTTCTCATTTGCTTTAGATTCAAGGATGGAAGCTTAATAATTTAAGATGAGTGAATGTAAAGTTATGGATTCAAAAAAAATGCCTTTATGGTTGTCAGTGATTCCCCAATGCATAGAGGAAGATGAAGATCTATTGATTTCTCAACCTAAAAAGATTGGCAAAGCAAGCGAAGAAGGTTTAATATAAATTAACATTATGCCTGATGATAATAGATAAGGAAAAGATGGCAAAGAGCATGCAAATGATTAATAAAATATAGATTCAAAACAATCCACGCTTCTAAAAATAATGTTTAAAACTGGGGACGACATTAGATAAGATATGTTGACATTGTAATTGATTAAAATTATGGATAAAATTTGGTTAGACGCAGGCTTAGATTTTAGAATGAAACCGTATAAAACTATTTCAACATAAGATAATGTTGGTATGATAGAAGTTGTGACTAACAGTTTGACAATTGAAAAGATTCATGGAGATGCGGGTGTGATGGGAGCATTTTAATAGAAAACCATATGGAATCATTTAAAAACAAAAAACACAGAACCATAATCATTCGAAACAGCAACTGATAATTTTCTACGTTCCTGTGCTGGTTATTGTGTTGCAACTTATGTATTAGGAATTGGAGATAGGCACTCTGGAAACATTATGATTACTGATACAGGTCATTTATTTCACATAGATTTTGGTCATTTCTTAGGTAATTTTAAATAAAAGTTTGGAATTAAGAGAGAAAGAACTAAATTTGTATTAACAGAAGAAGTATAATATATTATCATTATAGATGGCTTTTGTGATGGGGGGCAGAGATGGAGATCTCTTCAAAAAGTTTTAGCAAGATTGCACAAACGCATACAATTTAGTTAGAAAGCATGGACATTTTTTAATAAATATCTTTTTAATGAATCTTTCTGCAGGTATGCCAGAACTATAATAGGCATCAAATGTTAAATATATTGAGGATTAATTGGCATTAAACATTTCAGATTAAGAAGCGACAGCAAAATTTAAATAAGAGATTATTATCTCTTTGAATGATACTTGGAGATAGATTGATAATTGGTTCCACTACATTAAAAGAAGAGGTGGTTGAGTATTTGCTTTTAAAATGTTTTATTTCTCATCACTAAATAATTTTATCTAATAAAATTTTCTTAATTATTATTTTATTATTTATAATACAAATCAATATGATTTTCAAAATTTTATTTTTCTTAGCTACTTTGATAATTTTATCACTTTAACTACTAACTTATAAATGGCTTATTCAATCGTACTAAAATGAAATCCTTGATTACATGGCTGCAATTCAAATTGTATAGAACTGGATTGAATCAGAAACAGACACCAGTGGAACATATTTTCAACCCTGCCTGTAAGCATACTATAATATTAGAAATTGCGGCTATGAACTTGCGATAAAAAAGGATCCCCTTTATTGTTTGAAAAGTGATCTCTATAAAATTTTTCATCCACAGATTGTTTTGGAGGATAGTTATGTTTTTCGAGATTATGGAGGAAATGATTTAGCTAGAATTATTATTAAAAACTAAATGTTCGATGTCAGTCCTAACTTTACTCAATCAGGCCCAATTTAAGAAGACGATTATTTTAACTTAGATATAGTATTTTTGTTGATTTTGAAATTAGCGAGCATCTGTCATTTACCCTTACTCAAAAACATATTTGAGAACTCATATTTTAGGAAAAGAAGCAGGATGCTTGTTTTAGAAATATATGCATATACCAGGGCAAGAAGAATTAGCTCTAAAATCATTATAATCTTTGAACTTAAGAAGTTATTTAATTTAGTTGAGTTAAGTTAATGCATCCATAGAATGTATAAATGAAGCAACTTTTTAGAAAAAATCTTACAGAATGTGGGAGTAAGATGAATGCTAATAGCTTTTTTCAATTATTAACTCATTAGAATATTAAAATAAATTGTAATTGGAAGGACTATAATTTATTTATAAAACTAATAAACATTTAGGAAGAGGAGTCTTACTTGTTGATAAAGAAAATGAATAACTAATAAGAAAATAATATAATAATGGGACGTTTTGTGGTAAAAATAATTAAAATGTCATAATTCAAGAATACATAAAAAATCCATATCTGTTTAAGGTAACATAGTTGAATATAATAGGGACATAAAATGGAGTTTCGATCATATTTTTAAATAGCCTCAACTAATCCTCCAATTTTATTTGGATATAAAAAAGCTTTAATTAAGCAATGTGCTTTAAAATTTAATTTAACAGATTTTTCAAAAGAAGCTCATGTTTGTAATACAGCAATCACAAAATCTCTTAAGGAAGACATTAAATAGCAAAATAATGAATATTATATTGACTGGAATTTAGAAGAATTACAAGATCTTCTATTATAAGATGGATTAATCATTTCAACAGATTGGTTAAATGAATATCTTATGCCGCAAATTTAACTCAAATTATTTCACCTTTTTAATTCTGTTTAAAATAAACTTTTTAAAGATAGCCGAGTGGGAGAATTTTTTGGAGTTGATTTCATTTTAGATTAAAATTTGGAACTTTGGATTTTTGAATGTAATAGAAATCCGAACTTTTTGGTTGTGACAGAAGGAAGAAAGGAAAAATTCAATTAATTAATTCCTGATATGATTTATTTATAGTTAGAGATGGTCAGAAATAGATTCATAAGAATATCATAATTTTTAAAATAAAAGTTAATTCCTTCTATTAGGCAAAAGTCTTTATTAGAATAATAGGAATTATTAAAGCATGAATTTCTGATTAATTATCAAGATAGTTTCTAAAATTAATCTTAATTGAATATTGATAATTAGGCGATTGATATTACTCCAATATAAAATTTTAGCACCTGTTTTAAGGAATTAGAGAAGATAAAAATACTATAAAAGAAAAATTATTGAAAATAATATTTATTAACCTATTTATAAATTGAACTTTTTATTTTTGTTTACTTAAATATTGTCTTGATTCAAAGTTTAAAACCATTTTATTTATATGAAGAGTTACACACTATTCAAAAATTGAATGTATTTGGTTAAAATTAATGGAATTTAACTTTTTAAGAAATTATATAGTCAGAATATTGACTTTTCTGAAAATCGCATCTATATTTTTTGTATATTCTATAGCTTTTTTTTTATTATCTTTTTAAGAACACTTCAGTTTTAGTCTTTACTTTTTGGGTTTGCACGTGGTCACTTCTGATGATCAAAACTGAAATCTTGAATCTCTAAAAATAGTTTAGAATAAAAGAAATTAAATTTAATGAACGATAAATTTTCAGAACATTTGAAGTTTGGCCTTGTAATTATTAAATACAAAAGTAAGGAATTTAAATAATTGCTAAACATGAACTTTATTTTTGGTCATATGTTCGCTGCAAAAAAAATCTGGAAATTTCCTTTCAATTTCAATTTCAGCCAATTCTAACACTACAGAAATGCCCAAAAACCGTTTTCCTTGAGTAAAATATTAGAACCTATTAATTACGAATTTAGAACAACTTTCTATAGATATTATGGCTTTGAGCAAGATCAAAAAAATAGAAGGATAATTCTAAAAAGGAATAAGAATC